GAAGAAGGGTTGCGGGGGGGATTATAGGGGGGGCGCAGCGGCCGATGGCCGGGGGCTGAGCAGAGGGCGTAACCACAATAAGGATTGAACCCACTGACTCATGTGGACACACGAGACAATCAAATTTTTTTTCATATATCACTGTACTTTGTAGACTCTAGACTTTAAAAATTCACCAAGAAGTGGGCAAGGTAGGACTCGAACCTATGACCTCAAGAGTTCCAGTCAGTGTTCTTATCCTCTGAGCCACTTGGACACTCAGGATTATACCACTTGTTTCCTCTTTCACTATCCTGTCTAGACACTAGACTTCAAAATTCACCTTGTCCCAAAAAAGGCTCGAACACACCACCTCAGGAGTCCCAGTTAGTCTCCTTATCCCGTGAGCCATGTGGACACAGAAGACCATCGTGTTTTTTTTCCCATATATCACTGTCCTTTGTGGACTCAAGACTTTAAAATTCACCTAAAACTAGGTATGGTAGGACTCGAACCTATGACCTCAGGAGTTCCAGTCAGTGTTCTTATCCTCTGAGCCACTTGGACATACAGGATTATACCATTTGTTTCCTCTTTCACTTTCCTGTCCAGACACTAGACTTCAACATTCACCTTGTCCTGAAAAAGGGTTTAACACACCACCTCAGGAGTCCCAGTCAGTCTCCTTATCCTGTGAGCCATGTGGACACACAAGAGAAAAGTTTTTTTTTTTTTCACATATCGCTGTCCTTTGTGGACTCAAGACTTTAAAATTCACCTAAAACTAGGTATGGTAGGACTCGAACCTATGACCTCAGGAGTTCCAGTCAGTGTTCTTATCCTCTGAGCCACTTGGACATACAGGATTATACCATTTGTTTCCTCTTTCACTTTCCTGTCTAGACACTAGACTTCAACATTCACCTTGTCCCGAAAAAGGCTCGAACACTCCACCTCAGGAGTCCCAGTCAGTCTCCTTATCCTGTGAGCCATGTGGACACACGAGAGAAAAGTTGTTTTTTTTTCACATATCGCTGTCCTTTGTGGACTCAAGACTTTAAAATTCACCTAAAACTAGGTATGGTAGGACTCGAACCTATGACCTCAGGAGTTCCAGTCAGTGTTCTTATCCTCTGAGCCACTTGGACACTCAGGATTATACCACTTGTTTCCTCTTTCACTATCCTCTCTAGACACTAGACTTCAAAATTCACCTTGTCCCAAAATAGGCTCGAACACACCACCTCAGGAGTCCCAGTCAGTCTCCTTATCCCGTGAGCAATGTGGACACACAAGACCATCGTGTTTTTTTCCCCATATATCACTGTCCTTTGTGGATGCAACATTTTTTTTAAGTATTTCATCGTGTTTCATGTGCCAAAGTTTATCCAGAAACGACGCGTGTCTCACTCACCTGTGTCCAAACCAAACAGCTCCACCCACCGACCTGATCAGCTGGAGTTTGATCACTGAAGAGTCCTCTCACCTCCTTTCTACCTTGCTTCCTAGGAGGTTATTTGGCTTTATTAGCTGTGCAAAGTCTCCTTTGCGTATTTATCTAAAGCCTATTTCTTGATTTTTTTAAGAGTTTAGTATCCAGACAGAGTAAAGTGGTGCTCCTGAGGCTCAAACTCTCTGCTGGTGTGTTTGGAATGATCCTCCAGGGCTCTCTCATAACTCTCAGCAATGCTTTTAGCAGATGTCAGGGTGATGTACAGTTTGCTTGGTCCTAACTTTATGTTTGTATAAGTGTGGCCAGGTATGCATCTGTATATAGCATGCCTATGTTTGGTTATATAAGGTTCTCTGTACCCTACGAGCATCTGGAGGCCTATAGGTGTATTATTCCGTGGTTAAAGCTGTGATTTATAGTATCTAAAGGGCAGGGCAGAAGATTTATAATGCATGCACCATGGGGAGATGAGGTGGTTATCTGCAGTGGGGCTTACACATCGGCCCTGAAGGTCAACTGCACAAACGTTTATGACCATTTGAATGTGTAACAAAGATAAGTGAAATGGATGCATCATGTAACATTTTTTGTTTCAGGAGTTTTGTCCCTTTTTTGGATTTATGAGAAGTTTTTACACCAAGTAAAAAAAGAAATAAATCTGGAAGTACTTTTAAAATTTTAGTTTTTTGTTTCATAAATCCTTTTTGCACTTTGTGATATAACTTATAATTTCATTTAATATTTTTTTTGCATTTGGGGAAATGTTTTTGAGGGATCTTAGTTAACATCAAAAGTTATTGCAGTTGACCTTCAGGCCACCGTAGAAGGGGTTATAATGATAAACCATCAACAAAAATTTCAGCCTGGTTCATAACCAATGCAACTGTCCCCTCACTGATGTAGAACAGCTTTTCAGACATGCAGACAATGTGATTTGTCATAATAAACACAGATATCTAGGAAAATCCTCATAAAATTCTTTCTTTTGTATTAAAAGAACGCCAAAGAGTTGAATGACAAAGCAAGGAGTTCTGCAAAAGAGTAACACTGACCCTTAGTGTTTAAAAAAGTCATTGCAGAAAATGACTGAATCCACCCACCTGCATAATGTGTTTAAGGGTTTAATTCCTTTATTTAATCATAATGTTGACGATCAATTTGTGTATCAGAAGCTGCTGACTTTAAATTCTAAGGAAAAGGTTTTAGTTGTATTTAAATATCTTGTAAGTATTTAAGATGGACTGACTGATGTCAGATGGGTTCAGTATTTAAAGAAACTATTTTTCATGTAGCTCTTCTTTCAGCTGGATATCTAGTAATCACAGCAGTTTTCACAGCAGTTGTGGGTAAAAAAGATTAAAAGGTCATTCAATGCACCAACAAAAGCATATGACAGGATTGTAGCAAAAACATTTTAACCACTTGGACCCTGAGCTATTTCAGGGTTATTTCCGCCTGAAATTACATACCCAAAGTAAATCAGTAATAGCTCATCAACTTTTAGGGCCTAGATCCACAATCTTGGTGTCTATGAAAAGATGATATCTTGTAGAATCTTAATCAAGTGAAAGATTGGCTGTGACCTTTATAATCCTAGAATGGTATCAGATAAATTACAAAAAAAACAATCAAAATTTTATCTGTGTCTAAAAAAAAAAAAAAAAAAAAAAAAAAGTAATTTTATTGTCAAAAATATAAGTAAACGCAATGTGAGTAGGCATTTTATTCATTGGATCTGCTCTTCAACATCTAACCTGGTTGCTTGATAAGGTTGTGCAGTGGCAGGCCCATAAAAATTGTAAAATGTCCTTCTTACTGGTTAAATAGTGCATGCAATAAAGGAACAGAAGAATAATGAAACAAGGAGATTGATCTTAAAAATACTTACTGTTCGAAATTGACAGGCTCCTTATTTACTAAATGGATATTTTAAAGTAAAAAGTATGGTGTCCTTATGCAAAGCAGAAGCTTAAAAAAAGTTGTTTAAAAAAGTGGCAAGAACCATTTTGTAAATCCAAAAATGTTGAGTGAAAGACAAAAACTGGACAAGAAGTAAATAAGAAGCAAAACTTTACAAACTATGAATATTTTCAGGGTACATTAAAAAAATACAATTTTATTAAAACCTTTTGAGTTTTGTGGAATGCTTTTGCTTTTCATGACACATTTTTACTTCTTTGTTCTTCAAGAAATAATTGTGCATTTAATATTTGTATGCAGTTAAATGTTTTTGCAGTTAAGAATAGACACACCATTAAAAAGGCTCATCCAGCTGGAATCTAAGTTTTAAATGGCTTTAAAAATAGAGAACACTTCTGGATAAATACTGTCTTTAAGGCTGCTGGATTTTATGCAAACTAAAACAGTCTCTGTCAAATGAACTTATTCCAGTGTAAGCCTCAGCACAGATGCTGTCTATTGGGAGGGTCCAGTGTGAGGAGATGAGCCCATTAAAACCCGCTCAGTCTGCTGTTAATCACCCACCATACCGCTGAAGGCACGATGCATGCCCCATACATGCCTTACATCCACTCCGTGCTCGGTGACAGCCATATTGAACATCTCCGCTATGAGCTGCGTCAAGTGTCCGACAGAAGCTGAATGCAACACCGGAACTTTCAGATTTTGTCCTTCAAAATAAAAGTAAACGTATGCGCATATCAATCGAGGCTGAGGCCTTCAGAAGAAAAGCTACAAAATAACACTTCCTACTGATTAAGATATTTTTCTCCTCAAAATATCCTATCAAGATGTGAGAGGATGGAGTTGTGAATATGGACGATCTAAAACATTGCAAACCTAAAACCAAAGGTAAAAAGAAGAGAAAGGAAATCCCCATAAATATCCCCAATTTAGTTTTAGGCTTTAACAAAAATTGTGAATGCAATGATAGAAAGCAGACAAATCTGACAAAAATAAATAAATGTAAAAAATAAAAGGCACAGTCCATATATGTGTCTGAATATAAATAACCATCGGAGTATTTGCGAACAAACAACAACAAAAAAAAAAAAAAAAAAGAGCAAAACAGCTCGGAAATGTAATAAAGATGTCAGTGTATAAAGTGTTCTCACATATTTCTCTGTAATAGTATTTTATTTAGTTGACCTGTTTAAAATGTATCTTTTTTTATGAAGAAATTTGATTTAAAAAAATGAGTGTATGAATCTCTTTTTTTTTTTCGAACAATAGTTAAATAATTGGTTAGAATTTCAAAAGTTTAAAAATTTTGAAAAAATCCTTATAGCTTTTAATATATTTAATTTGCAAGATATTTCTTTATTTAATTATACTCCCCGAGGAAAAGAAAAATGAGTTGTTATTGCTAAACTTACTGTGTTTTATCAGAACACAATTTATTTGCATTACATGGAGTTTGTGTGGTCTTGCAGTGGATACAGTGTCTTCCATACAAATTATACTTTCTAGTAGATGGGATTACGAAAAAAATTCTCGACGGACAATTTATTTTTGATATGATAGTTAAATTTGTTTTCTTATTATTTGTTTTTTTTTATTTTCTCACGTTTACGTAAGGCTTTTAACTTTAAAGTTAACACCGGAAGCAGTATTATTTTGTCTTAGCTTACTTGACGCTGGCACCCCAAATCGCCTTATGGTTGTTAAGACTTGAACGGTTTTCCTGTATCTGTGGGAATTTCTTTTGGCAAAGGTTTTGAGAGATAAGCAAAGAGAATTGGCACAGATTTCTCATCGCGGATATTTTGGTGAAATTTTGAAGCCAGCGGGCCTTTCTATCAATTGAAGGAGCTACTTCGTACCCCCGGTGAGTTACTGCCTCTCCCTAAAAAGATGAGCTTCTTCAAGTTTGACGCTATAGCGGATATCCTCGTGTTCGGCTAATTCAGATTTTCTAACCCTGACGGTCGTTAAAATCACCTAAAACAGTGTTTTAAGCGCTTTTTAGCGAAAATTGCCAGTTAGTGTGAATGTTGTGGAAATTAATGATGGCGAGCATTTTTAAGGCTACAAAACTTAACCGACGTGCACGAGCGCTGACCATTAGCCAGGCTTCTCCCGTTATTTAACGTCAGACTACACGCGCAAGCTCGAAAATGTCAGCCTCGTTCAGGCTCGTGGGGTATTTTGTTATGAGGTATCGTTTAACGGCTAACAAAAGTAGTGAGCCCCCGTTAAAGAAACGGTCCTATACGTGTGTCATTCTGACCAGACCGTTCATAATTCGTCTTGTCATGATTTTATGGTTTATTTTTTAGTTGAGAGACAAAATGGTTGTTCACTGTTGGATTTAATTGCGGTTAAATTTAAATGTATCGGCAGCCAACTCTCGGCGGGTAAACGGGCTAATTGCTCACAAGCTACAAGTGGGCATGTCTTCATGTGGGGGACGAACACTGCAGCTCAGTTGGCCTCAGTGGGCTTCCTTACTCACATACTTAAAAACGTAACCATAATTTTCAGTACACCCACTGTGCTGACCGCCTGATACATTATTCCCCCATTCGTGAGTTTTTTTGGCTCTGGTGTTTTTGTTATTAGTTCTTTTTTCATTCACTCTATAAAAAGTACTTGGGGGATAACATAGTTGCCAACTTGCCTCAGATCTACTCCATTATACAAGGCACAAACTGTAGACACTGTAAAAGCTTCACTATTGCCAGGATTTCCCTACTGTAATTAAGTCTCTGGTTCTTTTCTTGGAAGTGCAGCTTGTGTTAAAGACTCCATTACACTAACCATGACATAGGAAGAAAATGAACTTTTTCTTTTTTAATAAGAGATTTGAATGTTTCTCAGGTTAAATTTTGTTGAAAACCTCTAGGGATTCTGTATCAGAGACAGCATTATCCCAAAAAAAGGCTGTGAGAACGTAGGGTTTTTACATTGACTTATATTCTAGTACAGTGTTGTTGCACAATTAACCAATACACTATTGAGATGGCAGTATGACCTGGTCGATAAACCACAGAGATTGTGAATTTTGACATAGGTAAAAGTCCAGAAAGCTGAAGTGAAGAGCTGCAGGGATGCCTTAACCTATGTATGTATATCCAGATTTGAGAAAGCATGTTTGTTCGGTACAGAAAATAATCAAAGGAGCAAGTCACACCAAAATGACCGTGATAATGCATGATATTATTAGCATAATATCAGTATTGCATATCTTACCTTTAAAAAGGTGATAATCCTCTCTGTAGATATAAACATTTCTGCTGACAAGTACAGCACGTCCTCAAAATGTAACTACCCTCCACACAACACCAACTGCAAGTTTGATTATTGGTCCACTAAGTAGCTATACCTTCTATTTGTTTTATCCATTTATAAAGTTTATGCAAAATATAGTACATAGTACAACTTCTGTCTGTTACAAACAAGTCATAGTAATATCTGTTATGCATGTAGAGATTATAGTCCTTGGTCCTTGGTTGCTCAACATTTGTCAGCTCTAGCTCAAGAGCTATACAGCCAGATTCAGTCGCCAATTTTTTATTTGCACGAAAAAGCAGAGAATGTAGCTGAACCAGAAACCGGCGATATGACTAGCATAGAAGTCACACTGTCTGGAGTTCAGGCAGACTACTGCAGAGCAACTCGGATAGTCCAATGCTCATCATGACATGGGCATGACGAAAAGTTAACAGGTTAATGGTAATATAATGTAGACTCAAATATTGTGGACCAATCCCACTAATAATACTCACACCATTACTGTTCTGTTGGCCTGATAGTTGCTGAGTGATGGCGTTGTTCCAATTACGCAACTCAAAATTGCACCACAAAAATTTGAACTTCTACAATGGACGAATTGTCAACTTGTTTTTGCTTTATCGTCCTTTAACAGCCAATACATCCTGTTGTAGGACAGTAAGTCACACCATCATTAGACCATGTACTCGTAGTTGCAGGTCTGATTGGTGTGACATGTTGACATAACAGAGGGTAAGGCGAACAGTCGTTATTTTAGTATCATATGACAGTTCAGCGCAGGTCATGACCAAACCCTCAGGCTTGTGTTTCAACTAGACTCCACTGAGACCGTGACGTTAGACAAGAGTCACAGGAAGTAATAAAAATCTGTTTCATCGTTTAATAATTTTGCCTGGAAAAAGGCTCAGAAAAATCCAACTGTATCTGACGTGTAAATGGTTCTGTCTGTCATGATGTTAGTAACTGATGAAAAAAGTTGGCAAAACTATTGAACAGTTTGTGTTGGACAGACCTCTCCAGGTAGTAATTTTGACATGTTCGGGAGTCAGACTGAGCTCTCATAGAGTCATAACATAATGACTTCACCGTCTTTTGTGTTGTTCTCTTGCAGTAATTATGTTGAAATGCTTTTCCCCATACACCCAAATAGTTACCAAATGTAACCACGTCGCCGTTCCCCTGGCTTTTGTCTCACAGCTATGAACAATTTAAGGAATCATTTCAGTTTTTTCTCTTTTTATTTGTTTATTCAAGTGTTTTTTGGCCTGATCTGAGTTTGTATCTCTCCTAAAATATCATCCGCTCTTATTTTCCTCTTTTTAAAAGTTTATTGTCTATGTAGCTTATTTCAAACATACCAGAACTGCAACAATTTACTAACTTGTCATGTGGTTTGTCAACAGGAAATGTTTTTGAAATAATTGTAATGTAAAGGTAGCAGAAAATATATAGGCATTGTTTTTCTCATTGTCTCTTCTGCTTCCAGGTCCTGTGACGGATTTTCCCTCCCTGCTGTTGTGTGTAAGGAGGAGAGGAAGCAAAGATGCCGAAACCGGTAAGATGCTTAAATGAGTTAGGCTATGTTCACATTGCAGGTCAATTCCGATTTTTTAACCATATAAACACATCAAGCCTGATGCGATTTTGCTCACTTTCCGGGGGGAAAAGACGTGTTTCGGGTGGAAGCGGGAAGACTGACACAAAAAAATCTGGATTGTGCCTCATAACCTGCAGTGTGAACGTAGCCTTAGATGAAAGATGGCATAAAAATGTCAGCAGTTTTGAAACATTGCTCCACAACGGTGTTCAGAAATTCAACACTTGGAAGAAAAGGTAGAGAGAGACATACTAAAGCTGGGAACTTTCCCGCTAATTGATTCGGGTTGTTTGATATGAGAAATAGAGTTGCAGGCATAACTTAGTAAGTAGTTTATGATGTCTAACATGGATAAGAAACTTAAAGGTTGCAGTTTGTAGGCCTGAGAGCTACATCTGTGCATCAGAGAAGTTGAAGTTTCTCCCCCCCTAGCTACTCCCACCCCTCATACTCCTCTTCCAAGTAAACAACAGCCAGAGTGTGAAGCGAAGTGCCTGGCCCACAGGCCTGCAACTGCAACACTGCTGCCTTTGTTGTTTAAAGGGTGGAGAGAATGCCAGAGTCCCGGGATGTGAACAACGCCAAAACAAAAACCAATTTGATGCAGTTCTTTCACGGCTGTTAGTGCCGTTCTTTCAGCAAAAACAGATCCGGGTAGCGCGCTCTAATTAAACTGCACACAATGCTCTCAACACTCAGTTGTTTTTTCGCATTGCAATGAGGGATTGTCAAAGTATGATGGTGTCTTCTTGTCCTGATTTGAGTGTCTTCCGTGGAACAGTGAAAGGTCAGGTTGCCGAAGCTTGCATCAGAAACTTTCCGAGCAACTGAGAACAACAGGCTTCAGGCTCTCCCTCAAGTGAAGCATGTCCTCTGTCTGGCTGTTCTCGAAGCGGTGGGTGTTTGCATGTGGGGGGATTTTTAGAAACTACACAGGAAGAAGAAACCAGGCGCTGATGTCACCCTTCATTTCCTCCTACTGTCCCCTGAGTCACAAAGGCACTGTCCCAAAAACCGACCCCATGACAGAGCAGGGAGCGACGTCTCTGTCTTAGACAATAACTGACAGAGAAAGTACAGCAGGGAGGCACTGACATAATAAACAGAGGAAGCAAGACCCATCGGACATGACTCCCCCCAGGCTCTGTGCCAGACATCATAACTTTTGAAATGGGCCTTTTTTGTCTCACTGTCAGCACTCATCTGTAACAAAGGCATATAAACAGTTACAAGGTTGAGTAAAAGAGCAGTTTGTGCTGCCAGGAGGAAGGGCACTGATGTTGTGATACTTTTATTGAATTTTATACAAACACATGGTTGACACAAAATAGAGTGTACGGCCTGCGTATTTTTTAAATTAGGGCTTGGCGATAAAATTTATATTCCGTGTTTTATTTCACATTTGTATTTTGAAGTGCAGAATAATAATATAGAACTCTGTGAACTAGTTTCCTAAGTTTCTCAAAGCTCAGTCGAGAAACGGTGTATCATCTGTAGATGTAAAAGTTTTCAGCAGCTCCTGGTAGAAAATATTTGTGTGGATCGGTTGTTTTCAAAGACTCGCAGGCAGAAACAACGCCAAGTTTGTTGACTTGAATGTGGCAAACATTAGCAGAGCTAGTACCACCAGACTTTGGTTGGTCGTTATCTTTGTAATGTTTGTACTGACGTCCGAAATAATCGCACGATAAAATGCTCCCGGTGTGAAATGATCTTTACTTTGTTACCTTTTTTTTAACGGGGCTAATGTCAAAGGCTGATGCCTTCACTCACAGGGCAAGGTATACAGTTCATTCATTCAACAGTAGTATTGGATCTGTATATTGGATATCGGCCGATACGCTCAGCCGGTATCGGTATCGGAGAAAAATGGATCTGTGCATCTCTAAAGGCGTTGTTTGTTATACACCATATAAAGCGGACACGACCTACAAACAACTTTTTTCAATTTTTGATCAGTTTACTGACAAACCACTCTGTCGTCTGTGCTTGTTTACATACGGGTATTTGCACATTTTTATGATGGCATCAGCATGAGTGTCTAAAAGCATAAAAGAATAGCTGTCAGTGAGTGTGATAACTCAAAATCAAGTCAAATTTATCTGGTGGTTTGGTTAATTTTTTTGTTCTTTGTACACCCTGACCTTTCCTGTTCGGTGCTCTCTCCGGGCTGGAGGCCAGCTGGAGAGTTACGAGGCAGCAGCACCCCACAGGAAGAGGGCCCTCATTGGTTTCCTCGCTTGTGGCTGTTTTCCTGTTTGCTGTACAGGGAGCCTGCTGTATAAATCCCGGGTCCAGGTTGGGTCAACATCCTGACTCTGTGGAAGTTCTGAAGTAATGTTAAAAGAGAAAGAGGAGTATCACTTACAAAGAGGGCAGGAGTCATGCAACATCTGAACTCTTCAGTGTTAAGAAAACAGTCAGGCTTGTAGGAAGATTGGAGACTCAAAAGCGAGTTTAATAGCTGTGTTTGACCTTTAACCTCATTTACAAAACAAAAGGTGAATTTATCATCATAATACAAGGTCAATACGCTCCTCCTGTCTCCTCTTTATTATGTGTCTGTTGCATCTTGTAAAGTCACTTGAAGCTTTTCACATCTTTGTCCACCTTCCCTTCCCCCCAAAGTATGAATGTTTGTGTTTGGAAGTAGCAGTAATTCTTCCTCTCCTCTTCTCACTCCTCCTTCCTTTCCCCCCCCTCCTTCTCTCTCTCTCCCTCTGAAGCCTGCCTCACCCTGCAGGGGGGTTAATCAGAGGGACAGACAGCTGCTCGGAGCCCAGCAGGACAGATTAGTAGCTCCACTGATTGAAGTATATGTGTGTGTGTGAGCGCGCGCGTCTGTCTTTAAGGCCTCTCTCAGCAAAGCTCCTCTTAACAGCTTACAGTTACTAAACAGCTGCACATTTAACAAGAAGCCTGTCTGAGAGAGAACTCGTCTTCACAGTTGTAATGGAGAGGAGGATTTAACAGCACACATGAAGGAAACAAACATTTGAATGTCGCAGCCTGATACAATGATCAGGACTTCTTTGGTCTTTTGCACTTGGTCTGTTTTTGTTCACTTGAGGTTAAAGCTGCGACTTGAGGTTCATAAAGTGATGTTGCACAAGCCAAGGTTCTTGCATGATAAGACCATGTCCATCTCAAATACACTGCAGCTCTGCCTTTCTAACCAGTATTGTAGTATTAGTTGGCCTATGAGCTGAGTCTAGCTTTTGGCTCATGCAAAGCTCCTCTTTCTGCTCCAGTGTCTCTTACTCATTGGGTCTGTCTTTGCCAGAGGAGCCTGTGTCCCTGAAGCCTGTCATCCTCTACAAATGTTTTAACAGTTTAAAGAGTTTATTCATCTGCATTTGTCCTGACTACACTGACAAAGACCTTGTTAACAAGAAAACCTAAAAACCTTTTTTTTTTTTTTTTTGGCAGGGCAGATGTTTGCCTATTATTTCTAAAAACACTAGGGCACAATTTTTAGGGGTAGCACACTGTAATTTGACCATTGATTCTCATTCATTTTGCTTTTATCTATCCTCTAAGCCAGTGGTTCTCAAGTCCAGTCCTCGAGGCCTCCATCACACCTGATTCAAATGATCAGCTCGTTATCAAGCTCTGGAATGGCTTAATAACGAGCTGATCATTTGAATCAGGTGTGTCGGAGCAGGGAAACATCCATAACATGCAGGACAGTGGGCCTCGAGGACTGGATTAGAGAACCACTGCTCCAAGCAAACACTGTATACATCTCAAATTGAGCAGGTGGTGTTATAAGGGAAGCTAGTTAAAGTTACTATAACAACAATTTCCGTAAAACAGGAAATATGCACCGAGTTTAACTTCATGTGGAGCCGAGTTCCAGCTGTAGGAGCCACAAACCAGCATCAAATGTCCTCAGATGATGTTTTGGTGTTATGCTAACAAGGAAGCCAGTTGCAGTTGTTGTGCTGTTACATTTCTTGGAAGTTTGAGGCAGCAAATTATACACTTTATTAAACAAACACACTTGGTTTTACAGGTAGTATACATTCTTTCTATATTAGTTGTAGGACAAATCTAACAGCTTCCTAGAACTATTGTTGTTTGGAGTTTACCGCAGGCCAGAGTCTTAGCTTTAACCTCTAACTTGAAATAGTCTTACTCTCTTTGCAGGGAGATTAATTCGGTCCTTTTAGGAACTGTTGTTTCGCCTGGTTAGAATGTTTTGTGTTGCCAGATTGTGTCACACAAGGACAGACTCGCAAAAGTTGCTCCTTTGAGACTGCTTAGTTGTCAGCGTGTGTGATTAGCTGTGTCAGAGCGTCGGCATGTTGTCGTCTCTGTCCACCTCCCCCTCTCTCTCTGCAGGAGAGAGAGGATTAACTGACCGTCTGGTCCGTGCAGGATTCCACCTCTCTGCGCCCTGTGGGTTGGCTATGTTTTGGAACACACACACACACACACACACACACACACACATACACATACACAAAGGCTGGCTCCTCACAAATGCAGGAGAAGGAACATTCATGTCCGGTCACTTGGAAACTGGTGCAGCAGCGCTATGTTCTCCATAACTACTCCAGTCTCACAGAGTCAATGAGGCATCTACTGAAACCAAAACAGACTCAATTCAATCGCCAGTGAACCATGGATGAATGTATCCAGGGGTGTGTTTGGTACACTGAAAAGACTTGATGAAGAAGTTGCAAAAAGTTTGACTCTAATTGCCAGTATGTGTGCAATGAATAAATAGTTGTTGGACTCTTATTCACAAAATCTCAGCCCCCTCAATTAAGTACAAGCTATAAAATGCTACAGATTTGTTGTGATAGCACCCTCCAGTTCCTCTTAATCCTAACCTTAATTTTTGTAGGTAATCCCAGCTTCAGAATTGAACTACAGTGAACTGCAAACACAGTGTTACATAAAGTCTCTGAACTTGGTGCATTTTAGCGACACTGTCCAAAAACTGCGAGTTTATTTTGCCACATGTGCACCCCATCAGTTATGTCATCAACATTACCAAGGAGTTAAATTTTCCATAGTTAGTAAGCATTAAAAGTTAACAACATCAAGATGGTGTTTATATTGCTGCATGAGCATTGGTTTGACCCAAACAGTAGCTGATTAGAGCTGCCAGCCAACTTAAGAGGCCCCCTATAACTGCAGACTGACATCACAACTAGGGCCCGACCGATATGGATTTCTTGGGGCCGATGCCGATTGTTAGGGGGGGGGGGGTCGCTGCGCCATCTACAGGATAAGTCAGGGAACTTTTCAAATGGTGGAACATTTTTGAAGTGAAACTGAATCTTATTCTCCGCATTTTAAATCTAAAAATATCAGTGAAAATCTGCAAGTTTTGGCTGATTACCGATTAGTCTAAAACGGGCTAAAATTGGCTGATTCAATTGGTCGGGCCCTAGTCACAACACTGCGCCCTTTAGCAGGCTTTACTAATCAACCACTGATCACTATACAGGCCAACATTCAATGATGAATGGGGGGGAAAAAAAGTTAATTTCAGTAGCATAAATGCTCCCAATTTTTTTTTTTTTGGGTTAAACAGAATAAGTTTCTGTCTTGTGCACGAAAATACTTTCACTTAACTATAGTAGCCAAAGTCAACAGATGACTGTTTGTTATAGCTCATGTTGTATCATGTAACCCCATCCTCAGCATTCTCTCGGACATGATGTTAACGGAGCCGTGTTGGTATAAGCTACTTATGTTATTGGATGTCAGTGTCAGTGGTGGAAAGTGCTATCTAGACTCACGTTCACAGAGCATTGTAGAACTAGATGTAGGATATGCTCGAGAAATTCAATCCATAAACGTATCATACCTACTGTACTGTGAGCTGTCTCCAATAGCGCTTATGTCTGAGCATTAAAAAAAAATTTCAACTTCTCCAATTGGTCTTATCACTTCTCAAAAAAAGAGGTAGTTTCACACCCAGTGAGAAAGGCTTTGACAACTATGTGTTTTTTGGTTAGATTCTGCTTCATCCTTTCATTAGAAACACTAAGAAAGTGTTGAAACTGTTGTTTTTGTTGCTGCACAGTTTTTATAAAGTTGTATCTTACCACAGGTCACACAAAATCTTTGCAACACAGTTTCTCCACCTTTATTGGCTTTGTTTTACATTTTCTCTGCCTTTTATGAGCGTATTTTGTTATGTAGACAAATTCTCATGACAAGATTAAGCCTTGACCTTCGTACAGATCTAACATTAATGTGACATTGATGTTTCCCTGCTCCAACACACCTGATTCAAATGATCAGCTCGTTAGTAAGCCATTACAGAGCTTGATAACGAGCTGATCATTTGAATCAGGTGTGTTGGAGCAGGGAAACACCCAAAACATGACTGGACTTGGGAACCACTGCATTAAGTGGTGCAAAGAAGAACGCCAGAGACGCTGGAAGTTTTGTTAAGCAGTTTTAAAAAATACTTAATGCCCTAGGATACCAACAAAAAATACCTCAAATGTCTATACCATCACAACAAAGTCATGTTTGATGTTAAAGTCAAACATGTTTGATTACAACCACTTGAATCTTTGAGGATTATTCAGTTTGAGTTTAGGAAGCACCGCTGTAATGCAGAAACTACATCAAAAGGAAATCCATCATCACTGAAGGCTAAGAGATCTTTTTAATCTTATTCCAGGATACTGCAGAAGTTATCTTCAAAAATAAACCTCGCCTAAAGCGGGTTATATTACAAACATGTAGCTTACAAATAAGTCTTTTTGTATCATATGTTACATAAATAGATCTGTGCAAGGTAGAGTTATAATGTAGGTTAAGTAGGAGAGTTCAGGCTGGATGTGTACGGTGCGGCGAAAGTGCTCCAACTTTTCATGGGTAATTAATGAGAGGCAGATACATTGTGGTCTAAGCTCCATGCGGTGCATGGGGAGTCCAGCTATGAGCGGTATAGCACAAGTTTCATGGATTATTAATCGCAGGGATGTTGTCAGAAACAGAGGGTTGAGGGACAGTGCGGGAGGAATGCAAAGTAAGCCTTCCTGAGGTTTGGGTGAAATCGCTCAGAGGAAAAAGGGAGGTCCTCTGGTTCTTTTTCTGCATCTCTTCTCCTCCTTTCCCTTCCTTTTTATGAAAGCTTCACTCATCTTCAGTCACATCCCTGTAACTTCATCTGAAAGGGAGTCCACCCCAGATCAGTTGCTTACTTCCTGTTGCATTTATCTTCCCCCGCTTTTTTTTTTTAAACTTGCAAGCTCTCACTTCTGCACTTTGCCTCTTGTGCTTCCCTGCGTATCTCTACCAACCACAGCTGAAGCGACACACATCTCTGTGCGCTCGGAGGTGTAAGAGGAAGGATGTCAGATATCTCGGAAGGTCAGCCCCCTGCCCATTTTCGCTCTCTACCATCGGCTGCTGCTAGGCTTGCCGCCAGCACAGTAAGCGGGCACGGCCAATGACTGGGTTTTATTCCCTGCTCCACCCCATGTAGCTGAGAAGTTGTAGGCTGCCCTCGGAAAGAAAAAGAGGGGCCCTGGCAGTGAAGGATGGAAACATGAAGAGAGATTTAAGTTTACACTTTTGGCCTCCTTGGTTTGGGGAAAATTGAGACTCACTCTACACACATGCTGAGTTGTGTGTTTAAGTTTAAGTTGGATTGTATATTTGGTAGTTTCAATAAAAGGGAACTTCCAAAATGACTCGGCGTACTGGGTTTGTGATACAGATTTTCCACAATATTCTTCAGTCTGTACATGACACAGTTTATGTTCAAGTTATGAAAAAAACTTTTGCTTACCAGTCTTAAATTTTCTCCAAAGATGACAACATATTCTTAGAAAAGCTCCAGCAGAAGTTTAGGTTCAAAGCAAATGATGTAGCTAGCAACCAAAGTCATTCTGTTGTCTGTTTTCCAGATCAACGTCCGTGTGACCACTATGGATGCCGAGCTGGAGTTTGCCATCCAGCCAAATACCACAGGGAAACAACTCTTTGACCAGGTGAGCATAACCGACACCTTTTTGTTCGGTTTACTTTTGCCATAGACTGTATATACTATGGACAACGAGGCATGGAGCAGACTCAGTCGCCAGCTGTAGTCCAAAAGTAGAACATGTGCATTAAGCTGCTTTCTTTTCGATTTGTTTTGTTTTTGTATTATGGGTAGAAACTTTTTCGAAAAACCTGTAAACACTTGTGTTGGAGGACGTCACTTTTGAGCAGATTCAAGGTTGTTAAGTGTCCTTGTCTTGTCCTTGTCTTTTGTTGCAACTCGAGGGACTGAAAAAATTAAAACAACGAGGAAAATAGACGTCCTTCTCTGAGTTATTTCAGCCGAGATAAATCAAAAGATATGCGCGAACAAGTTATGCACTTGTTAATTCCTCCCACTCAGACTCAAAAAACATTTAACGAGCAGGGTCCTTGTAGAGCATCTGCAGCAAAACACTTGAATCTGTCGACTCAGGTAGTCTTTTGTGAAAGTTGGTGCATGTTTGGGACAGAGTGTGCCATTGCTCTGAAAGTTTGCATTTAACACCTGTGGGAAATCCTATTTCTTTTTCTTAAATCTCAGGTGGTGAAGACAGTGGGACTGCGGGAGGTCTGGTTCTTTGGTCTCCAGTATATAGACAGTAAAGGCTACATCACCTGGCTCAAGCTCAACAAGAAGGTCAGTCTTTGTCGTCTTTCTGCTCTTATTAACCTGCTGGTTGTTGCACAAAGTGGATTTCACAATCCAACGGTTGTGTCAAAGTAAAGGCACAAGTTTTCATCTGCTTCTGTCCAAAGATTTGTCACACACTCATACACGTTGACAACTGATTTTATATCTTATATCCAACCAAAACAATATGTAAAAATAAAGTATTCAAGTAATCAGTTGTACGAGGGTCTCTCTGTTCCTTCTCTCTTCCTATCTGTTTGTCTTTGATCCAGTCAGTGTCGGAAGTTTGTTTGGGGTTTGCCCAGAAGCTCTGCTGCATCTGGAGCGTCAGATGAGCTCTATTTAAAAGGCTTCCTCTCCCTCTGTCTCTCAAGCTAACACGCCCACGCACACACACCGGCCTCACAGTTTGACTGTGTGTGTTTCTGACGGTGTATGACAGAAGATTTCCCTCACACTTTACATGTGTGTGGGAGACAGAGATGGAGAGAGTCAGGGGTTTCAGAGATATCTGGTGCAATGTTCTGGATATGTTTAAGTGTTGTGAAAGCGCTGTGCCGTGTGTTTTATGATTTCAAACCCTCCAGCCATTATAGACCAATGCAGATCTGTCAGCGTGATGAAGAAAAGGATTTCCAGGAGCTTGAAATGGAAACTATGTTGTTGGAGTGTGAGAAACAACTGTGCAGCTGCCCTTAGATATCAACAAGATCTCTCCTGATCCACACTAATACATTTTCCAACACTTTGCCAGTTGTTTGTATGAACCATTGAATTCATATACAAGAGAAAAAGAGAGGATTATTCAAGGGCCACAGAAATTGAACACTGAACTGTGTCGTCTGTATACTGAAGGTTTGGGATGTTGTGTCTCTGTTTCAGGTGACTCAGCAGGATGTAAAGAAAGAGAACCCTCTGCAATTCAAGTTCAGAGCCAAGTTCTTCCCGGAGGACGTCTCAGAGGAACTAATCCAAGAGATCACACAGAGACTCTTCTTCCTGCAGGTAACAAGACACCCAGTCAAGTTACCCTCCATTTTTTAACTCATGCAGGAAAAGAAGTTGAATGAGTATTCACTCAGAGAGTGGATTGCACAGTTTGGGATGTTCATACTAAAGTGAGTTACTGTTCAACCTTCAACTATGGAAAGCCTAATCCATAAATGTAAGGTAACAACTGAGACCTAATGGTGCTGTGACAGCAACGCGATTGAGTTTGAGACAGTGAAAAAATACATAAGGTATTTTGTATCTGAACAGGTTAGCTTACGAGCTAAAGTTACATAGCACAGATGAAAGTAAAAACAAAGACGTTTAGCAAACTGTTAAAGCACACAAACCATCATCATATGAGAAATCCGACACTATGACTCTCCACAAGTTGTCCTTTAGGTCGTTATCTTCATCTCGCCCAGCCCTATTTTGACCCTAAATGAGAGTTTAATGACTGAATTTATTCCCCAGGTTAAGGAGGCCATTCTCAACGATGAGAACTACTGTCCCCCAGAGACAGCTGTGCTACTAGCATCATACGCAGTCCAGGCCAAGTACGGGGACTACAACAAAGATGTCCACAAGCTCGGCTACCTTACCCATGACAGACTGCTGCCTCAGAGGTAAAAATATTTCCCTACGTGAGTGAAAACGGAGGGATGTGTGGGAAGTTTCCGTTTTGTTTTCACACACAGATCCATTCAAACCTGGAATGCGTCGCGTTCCTGTTGGATTTTTTTAATGATTTCCTCCTGCGGAAGTAATCTGTACCGTTCAACAATCCATTCAGGTGATGTCACTGTGGTTATGTTGTGTTTGTGTGCGCAGAGTCCTGGAGCAGCACAAACTGACCAAGGAGCAATGGGAGGACAGGATACAGACCTGGCACGAAGAACACAGAGGAATGCTCAGGTATGTGTCACTTTTTTTTTCCACTGGAAATCCCCTCAGAAGAAGAAAATAGGTCTGTGGGTGAACATGTTTGGCCTTGTTGGGACACTGAATTACACAATATGCCATTATCTGTGCGATTGCTTATGTTAGAGGACTGAACATGGTCTTATTTAACTGATGTTATGGGGACATTTCCTGATAAAACAGCTCTGACTCCCTCTGTTTTTACTCCTTTTCCAGAGAAGACTCCATGATGGAATACCTTAAAATCGCTCAGGACTTGGAGATGTACGGAGTCAACTACTTTGAGATTAAAAACAAGAAGGGCACACAGCTGTGGCTGGGCGTGGACGCACTCGGCCTCAATATTTACGAACATGAAGACAAGTAAGAAGCACACAAACTCGGACGGACACAGAGATTCTTTGTTTTTGAACACAAAATTATTCGTGGCTTTACAACTGTAATGCAGTTCAGACTAGTCACCAACAAGACTCAGACATCAAACACCAGCCTACTTGCCACTTTTTCATGGGTGTCATGCTTCAAGGGCGCTAAAAGCTGTGGTTTGTGTCAATTACACAACCGTTGTAGACACTTGTGAGGAGATGAAAGCTTTTGACACAGTGTCACAACCAAGTATGTGCCAAAGCATGTCATCACAACGGTAAAACACCACCTGTGTAACACAACCTCACCACAAGACCTGAGCGCTTCTCTCTACATGAACTCAAACTCAAGATTTAGTTTTCAGACAATAATGAGCAAAACACCGCCTGATCTTTTTGGATGTTTTTTTTTTTTTTTTAAACTTGTGTCCATGTTTAAGGACTTATTTTTCCCGAGGACGGCGTGTTTTTTAAATGCATGCAAAAAGAGTGCCTAGTATAGTTACTATGCTACAAATGCTAGCTTCATGATCACCTGCAGTTGGTTTACTTTTTTTTTTTTTGTCTGGCTGCAGAGTCTAAAAATAGTTCAGTACTGGTAGAAAGCTGCACATCAGTCAGACTTCCTTCAAACTAACGCTATCCTGAGTAACCGTCATACTTTGTATCACTGTTCCTTCTATGAAGAGCAAGGGTAATGAGGTATTTTACATCCAAGACTGTCAAGCCCCTTTTGTATTGATAAATGAGGGCCATTGATTCCTTTTTGCCTCTGTTACTATCTCTGATACTGCCACAGTAGTGGGATGACTTGGCCTGACCTTCCTTAGAAGTTAATTAGGGTATTTAGTGGCCCTAAGTTTGAAACTAGTAAACATTGATTAACACTAAGAAAGAACTACCACCAATCTTTGAATTCATTGATAAGTTTTACAGAAATAAGTGAAATAAGAAAATAAAGAGGTCAGGCTTGCTCTGGTGTTTCTCTCTTGTTCAGAGGTTTATCTGTGAAATCAGGTGCTCTGTTTGCTCTAGGTTTCAAAGCAGAGATATTTTTAAAGTCCAAACTGAGAGATGGGTTTAGAAAGGAAGGCCGTGTCTGTACGCTGTAGGAGAGTCTTTCCTGTGGTCCGCTCGGAGATATTTTTTACCCTTTGTGGAAAAAAGGGATTGATTTAATCACATCTCCTGCAGCATTTCCTCTCACTGCTGTTCCCTTCCTGCCTGTCATCCGAGGTCATCACGAGTGCTGTTCCTCTTTTCTTTTCCAGGTAAAATAGGAAGGAAGACAGGGATGGTTTCTCTCCGTCTTGAACAAAGGGAACTCCCCATAATCAATCTATTCCTGTGTTTTCACTTTTATCTTCTCTTTTCTTTCTTTTCTTTTTTTTTTTTTGAGTTGAGCAAACAATCCACTCTGTATTTTTTTAACAGCGAGTGAGATATTTTGAGCAACATTAACCCATTTTGGTTTTGTGCTGCTTGTCTTTCCCCCTGAACCCCAGAAAACTTGAAGATGGAAAAAATAGAGGAGTATTCAACCTCCTGATTCCTTGCCAAATATTTTTTCTTTCTGTTAGAGCCCCACCTGCTGGCTGAATTTTATACAACACTGCCAATTAACTGCCAATTGCAGAGCACAGTGAATTGTCCTGTGTTGTTTTTTTCCTTTAGTAAGACTTTCAAAAAATGAAGTTTTAGTTATTGACCACGTTTTTACATTCTTGTTTCAGGTTAACACCAAAGATCGGCTTCCCCTGGAGTGAAATTCGAAACATCTCTTTCAACGACAAGAAGTTTGTCATCAAACCGATTGACAAGAAAGCACCGGTGAGTGTAACATTCACCAAATCGATGTAGAGGAATAAAATGTGTTTTTGTTCCTGCTCAATGTAGATATAAGAGAATGTTTTTCCTCACATTAAAGGATATGTTTTCACCCTGTTCTTTTTGCAGGACTTTGTGTTTTATGCACCACGGCTGCGCATCAACAAGCGGATCTTGGCCTTGTGTATGGGGAACCACGAGTTGTACATGAGGAGGAGAAAACCCGACACCATCGAGGTGCAGCAGATGAAGGCTCAGGCCCGGGAAGAGAAACACCACAAACAGATGGAAAGGTACGGCTGTGGGTTCTCACAGTCAGGGTTTTATTTTTCTGTTTTTTGTTTGAAATTTATTTTGCAGATCAGATGTATTACACAGAATTGTTTGTATTAAATCCAACTTTCACTTTTAAAACCTTAAATCATTAAAAGATAACTTAAAGATAAAGAGCATTTGCCCCACTGGAGGGCAGTCTTGCTCCTTTTAGCACAGTCTGGATTAAAGGGAGTGGCTGAGGATGGCCTTTCCTGATCAGATTGCTTGATCAACTTTTTCTTTTTATTAATTTCAGTCATCAGGACTGTACATTCACTTTTTTCCTTACTATCCAACAAAAACTTCGAACTGCACATAATTTAACACAAATCAAACTGCTGTATCTGCTCTTTCTCAGCATCTGTTGCTATCAGCAGCATAATAAATACATCCTTAATATGTTAAATATCTACCTCTGCATTTAAGAACATTTTTGACCAAAACAGAAAAGTTTCCAGAAATGGTTCCCTGAGACTTGTTTGTTGTATGTTTTGCCATGTATAATTATGTTAATGTCAATTCTTCTTAAATCCCTTTAATGCGCCTCAGACTGTTTTGAAGGACAGTTTCTATTTGCATTTTTTATTGGCTTCACTTTTCCCTGTGCAGTTATCCCTTTACAAAATTAATACAACATGACAAACCATTAGTATCCAAAGAGCACATTAAACAAAGACGGATTCTGCTATCCACAAACTGAAAATTTAGTTTTGAGTTCCCCGCACTGTCTTTGGTGTTTTCTTTGTGCATATTTTTACTTGTTATATACCCAAAGTTTTCTTGCCATATTCAGTTATTGACAATAAAATTATTCATGCACTTTACTTTAATGCAGTGGTTCTCAAGTCCAGTCCTCGAGGCCCACTGTCCTGCACGTTTTGGATGTTTCCCTGCTCCAACACACCTGATTCAAATGATCAGCTCGTCATTGAGCCATTACAGAGCTTGATAACGAGCTGATCATTTGAATCAGGTGTGTTGGAGCAGGGAAACATCCAAAACATGCAGGACAGTGGGCCTCGAGGACTGGACTTGAGAACCACTGCTTTAATGCATTAAATAAAAATTCCTTTTTCCTTCTGGATTCATGGACCACACTTAGTTTGGAGCCCTGTATTACATTAAAAATGAATGTTTGTCACTGAAATGCACTCAGAAAATCTAAAGTGTGTATCTGCAAAACTTCTCAGGGCTCAGCTGGAGAATGAGAAGAAGAAGAGGGAGTATGCAGAGAAAGAGAAGGAGAGGATAGAGCGTGAGAAAGAGGAGCTCATGGAGAGGCTGAAACAGATTGAAGAGCAGACGATGAGAGCTCAGAAAGGTACACATTTCTCTTTTCATTCATCCATCTGTTCTCTCATCTTTGCTCACCCTTCTCTCCTTATGTCCGACAAATCAGGAAATCGCTCTGAGCCAAGCCCTATCATGTCTATTCATCATGCTTGTGCAACCAGAAATAAACCACAGTTATTTTTGTCAATGCACCCTAAGTTCAGATATTTTTGAAACGTGCACAACTGAAGTGCAAAATGATGTTTAACATTTCCGCAGAGCTTGAGGAACAGACCCGCAAGGCCTTGGAGCTGGAGCAGGAGAGACAGCGGGCGAGAGAGGAGGCCGAGAGGCTGGAGAAAGACAGGCGGGCGGCAGAGGAGGCAAAGGCAGAGCTGGCCAAACAGGCTGCAGACCAGCAGAAGAACCAGGAGCAACTGGTATGTGTTTACTATGACTGATACCATGAGCAGCACTTGTGCAGATTTTTATTTTAATAAGAAACCATGGAGAAGGGACAGGTTTTCAGTTACTCAGAATGAGTGTTGAAATGCTCCACTGGAACATTCTTGTGTGTTTACTTCCTCCCAGGCTGCAGAACTGGCAGAATTCACCGCCAAGATCGCTCTGCTGGAAGACGCCAAAAAGAAGAAAGACGAAGAAGCCACAGAATGGCAGCACAAGGTACATCCGCCTCGAGTATCTTCTAATCACCACATGCAGCTAGCTTCAAATTCAAGATATTTTTGTCACATTTAAAAAAAAAAATGAGCCTCTGACTCTTAATTGGAACATTATAAACTGTGTCAAGATTACAGGTATAGGGATGGGAATCAAAAACCGGTTCTTGTTGAGAACTGGTTCCAAATGGTTCAATCCATCGACATCATTTACATTTTATCTTAGCGATTCCTTTCTTCTGGTTGCCTTGAAAAACGGTCTCGTGAGAGCCAGTCGACGCGAACAAGAACATAGACTTTGAGGAGACAAAGTAGGCAGAAATGATCTTAAGCGTGGCTTAATTTTACACAGAAAGATGACAACAGTGCAACATGCAAAGGTGGAAACATCAGCATTATGCTTAAATATTTGTCAACGGGGCACGGCATCAAATCTAAGGAGTCACATGTATTCAATGTTCTCCACCGGTCGTCAGCCGCTGCTGCTCCGTCTCACATTAGGGTGACCATACGTCCTCTTTTACCCGGACATGTCCTCTTTTTGGGGGGATGTTGGGGGGAGTTTATAAAATCCTACAAATGTCCTGAACATGTACTCATTCATAATAAAACAGTGCAGAGCATCAGTGCTCTCTGCAGCTCCGCTCACTTCTAAGCAAAGCCACTGACGTGACATACGCATGCTGCTCCATATCAGCACGGCGTGGAAGGTACGTATGTTAGGGTTTGGGGGGATGTTGGGGGGGGGGGGGGTTGATAAAATCCTACACATGTCCTGAACATGTATTCATTCATAATAAAACAGTGCAGAGCATCAGTGCTCTCAGGATTCAGAATATGGTCACCTTAACATATGTCCTGTGTTAACATAAGCACAATGCATCCCAGAAATGCTGTACAAATAACATGTTTGTTTGATTATTTTTAGACTCTCACTGAAGGTGGCGTATATCTTTTTTTGTCATCAGAGACTCAATAAAATTTTGAGTTAACAGTGAAAACCTATAGTCTACTTTTTATTTTTAACCGAAGAAAGACATTGATAAGGGAATTGTTAAAGAATTGAATCAATAAGCAGAATCGATAATGGCATCGATATCGATAAAATCTTATCGATTCCCATCCCTATACATGTCCAACTAAATGTTGGTATTTTGGATTGTATTATGAGGGCGCCCCAGCCAGGAGAGTCATTTGTCTAAAACCAACTACTACTACTACTAAACTTGAAAGTGAACCGAAACTGTGACAGAAACTGAAAAAGATATTAAACTCTTTAACCTCATGATCCACCTACTCTTTCCAGCCCCTCTTCTCTATGTCTCCATCTAATCCCTCCCCTCTCCATGACCTCCCCCTGCAGGCCCTGTCAGCCCAGGAGGACCTGGAAAAGACCAAAGAGGAGCTGAAGTCCGCCATAACGGTGATGCCGGCTCCTCCAGGCGGCAACGCTGAGAATGAGCACGACGAGGGAGACGAGAACCACGCGGAAGCCAGCGCCGAGCTCTCCAACGAGGGAGTCAGCCAGTTGGACCTGCGCAGCGAGGAGGCGCGCGTCACAGAGGCCCAGAAGAACGAGAGGGTCAAGAAGCAGCTGCAGGTACGAACGAGAGAGCTAACTTTTAGGGTGGAGTTAGGAGATGGTAGAGTGGGTCATATTTACCCTGAAATGTTTCCTGAAACATAGAAACCCTAAACACCCAGCATATAAAAAAAAAAGTTTATATGCCAAAGACATTTACTTCTGATTACAAAGCAATCAGAATGAGATTGAACGATTAAACAAAACCAGTCTCATTTGATTGAAAATGTCAAAGCTCCACGCTCTTAATAGAAAAAAAACCATCAAATTTATTCACCCTGAAGAAATTCGCATCCAACAAATGCAAATACCAACAAGATAATATCATTTTCTAACAGCAGTTTTGTTGTGAAGAAGAAAAACCAGCCAGGAAATGGCACACCAGGGTAAGATGAGGCTTAACTCTCCATCCTTCTCTGATCTCCTGCCTTTAACAGGAGTAGACATGCTGGCTTAGACTGTAGCGTGGCTTTGAAGCAGACCTATTGGAGCAAACTAAATATCAAATCTCCTTGTAACCTCTGTTTCATAAAAGTACGGGAGCTCTTGATCGAAGTACACACAGAAAAAAACAGATGTAATCTGGTTCAGGCAGGCAACTGGAGCTGCGCTGTCTTCACACGTCCTCCTAGTTTGCTCCCTCTGCTCTCATCGCATTGCTCTCCATTGCATTGTGTTTCAGTGCTGCTCTCATACTCATCCACCTGCAGGCAACATCTCTCCTGGATTTAAAGTGTGTTCAGAGTCCAGATGACACACAAAAACAATCTTGCACTGCTGCAGTAAACACTAAAAATCATTTCCACAATTATTTCCTGAATTATTTTTTTAAATTTACGAACAAAAACTAAACAAAGATCGAAATTAGGGCTTCTATATTTTCAAAGCTGACCCTCTCATCTTTTCACATTACATCCAGTATGATTGCAGTGTAAAGAAAGGCATGCAAACATTTCAGTCAAGTCAAGTTTCTGAAAGTTGGGCTGGATAGCGTGGCCAAGATCTGATTGTGTTTAGCATGTACCCGCCTAAGTCAAGGTTTTCTGCACTTGCACCACGATTTGCATGCCGGGCTTCGACCCAAGATCCTTAGAAGGAAGTCGGGTAGTAAACAAACCCGGCCTTGAAGTACAAAGGATCAAAGCTATAAAGTTGTCTGTGTTTACTGCCAGTTAGCTTCTTGCTATACTGTTATAGATTGTTTTGGTGAAATTAACACAATAGTATTGGGACTAAGACATAATCCGTTGAAATTGCTTAATCAAGCTTACCATAGCTTGGCTTAACTCTGCATGCAAGCATACTAAGTGAATACGAAACTTTAAGAATTAGCCCTCATAATATAACATTTACAAGCACATATAATCAAGAGCTGAACCACAATGTTAACATTTTCTTACCACTGTCTTGGTTCCCCAAACTGTAGTTTGGAGACCTGGTATCTCTAGCTTGCTTCAGCCCGGCTTGCAGCTGCTTGTTCCCCCACTAGAAACAGAGCTTCATTCACTTTGTGCAGTGACAAACCTCCTTTTGTGAAACCGCTGTACTTGAACTCAAGCATCTCTAGACACTCTCTGCTGACTCATTCGCCACTTCTTAACACGCAAATGGAAAGTACGTAATCAGATTCATCTGCAACAAAACTGCAAGGCTACGGTTTATGTCATTTTAACCCACCAGGCCTCTATCCTCAAATGGGAAGGCACGTCTGATAGTGCCACAGGTCGGATGGAGTATAAAGGTTCTGCTCTTTCTCTTTGCTGTTAACCAGCTTGTTAAAACGTGGTCAGCTGTGTCATGCATCTATGCTCCAAACACAGGCCTGTGACGATACATGAGCAGGTTAATAAGTTAAATTTTTTCACCTCTTTGGAAGGAAGAATTTTTGACAGACAGCATCAGAGGTTGTACAAACTTCTCGTCAATCAGAAGTTCACTTGATCACGACTTGAGTTTTTTCCCCCGCGTCCCTCCTCTGCCCTTGAGTCCTGTTTCCTCTCCTCCGCAGCTTCCAACGTACATCTCGTCACCCCACTGTTGTTTCCTTTGTCTATTCTTTCTCCCTCTTTTTTAAAAAAATCCTACTCCAACTCATCCTCATCTTACCTTCCCTTCTCTTTGCTCTCTCAGACATTAAGTTCAGAGTTGGCCCAGGCCAGAGACGAAACCAAGAAGACACAGAACGACGTGCTCCACGCCGAGAACGTCAAAGCGGGACGAGACAAATACAAAACCCTGCGGCAGATCCGACAGGGCAACACGAAGCAACGCATCGACGAGTTTGAGTCCATGTGAGAGCAGCACCTTTGTCCTCGGTGGGGGTATCTGCTCAGAACTGTTCCCTCAGCGGATGCTCGCCCAAGGCAATCTTGAGAAATGATCTTGTATAAAAACTGCCAAAGTCCAACATTTCCGCTCTGAAAGTTTTCGGATATCTCCTTCGTACGGAGCTGACTATAACACCACTCTGAACAAGATCGTCTATAATCCTTAAAGAGAAACTGTCAAACCAAAATTGAAGCATTTTTATTTTGAGCTAACATGGCCATAGAAAGCTACTTTTGTGTTCGTTATGCTTGATGACTCGTATGCAAAGGTTTAGTATGTTTTCAGTTAACAGTTATCTGTCCTCTCTTGTTTTTAAGTTGTTCCCCGCTGCTTTTGTTTGACTCGTTTTATCGATGACACCCTTCTTTTTAGTTGTCTGTCCAACATCTAAATGCTACTCCAAGACTATGAATATAGGTTTGAGTTTGGGGGGAAAAGAGTAGGTCAATATTTCATTTGGCGTCAAAGCTACGTTACACCATGTCAAAACATATCAAAAGCTAATTTTGCTTAAACTCTCAATATCTGTGAATTACTCAAGTGCCGAGCTGGGGCCATTTCAGTCATTGGGATCGATTTCAGCAGCTTGAAAATTACAATAACAGGTTATTACAAAAAAAATGACTGCAGTATTTCAGTAGTTTCATGTCAGGCTGTGCTTAATATCCACAATAGCAGTATTTTGAATGAAAATGAGGTCAACTGTAGGGAATAGAGCCACCTAACTTGTCCCATGGCAGGTTCTGATGAGTGAATGTAGCAGAGGTAACAAAAGGGAAAGTGTTTTTACATGTAGAGGTGATAGGTGATAGGGAGCTATTACCCTCCAGTGAGAAAGTGTTAAAAGATAAGCTAAACGGTAGTTGTGTAGCTGCGTGCGTGCCGTCACGATGCATCTCAGTGTTTGATTCCCAGTCACCACAGATGGTTTTCTCTGCCTACCAGCTCACAAAGGATCCCAGGGTGTTTCCCGGACAGACAGAGGAACAGAGCGGCTGTTAGTCTGTCTGTCTAACCTTTTGAGTGTGTGTGTGAAAGGTGAAGTATAAATGCGTGCACGTGCGAAAAACCTGGTGCCTCTCTGACTGGGGAGCTTATGAAAACATCAGTCCTCGATCTCGGGACAAATCTCTACCTCAGTTATGTTAGCAGTGGTGACTGATAGTCAAACACTCAGGGTGCCTCCCCTCAACCTCCTCCAGGAGATCAAAAAATAAGGTTATTTTACATGGTTACTGTCACATGTTAGGGCGGTGCTTCTTCGCTGGCTACAAAATGTGGTTGTATGTTGCTTAAGGGTTTTAAAAGAAAATTAAAAGATGATACTGCTATGTAAACCCGGGCCCTATATAGACGTATTTTGAGGTGTACACTGCTTCACCAGGCGGCTTTGAAAAGGGCTGTAATGGCTTCAAAAAGGAATTATATTTTGAAAAGCATATCTACAGACATGGACCTTTTATTTTGAAGAGTAAGTGGGATAAAAATTAAGTTAATTTTTTTTTTTTTTTGCCAAATTATCCGTAGCTGCTGGTCTACCACAGCATGAATCTGTTAGCTGTTTCCCGAAATATTACGTTAGATTCAAGGTGGCAGCAGTAGACCAGCAACTCCTACATCAACAGGAGAAAATTGCTGTCTCAAGATCTTAGCAAAATAAGGAGTCTATCTCTGAAGAGGTCATCTTTATTAACAATACAAGCCTACCAGACTGCACTTTAAGTTAGAGTTTTCAAATGGGTTTATTTACTCTGAAATGTTACATTGTCGCCTTTACAGCCCATGCCATGGCCGCAGGCTGAAGCAGTTTCTGGAGTTGTGAAGTTGTTTCTCACATTTAAACATAGAACGGTAGTTTTTCCCGCTCCCTACCTTGCTCAGAAACTTCTCATTTTCTCCGAGAGAAAATCCCGAATGAGGAGTTGAAAGAAATGTTGCTGCAAATATCCAAGTGGAGATGTATGTGAAGAATTTAACAAAGGAGCCATGTTATTTTGGTCTAGTAAGGTTTCTAAAATACTTGTAAGATATTAGTTTGCAGACCTCAAATGGGCTCATAAAGTTGAGATAGAGTTACTGGTAGTTCTTATCATGAAGGGACCTTGCTCATGCAAATCTCTCTAGTATCAAACAGAGAGCTGGCCAATTTCCTTCCCCGAGTGATAAAATTTCAAACTATACTGTTTGTGCTCTGGCAGCAGAACAACTCCATCTTTTGTGGGGTGGAAATTAGCTCAAGGGTGCATTTTTTGAAGCAAACTTTTCCTTTTTTTTTATTAACAATATGATGAAAAATGTCGATGCTATTATTTTTATGTGACAGCTGGTGTTGGGTTGATATTTTTTAATAGACAAAGTTTTAAAGTGAAAGCACTTGTTTGAAGCCGGACACTGAAGCCTGCCTTTTGTGTTTATCTTCAGTGTCCATTGTTAGTGTTGTGTTTGCCATAGCAGGTGGAGAAATCAAACTGTGCTTCCAGCCCATATTTTTGTATTTTGTTCAAAGAACCTTTACCAGTTGCATGCATCACCAAACTAAACATCTTCACTGGAGGAGGAGACCTTGGTGACACGTCCAAACCTCCCCCAGTTGAGCTGTAAGGCTTCAGTTGAGTGTTTTTGGCTTGTCTGCCCCTTTCTGCTGAAGCCTGGGACTGCGGTGACGCCTGCACTGGCACCAGCTGTCACATTTTGGTGTTTGTTTTTTTTTTTTCTCTTCATGTTCAGGTTTAGTAATCTTTACGATAGTTGGCGCAGATGGGTTGGAGTCCATTTCATTGGTTCACAAATAAAAGTTTTAAATTTTGAGCAAGTGTTTGACCCGTTTTTATTCTGAGAATGAAGAACAGCATTCAAATTTCCCAACTTCAGTGGAATTGGGTTTTGTATTTTAGTTGAAGGTGTTAAAGTGCGTTTATGCCGCTAACTTCTGTGCTTTCTTGTTAAATATCAGACAAACATCTGGACTTTGACAAGGCCACTCCAAAACCTTCATTCTCGCTGGTTTGCTTTGGATCAATATTCTGCTGCATAACCTGAGTGCACTTGATCTTAAGGTCTTGAACTGATGAGTGGACATCTTCCTTCAAGATTTTCTGTTAGAGAGCAGAATTCATGGTTCCATCAAATATAGTGAGTAGGCCAGGTTCTGAAGCAGTAAAGTAGTCCAGGATCGTCACACTATCACCACCATGTTTGACTGTGGGTATGATCTTGTTTCAAACGCTGTGTTAGTTTACTGAAGATGTAACAGGAAGCACACATTCCAGAAAGTTCCACTTCAGTCTGGCAGATGTGAGACAGGCCTTTGTGATCATTTTGTTCTCAGCAGTTTTGGCCTTTAGGCTCGCCCATGGATCCCATTTTTGCCCAGTCTCTCTCTTGTTGAATCATGAACACTGACCTTAACTGAGCCAAGTGAGGCCTCATAGATGTCAACAACTTTGTTTCTCATCTGGAACATGTTTGAAAAAGAAGCAACAGCAGGAAAACATACCCAAGGACATTCATTCATACATACATAAGAGTACATATACATATATAAAGTGACACACAATAACATGCTCACATACATACATACTTCCATGATATCACAGGGGTCCATCGTTTATGAATAAAGGGATTTTTTTTTCCAACAGGTCCGTTTTTAATCAACTTTCACAGATACAGTTGAAAATGTTACAGTTAGCAGTTAGTTACAGTTACACTCGTGGAAAAAAAAGGGTCTATATAGTTTGAAACAGAATGGTCATGCTTTTTATTTGTAGTGATACAGCATTGTTTTATCTATAGTTACAAAATTGTGTTCATTATCACTATCCACGAGCCTCCATAAATTAGAGATCACATAAGTGTAAAAGAAGGGTGTTACACCAGAGTGGAGACCTAACCAAACACTCCACTGCAGAAAAACAAGCCAGTGTTGCATCAAAGGAAGCCTAGAGAAAGTTCACTGCTCGCAGTATGTCACGGTTATGGCTAAACAGACAAAAACAACTATATATATATATATACAAATGAAACCAAAAGGTAAACATGCAGAATTCAAACAAATCAAAACATGCATAACATAGAGCTGAACATAGTTCAGAGTATTGGATGTGTCATAAGCACAATGCCACGAAGAGGCATTACTTTGGGCCCACGCTCAGACGTCACGCTGACACACGGTGCCAGGAGGCCAGAACGAAGGCGCTTCTTCAAAATACTCGAAGGTTCTGTCATCAACAGCACGTGTTATTGTACAATTACTCGTTACTGGTACAATGTGACACTTTGGACAGGAAAGGAACCAGTGGGCTTTCGTTCGCTGGCTTGTGATGAACTGTATGACGAGCTCACTCTCTGGGCTTTCATTCCTTGGCGGCTATTTTGAGCTTATGCTTCAGTTCGACCGACTAACAAAGTAATAATTTATATTGGATGGCGAACATGTTTGAGTATGACAAAATAATTTATTTCAACAGAATGAGCCAAATACGAAAATTTGGTTACGCTTTACTTGACACCTATCTCTAAATATATATTTATAATGTGTTATAATCACGTTATAAACACTCATAAATGATCATAATGCTTTATAGCAATAATCATAACACATTATGAAGCATTTTATCCTGACTTAAAAGGTCAGGTATTACAGTGTGTTTTCACTTTACAACTCACTGACAATGTTCACATCGATAATGCGTTATACATATATTGATGATGTGTTATAATTTGCTTATAAGCTTGTATAACTATCATTATAAACACTCATTAGTTATCATAAGGCTTTATAACAATAAGAATTACATATTATAATACCTGATCTTTTAAGTCATGATAAAATGCTTTATAATGTGTTATGACTATTGCTGTAAAGCATTATGATAATTTGTGAGTGTTTAAAACTGTAGTTATACAAGTTTATAAGCAAATTATAACACATCCTAAATATATGTATAATGCATTATCTATGTGCGCATTGTCAGTGAGTTTCTAACAGTTATAACACATAATACCTGACCTTGTAAGTCATTAAAAATGCTTTAAAATGTGTTATGATTGTTGCTTTAAAGCATTATGATCGTTTATGAGTGTTTATAACTATAGTTATACAGTGCGACAACACGATTATAACGCATTATAAATATATTTACAATGCGTTATAGAGCTAGGTGTCAAGTAAAGTGTTATCGAATTTTTTTTTTATCTTTGCGTATAAATAGATTTAAGTAACAAGACATGGAAATAATAAAGCTAGCCAAGTGCTTAAGTAGCTCCAGCTGCGTATGACCAAAGTGTCTAGCATGCTGCTAGAGTCTTGCTACGTTTGTAGATATTTTGCTAACTCTTTGTATGCACGGTGAATTTCCTGCGACATAAAAAACAGCTGAGTCACCATCACTGTGACGTCATTACGAAACTCCACCTGAGCACAATTTAGGGTGCTGGTAACCATTCAGATGTTCAAAATAGTCGCCATGGGATAATGGACTTGCCCAAGTGAAATATTCTTAGCCATATCAACTGATTGTTACTAATATAAAATTGAAGCATCCAGATTTAAGAGCCTTTAAACCCAAACTTTACGGTAGTTCTGTTTCCAAATGGGCGATAACCCAGTTAATCTAAGCATACCTATAACAACACGAGCTCCTAAGCCAGCTTCAAACCCAAAAGCGCAGATTGAGAGGTTGTGATACCTAAACAAAGTAGGCAGACAGCTCCTCTCGTTTCATAACGTATGTGAAATAATTGTCTCAAAGCAATTTCCACAAGATTAAAAGTTGGAGCGTCTCGATTGGAACATAGCTGTTGTCAAAGCACTTCCTCATATAGCAACAATACATCAAGAGTGTTCGATAAATACAGATCAACAAGTCCATGTACTGTATATAACACCAGCGACTTAGTTAATGATACAATTTGTATCAAACAAGGTTTTCTCTGTCTAGCATGGAATCAGCTGGGATCTGCTACAGACAACACTAGACGCTGTTCACCAAAAGCACAGCAAAGGTAATCTGTTAAATATATTTACAATACATACATGTTGGATTTACTCGTGTCCTGGTGCTGTCTGTCTGTAGCAGATACCAGAGTCAAGAGAGAGAGAGAGATAGAGAGAGAGAGAGAAAGAGAGAGATGTCCCTTACTAAAACTAAGGTACACACGACAGGGTCACCCATCTCTGCAGCTACAACTCTGACCAATACTGACATCACCTCAAATGAGACGACGAGCTTTCAGACACCCGACTACACCAATGAGGGCCAAACAACACACACAAAGAGAAGGTTATAATACACGGGCCGAAATCAAACAGTCGTTGAAAAATATCATTCGGTAAAAGAGTACCAAAGAAGATCAGCAGCTTCAAAATTCAAAGAAGAAGAACAAGCACATGTCTAAGGTTTACTTTGCAAAAATCGAAAATGAAGCATCTGGTGCTCGAAACTTGCGAGAAGTAACATTTTCAAGCTCGTGTTTGACTCGGGTCTCATGGTAAGTACAAGGTATAGTGCACTAAACGTGCGCGCATTTGGCCGCAAAGTTGGTGGACGATCGAAATAATCCCTCATATCAGTCATGTTTGGTGCATGCGATTCAGATTCAGTAAGTCATGGTTTGACTGTAAAACAAAACAAAAAAAAGTGCCTTTAGGATTTAAATGCGTAAAAAAGTTCAGTGTGTAAAAGATGCGTACAATTAGCTGCTGCATAAATACAAAGGAAGAATTAGGCAGAACTGATGTACAAGTCCAGAGTTTTGTCAAATGTTTGCTCTGTGCAGCTGTACCTGGATTACCAGCAGCATCTTATTTCCAACAGACTTATGCGTTGTGTTATTAATACCAAAAGCATTCCTGTATTTAAGATTCCACCATGCAACCCAGCGTGCTTCCAAGTACAGAAAAGGCAAGTCCAGTTTCACATACTACATAACTGCTACAGTTTTCCAGCTTTGAGGTTTCCGCTCTCTGGGGTCTCAGTATCCTGTTTGGGCTTTCTCTGCCAAGATGGCGGCTGCCAGCTGCTGGGGGTCTGTGATGTGGGGGCTCCTCGCCATCACCCGACTCACCAGCTCCGAGGGGAAGATGTTACAAAGGTTCACATACACCTTCTCCCTCATGTCCTCGTAGCGACTGTGTGCGGGGGATTCTGGGTGCATGTAAGAAGGCGGCGCATGGGAGGGCACTGACAGGTGAGAGCTGTAAGGAGGGAGAGAGGTGCTGGATGGGTGAGGAGGGTGAGGAGAGTGAGATGGAGGTGGCGGGTGGTTTAGGTAATGTGTTGGGGAGGGGTGGAGAGCCGGGTGAGAGGAGTGGTGAGGGGCGTAGCTTTCCTGTGCCCAAGGAGGGGTGTGCCAGGAGGACTGCCGTGTGTCCGGAAGGCTCTGATAGGCTGATGGTTCGTATCTGGATGGAGGTAACGGAGGCTGTCTGTAGTACGAGTCCCACCCTGGCAGAGCTTTTGTTCTGTGGTGATGGTGCGATGTGGAGAGGTGTTCGTACAGGTGAGAGTCTGACACGCTCTCTGCTCGTGTGGGGGCCAGGCAGCGGCCCAGAGGGGAGCCAGGGGGGTGAGGGTTGGACTGCGGTAGAGAGTGGTAGTCACCCGGGCAGCTGGAGCGGGCGGCCAGGGGCTGGTGCTGGAGATGAGGCGGTAGAGGGTAAAGAGGGCGCTTTGGGGGGGCGTCAGGTGGAGGTTGATCGTGGGAGCAGGTCTGCCCTCGTGCTACACTCAGGTGGTAGCTGTGGACTGCAGGATTAGACGTGTGGCTGTGCTGGATGTTTGTATACTCAGCAGGGTGAAGTCCACAGAGTTCATGGTTGGAGGCGGCGTGATGGGGATACAGCCGACTGTGAGGGTTTGTGAAATGCACGCCGTCTTCAATTAAGGTGTCAGGAGGACATCCAGGACACGGCCTCTCGCTGTATGAGTCGCAGCTGCTGCCACAGCTCACACTGCTCTCACTGCCGCATTCAGACCCTGCTGAGCCCATCGAACCCAGCCGCAGGTCCGTGTCATTTGGGAAGCGACAGTCTGGGCTCCGTCTGGAGGACAGGCTCAGGCCCGAGTAGGCACGAGTCACTGAATAGTAGCTCAAGTCTGGAGACTCACAGTGAGGGTAAAGATCATGGCCTGAGGCGGGTAGAGCGTGGGGAGTCGCTGCTCTGGGCTGCTGCTCCTGTGGAAGGCTCAAACCAGATGGAGGACCTCCTCCTGGGGCTGGAGACATGGTCAAACTCCCGCTGCAACTACTGCTACTGCTGCTGCCGCACAGACTGCTCTTCTGGCTCTCCAGCCTCCCTTTCGCCAGAAGCTTCTCCTCAGCGTCACTGTACGATAGAGCGCGGATACTCGGGTCGGACTGTCTCTTCGGGGCGCCTTTTTTGGCCTCGATAATGCCAGCTGGAACGCTGTGGCTCTTCACCAGACCGGCGTCTGGTTGGTGTTTTGTGGTGACACAGGTCTTGGCACTGGCACGAAGCTCGTCTGCCACGGCACGCTGAGGCTGAGCTCCTCTCTCTGGGTGGTAGTACTTACACTTGTGTCCGTAAGTGCACTTCTTTCCTAGAGTGAGGACAGGCGGTTTTGGTTTTACTACACAGTCAGCAGAACAAACACTAAAAACATGAGTAAATATGTACAAATGCTCTCAGATTTGTGCACTCATTCCATCTGTTTTCAAACCTTGTAGTATCTGCGTTCTTACCGTATGGACAAGGCTGTTTTTTCTGCTCTGGCATGACAGGCCTTTTTCTCAGGAAGTTGTCTAAGCTGGGGCCATGACGACCAAGAGGGTCATCCGGGGGCATGAATCTGTGAAAGACAAGAAAAGGACAAAAAAGCTGCATGACAGGGGACCGAAAACTAGCAAACAGAGAGATTGAATCAGCCCAAACTTTTCTATTAAATTCAAGAGCAAATGTCACTTATGTTGGCATTTGTGCAACCAAATGTCAGATACAGAGAAAGTTACAAAAGGTAAACTGTAGCTGAGATTTCTGAGCTCAAAATGAGACGCACAAATGTCACACAGTCATCTAGCTCTCTGGGATCCACCCCCTCTTACTTGTCATTGACGAAGGAGTACATGAGCAGCCGCTCGTCGATGAACTTCTTCCACTCTGGCTTCTCATTTGCAAGGTCTCTGTAGTTGTCGTTGGAGACGATGATGCCGTCTGACTCATAGGCCAGCTTCACAATGAAACGGTCATCGTAGCAGACCACACGCCGTCCTTGGACCCGCCGAGAGGGAGTGAAGACGAGGATCTTTTCCTTCTCTAGGCGGCGCAGGATCTCCTGATCTGTGGAGGAAGAGGGGAGGTGAAGTTGAGAAGAAGAAATCAACTCAAAGTGTGCGCGCTTCTGGTCGACAGTGTCCTGAACTCACCTGTTATAGGGGCGTCAGGGCGAGACTGCTCTTTCCTCCACGCAGGTACAAACACTGTGATGTCATGATGACCACGCTCCAGGAACCAATCAACAGCCAGCTGGATGCCCTGGCAGGAAAACACTTCCTTGTTGCCGTGGCTGATGGGGAACAGATTAGGGAGTTTCGGTTTCAGCATTTTTAAAGACACATTTTAGATATTCTTAACCTGGGTCTGTAGAGCGCTCACCTCATAGCGACGTTGCTTCCATCCACCACGATCGGCCGCAGGTTGTCCTGGTCGCACACAGAGTCTGAAGGACACGGGGAGTCCGATCTTTGGCTATCCAGCAGATCAGAGCATCCACAGGAGGAAGAGGTGGATGAAGAGGAAGATGTGGAGGCTAATGATGCAGTCGGCTGTTCGCTGTCTGACTTAGTGCCCAGTTTGACCAGCTCTCCCAGTATGTCATTGATGAGCGTGTCCGGGCCCAGCTTGGACAGGACGATTCGCACGGTCTCCTCGGAGTAGCCCAGCTTTAGGGCGAACTCCAGCTTCGCCTGGTACTCCTTCCCGCCTGGTTCAGACGCCGCCGGCTCTGCTGAGGCAGGATTGGATGGAGGCTCAACTGGGGTGCTCTTGGCTGGGGTGTCAGGCTCCGCTGGGAGCTCAGGAGGACCCTCAGTGCCTAAGTCCACACACTGGGTCCGACAGAGCGGCTGGTGGGTGTTCTTGCTGTGAGTCAACCCTCCCTCTCCTCCGTCTGGGTCGAGGGAAGACGATGCCAGGTCACACTCGGCGTCAGACCCGGCTGTTTCTTCCACTGAACCGAGAGGAGGAGGAGGGGAATTGGCGGTGCTGCTGTTGCCGGAGGTCTCCCCCTGCTCCTCCATAGCAGGGGGCCCGTCAGCGCCGCCAGCCTGCCGGTCGGCCCCCGCTACGTGGAGATACTCCAAGTCAATGATGTGGCCTGCTCCTGCCTCCACATGGTCCTTCTGGCCCATGGATCTGTCACAGACATCCAGCACACCGGGGGGAAGACTGCCCTCTCACAAAGACGGACTCATCGGTGCCTTAAGGAGACAGAGAGGATGGAGAGAGCGTAAGAGGAGAAACAGTTCACAAATTACATTTAAGGAGTAGCCAGTCCAGCCAACCAGACAGTGTTGTGTACGCGGAGTGATGAGTGAAAAGAGCGAAAAGAGAAGACACAAGGATAACAGAGCCAGTGGAGCACTCAGGAATTGCTTATTATTTGTGTTAAAATGTTCAGCGTTTTTTGCTCTGAATTTGCCAAACACAAAAGCCAAACAATAAGACAATAAACTAACTGATCGAGAAAGCAACTCTGAGCCGTACAGGAAAAATTGATGATTTTGTCAGAGGAGTTTGGTCTTTGAGAGAAGAAACGGTAACGGCTAAAAGTTCAGGAGTATCTGTTATCCTAAACTATTATGAAGCTGCTTGCAAAAGTTTTTGAACTTTTCAACAATGAAGACGCCAAATATATGACGCAATAAAAACAACAACAGCATGACTTTTCCTTCTGGAAACTGAGACGTCGTTTCCCTCATGTAGACAAACTGTCTGCTGAAATTCCTGGGAAATCATTTGCAAAGTGAGAATTTGCATTCAGGCTGTGTTGTCACATGATAATCCAAAGTCAACACTCTCTGTGGTTTTATGAAAATCCGACTTGTCACCTTTACTTCTATGTAAATGTTTCCTCACACCCTTTGGCTCTTGGGAGCTGATGTTTTCGCCGGCTGTCTGGGGGCAGTCGGGGACTCGAGAACCAAGTCTGGTTCACACAAAGAGCCAACGGGGGCCTCTCACCCTAATTAATGGACTCCCGCTTTTTTCAGTCTGGCCCCTGTGTGTTTTTATAGGGCCACGCCACAGCGCATCAATCCACGGGGGGCCAGAGGGAGGACCGTTTTTAGAAACAGAGGCAGCAAGCCGTTGGCCCCCAGCCGACCGACCCTTCCCCCTCCTATTCTACCTGGTAATTAAAGTCCATATGTTTCTTCCCGCTGGGTGGTGGAGTCACTCATTAAACCACAGAGGGGTTCTTCAGCTACTGAGCCAATCGACTAACGGCATTCAAGCTTTTGAGGAAATAAGGCGCTGATAATATGATGCTGAAGATTCGGCATTTGCCCAGTATCCCTCCCAGATGTATCCCTTCACTTCCCGCCCAGAATGACCTGATCAATAAAAGCGTTAGTGACACAAGTTCAGTCAGGACCACTTTCACCAAAGACAGGAATTATTTGAATATACAAAGTTAAACTAAGAGCTCTCTGCCCTTTCACATGCATATATAGAGGGCCAATTCAAGACAAGGCAGTTAAGAGTTTGCTGCATTCAATATTGTTTTTGAATGGGACTTAAACAAATAGAAAACTAACATTTATACATCTCTGTACACCAAATCTCAGCCAGAATCTACACATTTTAAGAGCGTAAAAGAAACATCAGTAATCTAATGGGATTCGGCCATTAAGAGTAAGTTATGCAGAAGGTAGTTCATCCCTACTTAGAGCCAATTTGAGGAGTGCAAAAAAACGGAATTAATGCAGTGAGTTCTTAAATATAGCCCACTTACCAGATTAAACAGTTTGAAGTGAATTGCCTTTGCTTAACCACATTAGTTTTGCAGGGCAGTGTGCAAAGAAATGCATCTCACTGCATTAAATTCAGCCCCACAATGCAGATGGTTTTATATATTCTAAATATAGAAACACTTTAATACAAATGCAAAGAAAAAACTTCCAAAAACTTAGTCTAAGTTTAACAAATTGGGCAAAGAAAACATGTAATTTTGACAAAGCATGTGATGGGAGTGGAAGTGACTTAAAGATGGAGGCTGGGAGGGAGGAAAGGCGGAGTGAGGGCTTTGGTGAGTCCGCATTTTATGAAAAAGGAGCTGCCTAGCAACGTGGCTGCGCTACTGTTGCTAAGCTACAGCTGTTGAAAGCATTCAGCCTTCAAAATGCCAACACACACACACACACACACACACTGAACACAATACAACAAGGGCTGCTGTGGGGGAGGGAGGGGCCCCAAGTGTGCCTCACTGGCAACTCAAGACAGCAAAAGAGCTGCAGGAGTGATGAGGACAGGGACCTTCGCACCCACCAGTGTGGGCGATAATGGTGCCAGTGTACATGTGAAGACAAAAATACACAACATCTACCTCACACAGTGACTCACACTGATGTGGAGACAGAGAAAAGGAGGCTGCAAGGAGTAGCTCATACGCACTTTTTCTACCCGGTGGTCCAAACTGGCATCCAAACTCTCTTTAATAAACTTTCTCTGAGGTTTGGCATCAGCTGACGTCGACACCAGCTGCAAATCAACACAGAGGGACGCAATAACATCACGCAAATCCGCAACAAGGGACGTAAACACGAGTATCACAACACGTGACGACACTGGCAAAGAGAGACCTTAACTAGTTCACTTTACAAAAGCACTTTAGAGAAAAGATTGCTTCAGAAAATTCATATTTATTTTGCATTTTAACTGCCTCACACTCAGGTAACTTTACTTCCTGTCATGTGCTTTAGATACACACAAATCAACCTTTTTAACTGCATGTAAACACATTTAAATCAGCATGAATGAGCTTCACATTTTCATATCTGGTCGAGTCTAAACTGGTGTTCAGATCTTAGCAGAGGCCGACATGCTTCTGTCAATAAACTGAGACGAGGACAGCAGTCCAGTCAAATCGCCTAACTGAGCTTAACTTGTAGTTTAACTGATCATGTAAATGTACGGCTGCCTGTGCCTTTTGTAGTTGCTTTGCATCTGTTTTCTTCAATTTGGTAGAAGTCTCTCTGACTCAGCTCCTTGTGTTTTGACATTTCTAGTAAAGTTCTGTGCTGCTTCCTTCCTCCCATCTTCTTTTCTCTGCAAGTGACCGGTCAGACTCTCCAAATAAACAATGTAACAATAAGACATCCTACATGTTGTTGACTGACGCTGTTGGAAAGTACTATTTTTGTCAGGACCAGGTGAAATTATCAAATGTGCCCTAAATGTGCCATGACTCCTTCCTGTGAGTTGATTTGAAATGTGTGACACGTGATCTGGTTGTTCCCAGTTTTGCTTTTTTTATTCAAAATTAATAGCCATTGCCAATCAGAATTAAGTATCTAACAAAGCCTGTAAATAAATGATTAAAGGTTGTAGTCTTTAAACAAAATTGAATTAGGATCTGGTGTCAAAAGTAGTGATGGATATCAAATAAAGAAGAACTGAACCTTGCTTGGGATTAAGGGTTGACTGATTATTGACCTGATTAATCAATCTATCTCTACTTGACATGTTTGTTTTTGAAGCTTTATAAAGAAGAGGTAGACCTATCATCGGCCTCATACAATTTTTGAGGCTGATATTCTGCATTCAGACAATTATCCGTACCAGCATTTTACTTAAGATGACTGATGAAATAAATACATTATCAGTGCACAACTTTGTCTCCACTGAGCTTGTGTCTCTTCCTGATGTCGCTCAAACTCCACAACCTGATTGACCAAATTTGACTGAATTTTTTGACATAAAGTCATAAACCAATATCAGTCGACCCCTAACGAAAAGGTCAAACTGTGCTCAATCTGTTTTCTTTTTGCCGGTATGACTTTAGAAACCCTGACATACTGCAAAACACAAACAGATCCTGTTGGTATGGCTGCTTTAAACTCTTTTCTACACATGCTGAATGTAAATTTTCTCGTTTTGTTTGTATAAAATGAAAAATTCCAGGCGGAATATTGGAAAATGTGCAGTGCTAATGGGATGATGATTGACAACCGTTTCTTTATCAAAAAACAACTTTTAAAATTAGTCTGGAGATGCTCAGACTGGAGTCAGAGTACTTCCAGTGTTGCCGACCCTTGCCTTCTCCCCTACTGGTGAGATTTCTTCGATAATAAAAGAGAAGATTATCGTCCAACGTCTCAAACCTGATCAGTGTTTTTGTCACTTTTTAAAGCCCTTCAAACGGATGATCTGATTGGCTGTCGTACTGAATTTAAAAGTCCTCCAGTGTGGTCTGAGCTGCACAAAAATCTGCATCCAGCCGCATTGCTGAATCCTTAAAAGCCGGACTAACTAAATCCCAACGGACTAACGGCGGCGCGACCCCATCACAACATCTTAGACCTGCAGGATGAGTGTGTGCATCATTCAAACACCAGCTCACACTTCTACACACACACAGACACACACAGTAATGCAGGCTTTGATGGAGGTAATGAATATGTAACACAGACAGTGCTTTGTATGAGGGAGCTTTGTGCAGAAAGTGTGTGTGCAGCAAGTTAGAGAGGGGGTTTGGGGGAGTGGGCGGAGCTTGTCTGGTCCTGTAACTGTGTAGAACTTATTATAAGACGGGAGGAGAGGATAATGAGGAGGGGGGACACTCGGTGTGTGCAGACTGCGCGCTCGGCTTTCCCCGCCAGCAGAGGGGCAACAGATGTCGGCTGAGCACTTCTTGTAACTGGTGTTTCCCCGACACACACACACACACACACACACACATGAAAACACACACACACCAAGGGATAAAGACGCAGCAGGACATACATACACACACACACATACACACACACAGCTACTGCACTTTCTGCCTCCTCCTAACCTCATATGACCCAAATCTGAGCCCGCTTTTTTGTTGCCCCCAAAACACACTCACCCTACACTAACATACAAACAAGAACCCCTCCCCCCTCCTGTCTCCCCCTCCTCTCCAAAATAAGAGAAACATCAACAAAATCCATGATGTTAAAAAAAAAACGACATCAGCAGACTTGGGAAAACGTTCTGCAGGTGTAGTCATCCCCTTATGTTTTTGTGCATTTCAAACTTGGACAGAATCTTAATTTTCTATAAGTAATCTGATACAAAAACTTTCGGGACATTATCACTCAATAAACTCCTGGTACGTGTCAGGTACTCAGGTCTGTAGGAAAGCGATGCCTGATGTTACAGCTTTTAGCAGCCGGAACAATCTGTCATACAGGAGAAACTTGAACGTTGCAGAAACTGTTTCTGAATTTTCTGAGTTCTTTTTGCATTTGTGAAATATTTCGGCATTTCAGAAAATATATCTAAACATTTTGTGATTTGAAAACTTTTTTAATGTTTTTAAATGTTTGTTTTGCACATATTTTAAAACTTAAATTTTATGGCTTTTCCTGAAATCTTGATTAGCATTTAACAAATGATTTTTTTGCTTTTTCTCGTGTCACTGAGACTTTAAGTTTGGTTTTATCTGTAAATTCAAGACTGAGAACTTCTTTCTTTTTCAAAGTAACATTGTGATGGATACATACTGAAGTTCCTTTTCAAAATTTTAGACAGAGTGGCTCCTTTTACAGTTAAAATCAAGACAAAGTAACATTTCGAAAGTGCAAATCAGCTCATAGCCGTCACACTCACCAGACTCTACAAGATCAGGATACGATGAAGAAAAGAGGAGGTGGATCGGCTCATTTCTGCAGGTTTAAATCCCAGAAAAACCAGATTAAAAATGCAGCAGTCAGTCAGACGGAGAAAGCCCTAAAGTTTCCTCAGCATCCGAGGAAGATGTTACCGCTCAGCATCCGGCTCCAGCCTCTGTCCTCGCTGCCTGTTTCTCCTCCAGAGCAGGTTTTTTTTTTCCACCACAGAAAGCAGACAAGTTGGACAATGAGTGGCAGAACAGATGGAGCAACAATGTCAGCCATTCCCTCGTTTAGAGTGGCTGCAGCTCCACCAATCAGAGCGCGGCAGGCTTACAATGAAGAGCAGTGGTGACGGGGGGAGGAGGAAGGAGGAGGTCTGCTACACCCAGCTTCCCCAAGGCACGCGTACTCAACGTGCACCATCACACACACACACACACACACACTCACTCTCCTGAGAGTCTGAAAGGGCGTCCCCTGTGTGGCCGATGAATCAACGAGGGGTGGGCGGTTGAACAATAGAGCCACACAATAGGAGGCTGGGGAGGGCAGCTGCAGGGTGAGGGCAGGGGCTATTACAGCCCAGAGCAGCAAAGGAGAACACCTGGCTACAGAGCGCCACAGTCACTCTCCTCCCTTTGTCCTGTGAGGGCGGTGAAGGGGGGGCAGAAAGAGAAAGAAAAGGCCGGCTGAAAGACCAGTGTGGCCTTTAAGAGAGTGCAGGAGGAAAGAGGAGAGTGTGGCAGGACTAAAGGGAGAAAGGGCGAGCGCGGGGGGCAGCTCACATCAAAAAGTTTTATGTCCTAAAGAGTGTGAGGAGGAGGCATGCTGCTCTTTGTTGCAGCACACTTCAGGCAGATGACTCGGAAGCACAAATCTTTGCCTTTCTGTCTTTTATGTGACGATGGAACCTGAGAGCGAATGACAGAAGTATAGAGTCCCATAAATAAAGACATCAAAACCAGCGTATGTATGATGATCTGCATCAGAGTCATGAGGAACCAAGAGAGATACACGTCACTACAGAGCATCAGTGAAAACTAGTTTGTGAATTTCCCAGTTTCTATCTATCTATCTATCTATCTATCTATCTATCTATCTATCTATCTATCTATCTATCTGGTTCAGATCTATCTATCTATCTATCTATCTATCTATCTATCTATCTATCTATCTATCTATCTGGTTCAGAAAAAAAGGAGGTTTAGAGTCTATGAGATCAACAGGTAAAAAAAAGTTTTAAATTAGCACTTGGGTCATCTGGAAACAAGAGTTATAAGCTTGAATCAGACTTAAAAATCAAATAATATTCAGAAAAACTCACTAAATATATTAAGTGCTTTCTCTACTTTATCTCTATGTCACTCGGCCGCTGCTGCTCTCTCTCTGTTTCTCTTCAGCTTTGACTCCTGTTTAAAAATCAATCAAAAAGTGTTGTCATGATAGTGAAGTTTTAAACTCCCTCTGACAACTCTGGAAATCACTAAACATTAGGCCAAATCGCTGACATGACTTCTTGTTGGGTTTCACGTAAGAGCAAGAGACTTTTAGGTGTTGGAAAGTGTCAAAATACCAAAGATTTGATACCCTTAACTGGCTTTAGTTTATTCCCTCCGGCAAAACATTCCACAGTGGCTATAATATGATAATTTAGGGAAAATATAAACAAATTAGGTTCCTATTTTAGCCCTGATTAGATCAGATAGTTCTACTGGGTGTATGATAAACACTGCCAAGAAGACTCTAATATGATAGAAGATGAGATGATCTTGTTTTGGCAGCGACACGTTACGATGAAGTCAAAAACAACAAGAATCTGTCCATGCCGTCGAGTCTTTCTCTCCCGTTTTTTAATCAGCTGGGGCGTCTCAGCAGGAAAACTGCGGCCTGATGAGATCTCAACGTGCTCAAGAGTCGGCATGATCTCTCAGATAACGAGAGCAGAAACAACAGCTGAGCGCCTGCACGCCATCCAAAACACACAGAGACAGAAGAGCGCTCTGTCCACCATCTGTTTGTGTGTGCACACAAACAGGTGTGTGTGTGTATGCGTGCGTGTGTGTGTATGTGTGCTGCCAACAACTGCTGCAGCAACAGGAGACTTTTCCTCTCTTTGGTGACAGATAAAACCACAAAAACACTGGAGCGACAGAGAGTTCCTGCATGAGATCGAGTCTTAGCAGCTTGATTTTAATTCGCTTTGTCGCTGCATCTCTACAAGGACTTCCGATAAGAATTGAAAACTGAGGAAAAGTAAGATTTAAATAGTTTTAAGTGATCATTTTTTCTTTAGATATCTGTTATTTTGCTTTACAAACAGTCAAAACTCTAAATATCCTAACAACACTCACTTTAAACTATCAAACGGCACACATTTTTGCACCGAGAAGAAAAAAAAAAAGATGAAAAATAGCTTTGGAAAAATAAGCACTGTGTATTAACGTGCTGCTTTAGACTGAAGACCAGAGTTAAAACAAATGAAAAGAACAATTTTCATAAACTCTGACCTGTCCATCACCAGGTTTTTGGGATCATATTGGCCTTTCAGTGATAAACTGGTGTCTAAAACTTTTTTTTAATATGCAACAAGATTTCTTTTTATATGCACATAAAACTTTGTGTGAAGATATGACCTTAAAAATCATTTAAATCAATACTTGTGCAATGATTCAAACAGCATCTTTATTTGCTCTTGAGCTGTGTCAAGGATTATCTCTATGATTGAATACTTACTTCAACAAAATGCCTGAAAAACAAAAAGAAATATGGGATAAAAAAATACTCTCACTTTAAACTGCAAGAATCAGCAAATGATCACCAGTTTTGTGTATTTTAGTTCCAAAACGTACTTAAAATACTTCAAACAAGCAGATACCTGCAAGTGATTAACTATTTCGTTCAACTTTTTGCCATGTACAAATCTGGCAGATTGATTTGCATTAAAGCTGATTGGATTAATCATTGAAATATACCAATATAAGCAAAAATAGATTCTGATCTGAGACACTGACAAACTTCTTTAACAAACATGTAAAACAGATAAACTAGAGATAGACAACAATCAATTATTGTGTTTAAACATTCACCATAAAAGCTGCCACAGGGGTGATGTTTGTATTGCCTTCACTCGCAAAAATGTGAAATCTGTCGGGTCTGAATGATTGATCTTTGTTTGAATCAAAAAATATCACTGTTACTAAAAGCAAATATTAAAAAAAATTTGGGGGAATTTACGCATGAAAAATGATTCACATAATTCCAAAATCAGCTGAAATGTATTTGCATTTTGTGGTTATTTCTACAGCAGGCCCATCTGGCAGGTTAAAACAAACATTAAAAAGTGATTATATGACCCAGGCTGAGGCAGCAGAAGGAGACCTTCTGCCCCTCTGACCTGTCCAGTGACCCCTGCATTTCCAACAAGCCACTGAAAAGACTCACAAAATAACACCTAGTATGGATTGAGTTAGCATAACATGGCAGCACGTGTGTGTCTGCTGCATGCATTGTGATTTAAATTATTGAAAAGCCAAAAGAATAGAGGATGGAGGTTTGAAAGCACATAAAAAATGTGACTTTTTCTCTCGTCAGGTGAACTTTGTGACTCATAAAATTACAACACCCATATCTACAGAGTTTACTTGCACATTCCAGGCCTTTAAATTGCAATCACATGCAAAGAGCTGCAGTCAAAGTTCAGAGTCAGGAAAGATGGATGAAACAAAAGACAGCAGCTGAAGCTCACACCACCTCCCCCTGTCCATCAAAAGCTCTGAAACCTTGCCTGGACTGCCACTGATCCTGATTCTGATCCTCGGGGAGCTACTATAACCATTGTGCAGCAAAGACACAGCTGTCACAGAGAGGGAATACATAGATGACCACCAGACAGGTGGAGAAAAGACAGACAGTAAAAGCTATTAATGTTTCAGGCCTGATCACACCAGAGCACTGAATAGATCAGATTTCTCTGATTCAGGAGCATTTTAGATTGAATCACAGCTCAGTTTCTGATCCCTAAAACCGCAGCTCCATCTCCCTCAGCCTGTTGAAGGGACCACAATGTACAGAAACTATATTCTGGCTGTGTGGGAGCGCGCAGAGGCGTGCACGGTCACTGCAAACCAACACCGTCACGACCTCTCTCTGCAGCTTTCACCCAAAACAACCTGCAGCTTTTTCAGCAACAACAGCCGCTCACATGGCGCTGTTTTCGGGTACTCACCTGATCAGGCCCGCCGCTGGAGCTGCACAGTGAGCTTTGGGAGAAAATAAGGCAATGATCCCATCACATACTGACGACGCAAAACATCCGGCTGGCTTGCAGCGTGACCCAGCCAGGAAGCGTCAAGCTGAAATCGACAGGACCGAACGCAGGGAATTCACGTGACGTCATATCCTCTTCCGGGTTTGCAGATAGCAGGGGATCCCCAGCTAAGACCCCCAGACTGTATATACAACAGTATATTCAAATTAGGGGTTTTGAGAGAAAATCTCCCTGTTATGATATGTTTTGTTCATTTAGTTTTCTCCTGGTTTTGTTATATTCAAGCATTTTATGTGTATTTCCCTAGTGTTTCTGTTTCCTATTGTTCCTGTTCCAATGTAGTTCAGTCTTGTGAGTTAGCAGTTTGTGTTTGACTCTTTTTTTTAATTGAATTATAAACAAACAAACAAGACACTTATTTATCATAAAAGAGAATTACAGAATATTTGCCTGAGATTGAGCATGAATAACATCAAAAAACAAAAACAACAACAACACAATTTCAATGTTAGAGGCCATTCTATATCAATTCGAACATTTCTAGTTAAGAAAATAGGCGTAGGGCTTTCTTGTCTGTAACAAGTTTTAAGGATTTACAAAAAAAGTTGCACATCACAAAACGCACAATTATTTGCTTCAAGGTGAAACCTTAATCTTAAAAATTTGTTTGTTGGATAGATTTCTTTCAAGATTTTGAAATTGACTTCTTTTGCCTTGGGAGGTGATGGAAAGGAGATATAATTCTGTCCTATCTTTTTAATCTTATCCTTATCAAATTGCTTCAAAATATACATCCTTTTAATTGGGCTAGGGTAATATTCGTTTACCAACATATTTCTGAGAGCTTTGTTGTTACATTTGGGATCACAAAAGTCTAACCCCCCAATTTAGAGTTGTCTCAATCTTTGGGAGACTGTGGAAAATCGAATATCCTCTCCCACCAAAGCCCTCAAAGAGACTGGTATTGCATTCGTCATTTTTGTATATTCCTTCACATTACACTGTATTTTATTCAAAAGTCCTCATGCTGCAACAAGTTCCCATTTTCATCTAACAAGTGAGCAACAGCCCAGACTCCTTTTGAATTCCATTCATCCTTATAAACTGAATTTCTATTAATCAATATGTATCTATTATTCCAGATTGGTGTATTGTGTGGAGTAAAATAATGACAGTAAGGTAATTTCCAGTAGAGCAGGGCTTGTTGATGAAAATCAGAGAGTTTAACCGGTAATGATTTGCATTCAAAATCACATCGTAGCAAAAAATCTATTTCACCCAGTTTTTTGAAAATCAAATTAGGAACAGTGAACCAAAATGAATACCTATTCGTTAGAAAAGATTTCCGCCATTTTAGTTTTAATACGCCATTCGTAACATTAAAATCAATCGTATTAACAACCCCGTCTTCATACATTTTAACCATTTCATTTTTTCTTATATATTGACACCTGTTCCTCCATATAAATCTAAAATTTATGTGTATTTTCCCTAGTGTGTTTATGTTCCCTATTGTTCCTGTTCCCCTGTAGTCCTGTCGTGTGTTTTCAGTTTGTGTTTGACCCTGTTTCCCTCCTGTTCTTAGTCTTTTATTCTTTAGATCAGTTTTCAGTGTTTCCTGTTTTATTTTGTAGTCTCAACTCAACTCAACTTTATTTGTAAAGCACTTTAAAACAACCACAGCTGAACAAAGTGCTGTACATAAATAGAAGAAACAAAAAAAAACCCCATTAAAACAATGGATAAAAAAGCAGATATTAAAAAGTAAAATAAACTTTCAATGTTTTTAAAAACTAATTGAAAAACATAGAAACAAATAACTAAAAACAAACCATAAAACACTGAAACAGGAGCCGAGTCTCATGCAGGGTTGAAAGCCAATAAATAAAAATGTTTTAGAATCACTTTTCAGTCTTTTAGGGTTTTAAGACGAGTTTTAAAAAGGCAGTTGTAGTAGTTGATTCCTTGTGTTTCTAGTCTGGTTTTACTACCCAAGTTTTCCCTCCTTTGTGAATCACTAATGAGTTTCACCTGTGTCTCGTTACCCAGTGTGTGTATACAGTCCCTGTTTTCCCCTTTTTCTTGTTTGGGTCATTGTGTGTGTTTTGTCTGCCTGTTTGACGTGATCCTGGATCTTTGAGTCCCTAGTCTTCTTTTGATTTTTTCCCCCCAGTGTCTTTTGTTGGATTTTGCCTTTTGGATTTTTTGGTTGGACATTCTAAAGTAAGTTTTTGTTGCTTTTCATTTAAATTTTTTTTTTTAATAAATCTATTTTTTTGTCTGCATTTTTGGGTCCTTTTCCTTTGTTTAACACTGGCTTCATGACACTCCCTCTCAGCAGAGCAGCAGGACTCATGTCCAACAACCAAAAACAGGTATTCAACATCTTAGGAAAACAGTAAAATATCCACGTCAGAACAATTATTTTGTGTTACTTTGAGAGAGACACTCAAGTTTTTGAGAGTTACTGTTTTCTCTTGTACTTACTCCTACTTTTCTTACCTCACGGTCAATCAATTATCTTTTTAAAAATGTATTTCAAACTATGTGAACCCTCAGACATGAATTAGCATAATATCCAATTTTAATGAAAGCATGGTAAAGAACACAATTTTTAGTTTTACCAATGTTCCATCTGTCATAATGGAGGAGGCGGCTGTAAGAGCTGTCCCACAGCTATTCACTAGGAAGAGCTCTTACTCTCCCCATGTTTTACTGACCCTTATCCTTTCTCTATTTTTAGCATGAGTAAATGAATTAAGTTTAGTTTATACATTTTTCTGTTCATTAGTCAACAGTTTGGTATTGTTTTTGAGCAGCATGGACTTAAAGCAGAATCTTTCTCTTAGAAAGATATCTGTATGTAAGGGTGATCAGAGCTAATAAATGTTCAAACCAGATGCCAATCTGTCCGAGAGTTCTCATTTGTTCGTATAATTCACATATAGTGAAGCTTAACAGGTCATTGAAGTGATGCATTTAAGCATTATCACTGTCATAGATTTGTTTTTTTATTTATTAGGCTCATGTGCCCTCTTGTGGTTAAATCCTGAACTATACTTGATGAATACTTGTTTAGCTTTGGAAGAAAACATTGCGAGTCCTCCATAGCTGAATCACAGACTCATTGGCTCCACTGCAACATCCCATAGCATTTATTTTTTTACATTCATCTGCGATATCAAAAATACTTCACATTTCAGGTATGTAAACAACAAATATTTATCTTCTCTAATAATTTTACATTTTTTTCTGCACACAATGCCACCTCCTCCATCTATTACTTAACATATTAATTTTCTTAACCGCTACTGTTAAACTGACTCTACCAAGGAATGTCTCCTGTAAAACTGTATCTGTCATATACAGGATAAGTCAGTATATACAAAAAAATCCAAACTAAAAATGCAAAATTTACAGCAGCTAAATTCACTAACTGCAAAGATATTTTCCCTTTTATATTTCCCCATCTGTTAACCCTACAAAAATACATTCCCAAATGTTTCTGTAACCAGCCAGTGCTTCAGTCAGTTTATCAAAGTAAAGGTGCTAAAAGAGTCAAACAGCCTCTATTGTTAATATAACACAGGAAAGTGCGAGTCCTCTTCTCATCGTTCGAGTGTCGCCATCAGAGGCTCCACAGCAGCGCAGAAACACGCCTCGAACTCCTGATCTGAGAAGCGAGCGACAGATTGTCGTGCGTTGTTTCTGATCTGCAAACGGGTTTCAGGCGGCAGAGCCAGGATCCTCTCAACGGCCTCTGCGTAACTGTCCTCATCTTCAGCTAGGAAGCCTGTTTGGCCGCCCTCAAACGGGACCACGATGTCCAGCTTGGGGCCGCCCGATTTGTGTGCCAGGATAACTTTTCCAGCTGCCATACACTCGACGACCCCTTGAAGGGAAAAAAAAGAGAATTTAACCAAGTAGAACGCCATTTTACACACTTTAAAAAGACCTGAGATGGATAAATTACCTATCCCAAAGTGTTCATTCCACATGGTATGCAGCCCGATAGTGGCTTCTCCCATCTCTTTCTTCAGCTCTTCAAAAGGAATGTTTAGTTTAAACTCCACCCTGTCTGCCACACCCAGCTCCTGGCACAGCCCCCTCAGCAACAGCACCCTGTCCTCATCCTCCTGGTTCCTGCATCCACCAATCAGAACCAGCTTTAGAGCCTCCCTGCCCCCTGCCCCCTCCCTCCTGCGGTCTAACACCTTCTTGAACGCTCTGATCTGCAGCCGGTGGTCCTTCTCAGGCCTGAACTGCCCAATGGAGACAATTGAGTGGCACTTCTTGTCCCCGTCCTCCTCCAGTGGGATGTCCAGGAAGGCACTGACATCACAGGGCGGGTAGACCACATTGGTGCGGTTTGGAGCGCGCCACAGTGACAGGATGTGGTCAAGAGTCCAAGAAGAGTTGACCATGATGAGGTCGCTGCAGGAGCCGGCCATGCCGTAGAGCAGAGCAAAGAGGCAGTAGTAGACCACTTTGAAGGCACTCAGGAAGAGACTGTTTGTGACGTAGTCGGCATTGTTGAACCTGGAACATGAAAAGTTTGTAAATCTACCACCTAAATATTAAAGAAGGTGAGTAAAATGTGACCAAAAAGAGAATTTTATGGTTTGGAACATTAAGATGAGGGCCCGACCGATTTATTTATTGGCAAGCCGATTAAATGAGCCTATTTCAGCCCATTTGAGACAAATAGGTAATCGGCCAAACTCGCCAAATTTTCGACGATATTTTTAGAAATAAGAATGCGAAGAATAAGATTTGGTTTCACTTCGAAAACATTTCGCCATTTCAAAAGTTCCCCAACTTATCCTGTAGATGGCGCAGCGACCTGCTATTAGCCTTGCTACACTGTTAGCTGTGCCAGTAACTGTAGAATAAACAACAGTACTCATTACGTGATCGAGCTACTTCTCTTGCTGAGGCAGCTAAATGTCTCCAGATGAGACCGGACCGGAAATGAGTAACACGAGTCAAGACACGGAGGCACCGATCAGTGGGGGGTGGGGGGTTGAAAATGCTTTTCTGGTCCGAGTTTGATCAGTCGGTCTTCCTGTCGGCATGAGGAGCAGTAGCCTACAGTATATCTACAGTTTATAGTATACTGCACTATAGATATCTACAGTATATATATATTTTTATAACTTCATAAAAGAAAAGAAAAATCGGCCGATTAATCGGTAATCGGATGTTTTCCCCCCTAATAATCGGTATCGGCCCCAAAAAATCCACATCGGTCGGGCCCTAATGTAGATGGACCATGTATTTCTTGTGACTAAGATGGCTAATTTTAAAATTCTTATTGAAATACAATTGGAAAAATGTCTTCCTAAATGCAGAGAGAACGAGAGTCCTTAAAATATTTCGGATTTATTTAGTGCGTAAAAAAGTGGAGTACTCGTTGCTTTGACGTCTCTCTTTGTCTCTTCTCTTGCCTAACAGGACTGACACACAAAGAGAAGAATCAGTGGAAGGAATAGACTTGGAAAAGTGAGTGCATACCTGGGGTTCCTTTCTCTCACCACTGACAGCATGTCTGTGCTGATGGTGGGGTAGTGCACATAACTCCCCACGCTGCAGCCTCCAAGATAACGGAACAGGGGCAGAGTGAAAGCGTAGCCCATGGAATCAATGTAAAGGTCTGGGACAAACTCTGTCAGAGCTTCCCATCCCAGGAAGATGGAGCCCACACTCTGTCCCAGCAGAGTGAAGTGAGGAAACAGACCAGGCTCCACCAGCAGCCGGTGCCTCAGGAACACAAACTGAACGGGACGGGGAAGGACGATGTTGAACCGACGACGAGCTCCATCCACAATCTGCTGCCCCGTCACACCCAGGTCCCCCGTGTACACCACAAAGTTAACATCCACGTACCTGTGAAAGACACAGTTGTCAGTACAGGAGCTAAGAACAACAGTTAATGAACATTATTATGAAGGCTGTACCTGTTCTGAAGCGCCCTGATGGCACACCAGAGCACCCTCTCTCCCCCGCCTCCAGCGTTGCAGTAAGGGTGGAAGAACGCAACAGTTGGCCGTCCATCTCTCGCTCGCCGAGCATTCCTGCTACTCTGAAGCCAGAAACGGACAGCAACTACCAGCAGGACCAGGACGGCAATCAACAGCACACACAGAAACAGCAGAGGCAGCAACAACTTCCACAGTAACCTGAAACACAAAGATTAAACTCCAAGGTAAAGAAAAAATTGACTATTTGACCCTGGGGAGACAAGACCCTCTTTAAAATATGGTTTCAGATTTATGGAATTTATATTGACTCTTCACAACACATCAGAGTAGGACCTGCTCCAGATCCATCAAACCCAGGCTTGAGACAGAAAATGGTGGGGCTACAGTCTGTTAAGATCAGGGTCAGACTTTTTTAAGGTACAAGATTCATATGCAAACCATTTTTTCAAAAATTAAATATGTAAAAACTAAGGATTTCACAGACTTTTTTTTTTTTTTTTAGCCAAAACCACTTTAGAACAAGACCTGGACTAGGACTCCAATACTTAGACTGTGAACATCTGGCCTACAGTGGATATAAAAAGTCTACACACCCCTGTTCAACTGCCAGGTTTTTGTCATGTAAAAAAATTAAATCATTTATTGTTGACTTAAAACATTCAAAAACATATAAAATTCAGAAATATTAATATCCATATCTTAAATGAAGCATTTTTTGTCTATATAACATCGACATCGGTTACGTTAATTCGATATTGACGTATTTGACGTAAAGACGTTACTATCTGTTACCATCGTTGCTTTAAAAGCTATTAGCATTGTAGCTGCTAACACACTGTGAAATAACCGGCCATAATGGAGATTTCATGTTTTAACTATGAGTTTATACTCAAAGTTTGAAAGGTTTTCACCTTACCTGATTAATTCACACAAACAGAGCACCAGCTGATCGTGCGCCGACATTTTGACAGCAGAAATGTATCAACACATCCCCTTTTTTTAGTTCTCTTTTTCCTCCTCCGTGATAGTTCAGTGATGATTATAACCACGAGTCGCCACCCAACGGTTAGGAGGTCTTATTACAGTCACATATCTTGATTTTATTGATAAAAAACCATGTTGTAAAGTTTATAAATTTCCTGTTAATAAATAGATGAAGCGGAATAACCTTTTTAGCTATAGTTAAACATGTAGTTGCAGCAACATAAGCTTCAATCTGCTGCCTCTTTTAGCCACATTTGCTGATCTATGCCCTCCTTTTTCAAAAAAAAGTAATGTTTAACTTCTAAATAAACAGTTCAAATCAATAATCTCTCCCTTATCCTGTGTTTTCTTTTAACAAACCTTTGTCATTTCCAGTTAGAGTGCTGCCATCATGAAAAGTCTTTTGGTTTTGTGGGTTTTTATGAATTTGGATGTACTGTTAAAGACAGGACTCTGCCAAGACACACAGTAAGTTAATTATTTTTGTTGACTATTAACCCTATAATCTTAGTACTTTGTGACTTGAGATAACATTTGAATAAACCTATGGTAATGTTTTGTAATGTTTGAACTTGTTTGGGTTTTTTTTACACCTTATAGAAAGTATAGCATTTGGACAAATATTACACCCTGCCTTGAAAACATTGTGAACTGTTATTTCTGTCATTCCTGAGGAGACAAAGTGATCCTCTAATATCTCTTTTTTTCATTTTTTTTAGTGACCAAATTCTGTCAATCACCCCACACACTCAGGAGCAGGTCGAAGTTGTGAAAAACGTGTCTTCTCAATATGAGGTGAGACTCTAATTTTCCTGATATCTGTCTTTAATAGCTTTTTAAATTGATCTTCTGTGAGTTTTTATCATGTTTCCACTCAGACAGCCCTATGGCAGCCAGCCTCACATCAGTACATCAAAGAAGAAAGCGAGGTCCATCTGTTTGTTCCCGCAACTACTTTGGAGACTGTGAAGGATCTGCTGCAGAGACATTCGATTACACATGAGTATGTTACATTTCCTGTAAATCATGCATGCATTAGTCAACAATTGTTACATTATTTTATGGTCGTATTTTTACTCCAGGGTGTTACTGGCCAACACCAATGAGCTGATTGAAATGCAGACGAGAAACGACTCCACAGACCCTCGAAGTGGCTCAACTTTCTACGAGAGATATCACAGTCTGGACGATGTGAGCATTTGCAGCTGCATCAGGATAATCACTCTGTAAATAAGCTACTTTTTGGTCAAACTGCATCTATTATAAGTGACAAAATCTTTTCTAGATCTATTATTGGATAAACAGGACCACACAGGAACACCCCACCACTTTAAGCACTATTCTTATTGGCTCATCAAGTGAGAAGCGACCCCTCTATGTTCTAAAGGTACGCCCATATGTCCCCAGATTATTATATCAATATTTTACTTTTTGCAAACATTGAGCTCAGTTTAATCAAATTCTTGTCAGTTGTCTCTGAATGATAGACCAAATAAAAAAGCCATGTGGATTGACTGTGGGATTCACGCCAGAGAGTGGATCTCTCCTGCTTTCTGTTTATGGTTTGTGCAGCATGTGAGTAAATTTAATCCATCAAAATAATAAAAAAAAAATACACAGTAACATCTATTCTTTATCTTTGTACTAGAATTTAAATTCACTGTCCTCTCCCCCTCAGTCTTTGTCATTTTACAACATAAACCACGACATCACTAGTATCCTAGACAACATGGATGTCTACATCCTGCCTGTTATGAACCCTGATGGATACCACTACACATGGACCACAGTAAGAATTCACCGAACACAGCTCAATAATGCTTTGAAAGTTACAGACACGGCAAATTCAGACAGATTTAGTAGTAGTTCGTAGAAGGGGAAATTTGTTTTTAATCTCGTCGTGTACAAAAAAAACCAGATCAACAGCAGCAAGGACATCAAAACATCTTGGCAGCAAAAGAGGGATGAGAATAGTGGCATGTACTGTACATGAGTTTTTGAAAAGGTTACGATTTGTTGCTGTTACTATCTTAACAGCTTTTTTCCTAATCACTTCCTTGTTGGTACAGTTTAAGTGTTTCTGTGGCTTCCCTATGATTTTTGATGCTAGATTCACTATTTTCTGCAGCTTACATCTGCCTTTTGTGTTTAGGTTACCATACCACATTGTCATGTTAAAGGTCAAGATTCCCTCTATGAGGTTCTTATAGACTGTCTCCATGATGTTCCCACTCACTCCAAAGGAGTTGAGCTTGCGTAATAGATGGCAGCGTTTATTACAAGATGTAAAAATGGTTTATCTCAAATTAATTTCGTCTCAGAACAGGATGTGGAGAAAGAACCGCTCCACCAACAAGGGCAGCAACTGTATTGGAGTCGATCTCAACAGAAACTTTGATGCTAACTGGTGCAGTAAGTTTTTACTTTTCCTGCTTTCCTCTTCTTAAAACCAGAATCATATAAAACCCAAATTCCAAAATAGTTAAGAGGCTGTGTAAAATGAGAAAAAAAATAATCTTAACTCTATATTAAATACTTATTTTAAATTTGATGTAACATATTTCAAAACAGTTGGTTGTGTTGTATCACTTCACCTGACAGCAACCTGTAAAGATCTGAAACCCCAGGAGACCAGTTTCTGAAGTTTAACCTGTGAAATCTCATCCCATTAATGTCTCATACAAGATTTCAACTGCTCAAGAGTTCAGGGTCGACTATGTTGTACTTTGAAATGACAAGTCAGGACTGTAGTCAGGCCAGTTTATCAGCAGGACTCTTCTACTACAGAGCCATGCTGTTGTAATCTCTGCAGAATGTGGTTCGTCATTGTCTTGCTGAAATATGAAGGTCTTCCCTGAAAAAGTAATTGTGTGAGAGACCATACGAGCCTCACATACTGAACAGAAGAAAACTTTGTGAAAGCTTCAAGGTGAAGTGCTGGTGTTTGTTGCAGCTGAAGGAGCCTCCCCTGAGCCCTGCACTGAGATCTACTGCGGCGCCTTCCCTGAATCTGAGCCAGAGTCCCAGGCTGTGGCCGACTTTCTGCGCAGTCACAAAGACACGGTCCAGCTCTACATCTCCATCCACTCCTACTCACAGATGCTCCTCTTCCCGTACTCCTGCACCCTAGAGGAGGCAGAGAACCACTCTGACCTGGTGAGTGGTTCCAACCAGAGTATTTGGAGGCTTTACCCTGGCTATCAAATGTTTACGTGAATGTGTTTTCTGTAGCTTGAGATGGCGGGCGCTGCAGTTCAGAAAATCCGAAGATATTACAGGAACAGCTACAGATACGGTGCAGGAGCAAAGACAATATGTAAGAACAACTTTTTCATTTTGAAGCAGCATTGTTAAGCCTTGATTCGGCCCTTTACATGAATATCACCGTCTGTTTAATAGACTTGGCTCCTGGTGGTTCAGACGACTGGGCATACAACCTCGGCATCAAATACTCCTTCACGTTTGAGCTCCAGGACCGCGGCCGCTATGGCTTCCTCCTGCCGCCGTCTTTCATACCCCAGGCCTGTAATGAAGCTCTGATCGGCGTGAAGACAATCGCTCTGAAGGTTATAGAGAAAACACCGGCTTCGACGAGCCCTCCTCCAACTTTCTGAGCAGTTTCACTAAAAAACAAGACAGACGGATCAAATCTTATCTGTTTTTGTGAGTGTAAGTTGAACCAGATTTGTGCATGTAATATCCAGATGCACCATTTACATTTAGAATAGTTGTATTTGTCCTATTTTACTCTTTAGAGCAGAAAATACAAAGTCTGATTACTGCTGAACCACAGCTGTGTTTGAAGTTACACATTGGGTTTCTTTTGTTTTACATCTAGTGAAATTAAACCGTTTTAAATTGTGATTTCTGAGTCCTTCAGTGTACAGCTGTTGGTGGTTACAGATTGAAAATGACACTCGGTGTCAGTTGTGTGTTGTGAAATTCGGCTTTATTGCTACTGTTGAATGCAGAAATTTAGGACATATTACTCATGAATTAGCTGTTATCCTTTAGGGGTTGATCATTACTATTCTTAACAGGAAATAAACTCGAAAAATGATTGGTGGAAACAGGGTTTTATTTCCTTTTACACTGATCAAAACATCAACTGAGTTACTGTTTTTTTAAGCTATTTGTCCGAAGCCTGAAATAATGTGGCAGCCAGATGAGCAAAAAGTGGATTAGCTGTTTAAATGTGATGCATTCGAGCTTGCTCATTATGTCTCTGAAGCCAGGATAAGAAGACAAGATACTGTCTTTAATTAGTTCATGTTTATGTACCAGTAAATATTTTGTTGATATATTGTTTAATATTCTATAAGGTTGACCTGACATATGCTCTTTTGCACTTTTCATACAAATCAAATGCAATTCAAAGTGCTTCACAGTGACTGAAATCAACTAAATAGATGTTAGGAACAGGACCTTTATATTTGCAAGTAATAAACAGACCAGGCAGAGTCCGTGCACACCATTAATAAATTATATATAATTAAACAGTAAAAGAAAAGATAAAAACAAGCTAGATCATCCAAAAAAGACATCTATAATGAACAGTTTGAAATAATAAAAAGATTAGTAGCTCAGTATAAATAAAATCACTAACCTATCAATAAAAAAGAGTAATTAGATACTAAAATGAAATCAAGAAAAAATGAAACAGAAATACAGAAAAATGAAATTGAAATACAGTTTACAAAATACCCAGTGGGGATCCCCACTGCATCTTAAGGTGGCGCAGTGCACCGGCAGCCGAACGGCAGCAGCCTCAACAAAAACAGCCGAAGAAGAAGAAGGAGCAGGACTTGTGATGCATACTCTGCGCCAACATGAAGGCTCCCGGGGCAGTTTCTGCCTTTCATTTTAAAGAATAAGCCTTGTTATTTCTACAAGCGCTGAATCTTCCTACCGGACTCAAGTAGATGCAACACCGAATCAATATCTTGGGTAAGACGGCTTTTTGTTGTGATCTCAGCTCACATGTGTGTGAATGAGGGATAAAGGCCGCGCGCTGAGCTAGCATCGAGCTGTATGGGTAACTTTAGCATTAGCTTTAGTTAGCTTGTTCTGCCGATTAATAGGTTGTTTGTATGAAAGAATTCGCCATTTTCCACTTAAACATGCCTGTATGAATGTAAAAAATACTCATACTGACTCATTAAGAGAATAAACCCTGCAGCTGATGTGGAAGTTGAGCTGAAGTGAACCTGCACTACAGACCCCTCAGGTATTTAAGTGCAGTTTTAAATGAAGTTTTAAACACCGGGGGGTAAATGAGTCCGTTCAGGGAGTCGTGCATGCTGTCGGTAACTGCAAATATCAAAACAAGTGTTGTTTTCATGAAGGATTGTTTGTTTGGGTGGGTGTCTAGTCCTGCAGAATGTCCAAGATCAGGCGGAAGGTAACAGTGGAGAATTCAAAGACCATATCTGACAGCAGCAGCAGCACCACAACCAGCACCACCAGCAACCCCGCAGCCCCGTCCCGCAGGCCCAGTGTGTTCGAGAGACTTGGTCCCAGCACTGGAAGTAATGCTGCTGATGTAAGTACGACTTACAATGTGAACCCTTACTTTTAGGAGCAAACTCTGACGAGAGTAGATTCTCAGTCATTTCTGACTTTCTATGTTTACAGACAGGTTGATAATAAGATTTATTCATTATGACCTTCCGATACCGATTATTAGGGGGGGGTAATCGGCCGATTACCGATTAATCGGCCGATTTTTTTTTTTTTTTTCATGAAGTTAAAAGAAATATATACTGTAGGCTACTGCTACTGATCAAACTTGTACCAGAAAAGCGTTTTCAACAACTAATAGTATATACAGTCTATGGATCGAAGTCTTTAAAAACACCTATGAAGTGCTGTCTTAGTACAGGAGCTATGAAAACTCTCAATAACAATGTAAGCCCCTGAGCCCCAGCCCACTGGGTGGATGAAGCTGTTGCTTATAAGTCATCATCTCCTTGACTGTACATATATAAAAAATGCTCAGGGTTTAGGCCAAGGTTCCCTCTGTAATTTTCAGCTATGTTGTTGTCTGATTGTCTTACTAATATGAATATTTTCTTGCATCCCCCTCATGATGATTGTGGTATTGAAATCGGCATTTCCATCCAGCTAATTTGTCCGTGTCTTTCAGAGTCACTGTAGAAATTGGCTGAAGACTGGTAACTGCAGTTACGGCAACACTTGTCGCTACACACATGGCACTCAGCCACGAGGCAAAGGATTTAGCTTTAGTCGGTAAGTTGGTTGGTTTTTGTCGGGTTTCCCTCCCGTGTGAAAATCAGAGTGTTTGCATTTCTGGAGTGTAGATATAATGTTCTTACAATTGGTGTGTGTATTGTTTGGAACTTTTAATGGAGCAGGTCAGCCGAGAGACCCACAGGTGATCTGCGGGAGAGGATGAAGAATAAAAGACAGGATGTTGACCCAGAAAACCTGAAGCGTGACCTAGACGAGCCCACATCCCCCACAGTGAGAGTAAGTTTTGAGCTGAGATTCTTTAAGATTTGAAGTTCTGTCAAAACAAACACAAGACTCAGGTGCCACTTTTTACTCTGACTCTGAAGCCGCTGTAGAGTTAAAAGTACACTCACTATTTATGTCCATGCATGTGATCATCAGCAGCAGAGAGACTCCTCCAGAGGCCGACACAGAGAAAAGGAGGATATAAAGATAACAAAGGAGCGCACCCCAGCCAGTGAAGAAGAGCCCACAGAGTGGGAGACAAACCGTGAAGGTAAATCACACTCTTTTGTTCAGCTTGAAAGGAAGAGAATTAACGAATTTTAAATCTTACATCCATCTAGTTTTGGACATTGTTCGCAAGTGTGGAAAGTATGGAAGTAATTTGATCAACTTCCATTTCTTAAAAAGTATTGTAAATAAAAAATATGGAAAAATCTTTAGGTTGCCAGACTATGTCACCTCGGCTTATTGTGTTGTTTCTTTTACGGTTGTTTCTCCTGAAGATTCAGATATCGGCGACTACGACTACGAGTTATCCCTCGAAATGAAGCGCCAGAAGATCCAACGAGAGCTGATGAAATTGGAAAACTTGGAAAAGAGGGAGGAGATTGTCATCAAGAAAGACGAGACCCCCGTCAAAACAAGAGCCACCGCCATGGCTAAAGTGAGAGACTGATTCTGTCTTTTTCTTTTAAAAGAGTGGAGAATATTTTATCATTCGGCTTGATAATGTTTTGTAAGTTTCTCCGCCACCCGGGCTTCAAAGTTGTCGCAGGAACTTTACTCGAACCTGATCGGATGTCTCTTTCCTCCAGGCTTCCCCAGAGGAGTTGAGCAACAGAGATTCACCCTCACCCTCGAGGAAGTCCAGCGGATCCCCAAAACACAAAGGTGGAGCTAAAGTCTCGGGATCTGGAAAGAAGGAGAAGAAGGCGTCCGTGTCCTCACCTGTCTCAGAGTCTGCCAGGTAGAAACCTTTGGAAACATCATTAGACTTCGTTTATTTACTTGTTGTTTTGGATTTGCTTCTTTTATTCCGTAAAATATGACAACTATTTGATCAAATCACCCTGAGAGTGAAGATTTTAGTTGTGGGGAAGCTTGACCTATCTTATGTCAAAAAGGGTCATGAACCTTCTGGTAGTTCATGTGTTTTCGTGTTGGAAGAGTCATTACCTGCGTAGTCGTGGGTCTGAATCCAAGTTAAAGACTCAGTTGAGTTAAAGTTACAGATATCTAGACTGACACTTTCCAAACTTTTCAAAATTAGGTCCTCCAAAGGCAGCCACAGTAAGAAGAAAGGCCCCCGCACCCCAAGTCCTCCTCCGCCCGTCCCCTTGGATCTCCCTGTGGTCGGGAAGAAACACAAAGGCAAGCACAAAAACAAGGAGAAGTCCGAGGAGAAGCAGAAGGAGGGCAAAGACCGAGGGCGGGATACAGAGAAACACAAAGAGAAGAAGGAGAAACGCAGGTACAGGGTGGAGGAGGTTCAGAGGGGTGTATTCTGTCATCTGCATTGATGGCTGTTTGACTGTTTTCATGCTCTTCTTGTTACGCTCACAGGGATCGTTCTGACAGTTCCCATAAGGCCAAGCGGTCCGTGACATCAGAGGAGCGGTCTGGTAGTGTGTCGTCTCATCCGACGTCGCCTCCAGCCAGGAAGAAATCAGCCTCTCCAAAAACCTCGTCCCATAAATCCTCGGCACTCGCCTCTCCTCCCCACAGGTGAGCAAACGTGGAAAACGGTTAATCCGCCTCCCAGCAAAACCAAAATCATAGCATCTTCTGATAAAAGTGTTTCGTCACCGCAGGTCACCTACTCCTCCACGCCGCCAGCACACCCCAACTCCTCCCCGCCATCACTCTCCCTCCTCTCACTCTGGCTCCTCCGCTCAGCGGCACTCTTCGTCCCCTCACCGTCGCCGCTCGTCCTCTCCCGCCTACCGCCGAAGCTCAGCGGCCGCGACCTCCACCCCTCCCAGCTCCCGACGTTCCCCGTCGCCCCCTCCTTCCCAGGATAACTCGTCGCCTCACCGCCAGTCTGACAGGTCCACCCCCAGCCGGCGCCACTCCAGGGGCCGCGAGAGGAGCCGGGGTGAGAGGGAGAGGAGTCCGCCCGCTCAGGAGCGCAGACACGAGCGCAGAGATGGTAACTTTGTCTGTAGTTTGCTTTTGTATTTGTCCTGAGTGGAATAAATTTTATTTTCTTGATGCAAAAATAAAAAAATTTGAATCTGAAATCCGTCTTTCCAAAAGTGGTAAAGCCCGGTGTCTCTGCTCCACAGAAAGCCGCAGCAAACGAGAGAAAGACAGCATCCGTGACGACCGGGACTACGACTCCGAACAGGTCTCGTCACGTGACACTCGTGACGACAGGGACACCAGAGAGTCCAGAGAGCGACGGGACACTCGTGACCGCGGGAGAGAAGCCACCCGAGAATCCCGCGACTATCGGGACAGCAGAGACCCGAAGGACTCCAGAGAGAGTCGGACTGAGACGCGCTCCAGCCGGGAGTCGCTGGAGCTTCGTGACCGCGAGCGGGAACGAGAGAGGGAGCGGGATAAGGAGAGGGAAAAGGACAGAGAGCGAGAGAAGGAGCGAGAGAGGGAGAGGACTGAAGCCCATAGGAAGGAGGAAGCCGCTCAGGAGGACAGGAGTTACGGAAGAGGGCACGGACGAGAAGACGGAGGGAGAGCCGACGGGAGGACAGAGACGAGGGCGGACAGAGTCGAGAGGAACGGGCGAGGGAGAGGGCGCGCGAATGAAACGACCGAAAAAGGCAGGACATGTCAAAATTAATCTTTCTAGTCTGTTTGTTGCGGCTGATAGAGTTTTAAAATCAAGCTTTTCTTCTTCTTCCTCCAGCCTCAAACAGAAACTCCCGCGGTTCCCAGCTGGAAAGCAGTCACGACAGCTGGGAGTCACGCAGCAGCGCGGCGCGCGAACGCAGTGTAGAGAGGAGCGCAGATCGCAGCGCTACAGAGAGAAGCTCCGACAGGGGTTCAGACCGAGACCGCTATGAGGGCGACAGGAGAGGAGAACCGACACGGGACTCCTCCTACGACAGGAGAGGAGGCCACGGGGAGCGGGATCGCAGAGACAACCGAGACAGAGGTAGAGGAAAGACCAGCTTTCATTTTCTCTAACAGTTTTTTACACGGTGTCTTAACTCTCAAGGAAATGGGCTTGTAGAGGAAGAGCACAGGTTTAAAATGTTATGAAATGGTCTTTAATATCTGTGTTTCCTCATTTTTTAAAATTTCTGTTTCTCAGATCAGAGAGCAGCCTCTCCAAACAGACACCAGGGGAGGTCAGAGGACTCTGAGAGAGAGGACAGGAGGGATGACCGCAGGACAGACGACAGGCGAGACGACAGGGCCCGAGACCGGGAGCGTGAGAGAGAAAGAGAGAGGGAAAGGGAGAGGGAGAAAGAGAAGGACCGAGAGCGAGAGAGGGATCGGGAAAAAGAGCGGGAGAAGGAGAGGGAGGCCGAGAGGGAGCGAGCTCGAGAGAGAGAGCGGGAAAGGGAGAGGGAGAGGGAACGCGAGAGGGAGAGGGAAAGAGAGAGGGAGAGGGAAAGGGAGCGGGAGGAGCGCGAGAGGGAGAGGGAGGAAAGGGAGAGGGAGAGGAAAGAGCGAGAGAGGGAGCGGGAGAGAGAAAGGGAGCAGAGGGAGAGAGAGAGGCAGAGGGAATGGGAGGAACGAGAGAGAGGGAGAGAGGAGAGGAGGGAGGGAAGGGAGAGGAGGGAGGACACGAGGGACGACCGACCTGTGAGAGACTCCCGGGATGACCGCAAGACGAGGCGAGTACCAACACATGAAATAAATCTCTTTATTTTGACTCAGTATCAATCAGACGTCATAGATTATTATTATTTTTTGCTCATTGATTATCATTGATTGAAAACAAAGAGTCGGTAATGAAGCTGTATCTGTGGCAGGGGAAACAGTTACTATTTACAATGCTGATTTACATATTTGTATTTATATCCGGCTGTTAAGCCGTGACGTAGCCGCGTTCTCTTTTTCCACTTCCGGGTCCAGCGGAGTTGTCGTTATAATGCCTCACTGCTATGTCCCTTGCTGCTTAAACTGATCAGAGACAAAAGCAGCGACTAAACTATCATTCTACATATTTCCTCCCAACAACAAAGACAACAAAATGACTATCATTTCTGTATTGTATCCATAGACTGTATACAGTCTATGATCGTATCACAAACACACGGCATCACATCCATTCATTCATTGAATTCAAAGCTTTGCGCACCAAAGCCTCGGGGTGTCTTTGGTTTATCGTTTTACATTTATTGTCCACTTGATGGCGCAATAGAGCAAATGAAGCACGATCATGAAGCTTCGGCCCAGGAGGCGAGTAATTGGATGAAAAGCTTCGATGCTTCATGAGGCTTCATCTCGCCATCACTAAAATTTACGTTAATAACTCTATCCGAGTTGAAAGCTTTAAGTCCCTTTTTAACTCTGAGTGGTTCCCTTCTGAAAACTGAGGTTATTTTAAAGAGATTCACGGGTTCTGCCATTGTTGTTTTGAATGGAGAGTGAATGGAGGCTGATTCCCCATGGACCCGGAAGCCGCTCCGCTCACAAAATGACGTCACGCTTAACAGCCGGATTACCTATTGTTTCCTATCTTTTCAAACTTATGAAGTTTCATGAAGTTAGTTTACGAGTTAATAGTTAATTAAGTTATCACAAAATATGATTGTGTCAAAAGATCATTTTTCATGTATGATCCATTTAAACCCTTTGAAACAGGAGTCAACAGTTTTCTTTGAATGAATTTTATGTCCTTTCAAATATTTGTCTATCCAAAATGTTTTGGAGATAGTTCATAAGTTTTTGGTCAGGTTTCAAAAATCATCCAAGTTATCGTTAAAGGCTCCAAACAAGAGAGATTTTGTTGTAACTTTGTATTCATAATTTTCTTTTCTTTTTTTTTTTTTTTTTCAAAATTCTTTTTAAGTTTTCTCTTGGATGTATTTCAACAGCAAATGTCAGGGCACAAGGAATTCACTTTATCACCTTAAAATAAAAGGATTATAAGAAAAATAAATAAATTAGATGAATAAATCTGTAAATTTCAAAGTAAAGACAGTGCTAAGATCATACAGAATCAGATCATACCAAAGCAATGCAAGTTAAATAAAATAAAATAACCATATAGAGGACATGGAGAGGAAAAAAAGATTTTAAAAAAATAAAGTAAAACAAACAAAAAAGTGTAAAAAAAAAAAAATTTAAATAAAATAACCATATAGAGGACGAAGAGGACAAAAAAGATTTTTTTTTAAAAGTAAAACAAGCAAAAAATTGTAAAAAAAAATAATAAAATAAAAGCTAAAACAAAAAAACAAAAGGGGGCGGGCACAAAGACAAATCCAAAATTAAAAAATATTTTTCTTTAAACAGTAGCTGTTTGAGTGAAAATCTACCTAAAAATAAGACATTTTCAAACCTGTAGAGATGATTTACAAAAGAAAAACCTGGTGTCTTAAGATTGAGCCCTGTGGAACGCCTGCTTAACGAAAGAAGATTAAAACTATTCAGCTGCAACAGAACAAAGCTGCACCTCCGCCTCTTCGAATAGTCAAAGGGCCTCAGTGTTGCTCCTGACAGAAACTGAATTAACATTCTCTTTTTTATGATTATTATTTTCTTCCTCATAGTCGTAAGAGACCCAGAGTGGAGAGCAGCCCGAGCCCCCGACCCTCACCTAAGAGAGCCGCACGGGACCTCAGCCCGGCGGACAGCGACGGCTACAACAGCGCAGAGGACAAAAGTGAGCGCCCGATTGGCCGAGGGCAGGCCAAGCTCCACCCACAGCCCCTCCTCCCCAGCCCAGTGTGTCCGCCTTCATCTGACAGTAGGGAAATTCTTTTTGAAAGGACACACTCCTATTCACTGGGGAATGCACCTCTCTTAACGCAGCATTTGTAGAAGATAAACACACTTTAAATGATTTCTTTTCTTTTTTTGCATCTCACCATCTTTCTAATCCTTTTAAAAAATAAAAAAAATAAAAAACCTCTTTAAATTTCTTTGACTTCTACAGTTCCTCTATTAAAAAGTCTCAGTTTCTACTTAAACACACCAAAAAAAGTTCTGATCGTGGGTTTGTGGCTCGTCTGTGTGTGTGCTCTTTAGGCGACAAACACCGTTTGCTGAGCCAGGTCGTACGGCCCCAAGAGCCCCTGCTCCGCTCTCCTCCCAGATCCGCCTCAGACGAAAAGCCTGGCCACTGGAAGGACGAGGAGCGCAGAGGAGGCGGGGACAAAAGGGAGGCACGAGGCCGCCTGGAGGACCTGGAACCTCGCGAACGAAGCAGAGGAGGCGGGGACAGACGGGGAGAACACCTCGCCGACACCTTATCTGACTCTCGCAGCAGAGCGAGGGACCAGCGGGATTCGACCCCACCTCCTCCAGCTTCAAGCCTCCCTGCAAGCAGCGAAGACAGAGACACAGCGGGGTCGCAGTCTCATGAGGAAGGCAAGAAGAAGACCAAGTCCCAGAGGAAGGGCTTGAAAAAGGGTCGGAAGGAAGAAGACGTTGGCGGCGGGAGGAGCCTCGTTGGTGCGGGAGATCGTTTCAACCCTGAGCCCCCTGCTGACGGACCTCCACCTCTACACTCCCCCAGGAAAGGAGCCAAGAGGAAGGTGCTGGAACGAAAGAAACGCTCCCAAGGAGAATCGGACGTGTCTGAGGATGATTCATCTGCCCATCAGCCGCACAGTAAGAGGAAGAAAGGGCCGCGTACGCCGCCGCCATCGATGAGACCTGATCATCGCAGCACAGGAGGTAACACAGAGCGGTCTCCGCTCTCTAAAATGGACAACTTCAGCGACTGGTCAGATGAGGAGGTCCTGGACAGAGGAGGACCTCTGGATATTCAGGCCTCCCTCACCGCTGCAGAGAGAGCTCCCGCTGAGCCCCCTCGCAGAGGCGGCACTCGGGCGGGCAAGGACAGAGGGCGCTGTAACCCTCCTCCTATTGCACCTCTCCTCTCGCAGGAGCCCCCAATGCTGCTGCAGACTCTGACCCCCCAGCCGCTCATGTCTCAGCATCTGCTCCGTAAGCCTCCCCCCGAGCAGACGCGCAGCAGCAGCATGGGGAGCAACCAGAGCCGCACGTCGTCCAGGCGGCTGCGATCACCTTCCAACGAGTCCGCCCACAGAGACGACCCGCAAGGCCCCAGATCCCGGCGGGGGAGGCTGCAGGGGACGAACTCTCGGGACAGAGAGCGGGAGAGAGAACGAGAGAGGGAACGGGAGAGGGAGAGGCAGCCGCTGAACGATCCACCAGGAGCTGAGAGGAAGTCTCGGATCGACCAGCTGAAGAGAGGAGAGCCGAGCCGCAGCACCTCCTCAGGTAGATCAACGCTTGAACGTTTTTTCCACCACAACAGCCTCCGTAACGTTTAACGTTCGACTTCAGGGATGGTCTTTGACTTCTGTTGTCCCGACATCTAAATATTGTTCTGTTTTTTCTTTCAGACCGTCAGGACTCTCGCAGCCACAGCTCCAGGCGTAGCTCCCCCGACTCCGAGCGACAGGCAAGATCCCGCGCCGGCTCCTACGACAGCCGGGAACGCGAGAGGGACAGGGAGCCGTTTGAGCGGGAGCGAGAAAGAGAGAGGGAGCGAGAGAGAGACCGGAAGGACCTGCGACCTCAACAGCCGCCGCAGCAGCCGCTCCTCCTCCAGCAGCCCCTGCAGCAGCAGAGAGACTGGGAGCCTGAACCCAGAGACTGGCCCGGTAGAGGGCGGGAGCCTCTACTGATGAGACCGGGTCGGGAGCCGCTCCTCCGAGAGCGGGACATCAGGGAGAGGGAGCGCTTACTCCCAGAGGGACTCATCCAGCAGCACGAGCGCGAGCGGGAGAGAGAGAGGGAGCGAGAGCGCGAGAGGGACGGCAGGGGAGGCGATCGAGAGAGGGAGAGGATGATGATGATGGACCTGCCGCCCCACGGTGACCCCAGAGCGCCGGGACGAGGGGACATGAGAGGAGACCCGCGAGGGGACATGATGAGACAGGACCGGGTCGACTACGAGCCTCTTCTGCCGAGAGAAGCCTTCAGCCCTCCGGAGACGGAGAAGCCGAGCAACAGTCACCATCTGATGGCGGAGCACCGGGAACTGGAGAAGACGGACAGCTTGGACGGTAAGACGAGTAAAAAAGTGTAGAAGAGGTTTTTTGATGAGAATTCTGAGCTGGATTTGAAGGAATCCATGTTTGTGGTGTTCCCAGGAGACGAGGACGGGAAAGAGGATGATGGGCAGTCTGTCGCATCTGTCGGCGAGGAGTATGAACCAATCAGCGATGATGAGCTTGACGAAATTCTCAACGACAGCCAGAAAAAAGAGGATCAGCAGGAGGATGAGAAGATTACAGGTACTGAGAGAAGCAAACTCACCGAAACTTCAACGACTTCTCAGGTGCTCCTTCTGGAAATTAAATCCTCGTTTCATGTCTCATCAGGTCCTTTGGATGTGATCGATGTGGACTGGTCCAGCCTGATGCCCAAACAGAAGCAGGAGCCCCGGGCGGCAGGGGCGGCGTTGCTCCGTTTCACCCCAGGGGCCGTGCTCCTCAGGGCGGGCGTCTCCAAGCGGCTAGCTGGGCCTGAGCTCCTGGAGCGAGTCAAAGAGGTGTGCAAGACGGAGCTGGACGACCCTAAAGGTGAGAGATTGGGAGAGTCGACGTTTTGAAAATGAACAACCTGAGATGCGAAACTCCTCTAAATCTTTGCAAACTCTTTTTTTTTTTTTTTCAGAAGCTGACAAGCTGTTCGAGCATGACCTCGGCGCTCTGAATATGGCGGCCCTGAACAGGCGGGTGGAGAGAGCAGGTTTACTGACGAACCTCGGGCCCTGCTGTAAGGCTCTGTGCGCTCGCAGGGACTTCGCCATCCGCCGGCAGCTGTTAAAGAATGAAAAAGTAAGTGACATCCAGCCGCAGTCAGTCAAACCCAGGGTTCCTACTCAGTTGGAATTTCCATAATTTTCCATACTCTACTTTTTACAATTATTTCTGTAAATACCTACTTTGCTATTTTAGAAAAAAAATATTTTTTAACTGTGGTAAAAGTCTAGAAACCTAAAAATATATTTTTTTAAGACCTGGAAATTAATCAAATTACTTCTATACTTTTCCATCCTTACGTAGGAACCCTGCAAACATAAATTGACTTTAATGTATTTGTTTTAGAGCCGTCAAATAATTACATTTTTATTTTTAATATTATTTGTTTTTCTGAAACATTTTGAAGCCCACATTATCACGATGAGACAATTTCTCCTAATGTCTTTAAAATCAAGTGATCTTGGCTACAAGAGGGACATTCAACTGTTGGATGTGATGCGATTTATTTCAAGCGAACCTGCTTCCTCTTGATTATTAATCAGCTGTAGCCGCCCATTAAAGCTACCACTATTGAAAGTTTGTTCTTTGTAGAGTAGGCATGTGCCGATATGAAAAATTTGATATCACGATATTGGTGACCCAAAATATCGTGATTCACGATATTATCATGATATTAGCGCATTGTTTTAAACGTTATAAAAATGTTGGGAGCATTAGCTTTTTGGAGCTAAAGTTAGCAGAAACGTCTCTAACGTTGTCAATAATAAGCAGTAGAGTAGACCAAACTTGTTGCAGTCATGTTGTTTTTACCTTGATTTGGGCGAACGATGCTGGATGGTGAAACGTAAAACGTCCATACTGCCGACGAAACCTTTTTAATAGGAGGATACAGCCGAGGCGTTTCGTCATTCTCAGTCTGCGACTGTTCTTGGTCCAGCTGCATCGTTACGTTGGTTAGAAGTTCGAACGTGTGTGTCAACTTTTTTTTTTCTTTCTTCAAACTGTTTCCGGTTCACAGAGTGGACACGCTCCAACAGTTCTTTGGGTGGCCGCAATGCATTGTGAGTGGCCACGCTTTTTATTGTAAAATTTCTTCATTTTCTCTTTTTATGTTCCTGTTTTTGTTAGGCTGGCATTAATGTACTTAATTCGAGAGTTTGTTTTGGTTTTGGGACTACTTTTGTGGTGGTTTGTTTGTACATTTTGCTACCGAGGCTTTGACACCGTGGGTAAGACTACAAGCAGGTTAGGTTGGTAAGTACTCGGCTTTGCTCGCCTCTGCTGAGTGACGCTGCCACTCGTCTTTAAATTATAATTGTGGAACGATTATTACAGCACCTTACGATTTCATCAACGCGGCCGTTTAATATCGCATATCGCGATTAAATCGTATATCGGCGCATGCCTATTGTAGAGTTGACCGGTCATTTTTGTAAACTATACAGTCTTTTACAAGTGAAGATGGGTCGTTTTTCTGGTGACACAAAAAAGATGTGTCCGGTTAAAAAAATCATCTCACCTCTGCCAAAGCTTACTCTTAATGTTGTTGGATACTCTAGATTTCACTCTTGGACAGTGACTTGAAATACCGACCCCCTTTCTGTGGAGGATCAGGAGCATTTGCCCTGCTGTTTTCCGAGTTCATGTCCCCAAAAACATGAAATCTGTGTCTAAATCAGTGTTCATAACTTCCATATTTGCATCAGTTTCTCAACTAAACTTTACAAACACATATTTGATGTGACTTCTCTTCCTCCAGGGCCTGACCAAACAGTACCCTGCTACACCTGTGGTCGACACAGAGCTGCTGCAAATGAGCATGCGTCTCTTCAGAAGGACCATGGCGGGCCAAACCTCGGGACCAGAGAGGTCTGACGTGGGGTCAGCACCTGCATCAGAGGTTTCCGCGGCAGGTAGTGGTAGTAAGGTTAGCCCAGCGCAGACTGAGGTGTGTGTGTCCTGAGAGAGAAACGGACATAGTGAGTCCAACAGGTGAAAGTGAACACATGTTGTCGCCCTTGACTCTGTCCTTTTTTATCACATGCATATCCATTTTAGGTCAGGAGAAGAAATAAAGAAAAAAAAAACAGCAAAATTGTCAATCAGTTATGCTCTCCGTGTATTTGGTGATCTGGAAATGATGTGCCACAGACTACCGAACATTTTCGCCTATGGACGCGTGTCATGAACCATGCACAAGAAGCATCAAACACACCTGAAATGAATTTTCTTTTTTTTTGTGGTTTACTATGTTTTTAGAGCTGCTTTTAAATTGTCAGTGTCACCCCGCCTAAACAAGTTTGAATATCGTTTTCATTTGTTGTGCATTGGTTTACATCATCTGTGCATTAAAATGGGTAGATGTTGATTTTGGTAACGGGTCTTTTGCTTTTTAACAAGTGACTGTGCAGCCTTTAAAGCATGTCATGTTATTCTTGTTTGTTTGCGACATTTTCCCAAAAACCATGCAGAGCAAATCTCCTGAATTTGCCGCAGATTGTTACTGATGAACACTGAATCATCCTGCAGGGACTTGATTGAACATTTCTCATGAGTAAGCACTGCCAAACTATTCCTGTATTGGATGTACTTTGTTAGAACTGTTGGGGAACAACAGTACTGCTTTTTTTTCGCCTGATGCATTTGTTGTTGAATGGTTTGGCAATGTCTCCTTGAAATAATAATGAACTGAAGCAAGCAAAGAGTACCAGATCTCCAACACTGCCATGATGAACTCCTCTCAGTAACCTCCACCAGCCCACTTTACCCAAAAAGACACTATAGAGACCCCTTACATTTACAAAAAAATGACTGAAAAGGTAAATAATTTCAACTTTTCATCACATATCTGTTGCCTGTGAATGACCATCCATGAGCCCCAATAAAAAGACTTGAACAGGTGGATAAACTCAACTTCTGGGATGTTAATTCAACACCTGAAAAAAAAGCAGGTTGCGCATGCTTTTGGACAATAAATGCAATGGACAAACAAGTTTGAGGAGCATAATAAGAACGAGGGTAAATGACTGTAAACTAAAAGCCCTGGACTTATAACATCTCCCTCCACTCAAGCAGCTATGACTTGAAATCTGAATGACTGGGCTCCATCCATACATTTTTTTCATACTATATATTTATTTTGTTAGACAAGATCGATTCTAACTGTGTAAGAAATTATCTCTAGTTTAATTCTGTATTTTTTTTAACTTTACAATAAATGTGAAATGCCTTTTTTTTTATTTTGATCACAGTCTTAACAGGTAAAGACCACAAACGATTTAAATATAGGTGCTTGTTCTATGATGACAGCAGCTGGAGGCGAGGTAAGTGCTGAGTTTGAAGATATTTTATCTACTGAAGGTAATCATGTATGAAGAATTCAGTATGATGAAATTTCTAACAAAAGACAATTCAGACAGAAAACAAGATTCATAGTTCAAGTGCCAATACTGATTTAAGTATTTGTTCTATCTGCTGTTACTCTAGGGCAGTGGTTCTCAAGTCCACACCTGATTCAAATGATGAGCTCGTTAGTAAGCCACTACAGAGCTTGATAACGAGCTGATCATTTGAATCAGGTGTGTGGGCCTCGAGGACTGGACTTGAGAACCACTGCTCTAGGGTGATGATTTTAGACTATATATTTTAAAGTCACCAGGTCTTACATTATCATTTACAATTAAGATTCTAGAGATGGAAATGGTGATCCACTTGAAGAAAAACATCATCAGCACAGGTTATAATTAAAGGTTGAAGTTGCTGGAGTTGGGGTGATTGTATTTGGGGAAAGATAGTACCGAACTGTTCAGAGCTTTTGAGGTCAAAAGATATACTTAAACTATCCTGAATTTTAAGAGGAGACAGTGTGTGAGTTTTGACACCAGGGTTTGCCAAAATCTGAGTGTTGATACGGAGCAACTGATAAAGGCTGGTTAAGTACCTTTCACGCGCATTTTATACTTGAAGAAAAGTTTTTTCATTTTTGTTGCTAAATGTACCCATAAAATTGGTCAAACTTGTTCACAAGCCAAGGAATTATAACATTTGTCTATGTTCAAAATCAGAATTACTTTATTGGTCCAAAACTAGGAAATTATAGTGTTACAGCAGCATTTTCTTAGAGAGTCAAAACAATATAGAAATGTAAGAAAGACACATATATATAAATTATAGACTGTATCAAGAATGGACACCGTCTGCCTCCTTGCTGGGTGAAGCCACTCTGAGAACAGCACCCTCTGTTGACAGGCTGCAGTATTGTTCATGAATCTCGCCTCTTCCAGCAATCCCTATGGAGCTGTGGACAAATTTTTGAGATTTATTACACAGAATATAAATTTTTCTCCCCCCTGCTTACGGTGTTGAAATGTAGTTACTGTAAGACTGGTTTGTGCTCAAGTCCTCTTTTTTCTGTGAAGCTCCGTTTTTAAAAGTTATTAGGGGGTTCATGTTTTCTTTGATTGACACCTGATACAGCCTATTGGCCTTCAGGGATTGTGTAGCTCACCCGGGGGAAACGCTGTTAAAGCCGAGCATCATCACGGCAAACTTTTATACATTAAATACAGAACAAAACACATATTGGGCCTTTTAGCTGGAATTTGACAAGACCAGTGTGCAAGTTAAAATAAAAAAATATGAATACGTAATAAGCAATTAAAGTAGTATATTACAGTATTTACGGGTAGGTGAGCAGAGTACATATATCATAATAAGGACACTGACAATACTCTAGTCTAGTCCTTAACCCACAACCCTCTGTTTTTTTTCTTTCAGAGCCAATTCTGCTTAAAGTATCAAGAAAAGATACCAGCATTTAAAATTCATGACAAGATATTATCTTAAGTGTAGTCCAAAATTCGCATTATTTAAAAATATACCAAATTGATAATCCATTTTACGAAGTTCATATATTACCAGTTAATTGATTTAGTACATTAAAGGTGTACATCATAGAAACATGTAGTTTATTTATCAAAAAAGAATACTGATATTTTGAGTTTTTGGTCGACTTGAAATCTACCCCTAATTGTAGAATGACTCTTAAGTTCGCATCGCTTTATCTGTTTGCCAACATTTATCCTGACAAATCGCCATTATAGTCTTTGTAACATTTTATAATTTCACTATATTTTTCTCGGTTTTGTTTTCTTTATGTTTGTTTCTCGTTTAACCCCTTTCTAGACGACATTATCAAACTCGGAACCAAATATTCTAGCAAAATCCCACGAACATTACAAAAGTCGGACCGATTTCCTTTACCCACAACCCTCTCCTTCAATTCAGTCCTTCCGACTTCCGCCTCAACTACGAGCCGAGGTGAGATTTTTTATGTGGGATTACAATCCTACAATCTAACATCATCCTGCGGTATAAAAGCTTTAATATAACACGTCCACACTCTTAATATGCACATTAGTGTTCTATTGTGTTGTTTTTAATGATTTTTGTGTGGATGGATGAGGTTTTAGTGTTTTTTTGAAGCGGTGAACTGGAGCGTTGTCGCTGGCCGGAGTGGCTTCACATTAGCCGGCGGTTCACAGCTAGTTTTCCGAAAGCAGGAGAATCGACACTTTTAGAGTAATTAAGTGTATAATGTGAAACGCTACGTTGAGTTGAAGCTTCTGTTTAAAAGTAGATGAATGTTATCTTGCCTTAAGAACATGTTTTGTCGTTTAATATGGAAAATAACACTCGGGGGATACATGAATGTTTTACTGAACGGTGTGCTGAGTCAAACAGTGTCGTTGTTTGACTCCAGTACTGTCATAAATGTTTTGCTGTTTCTTTAACTCACTAATATTTTTTTATTCTAGATGGCCCCAACTAAGAAAGGAGAGAAAAAGAAGGGGCGTTCAGCCATTAACGAGGTTGTGACCAGAGAGTACACCATCAATGTCCACAAGCGCATCCACGGAGTGTGAGTACTCAAGGATTCTCAGTCAGTATTTATACTTTAAATGTGTGCATTACTAATGTTACTGCTGCACGTTGACATAAATTAAGCTAGATTTTTCAGTACCATCATCACCAGCTCAAACACTTTGTTTGCACATACACCTTACAACATTTGTGTACATTTAAAGGGGTTTTGTGTCTTATTAGTCCCTGCTGTTTCTTACTACTGGATTACGATGAGTCTTGTTCTCCGATAGAAATTTATACCACCATATGTTTTGTGTTGTTTGGACGGTGACTTAGTTTCTGTGTCTCCCTGCAGGGGCTTCAAGAAGAGGGCTCCACGCGCCATCAAGGAGATCCGCAAGTTCGCCGTGAAGGAGATGGGAACTCCAGATGTCCGCATTGACACACGCCTGAACAAGGCTGTGTGGAGCAAGGGTGTCAGGTGAGCCTACCTGAGCTATGCACGTTCAGATTGATGTTTCAAAGATTATGATTTTATGAGTATAAATGCTCTCTTTTGCTGTTCTACGAATTGGCATTGGTTATCTTGTGTTTCTGTAGGTATTAAGCAACATGATTTTATTTTGGTCATGTCATGGATCAGTCTTTTACCCATAGTGCAAGATGTGCAGCACTTGTCCCACTTACTATATACCACCAGCTTGAATGTACCTTTTGTGATGGGGCTTATGAATGGATGTGACACACAGCTTAATCAAGAACTCCCCTTTCAACTGTCAAAGCGTTAAACGAAGTAAATGTAGATTTGGGAAAAAAGTTTGAGCTCTCAGCATACTAGCAGATGTGGGAAATTGCAGTAACTGTGTTTAAGTTGATGTTTTTGACTATTTGGAGATGCGTTATTTTCCCAACAGCATCATTTTTCATGACACACAAATGTGGAGAGCTGAGGTCTGCTGTCAGTTCAGACGTGAAAGTGTTGATGTAGAAACGGAATACTCAGAGTGCTGCACAAATGTGAAGGAATGCTTGAGAAATAGCTTTTAGAAAAATCTTCGACTTTTAGGGCTTTTTGAATGAATCTCAACTTTTAGATTGTGTTCTAACTTTTTGTGAGGCAAGGAGATGAAAATATGAAAAGGTACTACATTCCCAGTTTACAATTTTGTTTTTTTGTTTAGCTGTCAAAAACATGTATTCTTTTTCTCACCCTGAAAAGCAAAGGTTTTATACCGCACTTTAGCCAGAAATGAGTCTGTTTTTAACCTCTACACTGAGACTTCTGATGAAGGTTTTGCATTCACAGAAATGGGATTTTTGTGATTATTCCTGTCCGTAATGTTTGTACTGATATCAAATGCTTCAAACAGATGCTAACAGCCGTGGTGTTTTTGTTTTTGCGCAGGAACGTGCCGTACAGGATACGCGTTCGTCTGTCCAGGAAGCGTAACGAGGACGAGGACTCCCCCAACAAACTGTACACCCTGGTCACATACGTTCCTGTCACCACATGCAAAGGTAAACTCACAGCTAACTGGGTTTATCATCTAAAGTGATAAAGAATTATTTACTAATATCTCTTTTTTCTTTCCTCACAGGTCTGCAGACAGTCAATGTTGATGAAAACTAAATGTGTTCCTCTGCGAGTGAAATAAACAAAAGAAAAGGACTTTGTCTGTTGTCTTTAATTGTTTGTGCTCTCCACTGAAAGCAGTGTGCTTGATCTATTCTTTTAAAATTTGTATCACAGCAGAAAATCCTGGAAATGTGTCCTCAAAAAATTTTAACTCGCTTTGAGTTTTCCACAGATTGGGTGCTTGAGAATTCAGCATGTCTGTTATTTCCTTTTACAGATGAGTTTTCAGTGTATTGATAGTAATACAAAGACTTAAAGCGAGGAGATGCATCCAAAGCATGTCATGTATTAAGCATTTATTGTATTACACAATGGCCTTCAAGGATGTCTGCACTAATGATGGAAATACTGTATTTTACTTAATCCTAGAAATATAATTGCAAAATATCTTCTGTAACAAAAACATTTAAGAATCTTCACTGTCAAATATCACTGCACCATAATTTCTAACTCGAACGAGTCAGTTTTGAAGTCTTTGTATTTGAAGAAATCGTAAAACTCCAGTTGGATTGTTTACAGGTCAAGCATGAATTGATGTCCGCGGTGCGCATGCGTTACTGATACACCGCCGCTAGGGGAGCTATTGAGCTCATCGGCTCTGAGTCTGACGTTGAGAAGAAAAGACACACAGCAGCAGAGCTAGACCGATGTTATGGCCCCGTTTATCACTCCATCCAGAGTTTGCGCTGCTGTGAAGTAGCTACAACTCCAAAGGCGGGTAAGACGTTACACTCTAGCGTGGGTTTGCTGATCCTGACATATTGTAATATCCTCGCTGAGAAAGACTTGTCTTGTTGTTGACGTCTGCTTCATGTCTGGTAGGGACAGGTGTGGCTAACTTACCAACCTGCTAGCTAGTTTGCTAACTTGAATACAGTTAAGGGTAACTGCGCTAACGTAAGGTGTCTGTTGGCCAGCTTTTCAAAACTACATGAGGGTGCGAACGTTGACATTGATTAGGTCTAAGCAAGCGTTCAGTATGGTGTTTTAGATAAGCTAATCGCTAATTAGGCAGCTCTGGTGTTCCGCGGAAAAGTGTTACCCTTTAGGGAATGCTACCAAGCGGCTCTTCGCATGCGCAGAGATACGAGCTCAGGCGCCTTTCATTGTAACTATCGATAAATACAAAAAGTTAAATACATTATTATTTCTGTGATTAGACAATAGAGAGACACGGTTACCTTTAGATAAAGACAGAAATGTAGCGAGTAGTAGTGCTGCATATCGTGATAATGTAACATGAGCATTACTTAGTCGAGGATGGTGACGTGGCACGGTAGCATTTTTCAACAGAACACCGGTCCTCAGGCAGCTCACTGTGTGCAGGTGGGGACGCCGCTCTGGGTTTCCATGGCCGTCGGCTGATGGGCGAAGCGATGCGGCACCACTGGCTGCTCCTCGGGGCTTGCGGCTGGGTGCTGCTCATCCTCATGTTTGTCAGCAAGTTCATCAGCTTCAGGGCGATAGATGGTAAGCTGTTGTCCCAAGCATTGCTAACTGCAGAGAGTCAGGTGTGCTGTATTACAGAAACCTAATCAGGTTTCTCTTAACTTGTGTTTTCAGACTATGGAGAGAGGACTGTTGGTCAGAACTGGACTGTGCCTGGCACCAAGCTGGTTAAACCCAACCCTGTGCTCAGTTTGGAAAAGCCGGTTCCAAAGACAGGCATGAAGCCATCAGATAAGGTAATAAATGCAGCTCTTTACTATCAACAAAACGACCCTCAAAGTTAATTAAAAGTAGGGCCCAACCGATTTCTCGGTCACATCGAGTTAACGGTGAAGCACCATGTAATATGCAAATTAAAGTTCGAGTTAGCCATCTGCTATTTGCCTTGTTACACTGTTAGCTGTGCCAGTAAAACGTAGAATAAACAACAGTACACATTACGTGATCGAGCTACTTCTCTTACTGAGGCAGCTGCATGTCTCCAGATGAGACCGGACCAGAAATGTGTAACGTGAGTTAAGACGCGAGGGCACCGATCGGCGGGCGTGGGGTAGGGGGTAGTTAAAAAGGCTTTTCTAGTCTGAGTTTGATCAGTTTGTCTTCCTGTTGGCGTGTAGTGCAGTATCCTACAGTATATATACAGTATACTGTAGATATCTACAGTATATATATTTTGCATAACTTCATATAAAATTTAAAAAATCGGCCGATTAATCGGTAATCGGACCCCCCCCCCCCCCCCCCCATAATCGGTATCGGCCCCAAAAAATCCATGTTGGTCGGGCCCTAATTAAAAGTAATGCTATTAATGAGTAATTTTATAGACAATTTTAACAGACAATAATATTGCATACAGTGGTATTGAGTCATCCTGAATCCCAATTATAAAAATTTCCTCACCCTGACAGCAAACAGACAGATGATCATCTCACAGCGCTGCACACTTTGGCAGCAAATGGAGATAAAGATGTGAAGTGGCTGTGTCGGGTTAAACTGGCATATAACTAACTAGAATAATGTGTGTGAAACTTCTTTGACTCTGTTTATCTGCAGGATGTTCTAAAAAAAAAAAAAGTCGCTTAGCTGCAACGGTTGGTCACCTTTCCATGGCAGTGTTATTGTTGTTAGCCTGCGTAAACATCAAATTAACTTCAAACTTAATATTTTCAATCATGGATAAACACCAGCAGTTTTCTGTCTGTATTTGGAACAGATGCAGATAATTACATCAGTACCTGTCTAAATGTAAGTTTAATCTTTGTGTTGTATTCAGCCAGTCCTGTAACTCTGACAAAGGCGCTGTGCCGGGGTTTGTTGGTGATTCCTGTCTGTTCTCTTCCGTCGGGTTGACTTTCACTCAGCTTCTTCTGCGCTATTTTTACGCTTGTCGCCTTCTTTTCTCTGCTGGTAACTGCTCAGTTGTTAACCACTTGTCCACCGACACTATCGGACACTCAGGCTTTGTCAGCAGGAGAAAGAAGGTGAAATCAGAAATGTTGCACTTGTGTTTCTTAAACAACGGATCTGACCTCTCGGGATTAATGACTCTTGTCAGGAGTTTCAAGTATCAGAATCAATTAATGCGGGGCAAAAGCGTTCAAATTTGCCATCACTCACACAGCTGTAATTGGTGTTTCAGCTGACAGCAGTCCCCATAGCGACAGAGTGGCAGTCAGTGGCTGAGAGGCGGATCGAGCTGCTCTCATCTGTGTGTCAGAACAGCAGCCTCAGGAATTTGACCCACGTCTCCATCAGCAAGTTTGTGCTGGATCGCATCTTTGTCTGCGATAAACACAAGATCTTGTTCTGCCAGACGCCTAAAGTGGGAAACACACAGTGGAAGAAGGTCCTCATTGTGCTCAACGGTACGTAAAACGCTGAATGGAAGTAGTAACAAAGCAGGGTTTTAAAACATAGTGTAGTGTAGTGACTGTGGCTGCATTTTCACCGACATGGGAGGTTTAATTCGTGAATTCACTCGCGTTTGTGTTTTTGGCGTTGGCAGGCGCATTCCCCACCGTGGAGGAAATCCCAGAAAATCTCGTCCATGACCATGAGAAAAACGGCCTACCACGCCTCTCATCTTTCAAGCCACAGGAGATCACTCAGAGGTTTGTGAAATCCAGGTTTAGATCATGTAGTTTTTGCTCTTTAAAGCCGTGTGAGCGTATCAGGGGAGAAAGTGCTGGAAAATTAAACGTCTGAATTGAAGGAACTGCATGATTGATTTTATACCAACCATCTTGCTTTTCACCTACAGATTGAGCACCTACTTTAAGTTTTTCATCGTGAGGGATCCCTTCGAGCGCGTCATTTCCGCCTTCAAGGATAAGTTTGTCAAGAACCCTCGCTTTGAGCCTTGGTACAAGCACGACATCGCTCCAGCCATCATCCGTAAGTACAGAAAAAGCCACCGTGACAGCGACCGCGCTGCCTCCGGCCTGCACTTTGAGGACTTTGTGCGCTACCTCGGCGACACTGAAGGCCGTCACCGCATGGACCGACAGTTTGGGGAGCATATTATTCACTGGGTGACTTACGCAGACTTGTGTGCGCCGTGTGAAATACACTACAGCGTGGTCGGTCACCATGAGACGCTGGAGCAAGACGCCCCGTATATCCTCAGAGCCGCTGGCATCGACCGGCTCGTGTCTTACCCGGCCATTCCTCCCGGAATCACCCGCTACAACAGGACCAAGGTGGAGCACTACTTCTCAGGCATCAGTAAACAGGACATCAGACGGCTGTACGCACGCTACCAGGGCGACTTCCACCTGTTTGGTTACCCGATCCCAGACTTCCTGCTGAACTAACAGGATTAACACTGACTCACGGACGTTTTCATCGTCACATTTCTCAAAGACCGAGGGGTTATCGTAGCTGACTGTGCGCGCCTCAGAGACTGAAATGCAGAAGATTGCACAAGGAAACATCTTTGTTCTTATTTTAGAAACTGGTGTTAAAATAACTGACAGATTGTTGCTATTTTGGCCTAAAGTTGCTACCTTTATGATATATATTTAACAGTGTTTTTAAGGAGAGAGGCTATTAATGAAAACGGATCAGCCGCATTAGCAGATCCAGTTGTGCTATAAGCCGCAGAATGTATCAGAAAACAGCGAATTTAAAGGTAGGAGACAGGCACAGAGCAGTTATCACTTTATATTGAATTTTAGAGAATGAAGACTTCTTATTTCAGTGATGTATACTCAGTATAGCCATGGATACAGGCCCATTACCCTGTGATGTAGCTATTATCCTGCACTGTTTTCAATGAGTCATCTCATCCATGGACAGCCATTTGGATTTCACATGATGAGTCTTAACTTGCTGTCAGAGATGGGGGTGGAGATGCGCTGTATCAAATCTCACAGTAACAGGAGGAGAGTAAATGACGCGCAGCACTAGTTATTAGTTTATGATTTTCTTACTTGACTTTACCGTTGGTTTTTGCTCTGTTGCAAGCATTGAAGGGGAATGTTTTTTTTTTTAATCTGGAGCTTCATTTCTACATGTTTTAGGGTCGTAAGGACTACTAGATACACAAATAACATCTTTTCAGTTAAATATCTCCCACCTAAAGGGGTGAAACAGGCTCTAATATTTGCTGCTGGACTTAAATATTAAATATCAGTCACATCATTTTTATTTTTTTGTAACTTAAAGCCTCAGATTGCAGACAGAAGTCATATTATTTATTCTAAATTCTGTATTTTATGAAGTGATCAAAGTGACAAACTGAACAGGAGGTAGATAAACAACGCCAGCCCTTCTGCAAGGCTTGAATGATAATTTTTTGCCATGGAATTGGACGTATCACTAGTTTATTATTATTATTATTATTATTATTATTATTATTATTATTATTATTATTATTATTATTTTTAAATTTATTAAGACCTTTTACCCCTGTAACGTGCAAAAAAAAAAGCCAATTGATTTGTTTAGCACAGTGGTTCTCAAGTCCAGTCCTCTAGGCCCACTGTCCTGCCCTGCTCCAACACACCTGATTCAAATGATCAGCTCGTTATCAAGCTCTGTAGTGGCTTACTAACGAGCTGATCATTTGAATCAGGTGTGTTGGAGCAGGGAAACACCCAGAACATGCGGGACAGTGGGCCTCGACAACTGGACTTGAGAACCACGGCCCAGATTTAAATATAAACCTCCTTTTGAATCCTTGTGACACAGTAAATCCTCTCAAAACAGGCCTCACACTGAAAAAGTTCCACATCCTGCCCTGGTCCACACTGTAGCCTTTTTTTTTCTTCGTTTACTAAAACTGACTCGGTAAATAACGTATGTATACTCGGCTGATAATTGCACTGGGACAATGAAGGAAAAGTGACACTGTATTTTAAAGGATCATTTTTCTATCAGAAATGTCGTGTAAATGTTCTTAACATGATCTGCAACTCCACATTTGTATTACATGTTGCTATTTATAATAATATGGTATTAACCTGCTGCTGATCGGGGGCACAAACGTGGTCTTGAATTATTGGACGGTACTTCCTCCCTGCTGTCACCTGTTGACATTTTAAACAGGTGGTCAGAGTATGAGGAGGGCGACACTACTTAGTAATAAAGTTCATGGGAAATAAACGTGTGTGTGTGCTTATCTTGTGGCTTCTTGAAGTAGTTTAAATGATGCTCCCACAAAAGTCTGAGACTGTTTGATTTTGTTTTTCTATGCTGTACTAAATGTGGATGTAGGAGATGCTGGTCTAACATAACTTTAGGTCAACTTAGCTGCACCTCTAATGATACAAACCTGAACCAAACCTTTCATCTTAACCTCTGAAATTGAGAAGTTGAAGAACAATCAAACTCTTTTTAATCAGATCTTTTTTTTTTTTTTAGATTGGAAATAATCCAGGAGTATTTCCTTTTTAATTTCCAATCTTTCTGCAGTGACAGCAGATATCCACAGGAGGGCAGTAAAGACTTCACAATATGGGAGTTAAACCTCTGGATAACTGGCCCCCCACAGGCTGTATTGACACTTGAAACATAAAAAGAGGGCAAAATAACAACTCAACAGCAGTATTTATTCACAAACACGCACACAGAGCAGGATTTACTTTATCAGTGTTATCTATAGACGCTTACTTTCCTGCAGAAGGATTTAAATTGATTTACGGAGCTTAAGATCCTGTTAAGTGAGCTTAAGCTTTTGTTAAGTGTCTTAAGTATTCGTTTAAGTGCTTTAAGTTGAGGCTACATGCTCTAGTGTATGTGTTTGTGTATGTTTCCCCACTGGCAGATCTCTCGTCCTGTCCGACTGGTTTGCCCGGCCCTGCTGTTTGAATATTGGGTTTGTTTAACCAAAAGATTAGCGCTGTGTGTTTGAGCGTGTCATTGTGTGGTTGTGATAAATAACTGAACCACTGCAGCTCAGCTTTTGTGCTCTCTGCGCCCCTGTTAAGACACTGACGCCTGTTCTCAGACTGTTAGTTAAGATGTAGGGCTGTAAAAAGAGGAGTGCCAGTTTTTTCCAAAACTACATATACACTTCACACTATAATTAACTATATCATCAATACTTTATAACATTTCTATACACTTAAGTGTCTGACAGTCTTTTTAAAGTGTACATAAAGATTTTTGTAAAGGTGAAATCATTATTATTATTAGAAACAGGTGTGAAAACACCTCCTTTAAAGCCACCAAACCCCATTCACAAAAACAATCATTCTACCCCCCATTAGACAGGAGTTGTTGGTCTGCTGCTGCCTTATTTTGTTACTTTTTTGTGAAGACAGTGTTTGAAATAGTTGTTTCGGATCATACATGATGTTTTTATTGAAGAAAATTGACAATCTAGTCAGAGGTAGACCAGCAGCTCCTTGATGTTACTACTTGGTAAAATGACTGTTTGTGTAAATGGCATCCTGTGGATCAGGTGACAGCTACTGTATGTATAGACTGTTTCTGCTCACCAAAAAGTGTCTTTTTTGTTTAAAAACATGGTTCTTTGGGTGGGTTTTCTTGCTTTCTCTTTACAAACAGACAAAAATGTACCCATATATGCATTCTGACCATGTATACAGTCAGTGGCTGTGATTTAATTGATTTTGTTCTTCATACTTTTATCTTGTTTAATGTGATTCAAGATCTGGGCTGTGTCCGAAATGAATCACTCAATCCCTAACCCCTAACCCCCATATGGGGTTTTACTATATAGTTGACAGGGTAGTTTTCAGGGGAAACCACCATGTTTAAAACCCTTTTAACCCCAAGCAGTTGCAGTAAGTGATTTTTGTAAATTCTGATCGACAGCATGATGAGATTTTTGGTTGAAAATACCTTTAATATGGTCCAAATAACACTAACCTCGAGCAGTGTTTTTCAAGTCCAGTCCTCAAGGCCCACTGTCCTGCATGTTTTGGATGTTTCCCTGCTCCAACACACCTGATTCAAATGATGAGCTCGTTAGTAAGCCATTACAGAGCTTGATAACGAGCTGATCATTTGAATCAGGTGTGTTGGAGCAGGGAAACATCCAAAACATGCAGGACAGGGGGCCTCGAGGACTGGACTTGAGAACCACTGACCAAGAGGTAGGGTGCACTGCTTTGTCCAGAAGAGACAAAATCCACTCACATGTAATGGGGAATATTACATGTTAGTATTACATAAAATGATAAATTACAACAAACTGAAATAGCTGACATATAAATAAAAGGAAATTTAAAAAAAAACAGTTCGTTTAGGGTTTAATATAGACAATTACAACACTTCAGGTAGGCGCATCAATACAAAGTAAGACAGATTCAACTTGAAAATAATGTTGGTAATTTAATATTGAATAAAACTGACGGTCAACTATAATCAAAGGCTAAAATCAGTAGACATTCAGAGAAGACTGAGAATCCACTAATGTGAATGTTCTAGAGAAAGCCTGAGTTATTTCATCCTTGTGTCCTTTAATCCAGTTTGGGAAACAGTGCAGTGACAGAGCCAGCATCACTCCTGAGATTGCTCACCTGCCACACCCATGATTACCAATATTGACTCTGGAGTTCACTCTGCGCATGTCCAGAAGGATGCTGTGTGAGGGGGGTCCACTCCTGTCTGCTTCTGTTTATCTTACCTGCACTCCTGCTTGTATGAGAACATTAACATGCAGGTGTGTGTAAAAGTGAAGGTGTGTGTAATGCTTTTCTCGGCGTCCACGCTTGATGTATGAAGGCCCAGCCCTTTTCTTTCTGAGTGAAGCCGACCGGCTTCCTGTGTTTGTGCGGCTCCGAATCAAATCCGTCAAGTTAAGGAGGATTGGGTAGGATGCAAGCGGAAATAGGATGGTTTTATTTTCACCATAAAAGTGTTTCAGTAATTCGACACACTTAAATAAGTCTACTTATTCACGACATTTCCCAGAACTTTAGGGATTAGAGACTTACTATGAAGGCAACTCCTGTCAATATGGTTTTGCCACTGTCATGTGTTTTAGTTTACCATATTAATAGTCAGTTAATAAGGCTAATATAAACTCCTATAAATGGAACCAACCTTAAAAGGTTCTCCCTAGATTTGGTGTAGCAATAACTAACATTTAACTTATTAAAAAAATTTAATTGGACATTTTTTAGACCACAGATCTAAACACCAATTATTTAAATGACTTTATCTGACCATTTTAGTACATTTCCTTCAGTTCGTCAGACCCTACTTTTTTCTACTATTTATAACACATTTGAACCTAATGCACTGGTTATTTTTTTAATGATAACCTTACTCATTTGAAGCATTTTGTGTTACATTTCTGGTGTATGAGTGGTCTACAAATCAAAACTAACAGATAGACTTGCATACAAGCATATTTCCATTTCAGGTTCCTTTTTATTTCTTTTCTAATTTTATTTTAATTTTACTCCTTGGTAAAATGACTGTTTCTGTAAATGGTGAGTTTTGAAAAAACACTGCTGAAAAATCCAGGTTTCAAGTCTTTTTAGTGTCATTTTAGGAAATTTGAAATCTGATATCAGTAACTTTTTTTATTTTTTATTAGGTGATGCAGGACAGATCATGACAGGTGGTTGACAACATATATATAGTGCAAACAGACAATGGAGACAAGACAAAGTGACAAATACAGCAGGAGCACATAACATTTATTTAGAAAGTGTTGCAAGACTGTGTTTTAATAAGTGTGGGTGGTGGGGTGTTTTAATGTGTGTTGTGAAGTGTGTGTGTTTGTGGGTGAAAATGTTCCCTCTTCATCCCGAGATTGTGATGCTTGTTGTGAAAAAAAGTGAAAGAAGAAAGAGTAAGCGTTATGACTTTACAAAAATTACAAAAATAATTACTATTACAATAATAGAGCAGAGAAAAAAAATTAAATGATAAAAATAAATAAATAAAGAAGGTGGTTGGGAAAGAAAAAAAGTAATAATAATAAGTAATCAAAATAAAATAAATAAGTAGGTTAATAAATAAATAAAGTAGATGGCAGGAAAATAAAAAAGTTATAATAATAATAATAAGTATTAAAAATTAAATAAGTAGGTTATAAATAATAAAATAACAGGTAAAGACATTCTATCTATCTATCTATCTATCTATATATATAAATATATAAATTAAGTAAATGAATAAATAAATGTGGTAGGATATAGTTATGATAATTATAGAAGAAATTATGTTATACATCCTTATTTCTGGTGCATTGATATCAGTAACTGTAAGTTTGCGTAAATACACGCTTCTTTTATTTTGAAACTCTCTGGCGGAAGTCTTCGTTTAACATCTATCTTGTCACCAGTGGCACGAGCTCGGAGAGAGCGGACAGGGAGCCCGCTGCTGCCACCTCAACATGGAGTAGCGAGAGCCCCAGCGGTAACTGCTCATCAGCGGATCCCACAGAGAGGAAGACGCTCCGGCCTCTGCTCGATTTAAGCGCCGAAGTCCCCGCAAATGCTCCAGCTGCGGTTATTTTTTGTTCACGCGAAGGAAAGCTCGGCTTTTATTTGAAAGATGGCGAACGACTCTCCAGCTAAAAGTCTGGTAGACATAGACCTGGCTTCACTGCGGGTGAGTGCTGCCGAACCGAGCCTGTGCGTGTGTGTTTTTTGGTCGTTTTGCAGCCTGTTATTCCATATTTCTCGATGAAAAACATGATTTTTAGTGTGGCTAACATCCTCAAGTTAAACCCGATGGTCAGGGTGTCTTGGTGTAGCCGCTGATCTGTTGAAAATGACCGCTGAGCCGTAGCGAGGTGTTGCCAGTGTCTGGTTTTCCTTTGTTCGAGATGCGTTTGGCATGTAGGGGAGACCGGGGCGCAACAGCTGGCTCACCCTGGACTATGTTGTTTATACAAAATAATATGAAACGCACTTGATTGACTCTGAATGTGTCTTTTTCTTTCAGGATCCAGCTGGGATATTTGAATTGGTGGAGGTAGTTGGAAATGGCACCTATGGACAAGTATACAAGGTTGGTTGGAGGCGCAGTGCATGGCCTGTCCTGTTTTCACAGTCTCTGCTCAGGATAGCTAATGTTTTTTTTCCTCCTCATCAAGTCTAGAAACAAAGGAATCCCCATAAAAAAGACCTGTCTTTGCTTTTAAACCTCTCTACTTAAAATTTTGTAGAAAGATAGGATGTAAAGGTGGAGTTTCTAATCATAGCGGCTTATCTCTGGTGTTATTGTTAATTATTCAGCTGGGAGGTGTGTGTTAAGAGTGAATCAGACAGTCTACTGTCTGATGCATCACCTATCTTACATCACCTGCCTTACTGAAAAGCGGATGAGGAGGCCAGGATGGAGAAATCTGTCACAGGACTAATCCCGGTGGCCTCTATCTGCAGCCCAGTCCTTCTCTCTCTGTTCTCAACAAAACCACATTTTCTCTCGTGTATAAATCAAGACTTTTACACTTCAGTGGATGGGAATCCCACTCTCTAGGCCATCTGCTGCTGGTGTCACATTTCTTTGTAGAAAATTAACATTACGGCTGTTGAAAGACATCGCCAAGGAGGGAGTGAAAGCTTGCAGTAGTGTAGGAGTCAGAGATGTGGTTGATGGAGGGATCGGGCAGCCTAATGTTGTAATGCTCCGTTTTTTTTAAAGCTGCAGCGAGTCATTACAGGCTTATTTTGTTGCTTGCCTAATGACATAAACCACAAGCCATAGTGATTCTGATGCTCCAGTCACAAGCATTGTTGAATAGTGTAGCTCTGTTTAAACCTTCTGTTATGCATGAACTAATGAAACATTAGCTATAATTTAAAAGATTATTTGTAAATACATCTTGGCGAAAGTTACAAATGTACATGGAGACAACGCTCTGCTGTCTTCGCCTGTCATGGAGCATCGTAGGCTGATTCTGCTTTTGCTACTCATCTGGAGCGCGTATCAAAAGACGCTAGTCGATCGCGCGTATGAACGGCTCGTTAGCCAGCGAGCGCCAACTGCGGCATTAACGTTCCGGAGTAGACGTGCTGCAAACAACAGACGGATAAAGACGAGACGGCGACAGGCATTAATGACGTGTGTGATGCGTTTCCTGTGATTGGTGTGGATGACGTTCACTCACTTGATAGCGGTCCGAGAGCACCTCTTCAGGTGGACCAGAGTTCGTTTATTTAGTCCGCACCAGAGTTCGAGGTCAGCGTTCACACCGACCCAAACGAACCGCACCAAGGGGGTAAACGCTCAAGGGTTCGATTCAACCGGACTAAACGAGGGTGGTGTGAACGCGCCCTGAGATTGTTTTCATGACTGAATCATATGAAGGTTACTGTCCTGTAAGCGAGGCATCAGCTGTAAACCTCTGCCCAACAAGAATGTAAAACGTTTGTTTGACTCATATGAGTGCTTCGTACTGTGCTAAGCCACAAGTTGACTCTATTGTCCTGATTGGAAGAAGTGGGCTTCAGCATGGTGCGCAACCACGAGCATGGATACATAACATGGACATGATGTATAATACCATACTTTCAACTGTTTAAGGTTGTGTGTTTACTCTAAACTTGGGAAGACAGGAGGTCTTTGAGAAAATCTGCATTTCTTTATCGTGGTTGCCACATGATGATATAAAATCATGCCTCTGTTGTACAAGGATAAGATCATGTATGCAAATGAGGTTACTGTGCTCAGGCATGGTCGGGCTTGCGGCTATGTGTGCGCAGACCAGTAGGGTTCTGGGAAGGAAGGACAGTTAAGTTCATTGCTCTTCATTACCAGTCTTCCAGCGTAGTATAGTTGGTATCAGTGTCGTTGACGTTGACGAAAATATTCCGTCAACGAAAACGACACTGCAGAATGTATGTTTAGCGTGTGACTGACGAAATGCTCATGAATTTTGCAACTCTGTTCATCGTCCACCACTAACATCTAATCTCGTCAACGTAAACGCAATTTCGTCTCGTCACGTTTTAGTCATCTAAGACTTATGTTTAGCTCGTCAACATCACGTCTTCGTCGTGGAAAAAAACATATCTTTATCATCGAAAACAACACTGGTTGGTTTTAGCCAAAATCAAGTTGAATATGTCAACAAATCAATCGACAGAAATTGGGTAGTGTTCGTATATTTATCCATTCTTGATCCTTTATTCTGGGCTGTACTCAAGGAGTTGAAGATGCAGGTACAACCCTGATAATCGACCTCTTTTTCGATGCCTTTGCTGCAGGAGATCCAGCGTAATACCCTCCCCTATCCCACCCTGATGCTGAGCAGGCGTCTAGTTAGTTAGCTTAGCACAAGCCTCTGATATGCTGTGAGAAACATCACCAGCCAAAAGAACATCCGTGTGCTTGTGAACTGAGCAGAGTATTTAATTCTGAGCCCACAGTGCTCCAGTGACCTGCATTCAATCCCCTAGTGTGATGAACTTCAGGATCCCCTCGCCCTGCGCAGAGCGACAACCCATCCGTGTGCATGTGCCACCTGAAATCAGCCTCTGTGCGGCGCAGATAGAAGCGGTCATTAAAGAAGTGTGACGTTTGCGCGCTATCTTCCAACCAGATGGTTTTTAGCCCGGCGTATGGGACAGAGAATTACTGCTTCTCTCTGTTTTTTTTTGTCCCTTTTAATCTCTCGCTCCATTCACTGTCCAATGCTAATTCTATTTGCGAGTGCTGCTGTGTGGGAATGGTGCTTGTACCAGAGAGAGGCTGTCAGATTAGACAGCAGTTGACACAAAGACACGGTCGTAACAGCCCGCGTGAGATAAGCCAAACAGCGTAGGCAAAGTGGAAGCTTTGACTGCAAACTAACACTCCAGCTCGCCTCCTTTTCGATCAGCCGTCGATCAGTGCATTGACTGTCATGTTAAACAGTTGAACGAGCATGTGGCCTGTGAGCATGTGCAGTGGGAGGAGGTGGGTGGGGTGGGGGGGGTCAGCTGTAGAGGAGCAGCTGTCCAGTTCCAGACAGAACCTGCCCACCGCTCGCACAAAGCTGAGTTTGTCCCCTCTCTCTCTTTGGGTCTCTCCAGTCCGTCAGTCAGTTAAAATCCACAGAAAGGAGGAGTTTGTCTGCAGGGTTTCAAACTCCAACTGACTGAATAATCACAACAGGCCCCCCAACTGAAACTGGGTGGAGTTTCTTCTCCCTTCTGAGGCCTTTTTTTCTGCTTTGTCAAGCACTCGGTCACAGATTGCAAAGCCCTTTTTAGATAACACAATGTGACCAAGCTTCTTTAGTCTTTGATTTGTGGTGACTTTTGATTTCTTTGAGGCATTTCCCATCGGCTTGTTTTGTCATTTCAGAGAATGAAACACCTTCTTTAGAAAAAAAAGCATCCATATTTACAAAAACATGTTAGTTATTTAAGTGAAGAGTTTGCTTCTGTTGACTTTTGTTACCAATAAAGCTCTTCACAAATGCCACTTTAAAGTCAATATCTATAAACTTTGAGGGTGATTCTTTCTCTTTAAGTCTTTAATTTTTAAAGTCTGCCCCTTAAAATCCTTCAAAATTTGTGTTTTGGAGCAAAATCCTCTTTTTTTTAACCGGAAACAGCCTTAGCAGTGCTCCTTTTGAAAGCCGTGAAACCTCTGCCAAAACCAGAGCTTTCTCTCATTATTTTGTTTACTCATCTGTAATGGTCTTTTTCTTGTCTATTTCTGCTGTTTAAATGTTTCTCATAATTCGCACAAAGAGGGGACATTGATGCAAACGATCTGTCAAGCAAGGAGGTTCAATTTCTGATGCATGGTCAGGACCATGGATGTACTAAATTCCAGTTTCAAAGCTGATATGGGCATTTTTTATTGACTGTCTACTGTCATAAACTGAGCACAATTTGCAGCAGAATATGATTGAGCAAGTAGCACTTCTATGGCTGCAAAAAGAAGCAAACACGTGCAAGTGTTTTATCTTTGAAAAGCAAAAAATCAGTATTTAAAATCGATATTTCAAGGCCAAACTAGCAGATCAGGACATTCCCATAATCTTATATGATGGTTTGGTTTGGACCAAGTTTTGCACTGTTTCAATCTGCAGTCATCTTTTAACCGGATTAAGCCCTATCATAACTGTCCGAAGATCAGATCCCACTAAAACCCATTCATATGTCTCTGCTGTGTCGCACAACTTGCAGCTTAACACAGAGGACAAAAGCTCTTCTCTGAGACCCGAAATGCCATGTCAAGTTCCTCTGTCTGTGCTGCACCGCTGGCTCTGGGGCTGCTCTGCCCCTGGAGGACGGCCAGATTACCGTGGAACTTCTGCAAACACAGTGCGGCAGATTTTTGAATGATGGCCATGATAGAAATGACATCATAGCCCGATCCCTGACTGTTGCGCTGGTGTACTTACTGAGTAGAAACGAGCCTGGATCCATGTGTCGATCTAAAACATGTCTATGTTATCCACATATAGGTGTCTCATTCATGATTTCAGAGTAGGCCATGAAGAGGAACGTGTAACAGTGTTTTTAATAACATCTTATGTTACTCACTGTTCTAAAGGTGTATTTTTGTGCCTTCATAAAGAGGACAGGACAAGGATAAGAGGGGAGGAGATGACATGAGGCTGGGAGTTGGAGTCAGGGCTGCTTCGAGGTTCTGCACATGGGGTGTGTGATTCAACCACTGAACTGGATCAAATCTTTATAAGCAGTAGCTGCAAGAGCGCTCACCTTTTGTCCTCAACATTGTGTCATTGTTTTTTATAACAAGTATGAAATGTAGTTCACATAAATAAGCCCAGAGTTGTGCTAGAACCATAGACTGTATATCCACCTTCCGTCATTATATGGATTTGATGCCGAAAAGCTCTCAGTATTTTCATTGCGTAGTAGCATTGTAAGCATTAGGCGGGAGAGTTGCTGTGATGACGCTCGGCTCAAACAGTGTATACCCTGCATGAGAAACGCAATCTTCGTACACCAATAGGCTGTATCAATTGTCAGTCATAGAAAACATGAACCCTGTTACAACCCAGCTCGGAAAGGGAAAGGACGTAACATAAACTCTGGTTTAGTTGTTCTAAAAAATGGATGTTTAATTGGAAAATAAATAAGGAAGTGCTGTTTCAACATAAGGTTGAGGCGAAAAAAAAACAGAGGAATAAGGATTAGTGCTTAAAAAAAACAAACAAATGCAATGAAAGCGACTCTAAACTAGAGTGAGGAACCAAAATCACTGAATCAAATTAACTCAACTAACAGTTTAAACAATCGAAGGGTGAGCAGCACCCTAATCCTTTACAAAGACTATTAAAAAATAAAATACAATGTCGTCTCCACAACAGTTAACACACACATGGATCTCCCCAACAAAATGTCAAAATGCAGCCTCTTCACGAGTCAACTCCCCTCCGAAGGGACACAGCTGCAGTTGTAACCAACCCCCTAATAACTTTTAAAAATGGAGCTGCACAGAAAAAAGAGAACTTGAGCACAAACCAGTCCTACGCTAATTACATGTCAACATCCCAACCAAGGGGGAGAAAAATTCATATTCTGTGTAATTAATTTTTAAAGTCTGCCACAGCTCCATAGAGATTGCTGGAGGAGGCGGGGTTTATGACCTATACTGCAGCCTGTCACCAGAGGGTGCTGTTGTTACGATGGCTTTACCCAGCGAGGAGGCAGATGGCGTCCATTCTATATACAGTCTATGGCTAGAATAAGCAGAGGATAAGTGTTTACGCATTAGTATCCTTGTTGTTGTAAAGTTGTCAACCTTCAGAGTCGGACTGTCTTCGCCAGTAACTGCAGTTCCCAGGGAGGCCACTAGGGGCTGGCTCCAAAGAGTGAACATCTCAGGCGCGTTTGTGGTGTTGGATTTTTTAAGACACATTTTTACGCAAAATTATAAAATTTACAAAATTTACACAAAATTAATTATAAATTGTGCAATCACATTGTTATGGAAAAGCTTTTCTCAACTCGTTAATTAGCAATTGGATTAGACTCTCCAATTTTTAAAATTAAGCGTTCACCTACAGCACCATCCCGTCTCCAGCCTTCAGTCAAAACACATCCTCTTTTCGCCCTAAAAAAAACAAGATTATGATTGTGCACAAGTCAAGGCTCAGTTGCATAACGTTGTATGTGTGTGTTTGTAGCGCACAGTTTGCCTTCATCCATTAGTTATTCAGAATAATGCATTTACACCCATGCTCTGTGAAAGCACAGCTCTTAAAAGTGTACGAGGAGTTTCTCTCTCCTTCCTTCTCTTATCAGTTGGCGCTGAACCAGCAGGATCAGCGCGCTATCTCAGGTGCCTCGCTCTGGATAGAGGAGCATAATGAGTAATGATAACACAGAGGAAGACATAATTCCTTAAATTGCGCATGGTATGCTGGGAAGATTCCCTGCTGCTGCACAGAGAGGCCATATATAGTCAGGCCCTGAGGCAGCAAAGCCTCTGCTGACCTGCCTCCTACCCTGCCATGCATCTATGAGGAGTGCCTCAGCTGTACCCACCAGTATTTTCTTACCGTCATGTGCGTGCAATCTATGCTAAATTAACTGGGGGTTTTATTTGGTGCAGTGCCAGGACTCAATGACAAACACAAGCAAAGTCATGTGGCTGAGGCATAAAGCAGCAAGCTCAGTTTTTTAGTGTGGACATCTTTCCCCTCCTCTCTTTGTTTTCTCAGCTACCTGTAGAGACGGCCTCGCCCCTGCCCCCCGGCCTAGAAACTCTCGGTGCGTAAGCTCCTCCTGACAGACATGAGGAGTGGGAGAAAAGGCCACAGAGGGAGCGAAATCCTCAGTGCAATCTGTTAAATGCCCATCAGTGGCATATGGTGCCAGACCAGACTGGTGCTCACCTCCAGGCAGTGGCTCCTGGTGATTCGAGCAGCTTAAGGAGATGGTGGGAGATGACTAATTCTGCTTTATATTATGATAGACAAATAAGTTACATAACTATCTTTAGCTGCCTTAATAAAGTTTGGCGGTTGATTTCGCAACAGTGGTTGTTTTTACAACAACGAGGCAAGAAATTAAAAACTAGTTTCCCGGTTTTCAGCTTTAAAAAATCATAACTGTCAACTCAGGTCACGGTAAAGAGTTCTTCTACAAGCAGATCTGTTTAAAAGATGCCACTACTCGGGTTTTGTGGCTTTAGAAACTTTGTCTGCTTGTTTAGTGAATGGCTCTTGTTGTCAAGGACTCTGTGGTGAAGGTCCTGAGAGCTGATTGGCCGAGTGGCTCTTAGGTCAGAGTCTGCGGGTGCTGAATGTGTCACCCACGCTGCAAACAGGGGCCAGAATCCCACACCGTGTCACACTCGCTCTCGATTTCTTTTCACACTCACAGGCGAGCAAGTATGTTGGTATGTGTTCTTTTTTAAAAACCGCCGAAGAGGCGACGTTAAATGAGGGAAAATCAGACCTTACACTTCTGCGTCCTCCCAGTTAGCGTCTCTTTTGTCCGCATCTCCCCCCTCAGCAGTGACCCTCTCCCTAATGGGTGTCACAAGACCTGCTACGTCCCCTGACTGGCCTGAACAAAACTCTCTGTGTCTGCCCGTCCTCATTTGTGTGTGTGTGTGGAGCTCATCGAGCCACCTCATTATCCAAGTGGTGTTGAGATGAGACACAAAGGCGCTGGCAGACGAGACAGTCTCTCTCCTGTCTTTCTTCACGGCCTCCACTTGACAGCGCTTTTCTCTTGAAGATCCCGCTTTCCGAAGAAATGTCGTATTTAAATGTTTGAATATGTTTGGGGGGGAAAAAAGGACGCTCTTGTGTTACAGGACATCTGGTCCAAATCTAGGATGGGGTCCCCTTCAGAGGAAAGACCAACTTAACTTTAAAGCTGCCCCAGAAAAGTTGATAATTGAAATCATCAGTCAAAAAGATCAGAGTCAGCTTCTGACTTTTAGCTGTTTCATAATCGTGCACAGAGCAATGCAGGAACAACAACAACTCAGAGCTCATCTTTTACTAAGTTATTCATGTGGTCGTAGACTGAAAATGTCATTTTACAAAATAAAGATTAATTTACTAGGCTTGAGAGAAAAATCAATACAGCTTAGTATCGCGATATTTTGTCTGGTGATATATCGTATCATCTCACTTACCAAGTATTGATTTTTTTTCGATTAATCGTTAAAATGAAATCAAATCTATGATAATGACAAAATAATCAACAGTTTGTCCAAATATAACAACAAATATATATTAGGTTTGTAAGATGTGCTACATGAAAATAAAGTACAGCGTAAATACGACAAACACAAAGGAAAGACGAATGCTAATTTAGCTAAACAGTTGAAAAATCGATAAATCGCAATATATTGTATCGCAATACTCGCTGTATTGCAGAATGTTAAAAATCGCACTAATATTGTATCCTGGCCTAAGTATTGTGACAATATTTTATCGTGGAGCCACTGGTTATAATTTACATACAGTCATTTTATGTTCTCTGTGTTGTCCCGCCCCTTTACCTGGATGTGCCTGCTTTGTTTACAGCATTATTCTCCAGTAGTTCATCTTATAAAGTCATTTAAATAACTGGACTCAGGAATCAAAATGTTTCATCCATGGTTTCATTATGTCAGCAGTTGCTATGTCAGATCACAGGTGTGTGTGTTAGTAAAGCAGAGGGACAGAGTGAGCTCAGAGAGGGAAGCTACACTTTGACGAGTGATAAAATTGAAGCTCATGTAGTTAATTCATTACCTCGATAATGTTCAGCTGTATTATCATCTACTAAGTCAAGTCCATATGTGTTAATAATTTTAAACTCATATTGGCCAATACGAATATCAATACCCACACAAATACTTTCTTTATAGTGAAGGGGAAGAGGGCGAACACAAAAACAGACTTTGATTTTATCATAAATGACAAATGTAATTCTTTCAAATCTAGAGGTAAAATTAACTCATCTACCATCTGCTTTCAAGACACTTTTACAGAAGCTGTCAACTTGTGCAAACAACTGATGCATCACCTTTTTGGAAGACAATAATAACTGCGGAAATGTTTATATCTGCAAATATGATGATTAGCTTTAAAGCTATGATCTGCTAGTACTGATAGTTGGCCATTATATTGTGTATCCCTCATCGGCACCGATTGATCGCACATTTTCTGTTGCTTTGAAGCTCTAAACCACTAACCTTTAGTTGACCTTTTTGCATCAACTTCCTCATCTTTTGAAGATGATGCAGACTTGCTCTGTACAGTCATCCTTGTTTCCTCTGTGTCACCCACTTTCTGACCAGCTTTACTGGAAAAAACAGGCATGTGCTTAAAAGGTGCAAGCTTCAAACTTGGGATTTTATTCTTACGAAGCTGAATTTAAAAGGAGGAATTTTCAGTCCTCAGGAAATACTCCAGCATGCATCTTTGATCCCTTGCAGCAGCCAGCACTGCACTGGGATCAATAACTGCACAGTCACTCCTCCGGCTTCCAGTGAAAGACTCTGATTCAGCTTTTTCCCCGTGCTGGCTCTCCCATTCACTCGATCTTTTCGCCCTCATTGCATCGTCATCCATCCAGTCCAGTCCAGTCCAGTCAAGTCTTATCACAGTCCCTCTCCTCCAACCTCCATTTCTCCTCCTTTTTCCTTCATCTTTGCCACTGCTATCCTTTCCTCTCACGGGGAGCGGAGGAGTGGAAGAAGCAGGGCAGAGGCTGCGTGTGTGAGAATTGGGTCAGTGTGCTTGTATGCAGCAGAGATGGTGGAGAGCCCAGGGAGGCAAGAGCGAGGCCCAGCCCTGGATGTCATGTACTGCCTCATACTGCTGATTGATTCTCTCTCCTCCCAGCATCCATCTGAAGTGTGTTAGGAAAGCCGAGTTGAAGTTAAGACCTCTCATGTCGCTTCCACAGGTAGATGGAGGTTCTGACCTGCCTGTTTATCACCTTCTGCCCACCCCCCACTTTAACTCCCCCAGTTCAAATGTCACCTCAGATCTTCACGTGACCCTCCGCGGGGGGTCATCCATCCCTCATTACTGCTGCTCCACCAGCTAACACCTCACCACAAACACACGCTCTCAGTAGTGACCTTTTTGAAGAAGCAGACCACGGCACCCAGCTGCTCCCCCCTCTTCCTCCCTCACTGTGTGAACTAATAATATGAAACCACGTTTGTTTTGCACCTACATGGCTGGTTAGTTTCAGAGTCTTGTTGGTGGAAAACAGCGCGCTGGAGTCCTGCCAGCGTTTTGAAATGGTTGCCAAGTGTGATGGATCTTACGTTAATGTGAGAGAGGTAGGGAGGGAGAGGTTCTGGTCAATTAGGCTGCAGTGGAGGCGAGCTTTGTGGAGAAGTGTATGGGAAACAGCACTCCCACTTTTTCCACACAGACCACTAACGATGCTGCAGAGCATTACTGTTCCTGCTAAGTGAGAATCCACCCTAAAAGACATATTACTGGTTTCCCAACAGTACACTTTAACTCCTTGACACTTGGGTCGCAGAAAGGATTCCTGTTGGTTAATCGGGGCTGTAATTCTCCGATATTTTGATGTTTGAAAAGACTGAAAAAGATTCAAGATTAAGAAACATACGGAAGAGGATTAGGCCCACTGGAAAAGAAAAAAAAAAGAGGTCCAATTTAATTTTTAAAAAATATTATTTTAAGATTTAAGTCAGAATTCTGAGATTAAAGTCAGAATTCTAAGTTAAAACTCAGAATTTTGGACTTTTTTTCCTCAAAATAAAAAAGAAATATAGATATTTTTTGTGCAGTGGCGCTTGTCTTCTTCCGTAGATATGTGCTTCAAACTTGGAGGATATTTTTTGTTTACTGAGAAGCTTTGACTTTTTTTTTTTTTTTTTTTTTTTTATTCCAGCAGAAATTGATGTTATTGTCAGAAAAAAAATATATATATATATATATACACACATATATATATATATATATATATATATATATATATATATATATATACATTATATACATATATATATATTACTTTTTTTTTGGTGACATAAACCTCTCTTCTCAAAGCCCTCAGACAATGCAGAGGGCATGACAGTTTTGATCTACCTAAAGCTTAAACAGTACCTTCAATGTTTTGTTGAGTGACAAAGTACAATATAAGAGACAAAAAAAGAAACAAACAAACAAGGCAACAATGGTCTAGCACAGTGGTCCTCAAGTCCAGTCCTCGAGGCCCACTGTCCTGCATGTTTTGGATGTTTACCTCCTCCAGCACACCTGATTCAAATGATCAGCTCGTTATCAAGCTCTGTAATGGCTTAATAACGAGCTGATCATTTGAATCAGGTGTGTTGGAGCAGGGAAACATCCAAAACATCCGGGACAGTGGGCCTTGAGGACTGGATTGAGAACCACTGCTCTAGCATTTCCATGGTCTTAAGCTAACTTTTCTTAGTTTAATTAGAGTAACAGATTGCTTTTCCAAGAATAAAGCTAGATATAAAAGTCCCTCTCATAATGCATCGGCAGGTGCTTTAAAATCAATCTGCACCTGTCAGTACTTTGCACTTAGTTTGATGGGGTGCAATTGCTCTAAAAGTTGTTGCAGCCCTTGCATTATACCTTGTGGAACATACTTGTGCCAAAAGCTGACAAACTGTGACTCCAAATTTTTGAAAAAAATTTGTTTTAAAAATGGCAGAATTACCCTTTAATGCATGCTTTTGCATTGTACGTGGGGAAACTCCAAATCCTTTTGCTTGTTTTATTCAACAGTCTCTCTTATCAAGTTCCCGGCGATGAGTGAGATTTCTCCTCCACAGCGTCGTTCATTGAGCCCTCCTGAAACAGTGTTTTGTGTTTTTCGGGTAGATTTTAACTACGCGTCTCTGCTCTCAAGGCAGTAAGTCAGTCAGTGGTTTAGTGCCGAGCTGGAGGGAGGCCAGCAGCACATCTGGCCGCGCTTAAGAGGAGCTGTGACGGGAGGAGAGGAGCCGGGCCAGGGAGGACTGAGTGATCGCTCAATGCCTCAGATAACCCCTCCAAAGACACACCCAGCTGCCTGCTGCGAGTGGCACAGTCCCCCGCATGACAAGCCCTCGTCTTCATGACCAGTTGATTATCGATTAGTCAAGCATGTGCTGGTTTAATTCTTCACAGCTTTGCATTAGATTCTTCAAGGTTTTAAGAAATGCCTCTGACAATTTCAGACTTAACTTGTCACCACTGGACATTATTTGTGTTTTAAGATAAATGCTGCATTTAGTTTAATGATTGTTTTGTTATTTGGATCAAAAAACCCTTTAAATACATTTTTGCAGCCTGTTCTGACACATGATGTGTCTCTTAATGGTTTGTAGCATATAATTGAGATGGCCAGTGCTGTATGTTGGATGTAATCATTAAATGCTGCAAACTGTAATGCATCCTCAGGCAAGGGATGAATTATAAATGATCTTAAAGAGCATAAGTTATGTTGGAGAGATCTAGAAATTATTTAATTGGGATGTAGCTGGTAGAAAATACTTAAAGAGCAGCATCAAAAACAGCATTCATGATGATTAAAGCTTATCAAGATACAACTGCTGTCATTAAAGTCAGCAACAATTATTTGACATGTCATCAGCAATCAGAGTTTTTGTATTCAAAAGGTCTAAAAATGATGAATAAACAAAAAAAAAACAAAAAAGCCTGTGATTTACAGAAGAACAAAACATGGAATTGAACAAAATGGCAAACACAAAGTTTTTCCAAAGCAAAAAAAAAAAACCAAAAACAAACAAAAAACAACAAACCTCTATAAAAATAAAAACATTGTGAAACAAAAACAAATATTTTACAAAATAAACAAATATTTTCTTAAACTTCAACAGCATTAATATATCAAAATATTGCATAAATGCAAAATACATGTCAGGAAATTAAAAATTTTTTTTAAATATAAAAAATTCCAAAAACATAAAAATAATTTAAAAAAATATTTTATTTTTTTTTGTGAGATATTTCCTCCATTTTATTAACTAAATACATTTTTTTAAACTATTTTTGTGTTTAGTTTGTGTTTTTTTTGTCTTCATAGAAATATTGTTTTGCAGAGATTAAGTATTTGTGATGAGAGTATTTGTGACCTTTAGGGCCACCGTACTTGTCTTCATTTCTAACCTTGTTTTTTAAGAATCAAAACTGAACTTTCCCTGTTAGAGAATAAACCCTTGAGAAATTGGCTGAAACCGATGTTGATAAATGGTTTTGTTGTTTTCCTTTCTTTAGAATCGTAATAATCTCGTATTCAAAAGATCTTCAGGGCAGATTTGGCAGCAGTTTGACTCCAAAGTCAAACTTGAGTGTTTTTCTTGTTTCAAAGAGAAACGATGGATGACCTCAGGGAATAAAAACAAGTCAGGCATCTTATTACTCATATGCTAATGTTGCATAACCCAGTCGTTTTGTGGTATCAAAATGCAATAATGATGTGGTCTCGATAACCCTCTCTCCACCCAGAAACTGAAACACATTCTGGTTTGTGCTGCGGGCTAATCGTAGAGGAATCATAGTAAAAAATAACACTCTGCTGCACAATCACTTCCTCACCTACAGATAATAACTTAAGTATTTGTGACTCTAACAGGTTTGTGCACATATTTTTGATCCATCTACAGAGGAATTAGCCTCAAAATTAACAGCTTCAAGTGGCCATAAAAAGAGATCATGGAAGGAACAACAGTGAGTTGTGAACAGACGTCAAATACTGCAGTGTTTACACCTGGTGTTGACTTACTCTAACACTGATATCCATCATAAGAGAAAAGTTGTAGCAGTGAGTCAGTGTTGATTCCCCTGTTTAGGGTTTGTAGCAACAAAATTGTGGTGATTCATGCAGCTGAAGTATGTTTACATTATCCAGTTTGGCTTTTAATGATGACGTTCCACAGCAGAAAGCTTAAGAAGGTGAAAAGCAGCAGTTGTGATAAAGGTGTGTATCAAATCCCCTCAACCAGTACAGAATGATCGACCGTGATAATCTCTGAATTTATCATGCATCCCTACAAGAAAGAAAATTATGTCATCTCGTCAACTACGAGTTACTGGCTAATATGCAAGATTTAGTTTGGCTGCAGCAGCGAGACACTTGAAAGTGTTTAAACCACCAGTGTGAGCTGAAGTGTTTCATTTGTCAGAGGAAGAAGCTGTAAAGCAAGACTGCGCAACTTTGGCTTAAGAAATGTCACACTAAATCAACTCTGAATGAAATAACAGTAGTACAAATAGCTGTTTCTCCCAAATTAATCTATAGTCCCAAATTTCCTGACCCTGGTAGAGGACTTACACTATCTAACTATAAAAAGGGACACTCTTAGTTTGACACAACAGCAGACTGACTGTTTTTCAGTTCTGATTAGATTCTAGTGTTGAGATGTCTGTCTGTCATGATAGCATGTACTGAGTCAGGGCCAGTACCAGATAAGCACATTAAACTATAATCCATAAACGTAAGGTAACAACCGAGACCTAATGGTGCTGTGACAGCAACACGATTGAGTTTGAGACAGTGAAAATACATATGGTATGTTGTATCTGAACAGGTTAGCTTACGAGCTAAAGTTACTTAGCACAGATGAAAGTTATAACAAAGACGTTTAGCAAACTGTTAAAGCACACAAACCATCGTCATATGTGAGATCCGACACAATGACTCTCCACAAGTTGTCCTTTAGGTTGTTATCTTTGTAATATTTGTGTTTTTTATCAAAAATCACTCTGTTCTCCGACACGTAAACAATCAGCCGGTCAGCCATATTGGATATACCGGTGAATCTGACGTCGCAACAACACAAAATCTGATTGGTCAGAAGTGGACACATAGTATGCAAAGCTTCAGAAAATTCGATGCCATGTCTCATTCCTAGTCCAGGGTTTCTGCTGGGTCTAAAAAAGTCTTAAAATGTCTAAAATCCAATAATTTGAATTTAAGGCCTTGAAATGTCTAAAATTCTCTTAAAACTTATAAAAACAGATCAATTGAAGTTAGTTAAAAAATGTCCTGATTTCCCTTCATGTCTCTTGTACTTTTTTGCCAGTATGGATGTAAAATGGATCTTAAATTGTCTTCATTATGGTCTAAAAAAAGTCTTATATTTGACTTGTCAAAACCTGCATAAATTCACACATGTATTCTCGCAAAACAACATCTTACGCATATTCTTTAAGGATTCCTTCGACTGCTAGATTTATTTTTATGACTCTGATGATAATAGCTGCTGAGATACGACCACTTTCTGATGAAGGACAATCTGAAGCGCACAAATGGTGTGCTGTAAATCGTAGGGGGTGAGGTTGACAGTTGACTTCCTCTTCGTAACATCTGTGACCAGTGAACCCAGCAAAGCAGGGCCGCGTCAGCCGTCAGCGCTAGCAGCTAGCACACGGGGAGCTGCCAGCCCTAATGTCAGCTCCAGTGTTGTTTTTGTGTTGGCAACCCCTGGGATCAAAGTGGGGAGGATTAAAGGCATTGTAAAGTGTCCCTCTCACCCCCCCCTCCCTCCCGCTCAGTGAAAAAAGAGAGGGCCCCTAAGCCTGGATGGCTTTTATTGTCATAATCCATACAGTTTCAATTGACTATGGAATGCACTGGCTGAGATGATGGTGCTTGTGTTGGGGAGGGGGGTGTTTATATGTGTGTCTGACTGTGCATTTATGTGTGTCGTCCCTCTGCGGCCATGCAGGAAGTCTGTACAGTGTATTGATGTCCCTGACACAGTTGCTGCAGTGACCGGTGCGGACACAGCAGCATTAACAGCAACGGCGTTATCACTGCAGTGTTGTCCCAAAGAGTCAGGAGGGAAATACCCACACTCACTCCCAGAAATGTCCCGTGGTTTATCTCCTCTCAGGGTGGGAGAGGGGGGTAGTGGGGTTGAGTGAGTGAGGGAGGGGCAGAAGAGAGGCCTCTATTTCGGTCTTTTGTTTATGTAAGGAGTGGCAGGAGGGTGTTAGGAGAGCAAAGGAGTCTGGGAATGTTGGGGCATTATAGCTTGGGAATCATATGCTCATCTGTGGTATGTACTGCATATAGTCGGTTTACTTATAGCGTGGGATACATCTGGCAGTAATACGAAGCTGGTAACAATAAACAGGTGATCGCAGTGACTGATCACCCTGGGAAATTTGAGATGTAAATAATAGATGAAACTAACAACGCCTAACTTAGATTTTTTTTCTTTTTTTTTGCATGAGTAAAATCTTCTTAGAGTTCATCAGTTATATAAACACTTTACAAACTTCACAAAGTCAGAGAGTGTACACCATGATATCACCAAATAGTTTGTGTTGTAGTTTCTGTCCAAAAGTCCAAACCCAGTGCAGAAAAATTAGGGCCCGACCGATATGGATTTTTTTGGGGCCAATGCCAATACCCATTATTAGGTGGGGGATCCAATTACTGATTAATTGGCCAATTTTTTTTTTGAAGTTTTAAAATTTTGTTAATTCAAGTAATATATCTACATATTTAAGAAATGCTTTTGAGCCTTTCAAACACTTCTTCAAAGAATTAAAGGCAGACAACTCATTTCAAATCCTTTTTATTGCTAAAACAACTGAAAAACAATGAGGTATTTTGTGTCAAGTGCAAACAGTTAAGTTAACTTCCAACTCTGACGATCAAGGTGAAGTGGTACCACACCTTGCTATGTCTGCTTTTTCTTTTTTTTTTTTTTTTTTTGACATCTTTAAAACAACAACAAAAAGAAAAAAATGAGAGAACAGCAAGAATACATAAAATCTGTGTAGTTATATATGGGCCATTTTCAAACTCATAGCCTACATTAAGCGTTTTTCTTTATGGTGGCCCTGAGGGTCAACCGCACAACCCTAATCCAACAACATTTGCTAAATACACAAATATCTCATCAATTCATATCACTCAGCTGTAGGCAGGTTTGAATAAAACCTAGTCTGCCACATCATGGACTTAAACTCACCTTACTTTATTTTTGACATTGATATGTTTTGCTTATTGTCTATATTTGCTTTGAAAAACATAAATGATAGCTTGTATGATGCTTGTCCTGACCAAATTTATATTAAATATTAAAACTACTATTAAAACAAAGAATGTATGGCAAGAAAAACCACCAAAGAAAACCACTTCAGAGTTTAAAAAAAGTTAAAATTAACAAGTTAAAAAATGTTGGAAATATGTGCAGAGGTCGTGTTGATGGTACATTATCAATCTTTCAAAGCTCTGGAAAGTGTTTTTATGTGCCCTACTAACAGAAACTCTGACACATGACCTTCCTGAGTTCATAAATCATCACTCATGTCGACAATAAAGACAGATAAGAGTACAATAAGCTTTGTTTGAATGAATGCTCATCTCTGCTTTCTCTTCTTTCCACAGGGACGTCATGTCAAGACTGGACAGCTGGCTGCCATCAAAGTCATGGACGTCACAGAGGTGAGAAGGAAAGATCATGTTGTTTCAAGCTGCAAAGAAACACCATAACAACAGTTACGTTTTATGCCAAGTTCAGAGTTTTTTATGGAGGTTTGCATATTTGTAATATCAGGTATTGATTAAAAGTTTTCATGCGACTTGTAAACATGACGTTTCCCTCAGTTCTCCCTCTTTTTTTTTAATAGTTATCCTTATCAGAACCTCTCACTTGGACGCATTTGCTGTTGTCTGGTTAATATTAAAATTAACAGACATTCCAGCAGATCTGACGTCTGGATATTTTCATGCTGTAGCAAAGAGGGGACATGCCAGTAGCCCCCCCCCCCCCCCCCCTCCTTCAGTAACAAACAGCAGGGGACGGGTCGAGGCAACAGGATTCTTATTGAGTGAAGTGCGTCATTCAGCGGCCAACGAGCCGCCCAGCTGTGAGGGGTCCAGTCTGCAGATGCAGGAATGCACACAATCACACATCAACATACGCAGAAACACAAAACAGAAGGGTTGCAGAGTCGCAGTGAAGCCAGACACCCACACAGGACATAGCAGTGAGTGTATAGTCATGTTGTTTGTACATGCACCAGTCATGCAGAAAGAACAGAGAAGCCTACAGTCATCTGCTTTATTTCCTCATACAGTGCTGCCCTTAAAACACACATTTCAAATATACCTTTACATACATACACCTGCGTGGACGAGGTTCCTCCTGACTCAGCAGCAGGTAGACTGTCTGCCCCGACTTGCTGGCAGCCACTCCTCACATGAGCCGTCGTCATGATGAGTCAGAGTGACACACTCACCTGGTTTGTTTGAATGTGTAACCTGCGTGAAGAACATTGCCAAATCGTTTCCTGTGCTGCGACAGGACGATACTGTAGGTGGGCTTTCTAGACATGTAGGAACTCATTGACAGCGGCGCTACCGGTGAATGAAAGTTCACTATGAGGAAAACACTGGCGTTAAACCTGTTTGCCAAATGTTGTGAAACCCAGTGCTTGTCTTTACTCTTATTTTAGAGAGAAAGAATCTATGATGTATTGTTTAATATGAGGATTTAAAGGTGTAAATAGATGAAGAACAGCCTCCATGCTCCTTCAGGATACTGCTCCCAAATGTCAGTTTTCCTTGAAGTGGACATTTGAAACAGCTAGACTGTGTTTGTGACCCGATTTAACTCTGACTAATATTGGGTGTGTGTACCTGAGACTTACCTGTGTTGTTGTAAATGACCCAGACAGACTTTTATTACCCACAGTCAATAAATGCGTCATCTTGTTTGTGTCTAACTTGAACTTTATAGAGCGTACTCGCTGACTGGCAGCGTAACTCAGCTTTCAGAACAATGGAAATCAAAAAGTAGAGCAACGCAGGAGTAACACTGAGGCGTGAAAACTGGGTCCCAAATTGACCCCTCGGTACTCAGAATTCAGAATTTAGTTTGGACCTGATTAGACAGGCGGTATTATTACAGAGAAGTGCTGGGCGATATGGCCTCAAATCAATATCACAGTATATTGAGTAGGACCCGACCGATATGGATTTTTTTGGGCTGATGCCGATACAGATTATTAGGGGGGAAAAAAATCTGATTACCGATTAATCGGCGGATTTTCACCATTTTTATGAAGTTATAAAAATGTATATATACTGTAGATATCTACAGTTTACTATATACTGTAGATATACTGTAGGGTACTGCTCTTCACGCCGACGAGAAGACCGACTGATCAAACTGAAAAGTGTTTTCACGCCCCTCCCCGCCAATCGGTGCCTCCACGTCTTAACTCAAGTTACTCATGTCTGGTCTGGTCTCATCTGGAGACTTGCAGCTGCCTCAGTAAGAGAAGAAGCTCGATCACATAATGTGTACTGTTGTTTATTCTACCGTTACTGACACGGTTAACAGTGTAGCAAGGCTAATAGCAGATGGCTAACTCTAACTTTAGCTTGCATATTACAAGGTGCTTCACCGTTAACTTGGCGTGACAGAGACCAGCACAGCGGGGAACATCGTGAAGTGGGTTGAACTGAAACTTGTTGACTTATTGTGTATTTCACAAACTGGTTTCTCTACCGTTGAGGCGGACCACTCTCCTCCGTGCGTCCCCGAGCTGCCTGCCTCAGATCCGTCACTCTGCTTTGCTGTGAGGTAGCTAGTGGATGAAGATTGTCATGAGGTCGGTGCGCCATCTACAGGATAAGTCGGGGAACTTTTCAAATGGCGGAACATTTTCGAAGTGAAACCAAATCTTATTCTCTGCATTTTATTTCTGAAAATATCGGCAAAAATTGTTGAATTTTGGCCGATTACCGATTAGTCTCTAACTGGCTCAAATTGGCCGATTTAATCGGCTCGCCGATAAATTGGTTGAGCCCTCATATTGAGCAGTTCACCTCGATAACAATAAACGAACTATAAATACTCCACAAGCTGCTCACCCCCTCCCACATTAAGTTCGTCTGCTTTAGCTGCTACAGCTTCGGAACCGTCCTCCATCTCCTCACCTGTCTTTCCCTCTTTAATACAGACTGCATAGGGTAGAGTCATGTCTCTGACATAAGACAGCATCTTAAAGGGACATGAGACCATAGCCTACCTACACACATCCAAAACCAACTTTTATTTATGAATTTTTTTTTGACACTGAAATACGGATATGACAAAATGACGTCTGTTATTGTCATAAATTTCAGTATCTGTAACTTTTTCGGTTTATCACCAAGCCCAATTACAGAGGCATGCAGTCCTGGAGATTAAGTCCGATAAAAAGACAAAATAAAAGTAAAAAAAACAGCTTTATTTTCACATGCTATTTAAGCACATAGGATTGATAGGATGTTGCTACCTCATAGACGGTTTTCAGTCTGTTGTTTGGCCAGTAATGAATCATCGTGTTCATGTATTTGGGGTCGTCTGAGAGCCAAATCACCCAGAGAGGTCCCCCTTGTGAGAAAATGGTAAACCCTTTAATAAAAAGTTTGATATGGAGCCAAACAAAACTCAGAGTTAGATCCATGCCTAGTTTATACCTCGAGTACTCTCAAGCATAATGCGCTGATATTACAGCTGACCTACTACCACAGATTAGTAACCTCTTTTCTATGTGTGTTATACATTGACACATTTTCCACCTATATCCTCCCTGCTCCACAAAGCTCCACTCCTCCTCTTCTCTCAGTTTTTCTCTCTCTCTCTCTTTTTTCTCCATATGATTGTGTCCGTCTTCCCCTCACCTCCCCACCTGACTTATGGCAGCGGGGCTTTCGCTGTCGGGGAGTGTGATAATCCAACAGCTGCACAGCAGAGCAGAGAGGGGGAGGATGGGAAAAGGGAGGAAGGGGGGGAGTCGGAGCGGAGGGGGTGTGCGGTGTACAACAGAAAGGCTTACGTCAACTCGAACGAGTCATGCAGCAGCAGTATGGCTGCCTGCACAGACACCAACTGCCATTTTACTCCAGATAGAGCTCTCTAATAAAACAGACGAGGTTCATACATGCACACAAAGCATCACTTCACTCGTCTCCATCTCCCTCTTAATATCACTGCTGTTTATTCTGGTGAGATTAATAAAAACTGTTCGATTGTAAAGCTGTGATAATGCTGCACAGTCACCCCCACCTTTTTCTCTCCTCCCCCTCCTCCCACTGTACTTCCTTCAGGAGGAGCACTGTAACCTTAGAGACACACAGGCTGATCCCTGCATGTGTTCAATTACCGTGTCACTGTTAATCATTGTCAAGCCGCTATCGGATGCGAGCGCTGCAGCTGGTTCTGACCTTTCCATCAAGACGTAAAACTGGACAAATTTGCTGCTTTCACCTGCACAAAAGAAAACAAACAACACAGTAACACTGCATTTAAGGGGAGTACTGTGTTTTTAAATCGGAGGTCTTTTTGATTCTGTTTTGGGGGGGCATCATCCAGCTGGTGCTAAACAGCAATTGCAACCTATAGGACACACATGTGTTAGTCACTTATAATTAGGGCTGGGCGACTTGGTCTTAAATCAGTATCACGATATATCGAGCAGTTCACCTCTAACGATAAATGGACGATAACTACTCAACAAGCTACTCACCCCCTCCCACATTAACTTTGTCTACTTCAGCCGCAGCTCCAGCCGCTACAACTTTTTGAACCGTCCTCCATCTCCTCACCTGTCTTTCCTTCTTTGACTGGATGGGGTGGAGTCACGTCTCTGATGTAGGACAGTGTCTTAAAGGGACATGAGACCATAGCCTACCTACACACATCCAAAACCAACCTTCATATATTTTAATATATTGACATCTGCAAAAAAAGGTCAGTTATTGTTGTAAATTTCAATATTGGTAAATTTTTAGTTTATCGCCTCGTAGATTATGTTGCAGAGTGAAGAAGAAAACAGTTTTAGTCTCAAACTTCTTGCACTTAATTCCCAAAATATGGGAATAAAAGTAAAATAAATCCAAAGTTTAAAGGCGCAAAAGTAAAAATTTAAAGACTTAATTTGACTCTTTTGTGTTTTGTATCTGCTGGACTTCCAACTATGCATCAGTCCTCTTCTGTATTTTACACCAGCCCATTTTAGTCCTGAGAGGGATGATCTTTGCCAGACACTAAGGTCAATCTGATTGCCAGCGATCTAATATATATTTACTTATTTTTAACAAGAGATTACCGACACTGGCCACTGTACACGTCACCTCACAGTGAGACTCACTCATGCATCATTAATCCCTAAACAAAGGAATCATTTGCCAGTAGACGGACGACTCATACCACATTGTTTTAGAGCAGAGTCCTACATTCAAGATGAATGAGGCCTGACCACACTGAAAAAAATAAACCCACTCCACCAGGGCGTTGTCACATTTCTCAGAGACTTGATTTGGATCTTCAATGAAATGATGATTTAAGACCCAAAAGCTTTTTATTTATGTCATCATAAAGCTTTACAACAAGACAGAGATACAACATCTTTTTTCAATGGCTCCAACTCTAACTGTGTGTTTCTGTGTTTGTCTTTGTTTCAAGGATGAAGAGGAGGAAATTAAACTGGAGATCAATATGCTGAAGAAGTACTCCCACCACCGAAACATAGCCACTTACTATGGTGCTTTCATTAAGAAAAGCCCCCCAGGACACGACGACCAGCTCTGGGTAAGTCCTCAAATCCACTCAAGAAATTAACGTAAGAAGAGGGGAAGGAAGAAATTAGCTGCTGTGGTTGTTTCTATCGCATTTTATACATGTTAAAGGTTAATTTTGATATTCTTTGAAATCTCTACCCTGTGTTTTTTAATCAAAGACAAAGCAGAATAAAATTTAATAATTACAGCAGTACAGAAGAAATGGATCATGACTATAAAGATCAAAACAACAAAAAAAGTGGATATTCTTTGATTGTATATCATTTATTTATTCTCTAATGATTCATCTAACCTTGTTTTTCAGTTGGTGATGGAGTTCTGTGGAGCTGGTTCAATCACAGACCTGGTGAAGAACACGAAGGGGAACCAGCTGAAAGAAGACTGGATCGCTTACATCTCCAGAGAGATCCTCCGAGTGAGCTCACTCTCCTCTCCTCTCCTTGTGTCTCCTCTCTCCTTTTCTCTCACACACTCGCTCAGTCTTTACGTTCCTGTCTCTTTTTTTAGGGTCTCGCCCACCTTCACGCCCACCACGTTATCCACCGAGACATTAAGGGCCAGAACGTCCTGCTGACCGAGAACGCTGAAGTCAAACTGGGTGAGGGTCTGAGGGTCTGTCGTCAGTCCTCTAGCTGCACAACTTTTTGCCAATATCTGATCAAAATCTATATCAGCCAATATTGAAGACTGCAAGAAGAGGGGAAAAAAAAGTTGTATTGGGACACCCCTTATATCTGAATCATTAACTGGCTGCTTGGTTGTGGTTACCCAAAGTAGTGTGTTCACCCGTTTAACTAAGAAACTCCACACCTTCTCCAACTTCCACAATAAGCCTTAAAATCACATAAAATAAACCAGTGCAAGTAAAAAAAAACTGTGTTGACCTGAAACCTGCTCAAAGTTCCCTCTTTAGGTGTTTTTGTTGTTGATTTAGGTCAGTTCCAGCAGTAAGAGCAGAGCTAGTTTACCATTTGACGACAAAATCTAAGGGCGGTGCAAATGGATGAAGGGGTTTTTGACACGCTGCGATGACTTACCTGACATTCCTTCAACAGTCTGACAACCTAGAGATCGATTTAGTCCAGTCTGGAGCAGATAGTGACTGTTTGAAACATCTCATGCAGAGATTGTTGTCATTTGTGTCTCACTGAAACCTCTAAAAATCGAGGTCAGTTCATGCGAGTGTTTACGTAGTTTGAGGTTCAGGCAAACATCTCTACCTAAAATCTGTCTCATACTCAGAGTTGAACTCTTAAAGGGACTGTGTGACTCTGTTTTTCTCTACGCAGTCGATTTCGGTGTGAGCGCTCAGCTGGATCGGACAGTCGGGAGGAGGAACACCTTCATCGGGACTCCTTATTGGATGGCACCAGAGGTCATTGCTTGCGACGAGAACCCGGACGCTACGTATGATTACAGAGTAAGAGCCCTCGCTGAAACTCCCTGAAAACAGGTGTATTACACCTGCGAGCACTCTGTTATGTCTGAGCACGTCCGCTTGTTGCGGTTTTGTTGATTGGGCGTTGTCTTTTCCTGCAGAGTGATTTGTGGTCGTGTGGCATCACGGCTATTGAGATGGCTGAAGGAGCACCACGTGAGTATTGTTTTTCTCATTACTGGTGTTTTATTTTTTTTCCTGATTCTCAAAGTTTTGTTCATATTCTGTAAATGTGCGTCTTCTTCCAGCGCTTTGTGACATGCACCCCATGCGTGCGCTCTTCCTTATTCCGAGAAATCCTCCGCCGAGGCTCAAATCTAAAAAATGGTGAGCGTCTCCCTCAAAAGGAGTTTTTCTCTGCATGTACGGGTATTTCTTTTACCCTTATAAATAAAACACTAGAACTTTTAAATGTTTTTTTTTCTATGCCTGGATTTCCTTCTTGGCCTCTCATTGTGTTTAGTTTGCATTTTGATTTTATCTCTGACTTCAGATCAGGTTGCTCCAGAGGCTTGAATCAGAGCTCTTCTCTGTGCTTTGTGCTGAGCCACACATCTGTGATACACCTGCTCTGGCATGCCCAGCTTCTCCTGGCAGAGACTGCAGCGCTGCTCTAGATATGGAGAAAAAAATGAAGTTGGAAAGAGACACGAATATATATTTTTTAGACTGGGATTGAGAACTCCCTCATTTTTTGATTAAATTTCAAGTCCTTAAACACTTTCTTTTGTTATTGATCTTATAAAATAATGATAGAAGCTAACAACCTAGATCTAAAACAAGCCTCTAGCAGGGCTTGACACTGATCAAATTATGTTTGTCTTATTGGTCGACATAAATACTATGATTTGAAATCAATTTTAGGTCTTTTGGTCACATGATATGACAGCTATTAAAGGAAAGGTTCCAAAATTTGGTCTGAGCTTTAACCCCCAAATTTTTGGATGACAAATTAGGGGAAAAAAGAGGTGTGACGTATCGTTCGACCTTAGTACAATTATTTGAAATCAATTTTAAGTCTTTCGGTTATGTGACATGGAAACTATTGAAGGAAAACAGCCTTTTTTGAGAACATCAACTGGAAACAAGATAGATTTGGCATGACCTATAAAAATGGCCAAAAGGGGGTGAAAAAAGCGGAATTACTCTTTAACCGTGCGTCTGAGAAAGAAGTCCAAGTGCGCAAAATCAAAGATCTCATTGAGATACATGTGCCTGTAAAATTTCGGGCAGATCGGAAAAAGTCGATGTTCACAATGGTCTGTAGGGGGCGATAGCGAGGCAATTTTTTTTTCTCGCTTTTTTTTAGATCACTTTAAAATATTGCGACTTTCTCCGGGCCCGACCAGCCTACAAATTTTCGTGAGTTTTCGAGGCCATTCAGGGGGTCAAATTTGTGTTCTGGCAACGTAAAATAATAATAATAATAATAATAATAATCGAGAACCCAGACAATTACAATAGGGCTTCGCTGCAGATCTGCGCTCTCGGCTCGGGCCCTAATTTAATGATGGTCCCTTATTCAACACCGAACGTTGACAGCGAGGGTGCCAAGTAGATTTAACCGCGCTGCTCTTGCCATTCCTGGTCCTGGAGAGAAGACACCGGTGGATCCGCAGTGAATGTCCGTCAGATATCCAACCTAAAACTAACTTCACCTAATATGTGACAGAGCGCATGTGCCCCTGAATACATCTTACAGTTCGCACACATCTATTTTTAGTCGCAAAACGGTCCCACTGTTGAGCCTGTCTAGTGTTTTGTAGGCATAAAAGTATTGTCAGAAAACCACATCAGCGTAGAAGCAGGTGCACTGGTGTTGCTAATTCCCTCTTACTCTGCCCCTTATTTCAGCGTTTTCATGCTGTATGAGCAATGAAAGATTTAACGCTTCCTGTCCACATGCATGAGCCTCAATGAACGCAGAGAAAGCAGAGACTGCTGTCATCCTGAGGATTGTTTCAGAGGCAGAAGCGGAGCGTTGTTAGCTCCCATGACTGGGAATCGTAGCTTGTTTGCACAAATGTCTAGTCTACTTTAGATCCTTGGGTGTGTGCTGTCTTTTCATGGCTAGACTCCTTCTCCAACACTTAGTGTCTCTTTTTTTGTATTCGTCACCCTCTCTGTCATGGGATGTTACTCTCTATTGACTCTTTCTCTAAAACTTCCTCAGGTCCAAAAAGTTTTTCAGCTTCATTGAGGGCTGTCTGGTGAAGAACTACACTCAGCGCCCACCGACAGAGCAGCTGCTGAAGCACCCCTTCATCCGAGACCAGCCCAATGAGAGGCAAGTCCGCATTCAGCTCAAAGACCACATCGACCGGACCAAGAAGAAGAGAGGAGAGAAAGGTGCGTCTTTCATTTTTGCTCACCTCTAATACAGACTTTTTACAGTTCAATATGTCATGTCATCTGCTAAGTGTCTGCTCTCTGATCTTGAATTCTGGTTTTTATTTCTTTTTCACAGATGAGACAGAGTATGAGTACAGCGGCAGTGAGGAAGAGGAGGAAGATCCTCCAGAGCAGGAGGGAGAACCGAGGTATGATGAAGCAGTGTAACTGACTTTTTTAAAGGGTATTACACGTATTCATAAACCTGCAACCCACTTTGACCTGTTTTTGGGATGACTGCTCCACCAGACCGATCATCCAGACCACCTTTTTTAAAATCTATTGTTATTTGCATATTTTTTTCGAACATGTGCGTGCAACACAAGAAAGTAACAAACAAACAAAACCAGTGAGAATATTCAAAACAACAATAACAATAATCAAAGCAAAAAAAATTTAAAAATTAGACAAATAAAAATACTACGACTAATATTAATATGAACCGAACATTTCCGAAAAGGAGTAGGATGAAGTATTACGCTTTTTTTTTAAACCCTGCCCCTTCTCTGCTACTCAATAAACAGTCAGTCTCCAACATATTTACATTATATTTATAAAAAATAGAACATAAAGAGAGTAAATAAGTACATAAATCATCAACTTCATCCTCTAGAGTCACTTTAGAAATATAAGGAACTTTTTCCAGGTCAAAGGAATTTTACATTTTAGTAGAAGTAGAACCAGGATCGAAATTTGGTTCTTGGGTTATACCTCTTAAACTTCCAACCGTAGGACTTTCCGAAGGTCCAGGACCTTTGGGCTCAGGATACTGAATGTTTCTGATTGGTCAAGCACTTGCAGTTATTTAACTACCTGCGATGTTTGCAAGACTGCAGCTCCAAGCTTCCTCTTTCGTGCTGCTTCAAAACTGTTTTCCACTGCACTCTGAGATGGAGTCAGAAAAAGTCTTATAACGGATAAACCAGAAACAAGGTGCATCTAAATAATAAACGTTTAATATCTTGGAAAGAAGATCTTATAACTGGTTGAACTACACCTTTAAAGCACCTTTCTTTGGCCACTTCAAGGCTTTGATTGGACGTAGATGGAGGTATTACTATCCCGATCGCTCCCTCTTTTCAGCTCCATTGTTAATGTACCCGGTGAGTCCACTCTGCGCCGTGACTTCATCCGCCTGCAGCAGGAGAACAAGGAGCGATCAGAGGCGCTGCGTCGCCAGCAGCTCCTCCAGGAGCAGCAGCTTCGGGAGCAGGAGGAGTACAAGCGCCAGCTGCTGGCTGAGAGGCAGAAACGTATCGAGCAGCAGAAGGAGCAGAGGAGGCGACTGGAGGAGGTACGTTCTTTTTCCACCGGTTGTGCGATTGTTTAATCAGACGAGAGATGAAGTGAAATGTTGATGTTTTTAATATTTACCCTCACAGCAACAACGGCGTGAACGTGAGATGAGGAGGCAGCAGGAGCGAGAGCAACGCCGCCGTGAACAAGAGGAGAAGAGGCGCATCGAGGAGATGGATCGTAGACGTAAAGAAGAGGAGGAGCGACGGCGGGCTGAAGACGAGAAGAGGAGGAATGATCGTGAACAGGTTAGCTTGAAAGTACCACCTCTAAGGCCCCGAAAAAGACTCAATCTGATATTGAATTTGTTAGGATTGAATTCTCCTTGCTAAGATTTTTACTGGTTATAAGAACTGATGACAAAAAAAATGAATCATGAATAGATGCACAGGATATAAGTGACATTATATTTTTCTACAATGACTGTGCACTAATAATACACGCCCCCTCGCTTTGATTGACAGGAGTACATCAGGCGTCAGCTGGAGGAAGAGCAGAGGCACCTGGAGATGCTGCAGGAGCAGCTGCTCCGTGAACAGGCCATGCTGCTGGTCAGTCTCACACTGAAACAAAAACACCAACTTTTTATAAACCCTGCTCAAATAAGTTTCTTTAGTTCAGTATCAACACAAGTTGTTCAAATAAACACTGCTATAGATCCATGACATGCTCTCTGATGTAGATGGTTTTCACAGTAAATATTCAAACCAGTATTTTATTTGAAGACTTAAATTGAAAATAACAACCTTCCCAAATCCGAAACCAATATTAAATATTTGAATGATAGCTGAACAGATGCACGTTTGGTGAAAATGAGCAGGTTAGATTTTAAGATTTCAGTGAAAAGCACATTTTCTTACATTTTGGAAGTTCCTTTCCTTTCCTCCATGCCAGAGAAATTATTCCTATTCACTTTGCACCTCATATTTTTCATGCAGTAGAGTAAAACAAATTTTTTTTCAACTGACAATGCACACAGAGGAGACACTGTAAAGCACACTTCATTTGACATATTGTTCGTACAGGGTAACAGGAGTGTAAAGCAGGTAGATGAGGCTATGATTTCTGCCAAAGTGTTTCTGTTTAACTGTGTTCTAAGGACAGGAATTAAAAGGTGGCACTGCTTTCAGTCAGGCAAACGCAGGCTGCCAGCTCTCCCGTCTCTTTTGACCACCTTGAATCAACCCCACACTCTGCAACAGGAGTTCAAGTGGCGGGAGCTTGAGGAGCAGCGCAAGGCCGAGCGGCTCCACAAGCGCCTGCAGCAGGAGCAGGCGTACCTGCTGTCGCTGCAGCACGACCCCAAACAGCAGCCTGGTGACAAGACCAAACCCCCCTCAGACCAGAACAGACCTCCACAGACTTCCACCTTACCCCCTGACAGAGTCCTTTCTGTGCCCCCTCAGACTCAGGCCCCTGACTCAGGTTTGTTTGGAGTAACTCCAGCCCCCCAGACTCTACCCTTAGATAGCTCGAAACCCCAGGCTGCAGAAAAGACCGACTCTGATGAGACCTGTCCAGAACACACCCCAGATTCCCCCAGCCCCCCTCAGACTGAAACTCCCCCTGACTCTGACGCTCCCCAGGCAGAAAGTTTGGAGCCCGACAGGCCCGCTGAGGCTGTCAGTCATCCTCCTCAGCCTGTCAGAGAGGTGAACCTCCTCCGTGGCTCTGCTGACCCTCTGCCTGCTCTTTCCAGCTTCTTCTTCTGCTTGTTTTCAGTGATAACAGAGGCGGTGCGAGCAACGAATACTACTTTCTTCAACCCAAATAGCTGAATTTAATTCCTGCTTTTGCGTTAACAGAGAAATGAGCCACAGTGCACAGACTCTGAATGGAAAAAAAACATGATGAGACTCGCAACCGGCCTCTTTGTGTCTCCTTCACTCTCTCTTGGCACTCGCTCTCACTTGCTTTGTTCTCTTGAATACTAAAACCATCTGGATGTTTGGAATATTTTTGTCTTAATTTTTACTCAAAGCAGGTGGAAAAGTGGCTAAATAAGAAACGTATGACCCTGTAGGCTTCATTTTTAATTATTTTTTTTAGGGCAACTCTTAATCCGAAAGTTTTTAGGCACCTCTCTTGATCTCTACTCTGTCACCTGCTGTTCTGACTCAACACGAGTGGATTGGGCCATGCATGCCGATGGCTGAGGCCCACACTAACAAGCAGAACACCTGAGCAACATTTCCTCCCATCGACAGTGTCATTAACAAATATCTTTCCAGGGATGTATTTGTGTGAGAGTCCTGTTTGCACCTCTGTCTGTGCACATATATCTGTGTCTGTGCAGCTGTCTCCAACGGGCTCAGAGCATGTTTGATATCAATGTTGACTTGTTTGTTTTATTGTTGGTCTTTGTCAGTCGTATATATGAGGGTTTCTGTGAATTATAAAGGCTGTCACTGCAATAATAATAAAGAAAAGGGAACCCTTTTTTAGCACAATTGTCTAAAAAGGTTTTAAAATATTTCTGACTTTTTGTCTTAAGTCCATTCAGGTTTTGACTTAAAGCTCCTGTGAGGGATTTTCAGGTTATGTCAGTTTTGGAAACCTCTGCTGACAAAGCTTTAAGATAAATCTCTGCTTGTCTTGTTTTGATTTAGTTGTGTTTTAAAAAATTGTAAAAAAGGAATCTCTTTGTGTTGCAGCTTTAATGCCAAACTTAAAATGAATTTTAAGCGTACAAAATATAAATTAGCCCATCAGCCTCTAAACCAGTGGTTCTCAAGTCCAGTCCTGGAGGTCCACTGTCCTGCATGTTTTGGATGTTTCCCTGCTCCAACACACCTGATTCAAATGATCAGCTCGTTAGTAAGCCATTACAGAGCTTGATAACGAGCTGATCATTTGAATCAGGTGTGTTGGAGCAGGGAAACAGGACAGTGGGCCTCGAGGACTGTACTTGAGAACCACTGATCTAAACTACGATGGTCCTGGAGTTCAACTGCACGCGTATTTCTAAACCTTCTGCGCAACATTTAAAAAAATGATTTTACCAAATATAAGAATATTAAATGAAACCAATATTTTTTTTTCATTTTGTGACAATAACAGTTTTAGAAATGTTAAATTATTTTTTTGTTTTGTGAGTTTTAACAAATATTTTTGCTTAATCAGATGTTTTTGGAGTTTTATGTCAGATTTTTAAATTTGCTTCTGAAGTTTTTGGATCAAATACATTTGTGCCTTTTTTCTACTTTTTTTTATTTCATGGGACTTTTGCATTTAGATTTTTTTTAAGTTTCATGAAATGGTTTTAAAATTTGCATTTCCTGATTTTTTTTTTTTTTAAGTCTCAGGAAATGTTCTTGTATTTTGTAAAATACTTTTACTTTTAAAAAATCAGATTTTATACAGTCTGAAACTGTTGTTTTTGTATGTTATAAAATACTTGTGCAGTTGACCTTCAGGTTTATTGTAATATGACCTAAATCACTGAGACTAATGAAGACTTAAGTTAACGTGTAGTAAATATCAGCCTCTGTCTCTGTGGTCTGTTTTTCTGTCATAGGCTGTCAGAATTTATCTCATGCTAGTTTATTGCAATCTAAAAAATCGACACAGGAGCTTTGAAAAGTCAGAATTCCCTTTAAACATCATTATAAAAAACAGGTAACATAACTTAGTATCCCCAGCTTATGTGCTGTAAGTTACTCCCTGTTTCATCTTCATGACAGTCTCTCAAAGAAAATTTCTAGTGGTTCCCTTCATCTTGATTTTTAATAGATTTCTTGTAATAATAAAACAAATATCCCCCTGGTCTTTACTCCATCTTTGTCCTGTCCCTGTTCCTCACCCCAGGCTGACGAGCGATACCGTAAGAACATTCAGGGCTCCCCTCAGTCCGCCCCTCCTCCCAAGCAGCCCCCTCTGCCTCCCCGCTCCTCTGAACCATTCTCCAACGGCGGCTCCTCCAACGAGGCCTCCGCCATGCACCGGCCCATGGAGCCTCAGGTAAACTCCTCCTCCCTCCTTTTCTCCTCTCTCTTGACCTTTTTCCTCATTCTCCTGCTGCTCTCTTCCTCCCTCACCGCTGGCTCTGTGGACTCGAACAGGTCGTTTCTAACAGTAAACAGACTCTCTCACAGTCGGACTCGGGTGTTCTTGCTCTTCTCTCCTCTGTGTGGAAAACCGTGAGCCATTAATCTGCAGCGAAACTCTTCACATCATGTCTTGAATAAAGGGTGTGGAGCTATTTGTTTTAAAACAGGGAGGGATCCTGACAGCCTCATGGTTCAGTTTTTCCTCCCCAGATAATCCCAAGTATGCACAGGTTTTGAAATCTTGCAAAAAAACTCCAAAAAACTGCAACTTCAGGGATATTTTTGCAGATTTAACAAAAAAAATCTTGATCTAAAATATTTAAAAAATTAAAAAGATATTTATACATCGCAGACAAGACAGTACAGCAGCACTCTTTGACATTGCATGAACATAAAGCTTCTCTAAAGTGCGCTGCAAACACACGTCATCATGTTTCGTGCTTCGTCTGCATGTGTGTAGACTCTAAACACATGTATGTGAGAACAACCACGCACATCTTCCCTCATGTCTCACCGTGTTGTCTGCTTGTTTCACCTCCCCTCCCCTTCCTTCCCTCCCTCCCTTCCCCCTCCTCTTGTCTCCTCCCCTCCCTCACCCCTCAAAAGGTCCAGTGGTCCCACCTGGCTGCCCTAAAAAGCAGTAACAGCGCTGCCCCCTCTCCTCCTCCTGTTCCGCCTGTCGTCGCTCGCTCGCAGTCCTTCAGCGAGACCGGCGGCGTGGCTTCTAACTTTGCACAACTCCAGCTGCGCTCCCAGGACCCCCACCATCACCACCATCACCCTTCACCCGCACGCACAGACCCCCAGCCCCAACCTCCCCTCCATCACCCTCATAGACTCGAACACCAGGGCAGCAGCGAGGAGGTCCCTCCAAAGGTAAGGGGACGATGAGGGCCCCCTCCCCTCCTCCCTTCCTCCCCTTCATTCACGTCACTCATCAGCCTGTCTGCTTGTGTCTGCCTGCTCCTGTCACTCGTACTGTTTTATCACTTATTATGGGACAAAAAAATTATATTGTTTTCCCTTTTTTTTCTTTTTGATTTTTAATTTTGCAATCTTTAAAACTCGCAAATGTTTCACTGGACAGTAAATTCATCTGACTTTGCAGTGTCTGGTGAGGTTGTTGAAAAGGTTTTGCCCCGATCTAACAAATCCTGCTCTCTGTGGGTGTTCAGTTCTCTTGTTTTCTCACTTTTGGTCGATTTATCACTGAAAATATTTTCTACTTGTGTTGGAGTTATAAAGAATTTTTAACCTTTCCTGCAATTTTTCAAAAGAGAGCCTTACCTACCTAAAGTGCCAAGCATGAAAGTCCTTCCACACAGGGGCGAATATAGAACGCGAAATTACGAAATATTCGGAGGTGAATTTTGAACACTTAGACCTTAAAGGTCCTTTCACACCGGGACCGTTTTTATCGTGCGATTATTTCGGACGTCAATATTTTTTTCGAACCTGTATCCTGTCAATACAAGCGTTCGATGACGATGGTTTGTGTGGTTTAATAGTTTGCAAAATGTCTTTGTTTTAACGTTCATCTGTGCTAATGTAAGCTAACGGTTGTTACCATAGTTCCATGTGCTTATCTTATCGCCTCCGATTGGCTATAAGTGCTGACTGTTCGGCTTGAGTGTGTGATGACGTTACCAGCTTTTCTAGCCAATCAGAGGCGAAGGAGGCGGGACTTTCCCCAGGAAGTCTTCCCCAGGAAGCGTCTTTTCCCCCCTGGAAAGTCGCAAAGTCGCATCGGGCTTCATGTGTATAGTCAGGCGCGTCAAAATTCCCCACCAAATATTTCGTAATTTCGTGATCTATATTCACATCAGCCCCGGTGTGTAAGGACCTTAAGTCAGAACACCTCCTATTAAAAGTAATGTATTACTCAGTATCTAAATGAGCAAAAGTACAATTTCCAATGTTTTGACAAAGCTGAGTTTAAGATAACATTTTATTTACCACAAGACGAAAATAAGGGTGATATGGTAGCTAAAATTTTGCTTTGCTACCAGAACTTTGATTATGGTGTGCTCATTTTTGTATCCTGATTTTAAATTGAAAAAATACTTTTTTGTATGCAATTTAAAAAATCTTGTTTGCAATCAATGGCCTACATTTGGGGGAGTATTTTGTTGGATATCCTTACATAGAAAATGTTTATTTTGAAAGGAAACTAAAGGTTTTCTGACAACTCTGGAAGGGTGTATTTTGAAATTGAAACTGAATGATTATTCTGCAAAAGTCTGTTTTACTGCTCCACAGGATTCTTAAATCTGTTAATTTTTCCATTCAGCCTCATATTTATGTTGCTATAACTCTTTGAGGATTGTTTGGATCTGTTTCCATCAGGTCCCAGTGAGGACAACATCCAGGTCTCCAGTTCTGTCACGCCGAGAGTCACCTCTGCCGTCACAGCCCGGGAACCAGGGACAGAGGAATGCTGGCAGGTGTGTAAAGACGCTTTAAAATTTGTTGTTTTTTGACGGGAGTATTGAAGCATTATCATAACTGTACATAAAGCAGCTCTACTACCAGATATAACTTGATAAATGCATGTTATCTGTGATAGAAGTAGTCCTAACTGAGCTCTGGTTGTTAACATGGTATTCTTCTTCTCCCCCTGTTACAGTAATGTGGAGCAGCGCCCCCTGTGGGACCGCGTGGAGAAGCTGCAGCCTCGACCTGGCAGTGGCAGCTCATCTGGATCCTCGAACTCCAGCTCTCAGGCCAGTCCTGGTGACCGCTTTAGGCCACGCTGTGAGTCCCCTGGTACTGTACTCGGCCACACTAAACCAACTCCACTGACTGATGTCCATTTATTCCCACAAATAATCCAATTCACAATCTTAATTTAAATGATCACTGACTCTATTTCTGTCATTTTTAAGACAACTTAAAGTTGTCAAACTTGTTAAATTGCCTTTTTTTTTTTTACTCTAAACTAATGTGCTGTTACTCTCACAGCGATCTGTTTCTGCAGATATAGTTGTTGCCTGTTTTTCGGCTGTCAGATCGCAGGAGTATTCCCTTCTTCCAGAGCCGTTTCCCTTCACTTACGCCGCTTCCTTTTGTCTCCTCAAAGCTTCTTCCAAATCTGAAGGATCACCTCTCCAGCGTCCCGAGAACGTCCCCAAAAAGCCCGAAGAAAAGAACATGGCCCGGCCCACTCGACCAGCTGTGAGTCCTCTGTTCCTAAAGCGCTAGTTCCACTTGTTTGATGCTGAATGGGTGAAAACTGTTTCTTTTTTTCTAACTCTTATTCCTCCACCACCTGGTGTGTGGGACGGCTCATGAATCCAATCGTTTGGTGATTGTTGGGGAACCTCTTAGGGTGATGCGGTAAGCGTATTATTGAATGAGATCACGTAATCGCGCCGATGCTTTGCCTGCACCATCGCCCCACTCATTGCATCATGTGACAAAGGTTTGCAGTGAAAGAACTGCCCCTCCTGTGTAAGGTTTGAATAATGCCTGTCCTCCTGCTCCTCCTCCTCCTCCTCTTGCCTGTGCTGATCTCTCTCCTCACTTTACTCCCTGTCATCAACACGGCACAGAAAGGGTTAACCCTCTGCAGCTTCCCTCAGCCTGGATTTGAATGCAGCCACATTTGAATGCAAACACACACCTCCTGTTTCCTTGTTCCTGTCAGAGTCGCTCCTAATCTCACCTGGCTTTTGTTGCTGGATAAACGGCGGCCTGTTTGTTGTTGTTAAATATGTCAGGGTGTCTCCTCCCTCTGCTGCTCCACACTGACCTAACAAACTGCATTAATAAGAGTCTGCAGGGAGGAACAAACCAAGGGGGGAATAGTTACAAAACAGGGACTCTGGACAATTAAATCTGATCTGTGTGATTAAATTCAACAATGATCAGAATTATTAATAATCCTCAGAAATATACAAACAAAGCTAACCTGGACTATAGCCCAGTTTCAGATTTCTATTCATCGCAAATTTTTGGCTTTTTTTTCCCAGTTTTTGTTCACCAAACTCTGGCTTGAGTCTTATTTTCAACCTCGTTTTCTGAGAGTTCGATTAAAGCTATGGTCTACGATCTGAAAACCAGTTTGGTTGTTGAGACAGATTTGAAAAATCCCACCAAGATCCCACCCCCACCAGCCCGTGTCGCCTCCTAACAACACGCCCCCTCCGATAGAGCAAGAAGCCGGTCAGCAGAAAATATCAGCATCAAAGCTAGCTTCGAAAACGACTCAGGATGTATCTGATAGAAACTCGGCTGTCTCATCGTCAGTTTTCAGTCCCAAATCCTTCTGCAGCTTTTTCCAACAGTGGTACGTTTCTCCAATGTAGACTTTTCGTTCGCAACTGTATCGCTTATATTTCTTCCTTACTTCAGCCTTTTCCTCGAAACTTTTACGTTCCCTTCCCTTCGATGTGGAGGGTAACAGAAGCGGCCTCCTGGTTTCGGTGTTTGTCTTTTCCGGCTCTATTATGCTTCAGTAGCTGTGCAGGTAGCTAATCACATGTACGTGAGGGGGGTAGTGGGGAGGAGGCGGGACGGTGCGGAGCAGGGGAGGTCGATTATTATGCCTTTTTTGCAGCAGATATACTGAACGGATTTTTATATTGTGTAGATGGGACCATAGGACCATAACGGCTTTAAAAACGATGTTATTAATAAGTACTAAGCTTCCAAATGGTAGACCATAGCTTTAAAACACTCTCATTGAGCTCAACAGTTGTAGCCACTGGTTTAGTTCCAGTTTCGGCCTCTTGCTGCATGTCATCGCTTCTCTTCCCTCCGTCTCTCTTGGGCCCTCATAAAAAAAAATCAAAAAGGCCAAAAATAACTGTAAAAAACATTCCCAGCTGGCTTTTCTCTCTACGTTTCAAGTCACTGAGTTACAGCCTCTTTGCCCACAAAAGCAGAGCATCGGAAAAACAGATTTTTTAACGTTAATTGTTGCTTCATCCATTGTTTTTGTCTATATCAGCGGGTTGAGGCTTCATAAAGTTGTAAATTCCTGATAATAAATCTTGTCAAGTTTTATTAAAGTGTAGTTTTCACAAATAAGTAACTGCTCGGTCTTGAACAGGACAGACTGATTTGCAGCATGTGCATGTTTCTGCAACCACTGTTTGCCTTCAGCTGTTGAGTTTAACTTTCAAAATGATTTAGTGTTGGCAGCCGGACACCGTTCGTTAATCCTCTGTGAATGTTGTTTTAAATATAAGAGGCACCTGAACTCTAAATAAGTGATGCCTTTTCAGGTTGTCTTGCAAACAGGAGCCTTTTCTGAGAATGAATTAATTATTTGTTAGTTTATTGAAGTGCAGCCCTGAGTTCGCTCACTGGATTCAGACTTTTTACCTTTTTAAAGAGGTCTGTGGACAAACAGCATGTGTGAAAGCGTCAGCGTGGGAAACCTGAGGTATTCTGTTTTTCTAAGACCTCTCTCCTGGTTCCCTCAGGACCTGACAGCTCTCGCTAAGGAGCTCCGTGCTGTCGACGACGTGAAGCCCCCCCACAAAGTCACCGACTACTCCTCCTCCAGTGAAGAGTCGGGAACCACTGATGAAGAAGACGATGAGGAGGTGGACCAGGAGGCCGGAGAGGAGTCCACCTCTGGAGCTGAAGACTCTCGAGCCGGGTGGGTGCAGCTTGATAACACTCTTGACTGTCTGTCTGTCTGTTGCTTTCATCTCTCAAGCTAAATTTCATGATTACATCCCCGTGAGATATTCCGTTAATCTGAACTGTTTGAACTTTGCGATGTTTGCTGCACGGCTTTCCTGCATGGGTGTTAACACGTGTCTGGTTGCGGACGTCAGATATTCCCATGGCTTCCGCAGGAGGCAGAGCAACGGCGAGACGGAGTCGGCTAAGACCATGCTGGTGGAAGACTCGGAGAGCGACCAAGCGATCACGCCCTCCAAGGACGGCACGCTGGTCATCCGACAGGTAAGAGAGGCTGCTGACTTCTTAGTGTAACACACAAGCTGTTTGTAAGAAGTGGACAGAGCCGTCAACAACTGCTGCAACTGAGAAATCTGAGAAGAATGATAATACTATTTATGTTTTATTCTGTATCATGTTTACAAAAGCAGTATGCTCCCATCAAACCCAGAATACTCTAGCCCATGTTGAAGCTAATAGTATTTAATGAACGACTCTATCGACTGAAATAATCCACAACAGAGTGACAGGTATAGATTTGAGTGACTTGTTGGGAGAGAAAAAGTTCACTGGGGTGCTAAATACAGTTAGATATTCTCAAAGACTTCAGTGTAAATAGGCTTTCATTATATCCTTTAATGCAGTTGTTCTCAAGTCACACCTGATTCAAATGATGAGCTCGTTAGTAAGCCATTCCAGAGCTTGATAACGAGCTGATCATTTGAATCAGGTGTGTTGGCCTCGAGGACTGGACTTGCGTTAAAGTGTCCCCCTGCTGGTCATTACTAAAAACACAGGTTTAAGACACTCGTGAACAAGGCTCAAAGGCTGCGTCCACTTCTTATTGAGACATTTTTGGATTGTGTTTCTGTCCAGTGGATAAGAATTTAAATTCATTTTGTTTTTCCTAGTTTCAGTTTCGTTGTTTTGCTTGTTATCTTTTCTTCTTAAGTTGTTTTGTCTCACCGTAACTTTTTTATTGTCTTATCTAACGTCTCACTTTCACAGATTCATAATGTCAGATAGTCATAGATTAGGTTTCAAACATGCTCGGGTTTCTCACTGAGCAGCAGTTTAAAGAAACGCTCTTCTAAGACGTGATTTGATCAGCTGATCTTAGTTTGAGAGCAGCCAGCCACTCCTCTCCTCCTCTTCTCCACCTGCTTGCTCAAGCCCAAGTTTGCCTGTTCTTGCTTCCAGAGCACCGCTGAAATAAAGCGGCTGGTCAATCTCTCATCTTCATCCTCCTCCTCCTCTTCCCCGGCTGGCCCCGGTCTCGGCCACTGCCAGCCCCAACCCCTCAGCCACGGCCTGCTGGAGAAAAACGGCTTTGCCGGCCGCATACACCACCTACCAGACCTTATCCAGCAGAGCCATCACTCCCCTTCCCCATCCACAAACATCCCGCACTCCTCCTCCCCCTCCTCATCCTTCCCCTCATCATCTAGCCATCCCAGTCCTGCCATGTCCCTACAGACCTCCCTGGACAAGTTCACTGCCATAGAGGTATGTCACCCCCTCACATCTCAGAGACGGACAACAGAGGAGAGGACTGAGGCAGAGTTTACGGGCTGAGACGTGAAGGGAGAAGATAAAGTTTCACTTATTTAGAGAAGTTCACCCCTCAAAGACAGTTTGCCTTTAAAAACTTCATTTTAAAGCTGGAAAAAAAAACGTCGTTTTCTCAGGTCCAGGTAGTTTCTGCCCTACTTGCCATATTGTGATGTGTCTGACATAAGACTGAAGGCATAAAGGCAGTTGTGTTTATGTTCACTGTTATGTTTGTTAGCTGTAAAAATACACAAAATCCAGTCAGTGACGCTCCCAGCCTGCTCCTTTCATTGGCCATGGTGGGTTTTCAGTCGTATTGAGGATTATTTGGATAAATAATCTCTTATAACATCCAGTCTCGAAACAGGCAGCACCTCCTCATCATCAAGAGTGACTAATCAGGCCATATATAAGATTTAGGATTTACTTAAGGTAGTGCCAAACAAGTTTTTGAGTTGGTGTGCTTCAAAAATAAAGTCAAAATAAAGTCAAAAGTCACATGAACTGAAACAAACTGTTTCTGTCAGTCAAGTCTTAGAGCCTTTGAGGAGGATGATCCTTTGAAGGATCCAGCCCTGCAGGGATCCTGTCAGTAATATCAGACATTAAATCAACTATCTGAGCCTGTCAGTGTCAGAGAAAAGCACTTAGACAGGGTTCATTTCGCCTTGAGGATCACTTTGGAGACGTACTGCTTGTCTTGTGACTTTTTTTGCGCTAAGGCAAAATTTTCTATACATAAAGACTTAAGATTAGAAATCAAACAAAATTATACAATCAGAAAGTTCTCCTTTGAGCGTTTTATGAAAGTCTCTCAATCTAAATCACTGTTTTTAAATCCTAGAAGTTTTGGATATATTTTTCCATCCCCACCATCTCTGAGCCTGTAAATATTTGACATCCACTCCTCTGTTGTCCCTCTGAACCTCTCCATGCCCTTTCCTTCCCCTTCCTGGCTTCACTCTGGCTCACCTCTGCCCCCTGCTGGCCTGGCTGACACCTTGGTCTGAATCCTCTGACCACCTGCCCTGCACTGTCTCTCTCTGCTAACACTGGTGCCTCCTGGTGGTAGAACAGGGTCATGGCATGAAGGGAACTAAAACCAGGGCTTCTTTGGATTAACCACAAAAGGAATCTCTTAACACATAGCATCTGAGGCTTGTAGTTTTTGGGTGATGGCATGCTGAGTGTGAAATCAAGATTTAGATTTCTAAACATGAAAAAGATTAAAAAACTCAATGCATGTATGACCTACTCGAAGACAGGAAATCAAACTATTCCCAGTGTTGATTCGGATGAATAACAGCCTCTTTTTGCAGAGTTCCAAAGATCTGTGGTGGAGAGGGAGCAGAATTTCTGTTAACACTTATGTTTGGATCGTTTCCCTCGGCGCATTTCTTCTTCTTGTTGCAACATGTTTTTTCTCTCTAACATCTCCTCTAAACAATTAACATCACCGCACATCATCTTTTGATTTGTTATTAAACTTGCTCTTCAACTTTGCTTTCCAACAACAATGTTTCTGATTAATCACATTTGTGCTGTTTTATGAGATTTAACTGTATAACACATACTCAAAACTGAGGGGAGCTTTGTTGCTGTTGCTCAAATCTGCAGTGCTAAAAGTCTCTTTGTGAACATTCAGACAAAGAAATTTGGTGTTTTAAAACCTGGGCGTCATATTTTCACATATTTGAGGGTCTAAGTAAGAAAAAAAGGTTGTATTAAATGTCAGAAACATGTTCTTCAGGAAAAGCTTGCCTGCTCAAAGTGCTTGTTTTTGCATCTGACAAGCCCAAATTATTACCCTGTCACAACATTGAAGAAAGTTTTTCACAATACTGTCCTACAAAGATGTGCAGGTTTATGCCTGTCAAATGAAGCTGCTGCATATCATCCCAACACAGTTTATTTAAACTTATCTGTGTAGAGTTTCAGTGTGTTAATTAGGGGTAGGATAAAAAATCGAAACAGCATTGTGTCATGATATTTTGTCTGGTGATATATCGTATCGTCTCATTTACCAAGTATCGATTTTTTTCAGATTAATTGCTAATATGATAGATAGATAGGTAGGTACATAGATGGATAGATACATACATAGATACTTTATTAATCCCACAGGGAAATTCAAATGATGACGTAAAAATAAAATTAACTGTTTGTCCATTGTGGTTGGCAGAGGTGACATCATAGAGCAGGAGAAAGTAAGTACAACAACTATAGCAGAAACTGGGGAAAGACATTAGGAATGCAAGCAGGGTACAAATGATATGGACCTAACACATAAGGTTTGCAAGATGTGTTACATAAAAATAAAATACTGTAAGTAAGACAAACGTAAAGGAAAGACAAATGCTAAATTAGCTAAACAGTTGAAAAAATTTGCATAAATCACAATATATTAAATCGCAATACTCACTGTATTACAAAATGTTAAAAATTGCAATAATATCGTATTGTGGCCCAAGTATCGTGATAATATCTTATCGAGATAATATGTTTTGTGGCCAAAATATTGTGATAATATCGTATCGTGATAATATTGTATTGTGGCCCAAGTATCGCGATAATATCATATCGTGATAATATCGTATCATAATAATATCGTATCGTGGCCCAATGATGTGATAATACCGTATCGCGATAATATCATATCGTGATAATATCACAATGTGATAGTATCGTATCGTGGCCCAAATATCGTGATAATATCGTGTCATGATAATGTCGTATCATGGCCCAAATATCGTGATAATGTTGTATCGTGATAATATTGTATTGTGGCCCAAGTATTGCGATAATATCATATTGTGATAATATCGTATCGTGATAATGTCGTATTGTGATAATATCGTATCGTGATAATATATCGTATAGCGGTCCAAGTATCGTGATGATATCCTATCGCGGGGCAACTGGTGATTCCCACCCCTAGTGTTAATATGATGCATCAGTGTTTTCAATTACCATGTTTTCTGAAGATCAGCATTGTGATCCGTGCATCACACTGCTGCTGCACTGATCATGTTGCATCTTTGTTTGAAACACCCCGAGAGAGGATACACTTCCTCAGAACTCATCCTATCTCCTCATTCCTTGCCTCCTCCCAGTGCATGAAAGAAAACAGTTCTTATTTATTGTAGAGGGGAAATCATTCCTCTGTCAGCTGAGGAGAGAGGACACAAGGAAGTGACACCTATAGATGCTTTAGTTAAAACTAGATGTGGGAATCTTTCTCTTTAATTAGCTCCATTGATCTGCTATAGCTGAGTCAAAACGTATTATTCCTCTTTTAATCGTATAAACCTCAAATATGTCACATGAACGCCCAGGTTCAACATAAAACACCTGATTTTTCTGTTCAGTGCAGGATTGAAGTGTTTGTTTCTAAAAAAGCCTCACATTTCTTCCAGTCCCAGTCAGAGAGCAGCTCCATATCCAAACACAAGTCTTCCTCCTCCTTCACTCCCTTCATCGACCCTCGTCTTCTTCAAGTCTCTCCATCCAGCGGCAGCTCACTCAACAACATGGGTAGGTCATAAATCTCAGTTTTTGAGCTAAGGTCAATCATAAGTCACATGTTGTCTTAAAGGAAATAAAGGACACAGAGGTGATTTCTTCTCCTCCTTCATTTCTCCTCCAGCAGCATTTGGGCAGGACGGACGCCTGCCTGACCCGCTGAGAGCTGAAGCGTCCCGTAAAGGCTCGGTGGTCAACGTCAACCCGGTGAACACGCGCCCGCCAAGCGACACACCAGAGATCCGCAAATACAAGAAGAGGTTCAACTCTGAGATCCTGTGTGCTGCCCTCTGGGGTAAGTCTGTAAATAAATAATAAAAACAAGCGATCAGGAGGTGTGCAGAACTGTGATTGAGTGTTTTATACGCCCCTCTGTGTCTGCTGCAGGAGTGAACCTGCTGGTGGGAACAGAGAGTGGTCTGATGCTGCTGGACCGGAGCGGTCAGGGGAAAGTTTACCCGCTGATCAACAGACGACGCATCCAGCAGATGGACGTCCTGGAGGGACTTAACGTCCTGGTCACCATATCAGGTATAAAAGCATGTCTGTTTTTTAGATAAACTGTACCGTGGTGTGAAGTCAGCATATTTATAAGCATAACTGAATCCTTGTCTTGAAGGTAAAAAGAACAAGCTTAGGGTGTATTACCTGTCGTGGCTGAGGAACAAGATTTTGCACAACGACCCTGAGGTGGAGAAGAAGCAGGGTTGGGTTAATGTGGGCGACCTGGAGGGATGTGTCCACTATAAAGTCGGTACGTGTCATTTTTTTAATCTGTCCTCAAACCGATGAAAAATGAAGTTCGAATTCAACTTTATTTTTATGGCAGAGACATTATGTGAGGAAAGAGCTACCTTTAGGAAACACTGGAGATAAAAATAAAAAGAGTAAAAAGAGTAAAACCTGCTGGACTAAGAAAATAATATTAAATGAACAGATAATTAAGAGCTCTTTACCATATAAAAGAGAGATAAGAACAGAGGTGATTAATAAAATGACATAAATAAACGATAAGAACTTGGATTAAAATGAACATTTGCATGAAGAGAGAGGTTGCCCCCCGTATTGACAGTCTGATCCTTTCTCATTCCAGTGAAGTACGAGAGGATTAAGTTCTTGGTGCTGGCCTTGAAGAACTCTGTGGAGGTTTACGCCTGGGCTCCAAAACCCTACCACAAGTTCATGGCCTTTAAGGTGAGACTGGATCCACCTCCGGATGTGACCACACCCTCGAAAGACTGAAGAAAATCTGACCGTTTTTCTGTCTGACTGTTTATTTCTAGTCTTTTGGTGACCTGGTGCACAAGCCTCTTCTGGTGGACCTTACGGTGGAGGAGGGTCAGAGGTTAAAGGTCATCTACGGCTCCTGCTCAGGCTTCCATGCTGTGGATGTGGACTCTGGTGCTGTCTATGACATCTACCTGCCCACACATGTAAGAGCTCACCTCTGACTCCGATCACAGCCCCTTTTTTCTTTTTACATCTTCAACCTTCTCCTTTTTTCTCTCCCTCAGATCCAGACCAGCATCCAGTGCCATGCCATCATCATTTTGCCAAACACTGACGGGATCGAGCTGCTGGTTTGTTACGAGGACGAAGGCGTCTACGTCAACACCTACGGTCGCATCACCAAGGACGTGGTGCTGCAGTGGGGAGAGATGCCAACTTCAGTGGGTGAGTTTGGCCGAAAGAATCTAGGTCAGGTCCTCTGGAAGCTCAGAAGACTCTTTGAGTAGTTACGCTATTGTCCTCCTGTGTGTCTGCAGCCTACATTAGGTCAAACCAGATCATGGGCTGGGGTGAGAAGGCCATAGAGATCCGCTCAGTGGAGACGGGCCACCTGGACGGCGTCTTCATGCACAAGAGAGCCCAGAGACTCAAGTTCCTTTGTGAGAGGAACGACAAGGTGAGGACCAGGGATGTGATGGTTCTTCTATCATCATGTAGGCCCACATTCATGGGTGTCTCTTTAACCCACCTGGTGTTTTTTGTTTCGCCTCCTCCTGTCAGGTCTTCTTCGCCTCTGTGCGTCAAGGCGGAGCCAGTCAGGTGTACTTCATGACCCTCGGCCGCACGTCCCTCATGAGCTGGTAGCAGACGCGACGACCACACCTTAGCAGAGACCAACAGAAGACGATTGTGACTTTGACCTACAACCATGAAGAAGAAGAAGAAGAGACGCACTGAGAGCAAACTAACAACAGACCGGACTGTGATCCTCTGTAAGAGGCGAGGGATTGGTGTGTGTGAGTGCGTGAACATCCGAAACCCCCACCAGCCTCCAGGTTTTTCTCACCTTTAACCTTTGAGCCGATCCCCTCCTCCTCCACCTCCTCCTCTTCGTCCTCCTCTTCTTCTGCAGAGCGTCTGTCGATGGTAAATCTTTCTGTGTCATAGTAAAACTTTGCATTGTGTTAAGTGTGTGAACAGAGGGAACACTTGAGCATGTGAATGACTGGCGATTAGAGGCTAAACGCGTCTGAAGAAGGCGAAAAACTGAACGTGTGTTAAGTCCAGGTTCTGTTCAGGTAACTCCTCTTCCTCCCACCGTAGATTTCAATTAACACTTAGCTCACAGCCACCGTTTTCCTCCTTTAAATAACGCCTGACGTGTAAATCTGCCTCTGTGTCTTCACTTTTTTGCCTTCTCCTCCTTAAAGTGAAGATTTTTTTAAGGGACCTTTTCTTGATATATCCATAAAAACAGGGTACTGGATATCAGCTTGTACATACGAACTACATGCCTCACGTACTGTAGGTGATGTCGGACAGATGTAGCCCTGTTCATGGCAGCATGTTGCTCTCGTGTTATTGACACAGATTAGCCCCAGTTTTTCAGACACTGTATATTTTATATGTGACTCGCTGCACAGAAACAAAGCAGAAGACAAAAGAAACTAAAAAAAAAGGGGACGGTTCGTGACGTCAGATAAATACTGCACTGGTGCTGGACTGAAGTGACGCTTTTAAAAGAACCAAATCTGGAGCCTGACTCGTGGTATAGTTCGATGAAATTATTGTGCTGGTGTTTATCTTTGTGCAGAACGTAAAATCCAAAAATACGTTTTTAAAGTAATTTCCAAAGAGTATCATTGCAGAGTTTGTCCAGTAGGGGCGCTGTGGCTCGTTCGCATGCAGCAGGAATAAGAACAAAAAACTTTTATTTAGTTATTTAAAGAAGCAACTCTGAGTGCTTTTGCATTCCCACTTAACTGATATAAAAGTATGTGTGGAAACTACTCCTTTTTAAATCCATGGCTTGTAAAAACACTTTTCCTGGCTGCAAAGCGATGCAGACATGTCGCAGAGAATCAGGCGTATACATGAGTAAGTCTTCTCACGAATGTCGTATTCTTGCAAAACAGACATTTTTAAAGGTCTCTGATGTTTTTAGTGCGAATTACATCCCATATCAGCGGCGATCGTGCTAAGAATTTCACATTTGAGAGGCTCCACCGGATAGATCTCGGCTCTCTCCAGCTGCAGAATACAGCTGAAAGAAGTCCTCAAAGACGGCTTTAAAAAAAACAAAACAGAAAGTTGCAGTTGAAGCGGTGTTTATAACCAGATACTGCTTCGATAAATACGCTGGCTCTGGGTAAATTTTTGTCGACGTTGTGATTTTTCCACTTTGTGCTACTTTGAGTGACTGCAGGTCTGTCTTCTTATTCTCGACTTCAACAGAAAAGGCACTAATGCAGAGTTTAGATGACGTGATGAACCCGCCTGCTTTTTCAGTTCTCATGATGTAATGCACCCATTGATGAGTTTTAAAGGACAAATCCACCTTAAATGTCATGAATCCGTGAAAACGCTTTGGGCTAAAATGAATTCTGTGTCTCATCATCATCATCATCATCATCTTGAAGTCTGCACTCTCTTCTCTCTACTGGAATGGTAAAAATCACACAACAGCACCCTGAAATGTGAGCATCATCTCCTGAAACGAGGTGGATTTCTCCTTTAATGACCGGATTACGTAGGGCTAGCATAAACTGTGAATTAGCAGAATTAGCAGGTGGCCGTTAAGGTAGCATGGAAGTGACGGTAAAGGGAACGAAGGCGGTATGCAAAGAGAAGATCTGAAGCCCAGTTTCACCTCCTCACTCGGTCATCTCTTTACAGTTGCCTTACAAGGATCTCCACTTCAAACCCCCTTTTAGGATTTTAGGTTTTATAGTGACGTTTGTAGGAATATCCGCCTCTAAACCAGCCATGTGATTCAATATTGGACCTCTTTTTGCCATTTTGGGCTTCAGACCAGAAGTTAACTGGATCATTCTCCGTTTTTTTCATCTCTTCATCTTCCCTTTTAACCCCAAATGAGGAGAAAAATCAACCTGAGACACTCTCCCTCCACTGTTTAATCGATTCTGCAGCCACATGCATGTACGAATGATCAAAGTCCGACTACAGGACCCCCCCCCTTTTCCCGTCGAAACACCTCAATCCTGCTCTTGTAAAGATGTTGCCTTCACTGTCTGAGGAAAAAGATGCATTCACTGTCTGCAAAGAAGGCAAAAGTCACACGTTCTTATAGCAGTGTTAGAAAACCACTCCAGACGGCGCCAGCTAAGGGGCATATTTTTAACTCTGACTTAGTTTTTAGTCTCGTTTCTGCAATTTTTATTATGTAACCCTTCGGATAAGTATGCGACTGCAGTGGTTTTTAAATTGTTATGCACACCTTATGTTGAAAATGTTTACAGAAGCAATTGTTTTGTTAAACCAATGTGCATCGATATGAATATTTATGGTTTATTTTGAGGGCAGTTTCTCCCTGTTTTTTGTATTTTGTATTATTCCCTTTTTGTACTATCATTTAGACGTTTGTGTACAGGAATAATCTACTTTTCGCTCACGTTATGAATTACACGCGTCTCGAGTGTGATCTCACTGATTCCTAATACATCCTGCATCGTGCACAGTGTGCCCCTGGCCGCGTGGCAGCGTGGATTAAATGTTTTCTACCACCAGGTGCCAGGTGACATGTTTCTCCCCTCAAACGTCTCTCTGCCATGCCTCTCTAATTTATGTCCTCTCTGTGTGTACTATGGGAATTACTGTATTTTCCTGAAGGTCTTTTTTTCCATTGAATAAAATCAGAAGTAATTTACAGTGTGCTGTCATTATTTTATGTGCAGATTGATTTACAGAAAGTTTATTCAATTTAATTTAATTTTTTTTTTTGATGTGGCAAGATGCTTTTATTTTGAAAGACAAAACTTCCCATTTCTCTACCTGAGCCGAAAGTCTAACTTGTGTCTAAAATAAACTGACACTACACACACTACATTTGCATGTGCTACATTCAAAACGTGTTTAATGAAAAAGGGAATGTATTACACGCAAAAACACTCTGCTGTATGACCCTTCAGTCATTTTTATAATGGTAATTTCAGCTAAGATTGTCTCTAGATAGCTGCAACCAAGCGCAGCAGAGGTAATTAAAAAGGGGGCTTAATAATTAATGTCACAATAAAACAATATTCGATCATAGAGTAGAAAAATAAATAGATAAATAACCCAATAAAAGATGGACTCTTTCTTCAACTGGTCTGGCATTATTCATTTACTGTACATATGTCAGTACCCTTTTCCTCCACAGTAGGGCAGTGTTGCACATCTTACAGACCACCCTCCCCTTAAATTTGCATTTATTTCTAATAATTCAGGGTTTGCCAACATCCTCTCCAATCAAATGAAGAAGTCAGTGGATGCTTTGAGCTATATCATCGATAATTTAGTGGGACTCAAATACTCGTTTTCTTGACATTTATTTTGACTTTAATAATTATTTCCTTTATCTTCCTCTTCTTCTTTTGGCTTCTTTGCTCCTAAATTGGTGCCCTTTTACCTTGAAAAATACCACAAATATTATCAATTACTTTCTAAACAGCTGTAAAAAATAAAGTTTACATTTTTATTTAAAAAAACACACTGAATACTGTCTAAAAAGGAAGTAGTTTGAAGAGTTTCCCTCCTAAGTGGCAAGTTGATAAAACTGTTGCTGAAACATTGATCAAGTCCGAATTTTAATTTATTTTCCTTGCTCTTTTCAGGGTATGGAATTCACAAACTCCCTTGCCCATCTGCCACAAATGCTGGTCAATGATGTTGAAAGAATTGTGGCTGAGTTTTCACACACACCATATTCCAAACAAGACAAAGGAGCAAAAGTACAACAGACATACAAATCGATTATTTCATGTCTTAAAGAGACTAATTTAATAAACAGAATTTAAGACAAACTGTCCAAGAGCCACACTCCAGTTCAAGAGGTGGCAGTAATGCACCTTTCAGCTGGTTTGGCAACTGAAGAACATGGCATCTCCAGCATGTGTTTGCTGTTAGTGCATATCTGGTGAGTGAAAATGGTCTGTTAGCATTGTAAGAATTGAAAAGAATCGATTTTAACCACAAAAACTGTATTTTTCTCCATAATTACTCTGAAACTATCAGGTTTGCTAAACTAGCTTAGGTCAAGCGCAGCTGTGTCTCATTGTTGCAGCCTCAGTCCCAGTGACATTGTATAACACTCAGGGTTTGAAAACGTTTAAAGTTGAGTGTTTTGTTATCGTGGTGGACATTTGAATAGACTTAAACAATATGGAGGTGTTTTTAAATGGATTTACATTTTGGGGGGATTCAAAATAAAAGTATTGTTCGTAAGTGGTAGGAAGAAACTCCAGAGGGCAGCACTGAGTGTTGATTTGCCGCTTAATCTCGATCATGACAAGCTGCAGTGGCGCCATGAGAATTTGTACTTTTATTAATACGAACAATCATTCACTTGCTTACCAACTTACTAACCATTACAAACCATCATTTTGTTAATGTGTAGCACTGATATGAAGGTGATTTTGTATTAAATGTAATATATTCTTATCCATTTTATTTCATGATAAAAAAACAAGAATAAAATGCAACATAAATAATCATTTTTATTTGTTTGGGTAAAAAATATATTTAAATCCATATTTAAATAAACAAAGGTCTAGATGTAAAAAAAAACAACTATAGCAATGATAGAAATGATTAAATATATATGCTAATAGTTGTATGATATAACATTTTAAGTAATCATTAATATTATTATTATTGTTTAAACAACTAGTTAAATATCACCAGTCAAACTTCAATGTGCAGGAGTTAATCAAGTTTCTCAGGCAGCAAACAAATCTGACCACATATCAAAACTGACCACCAGGGGGCGCTTTTCTGTAATGTGCCTATTGCTTAATCTAACCGCGTTCTCTTTTTCCACTTCCGGGTCCAGCGGAGTTGTTATAATGCCTCAGTGCTATGTCCCTTGCTGCTTAAACTGATCAGAGACAAAAACAGCGACTAAACTATCATTCTACAGATTTCCTCCCAACAACAAAGACAACAAAATAACTTCATCATTTCTGTATTGTATCCATAGACTGTATACAGTCTATGTTTGTATCACAAACACACGGCATCACGTCCATTCATTCATTGAATTCAAAGCTTCGCGCACCAAAGCCTCGGGGTGTCTTTGGTTTATCGTTTTACATTTATTGTCCACTTGATGGCGCAATAGAGCAAATGAAGCACGATCATGAAGCTTCGGCCCAGGAGGCGAGTAATTGGATGGAAAGCTTCGATGCTTCATGAGGCTTTATCTCGCCATCACTAAAATTTACGTTAATAACTCTATCCGAGTTGAAAGCTTTAAGTCCCTTTTTAACTCTGAGTGGTTCCCTTCTGAAAACGGAGGTTATTTTAAAGAGATTCACGGGTTCTGCCATTGTTGTTTTGAATGGAGAGTGAATGGAGGCTGATTCCCCATGGACCCGGAAGCCGCTCCGCTCACAAAATGACGTCACGCTTAACAGCCGGATTGCTTAATCTAACTGGGTCCTTAACTCCAGATCCTGATGTCTTCTAGTCCTTGTGTTTGATCCTCAGGTGTATGCGAGAGGACTGGAGACTCAGCGCTTCATGGGATCTGGAGACGACAGCCTGGTAGAGTTGCGTTGTTGGCTCAGAGTTTCAGGGTCTTCAGTCCCTGATAGTGCTGTTGATGTTTTCAGCACCTGTAGTGTTCGTTTTTAATGTAACACTCCAGTCCAGTGGATCCTCCAGTGTGTCCACATGGCTCAGAGGGTAAGCGACTGACTGGCACTCCTGAGGCTGTGGGTTTGATCCTTACCCTGGTCTAGTTGAATTTTAAAGTTTAGAGGCTAGAAAGGAGAGTGAAAGAGGAAACAACTGGAACTCTCCTGTGTGTCCACATGGTTCAGTGGATAAGAAGACTGACTGGGACCTTTGAGGTTGTGGGTTCGAGCCTTACCTTATCCAGGTCCAGTTGAACTTTAAAGTCTTGTGTCTAGAAAGGAGAGTGAAATAGTAAAAAACAGAATTATCCTGCATGTCCACATGGCTCAGAGGGTAAGAAGACTGACTGGAACTCCTGAGGTTGTGGGTTCGAGCCTTACTCAGGTCTAGTTGAATTTTAAAGTCTAGTGTCTAGAAAGGAGAGTTAAATAGGAAAAACCCGGATTTACCCTGTGTGTCCCCATGGCTCAGAGGATAAGAAGACTGACTAGTACTTCTGAGGTTGTGGGTTCAAGCCCAACCTTATCCAGGTCTAGGAGAATTTTAAAGTCTAGGAGCCAAAGTATCAAGGTAAAAGGGCGCCCAGGTCCTACCCAAGTGTGGATCGTATCTTGTAGCATGTGTGTTAGTCAATTGGCTTTCAATGTGTGGACCCCGGTTCGATTCCAGCTAGTGACGGGGTAGTTCAAAGTAATGAAATGATGAAAATTTCCTTCTATACCGTAATCGGTATAGACTCCTGAAGAAGTGATGATTCACTTCTAATGATGGCTAATTCTGATCGTTACTAATACTCTCCAGCCACGAGTTGGTATCAAACCAGGCCCCATTGGGTGCCAATAGACTTCCATGCAGTGCCATTAGATAGGATCCACACTAGGGCATGCGGAATGCCCGCTTTTATCATCTTACTTTGGCTAAAGGACTTAAAAAATTCAAATAGATGTGGTTGAGATTCGAACCCATGACCTCAAGAGTCTCAGTCATTCTTCTTACCCTCTGAGCCATGTGGACACACAGGGCAAATCCGGGTTTTTCCTATTTAACTCTTCTTTCTGGACAACAGACTTTAAAATTCACAGAGACAAGGCAAGGCTCGAACCCACAACCTCCGGAGTCTCAGTCAGTCTTCTTATCCTCTGAGCCATGTGGACACACAGGGTGAATCCGGGTTTTTCCTATTTAACTCTCCTTTCTAGACACTGGACTTTAAAAGCTGGACAAGGCGGGGATCGAACCCACAACCTCAAGAGTTGCAGTCAGTGTTCTTACCCTCTGAGCTATGTGGACACGCAGGATAAATCCAGGTTTTTCCTATTTCACTTTCCTTTCTAGACACTAGACTTTAAAATTCACATCTACCTAAATAAGGTAGGTGTTGAACCCACGACCTCAAGAGTCCCAGTCAGTCTTCTTACCCTCTGAGCCATGGAGACACACAGGATACATCCAGGTTTTTTGTATTTCACTCTCCTTTCAAGAGACTGGACTTTAAATTTTACCTCGACCTGAATAAGGTAGGTGTTGAACCCACGACCTCAAGACTCCCAGTCAGTCTTCTTACCCTCTGAGCCATGGAGACACACAGGATACATCCAGGTTTTTTGTATTTCACTCTCCTTTCAAGAGACTGGACTTTAAATTTCACCTAGACCTGAATAAGGTAGGTGTTGAACCCACGACCTCAAGAGTCCCAGTCAGTCTTCTTACCCTCTGAGCCATGGAGACACACAGGATAAATCCAGGTTTTTTGTATTTCACTCTCCTTTCAAAAGACTGGACTTTAAAATTCACATAGACCTGAATAAGGTAGGTGTTGAACCCACGACCTCAAGACTCCCAGTCAGTCTTCTTACCCTCTGAGCCATGGAGACACACAGGATGGATCCAGGTTTTTCCTATTTCACTCTCCTTTCAAGAGACTAGACTTTAAAATTCACATAGACCTGAATAAGGTAGGTGTTGAACCCACGACCTCAAGAGTCCCAGTCAGTCTTCTTACCCTCTGAGCCATGGAGACACACAGGATGGATGCCCGGTTTTTTGTATTTCACTCTCCTTTCAAGAGACTGGACTTTAAATTTCACCTAGACCTGAATAAGGTAGGTGTTGAACCCACGACCTCAAGAGTCCCAGTCAGTCTTCTTATCCTCTGAGCCATGGAGACACACTGAAAAATCCCGGGTTTTTTGTATTACACTCTCCTTTCTAGATATGAGACTTTATATTTGAATCCAACCTGGATAAGATAAGGATTTGAACCCACCACCTCAGGAGTCCCGGTCAGTCTTCTTTCCCTTTGAGCCATGTGGACACATAGGAGGCTCCAGTTTGTGAAAGGTTTTCACTCTCTTCTGTTTTTTAGACACTGGACTTTAAAATTCACAAGCACCTTTAACATCAGGAGTCTAAATAAGTCTTTTTGCCTTCTGAGCCACAGAGACAAGTAAAGGTCTCGGTTTCCAAAAGGATTTGACTCCTTTGTTGTCAAAGGTCTGGAGAACGCCACGAGGAACTACTATATTAGAGGTGAGGCGGCTCCCACCCTCCTTCCTGAACAAATCTGAACTTTTTTAAATTAACTGTGTACAAATGTCATAGTATAGTGAGACATAAAAAAGTCATAGTCATAGTATGATAAAAAAAAAAGTCCTAGTATAGTCTGATAAAAATGTTGTGGTATAGTATGATATAAAAATACCGTAGAATAGTATGATATAAAAATGTTACAGTAAAGTATGTTAAAAATTTCATAATATAGTATGATATAAAAATGTCATAGTATAGTATGATAAAAAAAATGTTACAGTATAGTATGTTAAAAATTTCATAATATAGTATGATATAAAAATGTCATAGTATAGTATGATAAAAAAATGTTACAGTATAGTATGTTAAAAATGTCATAACATAGTATGATATAGAAATTTAATAGAATAGTATGATACAAAAATGTCATAGGACAGTATTATTACAATGTCATGGTATAGTATGATATAAAATATGTCATAGTGTAGTACGATAAAAATTACAGTAAAGATTGATAAAAAAAAGTCATTATAGTATGATGTAAAAAACAAAACAGAGGAAAATACTGACATTAAGTAAGAGTAAGTCTTTTTATCACGTTAAATTTTTACATCAATTTTGGGAAACTTTTCAAATTAAAGGATGTATTTTTGTCGAAAAACAGCTAACAATTGCCATGTCTGTAAATTTACTATAAGCTGAAAACATTCGTTTTTACCCAGATTTCAATCGCATTTCTAGACAGACTCCAAGGACGAGTAAAATACGTGAATTTTTCTAATTTTGATTAAAACTGTTCCCAAATAAAATTTTGAAACACAAATGTTCAGAAATAAATTGATAATCTTTTCATCCAGAAATAACCTTTTTTAATTAACCATCATGGATTTATCTTGATACGTTAGAGACAGTTCTAGCACAGTTTTACTGTCATACCACTAAGTATGCAATACAAAAGTGATTAAAAAAATATATATTAGCGGGATTTCATCCATGTAGAGTCCATAGTCCAATAAACATCATTTAAATTCAAAAGGTAAAGTTTACATTAATACTTTTTTTTGTTTCACAATGTTTTTTTTCTTGATAATGTTATCCGTCTTTTATATTTTATCATTCGTAAATTATCTCAAATTTGGCTGGGAATTTATGTTAGAACCAATGCTATTGATGCTGCTGTTGTCTGCCAGTGTGTATCACAGGCGTATTTATGTTGTCTTGTTAGAATAATGATAGAATAGTAGAATAATAGAATAGTGATAGAATCATCCAAAGTCATAACTGTTTTATATTTAGGACCACACAAGAAGTCCCCAGGATTTTTTGTGGTATCATTTTGGCTTAAGTGTGTGACTGCGCCTCATGCTGTTTACTTTTTTGTGTAAGTGGCTGAACCCTTTTTTCATAATTCATTTAACATTTCAGTCCCAGACTACCATATGATGAGATTTAGCCTCTCAGACCCAAAATTAGAATATATTATAATACAGCCAGAAATGAACCACAGTTTTCTTCTTAAATTTAACAATTATTTATCAAGTGTAGTTCAGGATTAAACCACTAGAGGGAACATTAGCCTCATAAATAAAGATGAATACATGCTGTTGCTCAAATGCATCACTTCAATGACCTGTTTAGCTTCACTATAGCTGAATTATATGAACAAATGAAGACTCTGAGACAGCTTGGCTTCTGGTTTGAACATTTATATTGTGATTTTCAGTTTAAATGCAAGAGGACACATTAACTCTTATCTGCAACCGCTTTTCGTCACTTCACTTGGCCCCACATGTTCACGTCAGCACATCAATAACTTACATACTGTACTGTAGCAAACATCCTGCATAAGACAATGATATTCAGTTAGAAGAAACGGTACACTGCCTTTCTTTGAGTGGTGACAGAAACCACTGGAGCTGTGGCGGAACAATGGAACAGCATGATGAATATGGGCTGATATGAAAAAAAGACCATCTTTATGCTTGTGAATCATTTACCGAGCACATATTTTCACACAAAAAGCCACTTTAAACCAGTTTAAAGTGTCTCAAATATCAATAATATGTCCTCCTGCTGCACACAGACATGTTGAGATTGAGCACCCTTAAAATGAAGACGTTGTTGCAAGAAATCAAAACCCTTTATGAATCACAAAATCATAATATGTAAGCTCAGTGGTGCGGTCGTGCACCGAGGATTGACGCGGTTATGGCACCATGAGGAAACAAAGATACGACGGACACACAAAGTTGAAAGCAACATTCAGTCTAATGCCAGTCTGACGACCTCTGTTATCAACTACATGGTTTTAATTCTCTGTACATTAACCGGACAAATGTATGTTTTGCAATTCCTGTGGATAAGATGAGTATACTTCACAATCCAATCTGTACATTCGACATCCTGAAATGTGATACCATGTGACTTTAGAAGGCGGTGAGAGGGGGACCAACAGTAAACAGGAGTAGCAGCTGCAACTGTACAGATACAAACTGAAGGATAAGGTCCAAAATCAAGCCAAACGCACGGGGAACTCACATAGTCCAAAGATATGCACCATTGCAGGCCTCCCTCTTTCCATTGACAGGAGTCTGTTAAATAAAACACTTTATTTTCCAGTTGCACGGTCCAGACTCGGCTGAACTTGAGGGAGAAATCTGCTCTGACCTCTGTGCAAGACTTTGGGAATAAGGCGTCCTTCTCATTTGCATTTGCAGAGTTACGAAACAGTCTAGAAATGAGATAACAGGTTCAAGAGTTTTACACATTTGTTAGTTTTTCTAGAGCCCGACTGATGCAGGAGTCAAACAAACCTTTAACTGAATGCAAGTGATGGTTTTCTGCATGGATTTTCAGTTCTACGGTTATGGAAACAGAAAAGTAATTGTATGAATCAAAAGATATCGATCAGCTGTCTGGATAAAGATACAATATCACTGACTCAATTTAGAGATATTAGGTCAATTTAAAACGGAACAAATTGAACCATTTAGATATTTGCTTTACAACCTAGGGTTGTCATGATATTGAATATCATTATGAATTGATACCACTACAACAAGTTAAACTCCTCAGTATCAAAACTTGGAATTTGAGTTTATTTCTTTTTTATTTCCACACAGCAAAAAGTGTGTTTTTGCTTGATATGAATAAATATAATAATTTATGATGTAAAATAGAAAAAATGTACCAGCAGATACTCCATACTTTAAATTGGGATTCGGATGTAAAACCGCTGATCGGGTCACCCCTTGCTGCATGTTCTGCAAACTACAAGATAATACCAACTACCAGCATTGTTCTGTGGAACATCTGAAAAAAGAAACTTGTTTTGGTAAGTTATTTTTGAGCATTTTGACTCCTATATCAATCGGGCTCTAGCTTTTTTAAAATCATTGCCTTCATAACCGTAATTCATTATTTCCAAATGTGCCTTCCCAAATACATTCTGCTGTGCCTGAATGTGTCGTTCCTCTCTTGACTTTGTTGACCAGCTTTTAAAATACAAACTCATAAAAAAATCCTTCCATTTATCAATCATTAAATAATTTCATATAAAAACAAATCTAACCAATCTGCACTCCGTGAAGGTCTTTCTTAATGGTTAACCACACCACGTAGTTATACGTGCATATGCACAATGCATGTATGTATATTCAGTCTTGGTGTCTCTCTCTTTCTCACTCATGCACACACACCAGAACAGCTCATCAGAGTGTTTACAGCCTGTTCTTACATGAGATCCATGCAGTACCAAAGCAGAGAGATCCTCATGTTGGTTTTTTTATCCAGTACGTGGCACAAACTTATGGCAGAGAAGCAGATACATGGTTCGGCTCAGACCTGGATCCAGTAATATTTGCAGGGTTCTTATTATTACTTTACTCTGCTTAGTGGACTAGATGGGTGGGGTCTACAGGAACAGGCCAGTATGGAGAGTTTTGGATGTTGAGGAGCCAAACTTCTCTACTTCAATCTGAATTTTCCAAAAGATCCAGTGAACCAAGCTTTAAAAAATGCAATACTTAGCAAACACTAACTGATCACGGTCTGGTTTGGGTTTCAGTATTTACACAGTCAGCGTATGAATATTCACTCCTATATATTCTTCATTGTCTCTATCGTGTCCTGATGTCCAAACTCAACACTCTCCGGTAAGTTTCGTGGCGTCCCCCCGTTTTGGCGGTGCAGGCGGGGGTCCTCGTCTTAGCGTTGCATAGCCTGAGATGTTTCCGGACATGTAGCCACCGTTCCCACCATTGCTTTGCTTCCCTTGGTCCAGGAGCAGCTCGGGCGGAGGCGGCGGCAGCGCCATGTCATCCATAGTTCCTCCAGTTTCTAACTTGCCCGCTGAGTTTACAGAACCTTGGCGACCCACGGATTTCCGCTTCAGCGTCCGGTTCAGATCCTCCAAGAAGTTAGGTTGGCCCGAGCTGCCCTTTGGGGATGTAGGTGGGGGTGAAAGCGGAGGGGGGTCTGGTGTGGTGTTGCTACGCCGCACCAGTGTTGGTGGAGGAGTCTTTTTCAGCGAGCTCTTCCCCCATGTTGAGTTGCTTACAATGGGAACAGGTGGAGGAGGAGGTGGTGCCTGCGGCTGTGGGTTGACCACAGCAACTCTTGGTGGGCCTCCACTATGGGCATCAGAACCAGGAGGTGGAGGAGGGGGGAAGAGCTCAGAGGCTGGGGGAGGAGGGGGGAAGTAGGCGCAATCAGGAGGTGGGGAAGGGAAGTCGCCACCGGATTGCTTGGCCTGGCTCACTTTGGCCTGAAGCGCTGGGGTGAGGTTGGAGAGATTGAGCTTGCCTGGTTTTGGGGGAGCTGGAGGGCCATTTGAGGGGTCCTTAGAAGGAGATCCAGTGGAGGAGGGGGTGGGGCAGGGGAAGGAAGGAGTGGCATTACCCTGGGGGGCAAACTTGCTTAGTAAGTTTTTCCTGGACTCCTCATAGGATGCTGATGCATTGGCCTTCACGCTGGAGTTCCTCTGTGGAGCAGGTGGAGGTTTCTTGCCTCCAAAGTTAAATGATCCAGGGGGAGACCTCTTCATTGGGGAGCCCAGGTTTCCAGGAGGGAGAGGTGGAGGTGGAGGAGTTGGGCCTGTGACTGGGGGAGGTGGAGGAGGAGGAGGCGGAGGAGGCGGCGCAGGAAATCCAGCGTTGTTGTCAGGAGGAGGAGGAGGGAACTCCGGAGATTGGAGCTGCTGGCCTCCACCTGGCTGCCATCTTGGTTTGGTCTTCACTGCAGGGGGGGAGAGGGGGGCTTTAGGGCTCTCTGCGTGATTGGCTGCTTGAGATGATGCTCCTGGAAACTGACTCGCCAGCTGTTTCACCAAAGACGTGGTGGGCGGGCCTCCAGTTGAAATGGAGGATGGTTTAGACAGACTGTGCTGCTTCGGCAGAGTAGGAGGCGGTTGGCTGGTATGCCCCGCCTGGAGACTGAACTGCTTCTTAAAAGGAGCAGGTGGAGGAGGAGGTGGGGGTGGCGGCGGAGTCGGACAACCAAGAGCTGCCGAAGGTGGAGCAGGAGGGAATGGGGAGACAGGTGAGACAGGTTTGAGGGCAGTGTGAGGAACAAAGCCAGGGTTGAAGGTTTTCGGTGGTGCAGGCGGAGGTGGCGGGAACTGGGCCTGCACTTGGAACTGCTGAGGAGGAGGTGGGGGAGGAGGTGGAGGTGGCGGTGGAGGAGGAGGGGGTGGTGGAGCTGGGGCAGGAGGTGGTGAATCCTCAAGGCTACCGTTTGGAGAAAGGAGGTCCCGTGGTGGACTGGGGAACCGTTCCTTTAGTGCCTGCTTCAGCCCGTTGGGGTAAACAGGTTGACTCATGGGCGCCATCACTGCAGGGGGTGGAGGAGGAGGAGGAGGAGGGGGAGGGAATGCTACTCCATTGGATTGAGTAGCAGGTGGAGGTGCTGGTGGTGGAGGAATGAAGGAAGGTGGGGCTGCAGGGCTCGGAGGACCCATTTTCAGAACAGCCATGGCTGACCCTGGAGCCGGCATGGATGGTGGCGGCGGTGGAGGAGGAGGAGGCGGTACATTAGTCCTTGCTGCAATGTGATTGACGTTAGGTTTGACTGGTGCTTGTGCTGGAGGCGGAGCCAGAGATGTGGGTAGAACTTGGTGACCCAGGGCGTGGATATGGCCCGGCAGCTTATGGTGGTTGGCGGTGTTGGAGGATTTCTGATTCTGCAGCCGAGTGATGGTGCTGTACTTGTACATATTTAGAGCTGGGGAGTGGTGGGAGATTATTTGAGCTGGCGGTGGAGGAGGAGGGGGAGGCGGCGGAGGAGGAGGAGGAGGTGGGGGTGAAGGAGCCACTTCTTGCTGCTGCTGCTGGGGGAGCACGTGGTTGTAGCTGATGGCGGTTTGTGGCTGTTGTAGAGGAGATCGTGGAGTTTCTGGTGGGCGCTGAATCATCTGGAGTGGAGGAAGCTGTGGGGTCTGTTGAGGAGATTGAGGCTGGGGAGGCAGGTGCTGGTGTTGAGGTGGGGTTTGGGGTAGCATGGTTGGGTACTGAGGCGGTGGTGGCTGCTGTTGTTGGGGTTGAGGTGGAGGCTGAGGTTGGGGAGGGGGTGTCAGAGCGGGGTGATCAACTGAATGCTGGCTGTGATGTCGGTGGCTGTGGGAGCCGTGTGGTAGGGTACCCGATCTAGATGCCTCCATCCTCATTTGCTAAAAAAAACAAAACAAAACATATTATCTCTGTAAAATCTCACATTCTGCAGCAAAAAACCTCTTTATCCTCTTCTTCTTACCTTGGTGCTTTCCTCAATCTGGGTCCCTCTCTTCCAGGCCTCAGAGAAGATGGAGCTGACCACACTCTGGGACCGCCCATGAGAGGATCCTGTGTCCACGCCACTGTCAGAATGGCCTGAATGGTTCGACTGGGACTCTAAAAGCACACACACAAAGAGCACAGAGACTCTGAGAGGGAGGTTTCTTCAGTCATGATTCGTTCAACTCAACTCAACTCAACTTTATTTGTAGAGCACTTTAAAACAACCACAGCTGTACAAAGTGCTGTACATAAATAGGCAAAACAACAAGATAAAAAACAATCAAGAAACAATTAAAACAATGGATAAAATAAAAGCAGAATTAATAATAAAATATAGCTTCAATGTTTTTAAAAACTAATTTAAAAACATAGAAACAAATAACTAAAAACAAACCATAGAACACTAAAACAGGAGCCGAGTCTCATGCAGGGTTAAAAGCCAATGAATAAAAATGGGTTTTAAGACGAGTTTTAAAAATGGACAGTGTGGGGGCTTGTCTAATTTGGAGGGGTTGCTCGTTCCATAAAATTGGGGCAGCAACAGAAAAAGATCTATCCCCTCTGAGCTTCCGTTTGGACCTCGGTACCTCCAGGAGCAGCTGATCAGCTGACCTGAGGCACCGAGCTGGGGTGTAGGGGTGGAGAAGCTCAGAGAGGTATGATGGAGCCAGACCATTTAAAGATTTAAAAACAAATAAAAGAATCTTAAAATGAACTCTAAAATGCACGGGCAACCAGTGGAGGGAGGCCAGGATGGGAGTAATGTGCTCCCTCTTACGTACTCCAGTTAGGAGCCGGGCGGCTGCGTTTTGAACTAACTGGAGACGTGAGAGGGAGGACTGGCTGACTCCAAAATAAAGTGCATTACAGTAATCCAGCCGAGATGTAACAAAGGCATGGATTACTGTTTCAAAGTGCGTACGTGAAAGAAAAGGCTTTGCCTTCGCCAGCTGCCTAATATGATAAAAACTGGATTTCATTACGGAGCTAATTTGCCTGTCGAATTTAAAATCACTGTCCATCTTAAAACCCAAATTTGAGACAGTTGGCTTTAAATAATCTGCTAAAATACCCAAGTCTACAGCAGCAACTTTGAGCTGTATCAAAACCGTAAAACTCAAAATAATGACAGCTATTCACTTTGCAGCCGGGCCTCTTGTTATCAACTTTACATCCTTTACTGGTGAAGAAATGGATGAGGATTTTAGATCTTTATCAGGGAGAACACAAGTTCCTCAATCTGGGTCCATAAGGCCATTGTCAAGGACTAACAGACTCAAAAACAACTTCTTCCCTCGAGCATCACCATCTTAAACTCCCATAAATCAGCTCCAGCCCTCAAGATGAGGTAACAAGTGCAATATTACCAATTAACTGTTCTGTAGAATTCTTGTCTTGTATATATAGTACCTTCTTTCTTACAACTATTTGTACTGTACTGTACTACTACCTTATTTTTACTTGTCTATTGGACTGTCTGATTCTTCACAACAATTACACACCAGCCGCATGTTCTGTTGAATCAAAACAAGGTCAGATTTGTCAAGTTTGTGTGAAGTTTGGACCACTATTTTGTTTGGTAACCATCAGCATCTCCAGCCACACAACTCTTTTCTAAATCAGGCTGTCAACTTTGTACTTTGTGTGTACAGTTATAACTAGTATTTGATTTAAAGACCTGCCTCTTGTACAAGCCTGCTAAATATAAAAGTCTGATACCTTTGGCAAAAGAAGTGAAATAAAGGAGCTAGTCATATTAAAGGATTTACGGTATCCTTAAATCAAAGGAATGATGGGGGTATGCTTGCCTGGTATGCTTGCAGAGCTGGAGCCGGATCTGATGCTGGAGGTTGAAAGAGAGGACCAATCATAGGCCGCCTCTGTCCTCTTCATAGCCTCCTGGTAGTTCATGTACAGCTGCTTCCCATACTAACCAATCACAAGGAAGAAAAACAAAAAAACATAATTGAATTTGAACTTAATTATTCATGAACTCAAATATGAAAAGAAAATTTTCATGTTTCAGGCGCACCTTGGCGATGCGAATCCCATTCACCCATTGGTGCAGAGTCCTGACATCATCGCAGCACAAATATTTGATGTACTGAGACTTTTTCTGGATTTGTGGATGCTGCAAGAAGAAGTGGAACAGTTAAAAACTCTCATCTACACCCTCAGTATCTACAATATGAGAAGATAAGTGATGCTGTGACAGGCTTTGAGTCTCCAACATTAATTACAGGGAGCAATAACACTTTATCCGCCTTATTAAAAAGCTATCTAACTTAATTGAACAACAACTGTCATGGAGTTGTTTGGAAGCAGCTTGAAGAGAGTTAGAACGGGAGGCTAATGACAGCGAACGCAATGAAGTGCTTGTCTAACTCAGTATGAGAGAAGCTCCGATGTGTCTCTAAGGGTCCGTGTGAAACTCAAACTTCAAATGGACTAGCTTTAGATTTTAGGGGAAAAAAATCCAACTCAAATGCAGACGTAAGATGAAAGATTTCTTTACCTTGAGAGCCAGGCAGTAGTCAGTAGGAGCCTTGTATTTACTGCGGTAGTCCTGGCCGTAATAGACGTTAACATGGTCCAACTGCAAGAAGCACACCAGATCTCTGGAGGCCTGCAGAAAGAGAGAGAGGAAGATGCATTAAGTGGATACAACTTCTTAACGTCCTCTGTAATGGTACTTTTAGCTGTTGACAATATGTCCTAGACGTCTTTTAAGAAAGCCTGAAGAAAACATCTCAAATTAAAGCCTTTGCGGAGGATCTGCAGCCTCTCAGTTTCTACCCCGTTATCCACATGGTGATCTGAGCAGACGGGGAGGTTACAATAATGAGGTGCTGCAGTGATTGGCTATCTGATGGACGGTTGCAGACTAGTACAGACAGATGTAGAGGTGGAAAACCCCCAAATATGACCCCAAACATCTATGGGCGTATTATTTTTTACTTCCTTATCCTTCATTTGTCACTTTATGAAGATGGCCCATATTAATCAATCAGTCTTAGATGACGTCAACAAAGTAGCTCCCACTGCGTGTTGTTACAAAATGAAAATGCAACCACTGTTTTGGTCCATTATTTTCCGATCAGCAACATAGCTAAAGTATATGTAGTATACAGGACCTTAGTGTGGACTGACAGAACGCAGAAAAACTACAGAGACTAAATTGTCTTAATTACGTATTGATGGTGTTGAGTATTTTTGGGACACATACTGTTTCTGTGCTGGAGTGATGTTCCTCTAAAAGAGCTTTAAATAATTATGTTAAGAGCTGCCTCTGTGGTGGATGTTGTGTGCATGTTTGCTAGAGTAGTAACACAGATCTGAATTAAATATACAGCGCTTTATTTGGCTCCTAAGCTGACACTGTAATGAACCGCGGTGACTCACCTCGTATTGAGCTCATCTCAGGACGGCAGGATTTATCAACGACATGATTAACGGGTGACAATAATCTAAAGAGACTGCTGGAAGAGATTCAGCTTGTACTCTGTCAGTGCAAACATACTATTGATGGCGTATTTGTCCAAATATGTGGGGCTGACGTGGGCTAAAACTGACTGACTGACTGAAGCTGAAGAATCCTCCAGTTTTAAGACTGCCTCATCACCCTTTCACAAACAGTTAAAAGAGCGATCAACTCCACAAGCCTCCTGATGTGGAGCTGCTGCTGACTGTGCAAAAAGTTTGGAGCATGATGGTACTAAAAATGGAGCACATGTGCGTAATGAATCTTCTCCGGCTTTCATAACCCACATGCACGTCTGTCCTGAATCCTAATTCCGTCTCACTGACCTTGGCTTTGCCTTTTGGGACGTAGTAGATCCCAGAAGCTCTGAGGAGAAAGTAACGCTTCTTCCAAGACTTCTTCCCATCTTCTTTCAGCCAGAGGATGCCTTCGATCTCCGGCACTGAGACCGAGCCGCCGCAGAAACACTCCTGATTGAAACACATCATTTTTTTTGAGAAATCTTACACCGTAGGATGAAAGCAAAAGTTGAAGTTTGAGTTTGTGTTTCATCTCACCTCTAACAAGGCTTCTTTATTCCTGTCAGCCATTTCAGATGTCTCCTTCCGCCCCAACAAATAGTTCTGGAGATGATTCAGAGGATTAGTAGAGTGAATGGAGGACAGGGAGGAGGAGTGAGGGGGAAGTCAGCGGCTCACCTCGTCTTATGTGAAATAAATTATTCACCTTTTACTCGCTTTAGAGCTTTGACCTACTTCCTACTCTCCTACACAAACACACTCCCTTGTTCACTCTCTGGGCTGTGCATGCATAAACAATGTGTTTGTGTGTACAGCATATGCTTCCAGCTTTTACACACTGAATGCAGAGCGGCTATGTGAGAATATGATCTATCCTCGATCTCACGTGGATGTTTTTGTGTACGGTGTGGTGGACAGTCACCTGAGGGTTCTTAAAGAGAGCGTATTTCTCGATGCGTTCGATGAACATCAGCTTGTTGTGGCTGTCTCTGGTCCAGTTTAAGAGATTCTCCACCAAGTTTTCATGATCTTCGAAAATACGCTCTAGAAAAAGAAGCAGGGAGGATAAGTTGGAGGATGTGCATTTATTTGTTGCTGATTTTCTAGGTGATCAAAAAACTGTGTTTTTTTCAATGAGGTTTGGCGCGTCCTCTCTTACCCATCTGCAGCTCGGTGATGGTTTCCACCAGAGACCAGTCAGGGCTGTAACCACAGTGAGACTTATCCAGCAGGCTGTCCAGCACCTGTCTGACAGACTGCCGCTCATCCACCATCATGGTCTTGGAGCTCTCATCTGACATGTGGACCCTGATGACCAGCTGAGGAAGACATGAAAGAGCTTGTTATAAAAACAAATGAAACGAAAGATCATCTACCCTTCCTTCTCCCAACCCAGCTCCTCATTTTCACGCTGAGTCTGATTTTACCAGTGTCATATATCTGCCTGCTCTGTAATGCACTCTGGGTCTTTGCTGCTGCTCTCCCTGCCTTGGCTTTTATTTGGCTCTTCATTCCTCATCATTTCAAATGTCTGGAAATGGTGCGAGGAAGACAAAGATATTATATTAAATTATATTTTCTTGAAATTTATGATAAAATTATGAAGGAAGATGTTTAAAGGTTTATTTTTTTCTGTTTCAGACTCTAAGGCTACGTTCACGCTGCAGGTTATGATGCACAATTTGGATTTTATTATTAAATCAGATCTTTTTGTGCGGTTGTTCACATTACAATAACGAATGCGGCATCTAATGTGAACAGAATGCGTCTGTGAAGTGACCCGCATGCTTTCTGCGCCTGTTTGTGTTGTCAAACAATGGTGACGTTTGTCGCATATTGATGACGTATACGTCGGATGAACATGACCTGAGCGTCCACACTACAGTCACATTGGATACATATCTGATTTATATCCACATACAAAAGAGGCCGGGGACGGATTTGAAAAATCTGAACTGCACTGTTCACACTTACATGAAAAATCTGATATGTGTCACATATGGTTAAAAAATCAGAATTGACCTGCAGTGTGAACACAGCCTAAATTGTGTATAAATTCAATATGAAGTAGTTGATCAGATATGGTGTGAAGATTGCTGAATTTATTTTGGTAAAGGGTCACAAAGCTGTTATTCCCCCCCCCCCTATATTAACACAAAACTGCTCAAATGTGACCACGTTTGATAACTTTATTGGAGGACAGGAAGCCCTCAGGTCGTCATGGAGATGAGGCAGCCTACTTTAAGGATTAAAGCCTCTGAACATGGGGCACTCAAATTAACCACTCAGCTTTACAGGCACCTCAAGTCAACTTTTAATAAACTCAGCTAACCTTTGGCATCATAGCTGCAGCGACATTTCAAATTAAGTGATTGTTGTGGTTTCAAATGATCATGTGATGATTTTCTCGTAACTATTTGCAACAAATGAAATTTCCTAAAGCTGAAGATTCTGGTTGTGGACAAACAGCTTTTCCTCGCTAGAAATAAGAAATCTGATCATGAGGGAAGACTTGTTTGAAATACTTCCAAACTATTTACGGGGTTACTACAGTCACAACTTGGCAAACTAAACTCTGAACATTAAAATCCGATAATCTGGCCAAAGTTGTCTCCACAGGCAGCAAAAAGGCCCCCTGTAATCAGCCAGCTTAAACTAATCTGGAGACAAACACACGTGCCAAATCCAGCCTCCCTCAATCGCAGCCTACATCGGTCTAGTCCTGGTGTGAAATCTAGTGAAGCCCCTCGATTCCTTGACCTCCTGTCTGTCCCCCTCCCACTGGGATCCTGATGTCCAATAAGTTTACAGATGCAGCTGACTAAACCGAGACTTTGACCAATAAGATAGGGAACATAAGAAGTGGATCTTGACCCATATTTTTCACCGGGTGAACCCTTTAAACCCCACAGTTTGGCATGTTTTTAAATCAAATCTGATACGGAGAAAGCAAAATGTGGTGAAATGTGCTCACGGTGGAGACTGCTGAGGAATTATTTAGTAGCTGACAGCTCAAGTTTTTTTTTTCTCTCTCTAACGTGTCGGCGGTACCAGCTCTCTTTATCTTGTCATATTGTGTTCACTTGACACTGCTGCGTCTCAACTATTCATCGCATAAAAAAGGGACACCATTCTGCTGCTCACAGTCAGAGAAAAAGCTCATTCAGTGGCGGTAAAAATGGCCCGTCTGTGGAGTCCTAAACCCACTTTCCTTTAAATGGAACCGGTCGCCTCCACAGACACGAGCACTGGTCATGTTCTGCGTCGTAAATAAACGTTTTGTGTAGATCGCGTCTGCATTGTGTTGCAGCGTGAAGCCTCTTTCTGGATTCTTGCTCCCTCCCCGCACATAATCAAACGCTGCAATGACCTATTTTCTCCGCGCTTCACTGCCTCGCCGTGAATGAAGTTCACAAAGAAAATGCAGCGTGTGGCGAACATGACAGGACAGCTGTTCGTACCACGAGTCGGAATTAGGATTTAAAAAAAAAAAAAAGAATCAGGAAGTGTGCGAAGTGTGTGTCCTACCTTTTTGACCTGGGCCTCCTTGATTTTCTCCAAGGCGACTCGGATCTTCTCCGCTTTCAGTTTGGCGGCTTGCTCCTCCTGGATGGACAAACGGGATCGAGGTTGAAGTATTTTCAATCCAAAAAAAACACACAAACGCAAAAATCTCTCAGGATGTCAGATTTCATAGCCTTGCCTCATCCTCTCGCAGCATGTCTTTCACTATTCTCTGGCAGGAATAAGACATCATGCTCGCTCGGCTTCATTAAATAGTAAAGCAGCCTTCAAAACCGTTTAAACCAACAAGCCCGGGGCGTGATGGCACACGTTGTCAAGTGAAAATCCAAATTTTTTCATTCAGATTTTGACGCCTGCTTACCTGCCCCCTCCAACAAGACGCCATCACCTCCATGCTGCAGGTTGTGTCGCTTCAAGGTGTGCAACTGGGTGTGTTATATATGCAATTTTCTGCACAAATTTGAATTAAACGGTACTAAAAATGACGCTTTTGTGACATCAGTGCCTCAAAAATGGCGTCTATGGTTGCATATTGGTTTCATATGGAGCTGCAGCCTTTGATCTCGCTATACAGCGAGACAATAGTAGAAGAAGATCCCTGAAGGGCGAGAGGCTGCGGATGAGTTAGGATGCCCTCCACTTTAAGATCTCCGGCGAGGCTCGTGTTAAGATTTCAAGGGAAAAAGCAGGAAAAAATGTCCACGTCTGCCCATAGTTTAAGATAAAAAGGAAAAGAAGGATTTTGTTCAGAAGATAAATCAAAATTAGAAAAAAATTCCCTCTTGCCACCTGCAAAAATTAAGCCGCAGGAGCAAGAAAAGTTAGTCCAGAATAATCCACATCTGCAGACGTCAGAGGACTGAGTGAGTGACACGCAGACATGTGCGCCTGATTCCAGCACAACTTGACTTAAAAAAGCCAAGTGAGACAGTCAGGAGGACGATGCCCCTCCCCCCTTCTCCCCCTCTCTTCCTGCTTCCTCTCTCCCCCCCTCTCCCCTCTCCTCTCTCTGTCTGTATATATCTGATGCAGAGGTTTGGGAGTGTGCCCAATCGATGGAACATAATCCCCACAAAAATCGTAGAGCCCAGACTGCAAGACCTTCGAGCCAATCAGGACCCTAGGGAGGGAGGAACCGTGACCAGCACCACCCCATGGCTAAACAACAGTGACAAGGACAGAGAGTGGGTGAATGAGGAGCCGGAGTGGTGAATATTTGAAGTACACAGACGGGGTGAGGGGGTATTAAAAGTGCTCCCCAAGCCTCTTATCGTAAGGCTCAAGAACCCCCCCACCGCCTCCACGTCTTTCTTGACCCAGACTACCTCTTCCACATGACCGACTTCAGGGCACATGCACATTAATACTAACACTCTGTTTGGCCAACACATAGTGGCAGGCTTTTAGTCCGCCGAGCGTGAGCGTGTGAGCGTGTGAGGGTTAGGAGAGCGGAGGTCACGGGTGGGTTTCTGCAGATTACAGCCTGCGAGTCAATCTGAGTCACGCCGCAGGTTTTAGCCCCGTAATTGTCAGCGTAACCTGGTCCACATCTCCTGTTATTTCCTCCTCCGCCCTGCTTTTTTTTCATGACACATTATTCCTATTCCACAGGCGTTTTTCCTTTTCACACCACAGCAAATTTAAAAAAAGAAAAAGAGAAAAAAAAAGAGAGAAAAATCCTGGCACCCACTCTCTTTGATGTCTTTCCACTCCTCGCTTGTTCCCAAACATCTCGCGCTCATTCAGGATTCTGATTTGCAGAGCGAGGAGAGAGGGGAGAGGATCTCTGGCGAGGAGTGTAACACTGACACATAAACTCCCTCACAGCCTGTACGCCACGGGCAATCTATCCTCTCCTCCTTCTTAAGAAAAAGCAGCGAAAAACAGTCTCTCAAATAAGAGCACACTGAGAGGTCTGATCCGTGGAAACAGAGAGCCTCTCAAAACTGAATTAATCCAACTGTTGTGTAATACAGAGAGGAAAAAGCATGCAACTGCTCTTGCAGGATTTTGGCTGAATTATTTAAAGGCCGGAGAGTTGTTTGGATTTCACACCCTCTCTGACGGCGTACGAAATATTCCAAAAAAGCAGCGAGTCAAGTTTAGCTCCTATCATTTCAGAAAGCGGTTGTAAAGTTGCTGGTTATAAAGACTCTCTGCAGATTGTGTGCCTTAAAGTGACAGCAGGACAAATCACACTCAGAGGTCATAATCTGCGCACATCTGGTCTGCAAATGCATCAAAAAAAGAGCCAAAACCTGCGACTGATTCATCTGCCGTGGAAACTGACGTCTGCCAAGAGTTTCACAGTGAAAACAAAAGTGCTGAGGAAGCTTTTGCGCTAAAATATGATGCGTAAACTCAAAGGCAGTCAAGCACCAGAAAGTAAATACAAGAAAATCCAACTCCAAATGTCAAACTGCTTGACAACGTTTCTGCACGACCACCCAGAAATATCAAACAAGGCTGCGTCTTATGACAACTTTTAGTTTTGCTCAGAAGTCGTCTGACTCAAAGAGAAAACTACATCCAGAGGAGTTAAAGGTTAAATTTGACTGATGTTAATGCCAATTTTTAGAGATTTTCCAACACTTTGGACTCCATACTTCATTTTTAAAGGCATTATAGGAGAAGAAAAGTTCTTCTTTCTTAAAAAAAGAAAAATGACAGCTTCATTTTTTTGTAAGAAAGCCACTATATACTTGTAAATACACATTTTTTCTCAGATTTATATGTAGTCTAGTAAAATTACACTTATTGTCAAACGTTTATGACTTTTTTGTGTAAATTTTTTGCTGTTTTCTCCTAATTCTGGGGACTAACTTTAATCAACAACTTGGTTTCCTTATAAATCTGCAATTTAAGTCTTGTTAAATCTTATAGATTCAGGACTTTTCCTGTTAATTTGAACATATTTGTGTTTACTAATGACGTTTTAAAGTAAATCTAAAGACTTTACTTCTTTGAGATATTTAATCTTTTAAATTATGACTATTTTCATCATTTTAATGACTTGTATCTTGAAAATGAACAGCTGGTCATTTATCAATACACTAATTTATTCTTGCAAATTTTCTACTTTTTTCTTGTTATTTTTACAAATTCAATTCAATTCAATTTACAGATCATTCTAATTAATTTATGACTTTTTTTTGCCATTTTGAAACTTTTTTAACTTCACTTTGTCCTCATTAGTTACAGCTTTTAATTCTGTAATATTATCACTTTATTTTAAAAATCCCAATTTGTTTACATCCCTCCCTAAACTTCTGTACCTCTGTTGTGGAATGAGAACCCAGTTGGAAATGCAGGTTTTTTGGCTTCATTTCTACTAAATTCTGTCTTAAAATGTTTGCAAATATTTAATTTCATCAAATTGGATCGGAGGTTTGAAGATGAAAACACACCAGGGACCATCTACAAAGTGATTTGTGAAAATAAGAATATCTAACTACTCTTATGTCTCTGAAAATAAAATAATTATGTTGCTAAAAAAAACTTAATGTTGTTTTTAATAGTTAATATCATTGGAAAAAGACCTGCTAAAATATTTTTTTTACTAAAAAGACAAAGATCCTGAGCTGCATGTGAGCCTCCAGGCGTAGAGGAGTGTGTGCATGGTAAAACAACACAGTGAGGCATTTAAATATCTGATTTTCATCCCATGTGAGGTAGTCATGACATGCAAAGCAGCAGAGAGAGAAAGCAGTGAGCGGACAAAAACACACATGAGAGACAGAGTGTATGAGGCGGTCACCTTGGTCAGGAGGTGAGAAGGCTTTCCAGCTATGCTTTTCAGAATGAGCGAGGTTTCTCGGTCCAGATACGAGTGCTTTGTCGAGTGAAGAGAGGTCAAAAAAAAGAGAGAGCAGAGGAAGAGACAAAACAGAGAAAAGTCAGTGCCAGATGATTCTCAGAGGCTTATTAATCGCAGGTGTAGTGATTGTTTTATTTTGTATAAAAGAAGCGTGGAAGCGAGAGAAGAGTCCATAAATGAAGCGGGTGTGGTTGACATTAGCTGCAGCTGTGGGAGAAGAAGCAATGATTGTTGAGAGGTACAAAGAAACGTACAGAGAAAACAAAATCACTGCTGTGACCGAGACATGGTGAAAATACTACCTGCAGCTACTCTAATCAAACATGCACGCCCACTTTCACATCATACACACATTAATGCTTACATGTGCATGCAGAGAATGATCGCTAAAGTCTTGTGTGAGAAATTATTGAGAAACAACAGTTCAGAAGTTACATATTTTCATGTTTGTTACATGACGGCAACCTGTGACCATGTAATTGAACTCCAGGTGACACAGGCAAATCAAAGTACTCTTACATTTCTACAAAACAGTGTTTCAAAAAGGTGCAAATTAATCTCCCCTAGCAAATGCACCCAGTTGCCCAAAAGTGCTTGTTTTTGTCACAAACAGGCTCTGATTCTTCTGTAAAGTGTCTGGGAAGGACATCTATGGAAAGAGACTTCCTATTCTCAAGAGTAAGAACCTTTTGTTGAATCAGAATAGTCCTCTTTACAGCAACCAAACTCCATTTGAAGTGGGTGCACTCCTTCTTCAGTGTTTCACTGAGAGGCCCCACATCACCTCCAGAGGGTTCAGCCCTGAGTCCTGGCAACCCAGGCTCACCCTGGATGCCATCTGCTCACTCGGGAGCCCAGACGGGGTCTTTTAATCCAGAGACTCCGGTTAACATGTTTCAGAGGTCCTTGATTTCCAGGTTGAACACTCTATATGCATTTAAAGTTCCTGTGCCAGATTGCAAAGTTTTTTTGGCTCTATGTGCTTGTAGCGTCAAATCCTTCATTCTTACATTTATGATATACTTTCTCCTGAGAAAGGCAGCGTGAGTGAAAGAAACTCCTCTGTCAATGGTTTCAAGAAGTTTGGAAAGAGATGATTTCTGATTCAAAAGGGTATCTTACTCTTTGACAAAAAGGTCTACCTCTGTGGAGACCCTCTCAGTAAACAGTTGTTAGGGTGACCATATTCTGACTTCCCAAAAAGAAGACACGATTACACAGGGGCGGAGTCACGGAGTCCCACAAAGTTAATTTTGAGAGTTTTTCGGGCCGGATCGAGTGTCTTTTACGTGCTTTTTACTCAGTAAGTCCATGTGACACAAAATCGAAACTTCGGTACAAAACTGCGCACATTTGAAGGATATTATAAGCTAGACAAGCCCCCCAAAAAAGAGGACATGTCCGTGTAAAAGAGGATGTGTGGTCACCTTACAGTAGTCCAAGTCTTGAAGTGGCACAAACAAGCATTTTTGGTGCTTTTACTTCACAGTTTTCTGGTTTTGTGATCTAGTCATCCATTTTTGAGCCCCATATTAAGATACAGAATGACCCTTTAATCTGCAACCCTTACTATCAATTAGTTAACACATGCACACACTCATGCAAGCTCACACTCATGCACTTACAGTGGCCCGATCCACTTCACCCTCTCGTGAGGTGAAGTCAAGCTGCCGCCTGGCTGCCTTACCGTTGACCCGTCGTAGTGTGACATGCTGGGGGGGAGGAGGGGTGCAGACACAGGGGTGTGTGTGGACAAGAACCACGAGTTATAGGAAAGGATGCAAACACAGAAACCGTGATGACATGCAGGGGGACAGGGGACATGCAAGAAATCGTGTCGGCTATTTTAACCTTCATATCATCTCATCATAAATCGGTCGATCTTAAACGAATTCGCTTCGGTTTCTGACCTCTTGGATGTACTTTTAGAGAGAGTTTTGCTCGCGGTGGAGAGCCGACATGCTTTGTGAGTGAGCTGAGGCACGCAGAAACGGTGCATGTTTACATTATGACCCACATTCAGGGGTGTTATGGACTAAAATGTAAACATGACACGCAATCCAGAGCACAACACACAGGACGTATTGTACGTGGATCGACTGTAAACACACTTCGGGCATGCGGTTTTTCTTGAAAACAGCATGCTGTGTGGTTAAACATGCAGGATCAGAGCCGGATTGAGGTCAGGTCAGAGGGTTCGGTCGTAAGTTCCTTGGAAATACAGGAAGTTAACGCACACTCTGACATACACACCCTTATCCTTCATCTTTTAATAACGTCTTCCTCTTATTTATTGTTCGTGTCGTGTCCGTCATACCTCTGTGCTGGTCTGGTTCTGTCCCTGTGAGCCCGGGCTGCTCTGCCCCTCCCCTTCTCCGCTTGTCATCACTTTATCGATGTCCAGCGAGTCCATGCTGGACGCCGAGGCACACGCCGAGTTGACACTGGACCGCTGGGAGGGCGCGTCCTGTTCGCTGACAGCGCCCACAGAGCCGGTCCTCCTGTGCTGCCCGCCACCCGTCGAACCGGACGACGGTCTTCGCATCGTGGTGGAGGAGAAGGAAGAAGAGGAAGATGAGGACGAAGAGGAGGTCTGACGTGCAGCTTCGTCCATGCTGAGGGAGGCCCTCTCCAGCTGGGAGGTGATGTCGTCCAGGGAGATGTTGGAAGCGGCGGGTCGGGTGTTGATGCTGCCACCTCGGACCGTGTTGGCTGGGGACGCTCTGGTGCTGCTGCTGGCGCTTCCTGTTGAAGTGTTCAAAATTTTAATACTTTGAGTGTTTCTAAACGGTCTAAACTTCACCGAACAAGAGAGAATTATACATCTTTAGTCATCATGGGTAGAATAAAATCTTAAATGATTCATATCTTTTTTTTCTCACTAGAGTTTTTGTTTTAATGTTTGTTTAAATCGTTATAAATGCACATCTTTTTGCAGGATTACCTCCACTGCTTCCCCCTCCACTGGTGCCCGTGTGTTTGGCGCTGGCACTCCGACCTCCGGGGCCCCGGTGCGAGCCTTTGTTCTGACCGCGAGAGTTCGGTTTGGAGATGGTGCTGAGCTCCTGTTCGATAGAGCACAGATCAGCCATGAGGGCGTCCAGGTCCACCGTGTCGCCCTGGTTCAACGCCTCTGCAGAGAGCAAAGATGCGAAGAAAGAAAGAAAGAGGAGTAAGGAGGAGGGGGTTTCATCGTGTCTTTTGTGACATTTTTGCGCTTTTGTTTTATTTGTTTAAAAAAGTGATTCGCGTCTCTTTCTGGGTTTTATCAGCGTTGGATTTGCTGACTGACTGACGTCTCACCGTTGATGTTGTACATGGAGAAGCGGTAGGAGAAGTTGGCCATGTTCGTCTCCTGCCTGAGGGGGGGCTTCTGCAGAGCTTTCTGCGGCCTGCCGTCATCCAGACTCTGCAGGATACGAAAATAAATAAGATGCAAAAACACACACTCGAACATCACAGTGATATACACAGGATCTGAGCGACCATGTCTGCTAGATTCCTCCGTCACACACTCACACACACACGTACACACACTTTGAAGTGGTGGTGGTAGGAGGGGAGTTGCTAGGATACAGTATAGGGAGATGGGATTAGCAGTGTAAAGGTTGCCATGGAGACAGCCCCTTCCTCTATGTGTGCTTTTTCTACCTGTGTGAGTCAGTGTGACAGTCCACACACACACACTCTTCCTGCATGTGTGTGTGTGCGGTTGTGTTTGTGCATGTTTGACCTGTGTGAGTTTGTCCAGCTCTCCCAGCCAGGCTCCAAACATCTTATCCAGGTCCTGGTCCTCCTTATCGCTGTCCTCCTCAGCTCCATGGTCCAGCTCGTCGTCTGATACCTGCTCCATCTTTACACACATGCGGGGAAAAGCAGAGGAAACCGCACATCAGATGGTTATTCACGTGTACACACACATACTATCAAATCACACCCACATAGCAGAGATGATCTAAAAAGAGAGAGAGAAAAAAAACCCTCCAAGCTCATGCCAACCTCACACTTGTTACCATGACAACTGCTCACGGACCCCTAGCGGGCGCTCCGTGCATTGAAATCATCTGAGTGCCCTGTAGTGCTTCGTACGCTCTGCTGACACACCCAGTGCCTCCAGCATCCAAAAAACATAGATGCTGATGAGAAGCAGGAGGCTTTAAATCCACGTATTGATCACCTTTGGGATCAATAACACTTCAGTGAATCACCAAACAAGTGGAGAGGATGTCAGTCAAAGCACTCTGAGCAGGGCTAGCAAGTGGTGGTAACGGCTAAATGGGACAGTGAGGAGAGGAGGAGGAGGAGGAGAGCCCAGCTGTGCCCTGTCAAAGGTGATGACAGGGTGCCCTCTACTGGACGCAGAGGGGAGTGGAGGATCTGCAGCTGTGACGCTGGGCGACTTAAAACCAACATATCATGTCTGGAAATGCAGCAGAACTGGTGAAGGTGGACTAAAAACTCTAGTGTTATGATGCCTTACACAAGACAGAAAGTCAAGTTGTTAAAAAGTTACCAGATCTTTTACAAACAGTTCTTGAATTTTACCATCTTCTCAACATTAGAAATGTCCTAATTAATTTCATACTTTACATATTCCATCTTTTTGTTACTCTATTGGGTAATTTACCCTTACTTACATATACTACATTTAGATTTGGGTTACACTGCTCAAAGTTGTGACCGTTTTCCTCACATATGCTCCTGAAATGTTCCTTGAGCCACCTCAGATTACATACGGGAGCATTTGTGTGAGGCTAAACAGCTGTTGTGGTGCCAACTTTTTAATGGCTAGTTGGTCAGTAATGTCTGTAAATGCAGTGATAGGTAGGTAGGTAGGTTGAATTGATTGTCCCCGTGAGGAAATTCACTTGCAGTAAGTTAAAGACATGCACAAAGACAGCACACATACACATTTCCATACACTGTCCCATATAAAACAAAACAAAACAAAACAACTCAAAAAGACAATATAGAGATACTACTGTACTGTGCTTTGTCAATTCAAAAAAGTATTTCAATAAATAGTCTTGAAATAATGTTTCTGTGCTCAGACCAGCTGAACCAGTATCTAAAAATAAAAAATAAAGAACAAAGCTGCCCACTATCTACTTTAGTTTGTTCAATTGTAAAATCACATGTGGTACAAACGACCGCCTGGACGTGTTCTTGGTGAGGGCTGGGCACTGGTATCTGCGGCCTGACTTCATTTCAAAGCAGCACATGCTTTAACAACCATTCTGTCACATCTAACATCCGCATATTAAATCTTAAGTCAGTCTGACATCCTCAACTTTCACTTCTCTGCTCTGAACAATAAACTGTAATGTAATCCCAGAACAATCTCGTTAAATTTCTTAAAACACCACAATCATGCAGAAAACAGTATGCAGACAGGTTTTTGCATGTTCTTCTCTGCAAAGCTTGACCAGCAGAGGGCACTCTGATCCCATAATTAACAATACTCTCAGCATTGTCGGTTGCACATGAAGCAGATCATCTACTAAGTAAACTGAGATCTCCTCAATAAATGATTTCAACTTTCTCTTAAAAGACTTTAAATCAGGGAACACTGCCACTTTAAAACATGTTTTATCTTCCTAATATTGCTTCATATCCATGTATTACTGTTTCTTAGCTTGGCAGTGAACACTTATTCTCTCCTGCTCTTCATGTCAGCTCATTAACCAATCAGCAGCTGGTCCCCGTACAGTCAACATCCTCTCACAGTCACACACACATTGACACTAACAAAACAGGGTTGACGGGCAACGGTAGTACACAGCCAGAGCGTGGGCGCGGCTGCATAAAATTCTGGTACAACAATAGGCGACTCTAAACTAGAGTGGAAAAATGTCACTTGCTGTGTTAGCTAAAAACAGCAGTTAAAGTGACAGTGATGGGGAAAAAATCCCATCCCCTATCCCTAAAAAATCCAAAAAGAAAGATTTACAATTTAATCACCTCCACACATAAATACAAACACAAAATTCCTGACTAAGAATCTGACGAACATGAGTCTCTGCCCCCGAAGCTGTACCATCGCCTATACCTGATTGGTCCTGCAGACTCGGCTCATTAACCAATCAGCAGCTGGTCCCCGTACAGTCAACATCCTCTCACAGTCACACACATACAGACACTACCAAAACAAGGTAAAAAGAAATGTTTGCTTCTGTTGTTCAGACATCTTTTCTAGGTCAGTTAAGAAGTCAGACTCTTGGTTGTGTAATGTTACTTTGTCAAACACTCGTGAAAACAGCCGGTCACTAAAGGGACAATCAGTAAGTTTAAAAGGTAAAATAAGAAGTCTGATGCAGGAGCAAACAAGGCCTGCTGAAACACAGAGCAAACATTGCACCTTATGAACTTTAATCATGGATTCTGCAAAAACTAAAGCATACAGTAGAGTACACATGATATGTTATTTATCCTCAAAGGTGCCTCTGGTTTAGCCAAGTCCAACCCCCCTACACGGCCCCTCATATGGGGTAGTCCATGGTAATCCCATTGATGTTTTCACATGGTGTCATTCCTTCCCGTCAACCACGCTGCACGGTGTCAGTCACCGGCGAGGACTGTACCAAACCAGGATTAACCCCTCCGAGCACCCTTTTCTTTTGATCCTGCAAAACCTACAACCCGTGCGTGAGTCTTTCTGTGTGCTTAAGCCCTACACAGCGTCCTCCAGAGCATTTTGAAACTCGTGCTTTATTATTAGGAGGTGAAAAAAACGCAGGTAATAAAACAGTCAGAGGGTGAAAAGGCAATAAAAGCTGCAGACAGCGTTTGGCAAAGCAAACAGGAATATGATAGCAACACCATTGAAAATCGGTCAGCTGAAGACAAACACACACTCTCAGAGCAGCAGAGGGGCGCTTGTTTCTCATCACATTCCAGACAGCACTCATGCACTCCTCCCTAAGTCACTATACGCACAAATTACACTCCCACAATCTATCCTATTCCGGCCTTTTTTCTCTGTGTTTGTGTACGTGTGTGCATTATGATGTTGTTGACAGATCACTTCCTATTTTGCATGCATGTCAAACACACAACGAAGATCAGGGTCGTGTCATCTCGTCAGGAAAAGATGGAGTCTGCAGTATGCAAACCATAACAGCTTAACAGGAGTGTATATTTGTGTGTGGAAGATCGTATCCGTGCACTCATATACAGCGTGTGTGTGGGAGTCGGAACAGGAAATGGCCAGGATGTGCAGAATTCCTAATTTCCCTCATGGCCTGTTTCTCATCAGGAAACTCCAGCTGTCCTTTGTGCCACTTATTGGGGACGAGAGGAGGGAGACAGGGGGGCTTGAGGGTGGGAGGAGGGAGACCTTTCCTCTCCAGTCCTTCATGCGCCGAGTGCTTCCTTTAGGATGACCCAGTGGTTAGAGGAAAATGACTGAAGTTCAAGATAGTTTCCCATCATTCCCATGAAACAGACATGCTGTCAAAGAATCATTTTCAGATTAGATACCCTCGGATGAAACTGGGTTTATTTTGACAGAAGCGAGGAGTTTCCTATGAAAGGTTAGAGGTTAATATGTAATAAATTTCTGTGCTAAACAAAGTCTAGATTTAGTCTCTGACCCTTTCTTAATATTCTGTAGCAGCCATTCATACCATCTCCTCCAGCTCTCACTTCAACATAATCAACTGTGATCAGGGGTGGGAGAAAAAAATCGATTCACTTAAGTATTTTTGTTTTGCAATTTTTGAATCGATTTTCATTTTTTAAAAAATCTTTTTTTTTTTTCTTTAAATTTAAGAATAAAGGTCCTTACACACCGGGGCCGACACGAATATAGAACGCGAAAACACAAAATATTGGGAAGCGAATTTTGACGCGGCTGACTATACACATCAAGCCCAATGTGATTTTGCAACTTTCCGGGGGAAACAGTCCCGCCTCCTTCTCCTCTGATTGGCTGGAAAGCTGGAAACGTCATCACACGCTCAAGCCAAACGGTCAGCACTTAAAGCCAATCAGAGGCGAAGGAGGGCGGGACCTTCCCTTACTATCCTACAGTGTCCCAGGTGGAAACAAGAAGACAAAAATGGAGTCTACTTCAACTTCAAGTGATGATGAATTGGTACTTCTTTTGCTTTCTCAAAAGAAAAAGAAACAGTGCATGGGTGCATCCAATATTACAAAAAAGAAGAGAACTTGGTGAGTTTCACTGCTTGGTTCAGGAGCTGAAACTGTACCACGGTCACTTCAGAACCTATTTTCGGATGTCGGTTGGACAATTTGAAGTTCTGCTGAAACAATTAGCTCCAAGTTTGAAGAGGCAGAGGACTAGACACTAGTGTTGAGATGGCTGTCTGTCATGATAGCAAATACTGAGTCAGGGCCAATACCAGATAAGCACATGAAACTATGGTAACAACCGTTAGCTTATGTTAGCATAGGTAAAGTTAAAACAAAGACATTTAGCAAACTGTTAAAGCACACAAAACATTGTCATATCAGAAATCTGACGCTATGACTCTCCACAAGTTGTCCTTCAGGTTGTTATCTTTGTAATATGTGTGTAAACAATCATAAACAATCAGCCTGTCGGCCATGTTGAATATACCAGTGAATCTGATGTCACAACAACACGCAATCTGATTGGTCAGAAGTGGACACACAGTATGCGAAACCTTGGAAAAATTGACCATGATCCGAAAAAATAAATACCGCAATATCGTAGAACGGGAAAACGCGGCTGATGTGAACACTTACGGGTACTTAGGATACGGGTTCAAAAAAAATATTGACATCTGAAATAATCGCACGACAAAAACGGTCCCGGTGTGAAAGGACCTTAAATCTTCAAAACTGACTTACATGTGACGTGTATTTTTAGGGGAAATATGGTTCCTGGAATATTCATTAGACAATCATAATCATTCAACTGTTTCACTGGTTTTAAAAATGCAGACTACAGTATCGTGGAATCGTAATTTTCAATCGAATCGGCATCCAAAAAATCGTAGAAGAATCGAATCGTGAGAGAAGCATATTGTCCAAGCCCTAGTGATCAGTCCCCATGATTCCCCAAACAAGCAGAGACAATAGCAGAGGTATAAAACAGCACTATGACTGCACTTTAGAAATGTGCTGATATTTAAGACACAAAATCACTACATTTTTATCACCTCCAAAAATCATGCAGGTCAGACTCCAATGAAAATAGAAAAAAGCTTTTATGTCCCCGCTGTGAGGTCTGACATCATGGCTGTCTGCAGACAGACAGAGGAAGAGGAAATGGCTCAAATCAAATGAGCCTCCATTGTGTTTGCCAATGCTCTCTGGAGGTGCTTCCATATGTAAATAAGCCAGAGAGAAAGGAGCCAAACTGCAGGACACATTAACAGCTGTGTTTAAAGAGCGAGGAGCCTGCGGGTGCTCACAATAGTTAAACACTTCTGCAGGTAGGCAGCGCGTAGAAATATGCACAAGCTTTTGGTGCATGTTTAATCAAACTGGAAGGAGAAAAGAACAAAGAGTCAAAATGATGCACAAAGAGGAAAAAAGCAGCACTTTGAAAATAGCTCAGCTGCTGTCATTGTAATGGAATCACTGCCTCAGCTGCAGATGATGCTGCAGGTTTAAGTGAATTACCACCTGAGGCCCTGCTTTTAAGCTTATGGAGCATGACCTGAGACAGAATCAGAGTGTGTGTGTGTGAGTGAAAGTGTGTGTATGTGCAAACACACTCCTACAGGCATCATCGCAAACCCAACTACAGCCGTGGCCTTTTCGCCCCCTCTGATTCTGCACGGTCCCTCTCTGTTGTCAGAGCATGACCAGCTCTCATCTGTCTCCTGCGGCTGCTGGGCGGCTCAGAGGTCCGAGGGTGAGAGGTTAAAGGTCAAAGGTGCCTCCCAGTGGTGTCTCGCTCTGCAGCCTTTTTTTTTTGTGTGTCACAGTTCTGACACAAAGAGGGAAGATGAGAAATGTAGTTCTGGGAAGAAGAATCTCTCTGAATCTGAGAGAAAGTGAAGCAAACATCCGGTGCAGAGGAGGATGAAGAGCTAGAGAAAGAGGAGGAGGACGAGTCTATCTTTAGAATAAGTCGGATCAAATCAGAGTGTGTCAGGAGGATTGGAAAGAGAGTGATATGAAGACCTGATGTAGAGTCTCTCTTGAACAGGAAAACATCTTTTTTAAACTTTAAACATTTTTTCTGTCTTAATTGGTTACATTCTTGCATCAACACTCGTCTTTTTTCTTCGAATGCAAAAAACAAACAAGAGCAATGAATATTTATAAAAATCTGGATGCATATTTGCTGGCAACAGTTGTACTAAAGCGCTCACAGAAAACAAAGTTGTTTAGCTCCAAAAAGGAAAGTAAAAAACAAGACAGAAAACCTTGACTTAAGGCAAGAAAACACAGCAGTATTGGTTCGACTTCTTGTCACATGTTAGGTCACACTTCTTGAATGACTGATGCTGCCTGTGAGCTATTTTCTCACCAACAGTGACAAACAAGTGCGCTGCTCCAACAGGCTATCAACTCTTTCGATTCTCTACATTCTCTTGAGGGTGACATCTGAAGCAAATCTATAACATATTAATTCTCCTGGGTTTGTAATAACGATACAAACTCTAGGAAAAGAGTTCAGCCGAGTCCTCTCTACTTGAAAAAGGCACAGCAGTGTTTGGGTGTGACAGAAACACTCAGGGTAAGTGCAGCATGACATCATAGATCAGATTGGGCCTCCACGGCTGGGAAAGACTTATGTTGTTTTGTTCACATTTATCTGAGTAAGAAATAGACAGCCACAAATTTAAGCTTCTCTCATTACCTAAGTGGTCACCAGTGTCTTTCAGGTCCTACATAGATAAATAAATTGATAGATGACTTAATTAATCCCCGGAGGGAAAAAAATACTAGTCATACTAGTCCGGTGAAATACAACAAAATAAATAAAATACTGAATAAGACATGATTCAGGGCGTAGAGCCTCATTGGAGAAGATATAAGTGAATTTGAACACCTCAGTCAATTATCTTAATCTTTTATGTGCCTCTTTGTCTTATTCTAAGCATGCATATTTTCTATTTATTGTTTTTATCTTCATCTGTAGTTGTGTTTTTCAACTCGTTTCTGCATATTTTTCATTATTATGATCATAATAATCATAACTATAAGAAGACACTTATTTTTGTGCTCATAAGCATAAGGAAGAAACAAGATGATTAATATGGGTCCTGTGCAGGGGCATGGCCAAATGACTCAATGGAGCCTCCTACACTGCAGCAAATTCAACGTAAGATTCTGAAATTTGCTGGGGATGTCAATCATGCTTAGATCTACAAAAGTCTCTTATGGTGTGTTCCAAATCGCACACTTTCAGTACTTAATACTTAAAATTTTGAGTAAACTCAACTCAAAATGGAAAAAGGTATGGGGAGTATGCCCATGGGTAACCTGTTTGTCTTTTACTGCGAATGGTGTCTAGCTAGGTGCTAGTTAGCTAGTTAGTCAGTTAGCTAGTAGCCGCCAGGTTCCGAAGCGTTACCCGTGGCAAATAAAAATAACCAGCGGGTCTGCTGCACCGATATCAGCAAACCCTTCGCTGCAGAGGAGGCTAGTATCTGAACCATGGGGAGGGCTCCATCGTAAACACGGCAGCTATTGTTAGCTAGCAAGGCTAGCTAGCCTTCGAATAGAGGCAGTATGCGCCACGGAGGTTTGTCTGCAGCATATCATGTCATTATTGTTACACTAACAGGGAGTCTGCCAATTTAAATTGTTTTGGTAAAATAGGTGACATTTTCACCATTCCCTTAGATTATCACCTCTTACAGGAGTGATTCACGTCCACTCCAAATAAATTGGTTTCAGTCAATTTCACTCTTGGATTCATTTCTCCTCTACAGGGTTGATTGAATCCACTTCAAAGTGTTTGTTCCACCAGAAAAGCCTCTAAGAAACTAATGTTCTTCAGCTTGTGCACAAAACTCAAAGGATGGGACTGTGGGAGTTTATCAAGGTTTGATGTTTAAGGAAAAGGAAATACCATAAAACAGTGGTTCTCAAGTCCAGTCCTCGAGGCCCACTGTCCTGCATGTTCTGGATGCTTCCCTGCTCCAACACACCTGATTCAAATGATTAGCTTGTTAGTAAGCCATGACAGAGCTTGATAACGAGCTGATCATTTGAATCAGGTGTGTTGGAGCAATCACACAGGGTCCAAACTGCCTCAGACTTTATAGTTTTTATTTCATTTGAAACTATTGTTGATGGACTCAGCTCAGAGTGCATAAATCAGTGTGTACTTTGGCATTCAGCCCGGAGGAAATGCCGATTTGAAATCCTCTTTAATGTTCTTTTTTATAAATTTCATGTGCATTTTTGAATCCCGTTTATTGGCCTGAATTTAATAACCCTCCGTGCGGATAAACAAACTGCTAATTGAATCCATACAGCCTGAAACTACAGGTCTATTTGCAGACTGTTTCAGCACCTGCCTTGTTCCCAGCGCATATTCAAATGATGAAGAGCTCCGAACATTTGAGTAACAAATAAAAACCCTTTCATATCTCAGTCACACAGGAAACAGGAGGGCTGGGACAGGGAGTATGACCTTCACTGTGTAAACACTATTGTGGGCCAGATGCTCCCATTGACTGGATGTTTCCATCAAGACTATTTTGGGATTTAATCATATTGTGTCTGTTAGTGAGTCAATGAAAGCACACATTAGGCTTTCACCATCTTCACATAAAATCATCTTTTTCCCTTTCCTCTTTACAACTATAATCTTTATGCAAATATCAGCCAACTCTGGCCTGAATACAAATTCCCTTAACGCATCCTATCATCCAAAAAAGTGAGGCAAAATCGCGAAGATTAGAAAACTGCAAGGCAATCATGGACATTAATCAAACTCTTAAGAGGCATGAAGACAGGACCTGTTCAACGGGAAGCTTGAGGAAGAGTCAGGGGAGATTCACGAGAGTTAAGTGGGACATAGACGCTCACGCTGACAGGAGACTCTGGGGGCAGACAGCGACAAAGCTCAAACAGAGGTAACAACTGAAAAATTTAGCATGAATGTGGCTAGAAATAGCTCCAAACACAGTCATTCAGCGGGTCAGCTCAGCTACAACCCACACTCTCATGTATATTGAGAAGGAGCAGGAGCGCCTGCTGGGTTAATTTTTGTTTGAGAAGCTAAATATCATTATTAGGCTCAGCAGGGCGGTAAGTATATGTTTGAAATGACTTACAAATACCTCTCTAGTCCAAACCCTCTTTCTTTCTGTTTCTCTCTTGACAACCAATCATCTGGGCACTTAGCCGACAGACAGTGAATCACCGCTTACACATACATGTGTCTGATTGTCAGCACAGCCTGTATTGCCTGTAAACCCGACCATAAAACACACACAGACAACAATGACAAGTGTCGAGATATCATAATAACATCCTGTGTCACAGTGAGGCTTTTTCAGACCACCAGCTCCTCTTATGATCTTTTATGTGGCTTTGCAAATGAAGCGTCTGTCAGGGTTGAACAAAGCATTTATACTGCAGCTCTTAAATCTTTTATTTTAAAGCCTCCAGATAGAAAACAGATACAGTCTAATTGTAAATGTGGGGAGCACGTAATGATGGTTATTTCCAGCCTTACGTTTTCAGCTCGGGCTGTGGTTATTTGCTCATTTCCGCCCCCATCCCGTCTTTCTTTTTCCCACTGCCTTGGCTTTTTCCAGGTCGACACCCTTCACTTACAAACCAGTGAGAAGAAACCTGCGTCACTGCATCAGAAAGACATCACGCTAAGTCGAAAGTGGACAGAGGAATATGGAAAGAAGCTGTATGCAGGACACTGACTCTTCGAACAAGAGAGCAACTCAAAGTCCAACTGGGTGTGGGCGGCTCTCCAACCTCAGCTGACCTGTCGTGGCTATTGAAGTCTGCCTCTAAAAATTACACAACACTCAATGTTTGTGTAGTGACTGGGACATTCAGGGTGGGTTCAGCTCTAAAGGTTAAAGAAATGAGTTGGTCCAAATCTACAGAAGGACAGAAAGCTGTGTTAACCTTAATGGAGAAAATCTGGATGGTTTTCTGGTCATTTAAACCTCATATTTAATAAAATAGTGCAAAGACAACATTTGAAATGTTGAAACTGAGGAATTTGTTTCATGAAAAATAAATGTTCACTCCTCTACGACAGAGCCATGCTGTTGTAATCCCTGCAGAATGTGGTTTGTCACTGTCTTGCTGAAATATGAAGGTCTTCTTTGTCTGGATGGCAGCAGATGTTGCTTCAAAACCTGCAGATATTGTTCAGCATTAATGAAGCCTTTCCAGATGTAGAAGATACCCACGACATGGACGCTGGTGATCCCATATCATTAAGGATGCTGGCTTTGAACAGGGAGCTGATAAGAAGCAGGGTGGTACCTCTCGGAACTATGACTATAATCCATAAACGTAAGGTAACAACCGAGACCTAATGGTGCTGTGACAGCAACACGATTGAGTTTGAGACAGTGAAAATACATATGGTATGTTGTATCTAAACACGTTAGCTTACGAGCTAAAGTTACTTAGCACAGATGAAAGTTAAAACAAAGACGTTTAGCAAACTGTTAAATCACACAAACCATCGTCATATGAGAAATCTGATGCTATGACTCTCCACAAGTTGTCCTTCAGGTTGTTATCTTTGTAATATTTGTGTCTTTTATCAAAAAGCACTCTGTTCTCCGACATGTAAACAATCAGCCGGTCGGCCATGTTGGATATACCAGTATATCTGACGCCACAACAACACACAATCTGATTGGTCAGAAGGGGACACACAGTATGCAAAACTTTAGAAAAATCGACCGTGATACGAAAAAATAAATGCCGTAATATCGCAGATGTGAACGCTTGTATTGACAGGATACGGGTTCGGAAAAAAATATTGACATCCGAAATAATCGCAAAAAAAAAACCGCTTCTGGTGTGAAAGGACCTTAAGCCTCTCTGAATGTCCTTGTTGTACCCAATCATGTAACTAACCTGATGTAAATTAACCATATTAGATAAGAGACGCTCCTCTGGGTGTTTTTAGCATTACCTGATTTTTTCAGTATTCTGAAATACCAGTCCCAACTTTTTCAGATGAGTCAAATAAAAAAACGAGTATTCGCTAGCTTACAATGAAAAAGTTCCGTTTTAACATTTGATATGTTGTCTTTGCTCCATTTACTATTGAGTAATTTTTCATTTATCAGTAATGTTTAAGCATTTTCCATTTTTGAACATCACCCATTCTTTTATGATCTTGTTTTTTATTTTCAAAAATTGTAACAGTTTGGAAAATAATTCAGAAACAGAATCCAAATAATCATCTATCATCTTTTTCCAATATCAAGCTGCCAATTTTAAAATAGTGACACACACATGACTGAGCGCAGCAGTAAATTGAAAATAGCACTGCTGCCAGTCTGGCCATGAAGGAGTTATCAAACATCCAAGAAATGGAAAAAGATAACCGCTTTACTATCTCCTCCAGACGACGACATCTCTACCACGGAAATGTGGTTCTTTGTTGCTTGAATTAATGCGATTTTTTTTATAGTGTGAAATATTTGCTCTCCATCTAGAAACATGCCAACCTAGAAAATGTAGCTCCACAGAATTAAAATGAAAACAAATTACATAAAAAAAGCAGAGGGAGGCATAAAGAGGAGGGGCTGACAGGCAGAGGGTGATGACACAGGCAACAGGCCAACTAGGAAGCGAGGGATTGATAGAGGGAATGATGGATAACTGCAATAATGGAGGGAGGGGGCCGGCTATTAGGTAGTGAATAAAAGAGAGGACCCGATGGCCAATACAACAGCTACAGTGTCATTAGTCAAGTGCGGAGAACAGCCTGCAAACAGAGCAGGAACTCACACACATACAAGCTCAGTGGAGCACAGCGTGACACCGCGAGCCGCTCCGGCTTATACAGCCAATTAGGAAGGAGGGGCAAGGAAAGAGACGGGGGACAGAGGGGGGGAGAAAGATGGGGAGGATGTCAGAGGCGGACAGATGGAGAGGGAGCAAAGAGGGAGGAAACCGAGAGAGGAGAAACTGAGATGAGTGTGAAAATGCACGGTCACTGGTGGGCGGTAATGCGAGCGCACCGACGTCAGAGCGAGCCAAAAAACTCAGCTCTCCTGCATCACCACGGCAACACACATGCACATGCATCCTAGAGAGTGGCATGCAGCAATCACAAGACGTCAGTGTAACTTGGCCTGGACCCTGAGTATAAAGCAACATATTGATGTGATGTTTCCACCTCCCTGCATGTAGGATGTCCATCTGCTTCCTCGTATAACCACAGAGCAGCTGATTGATTTCCACCGTTTTCTCGTATCTCATGTCAAGCTGATTTCACACAAATAAGACACACATATGTCCTGTTTTCTGTTCTTAAAAAAAGGGAATTCATTCTTGAAAAAAAAGGAAGAAGAAAGGATTTTTAAAAAATGAGAAAAAGAAAATGGGGAGTGGGCTAACCAACCAATGACACTCATGGTTTAAACGGGGGAGGTATGATACTACAGATATTTGCCGACACAGATCATATGTTGTGAAACAAATGGATTCAGAAGGGAGGGTACACACACACCATGATGAACTTCACCTCCTTATCTGCGAACATACCTGGACAAACTACTAACTTTCCAGCTGCTTGAGCTCGATCAGTGACCAATTTGAAGACCTTGAAGTGAGTCAAGTACAGCTCAGATCAGAGTGTTTTGATTTGATACCATGGCAATAGAAGTTGGACTCCTCAGTATCGTTTGTCTTTTATTACCACTCTATTAACAGGACATGCTCAGAAAAAAGTCATTGAACAAGACGCCAAATCTTAACAAGCTGATAAATAACATCTTAACTTGTTTCACTGCTTTCTTTTCATGACTTTATCTCTACGCAACTAAACCATCGATGCTCGCTCTCTATTGCTGGCAGCTTTGACTTTGGTCTTTGGTCCCTCTTTTACATGTTCACATGATGCCCAAATATCTAAATGATGATGCAAATCTCTTAAAGTCAACTTCCTATCGTGCCAGACAAGAAGACAATTACTTACAGCTTATTCTTAAACTGGAGTTTAGACCGTTATTGACTGTAGGATGCGATTTATTGATCAAGTTCTGTTGCAAACATTTGACTGAGTTGTGTTTTTGTACAAGTTTGTGTTTATTTGCATCACTGCTTCAACTTCTTGGAATTTGCATTGCGTAAAAAAAGTTGTGCTGCTTTTAATATGTGTATAACATAAGGGTAAGAAAAGCGAAATGTTAAACTAATCCGTGCTGGTTAAATTGGTCAAATCTTTAATCCAAAAATTGGAAGCAAATAAAACACAGAAAAGTCTGCAAGTGTGCTTCTCAGTCTTAATCTCTTCTTTTTTCTACCTCCTTCTTGCTGAAATCTTCCCTCTACTTTCCCTTCTTCGCTCACAAACCCGGTGAGGATGTGTCAGCTTCCCCGCAGGGCATCAGTCCAAATGTAAAATCAATAGTCTTGTCCCTGCCCTCAGGAGATCGGGTTACATCCACATATAGGGGCTCAGGTGGTCTGCTGCAGTGGGTTCACACACACACACACACCCTCACTGAGTTTTAAATATGATGCAGCACTGCAGCAGCAGACTGCTGAGTAGAAGCCAGACGTTAAAAACAGGCACTGGTTCAAAAGATGAAGCTCTGTGCTGTGGTTCAAAGAGCTGCAGTGCTGTGAAGTAAATCCTGAACTGACGCCGTGTTTCTCCAGAATTAAAGCAAGTTGCTCAGTAATGTTTGCAAGCCCTGATTTTGAGTCTAGTCATGTTTATATGTGTAGCTCTAAGACAATTAACACCTACTGTTTCTTGCCCCTGTTTCTTGTTTCTTAATTATTTCATCTAGATGGGCCAGCCACACCCACCTGGTGCTGCAGAGTCAAGATGTCAGAGGTCAGAGACAGACACACCACTGCTCTGCTGTTGGCTGCAAAAACAACACAAATGTCTTTATTATGTCCCAGCACTGAAGGAGAAAAGAAAACACAGGTTGTTTTATATCTTTAGCCCAGTTGTGCCAAGTCCTTCACCTTGGACTGCTTCAACAATGAGAGTGCAGAGCAAAACAGGGTTTACTCCGACACTGAACCTCATCAAAACACTTTTTGATAGTCAAAAACTCGTCTGTCTGGTTCTTCTGGAGCACTCCGGAGCCATTTTAGTTTTGGTGTTGTGCTCACAATATGTCTGTGCAGAGTAATTTCCTATCACAATCAAGTCAAAGTTTCAGGGTTAAAAGACCTTAAAGTCAACGATGGTGAAGTAAGAGGACTCTCATGACTCTTCAGTGCTCATCATGCACAGTTTTTTACTAGAAGCTGACTTTTCACGACCCCCTCTCCTAATTGTGTTTCTCAGAAGTCCTCCTCCTCCAGGAGACACAGGATGTCGTGAGGGGCTGCAGGCTGAGCTGCCTCCAACTTGTTTGTTGAAATTCAGCTTGTTTTTTGAGGTCAGGATTTCTTTGAAGTTTATCTTTTATGAGGCTTTTACCAGGAGCTGAATCATCCCCAGAAGTTTCCTCCTCTCCAAGATAGACGCAGTAAATACGTCTGTACTTCTGGCAATTGGTAGCAGTGCTACAAAACTCTAGTCAGATGCACAGGAGCTGAAGACATGTTTCCATCTAGAAAATGGAGATTAAGTTGTATGGAGGCTAATTTAACAGATAAATGAGTAACCAGCACAAGCATGTGGACATCAACCTGTTAGGAGTGGTGCTAGCTCTGCTGGTGTTAGCCACACTCTGCACTCACCTGTGTTCAGCTGTGTTTAATGTTTTGATGGTTTTCAGTGTTTTCTCATCCTAACATCCCATTTCAATACAGCAAACAGCCCAGACTTAAGTGTGTGCATTAAAACATGAAAAGTATTGAAACAAGCTATAAGAAAGAAGTCGATATGAATCTGCATAGAGTCGTTCAGTTTTTGTTTTTTGCAGGAGAAGCTCATACCTCCACTAATCTTGGATTTGAGTGTCTCCTTGTGTACTCCATCGCTCTGCCCGGGGCCAGTTATGTAACTCCCTATCGCCGCCATGATTCACTATTTTCATTTTCTTACACTAAAGTTGAAAAAAAGTTCACGGCCTCATATCTGACTCACTCTCTTCTGTACAAATATTGCCGAGCAGCCAAGACAGAACTCTGAAAGATTTCCACCAGCGAGTATTCGGCTTCTCATCTGCACTAATCACAGAGTTACTTGTGCTATACATGTTTATGTGCAATAAACATTATCTGACATGCACAATTCATTATTCCTTGATTGCATGTTTTTGCATTGTTGCGTTCATGCCTGAATGTTGTTTTTTTTAGTTTTGTGGTCCAATAAAATAATGACATATAAGGCTTTTTATTTCTGTTTCTCTTCGTCTCTTTCTTCGTCTTGCAAAAACAAGTGAAGCTGATGAATCTTCTGGTTGCTAATTCGACACAGATCTGCGATAGTGAGAAAATGAAGCCTCCCTGTACAGTTTGCAGCTCCTCTCAACTCCAGACCACAGCCACTGCTCTCTCCCCTCTCACATGTTTCTACTTTAGTCGGGAATTATCTCCTTCGGCGAGGAAGACTCTCTCTGACACCATCCTCGGAGGCTCCACTCCTCTTTCATTTTGCTTTGATTTACAAGCCCTTCAGACGGAGGCTTTTTCATGGGGGTGAAGCCTGCCGGAGCGCTGGATTTACCACTTTTTCTTCCAACAACAAACACATTGATCCACAGTGTCGAGCGGGGGATTCCTTTCACAGAAAAATGACGACACATGATCGCTGCTTTGAGCACATGACGCCCCACACACGCATGTTGAAGCTATTCGAGACCCCCGTAAATAGAACTTCCCTTGCAAGTGTCACACATGTCAACATGACGAACTCTGGGTTTTGCAAAGCTTAGTGGCAAAAACATAGAAACACTTCTCCCTCCAACACATCTTCAGGATTTATCACCCGAATCAGGTAGTTATGGCAACCACTCACTCCTCTATAAAGGCTCTCTTACCTCTGTAGAGGCTCCTCTTCTTCCACCTGAGGTTAAAGGTCTTCCTCGACTTTTATCCCCTAATAAAAAGAAGAAGAAAAAGATTCAGAGTCTATTTTTGTGACAAAGACAAGCAGAGCACTCTTCTTGTTTTTGCCACATCATTAAAAAGTCTCTGAAATGCAAACTTTTGGATCTCTCGCTCTCTCTCCAGGAGAATTCAGAGGCTTGGCAGACGGCAGCTGGAGGAGGGAGCCGAGAGATTTCACTGTCACAGGAATGCAGAGGATTAACGGTGGAGGGTGCTTGAGAGAGCGACTTAACTAAGTACAGACAAAAATGACACGTAGAGGCAGAAAGACACTTATCACAAAGCTCTGAAAGCAATCAAGAGCAGTTCTCTCCTCATTATAAACTCTCTTCATCATTACAGCCAGATTAGGAGTGTGACGTTCGAGCTGCAGAGGCCTTTCAGCAGTCAACTACAAAGACTGTCGGACTCACACGCGCTTGAAATGGATGATTATTTCACTCTGGCGGTAAATGACGAGTTTCATCACAATCTGATGTTTTCTTCAGAAAACAATACCATCTTCACAAAACAATACCATCTTCATTTTAGACAATGTCAACCACGATGATGTTTTGTTTTGCAATCCAGAGGACCACACTCTCCCTGTATGGTTAACTCTGCTTAATGACAATACAGCTTCTTCAATATGTACTGGTAATTCTGTTACTGGATCTTTATACAGATATTTAACTGAAAATCTTTGCAATTTATGGATCATTATGTACGTTATATTATCTGTCTGACGAGAAGCTATCAAGCATGTAAAAAGGGACATTTCCACCTGTTTTTAAAAGGAAAAAAAACACAATAATGAGATAATAAGTCAAAGTATGAGACCAGTGAGATAATAGATCATAATAATGAGATTTCAAGAAGACATTTGTGGCAATGTCATATTAGATAAAAAGTCAAAATTATGATAGAAAGTCATATTTATGAGATAAAAAGTCAAAATGACTTTCACCTCAGTTTGTCTTCCACCTCATAATTTCAACTTTTCTTTCCTAATTGCTCACAACTATAAGTAACTATCTAATAATTTTGACTTAATCTTACAATTTACTTATTCCTCAAAACAATCAATAACTAGGTTATGATTTTTGCTGCTTCTCATAATGCTAACTATCTTTTGATTCTGAATTTCTAACACAGAATTTCGACTTACACCACATAATTTTAACTTTTAATCTCATTTCTATGATTTATTGTTCCATAATTATGAATAACTTCATCACAATTCTGACTTTCTGTATCATTATTATCACTAAATTACAATTTTAACATAAACATGACTTACTTTTTAAATAATTTTGACTTTTTAGCTCATAATTATGACTTACCATCTCAAAACTGTGACCTTCAATCAATCAATCAATCAACTTTATTTCTATAGCACATTTTAAAATAACCACAAGGGTAGTCAAAGTGCTGTACAATGATACATAAAACAAATAACACAAAGAGCAAGATGAAGTGAGCAGAAATACATTAATGCAAGGGGATAAATAAGTAAAATAAATAAGCAGGCTCACGGCAGGTGCTAAAATGATAAAAAACAAAGTAACACTAAAAAGTATCAAAAGCCAAGGAGTAAAAGTGTGTTTTTAAAAGGGATTTAAAATCAGGAAATGTATGTTTAGGACCCATCTTTAGATAATTTTAATTTTTTGTAGCACAAGTATGACCTACGCTCAGAATTTTGACTCATTATCTCATTATTACGAGAAACTTTATCAAAATTTTGACTTTCAGCACGTTTTGACTCTTTCTCATAACTCATTTTACCACAATTTTGAATTTTTCCTCCAACAATTTTGACCACTTGGTCATCATTTCCACTTTTCATTCAATAATCACCTCTTGCTGTCTCATAATGTTGACTTATCATCTTAATCATCACTCAATATCTGGCGAGCTTCCACAGTGATGTGATAAGAATCAGAAAATCAAGAATACCACATCACTGACTCATCGACAGAAGACACATTTACACGCTTCTTGACCCTGGAGACAGTAATGGTGGTTTTGTGGTTGGTCTTTCTGATCTGATTATGATCACTGAGCGTGCTGACTGATCATTTCACAGCATGACTCACAGTTGAAACTCTTACTTCTACATCAGCTGTGACTCAGTGCTGACAAGCCTTAAACATTTGAACGAATCATCTGAAACTCTGCCAAGTCACACCACTCGATCCCTACTCTATCTCTAACAATCTACATGCTGAGTCATACTCTGGTCATAAAATATAATTAGGGCATGTTAAACAGTCAGTTGGTTGTAGGTTACAACATGCTGAGCTGGCCGGGAAGTCTCAACGCTATGATTTGGTAGCAGTGTGTTTACTTTGAGAGTGAGTGTGAGAGGTAGGGAGCTGATGTTATGGCTAACTATGAGGAAGATATTCCCGCTGGCCTCAGCTGTTCCGGCTTTTTTTCTCCACACCAACAGTTGTTCAACCTCAGCATGTGGCCTTTCTCTGGGTCAGAGTGTGTGTGTATGTGTGTTTTTAAAGCAAACACACTTCTTCGAACGGGAACAGTGTGTCAGGAGGAGTATGACTTTATGTGTCATGCAGTCATGCAGGCCCAAAAGCACACAATTGCCTCCTCAGATTACAGTTAAACTCCCTACCCCCCACTTTCTCCCTCTTTGGTGTAATTTGCACACAGTTAATGTGTGATATCACTCAGTCAACACAAGGCCATTGAGCAGGTGTGGCAGTGACACATGGATCCGTGCAGCTGCAGGGAACACAGTTGCTGCAGTCACAACAGCAACAGGGGCCGCCCCGCCTGCAGGCAGCTGGTCTGATGTTGACAACAAAGGAAGGCCTGCAGCACATGCACAGACAAACATGACCGACTTATGAGCGAAGACAATGCTGGGCTTGTGATTTGCTTTTGGGAATATTTACGATTCAGATTTTTCCGGATGTGCCGTTACGATACTAGTAAACAACCTGCTTCTTAGGGGAGTCCTGCTTGTGTTACTTGGACTATATCATTTTAGGTTTAGGCTGTAAAGAACTATAAGAGCCAATTCACTCCTGTAAACGGGTTAGCCAACAGTCTATCATAGATGCAATATACATCCTCTTTATATGCTAACTTTTTTGCATTCTTATTATTCTTATTTTTATTATTCTGGCACATTATGTTTGCTGTAACCTGCACAAAACAAAGACAAAACAAAAGGTGCCACCGTGTGTACCAGCTTCCTGTGACGCTCTGCATATTAGCTCAACCATAGTCAAGGGACCAAGCAGGAAAGTGTTTATCCACCGAACAAACAAGAGAAATCAGCGTTTCATGTGAACCAAGAATGACCAAGATGTTCTTCAAAGCAACGGCTCACCAATTTGCAAAATCTGCAGCCGAAACAGTTGCACCTAAAGGGTAAAAAAATCTGAAAAATAAACACCCAGCGCTGCACGACCAAGTCATGACAATACATAAGAGCCAAGGAGATGACATCAGCAGAAAGTAACTTAATGAAATAAATGTGTCATTTAGGGGAAAAGATGGACTTTCAGCTCGGTGTAAACAAATTCACCTCAGCTGTTGAGTGGTCTCAAGTCCTCTGTGCATGAGAAAAGTTATAAAATCAATGAATCCACAACTCTCATCAGAATAACACACCATGAAAATCTCTCATTGTTTCATCCCTGTGCTGAGTGTGGGAGTTGCTGGTCTACCGCAGCCTAAATCAGGCCCCCTGTCCTTGTGTTGTTGTCCAACTCAAATGTTTGGTTACTATGCAAACAAACTCACAGGATGAAGCAAAGGCAGCAGTTTTTTTGGTGTTTCAACAGAAAAACATATCTTGCTCTAAATTAAGAAATGAACTAATTATTTTTGTAATCTTTGTGGGATTCTTATAAGCAACAATTTAAGAGAATAACAAGCTCCTTTGGTCGATTTGGACCAGGCTCATTTGGTCACATTTTTGTCACACTCAGGCAACAACCTCCTATTAGAGTCACAACTACATAAAACCCAAGAGATTCTGCACACTACATGTCCTGCAATGTGTTTGAATCTGGGTGGAATAGCATGCAGGCAAACAACAGATGTGATTCAGCAAAGAAACTGGTGTATTTCAGGTACAGCCTGTCTTGAAGTTGACAGCTGGGCCATTCCTAACTTGATGTATTTTATACCCAGAATATGTCTTCTACCTTCTAGGACATATTAAGACACTCTGAATAGCAACCTGTCAGTCAATACGACCCCAAAATATGTAAAAACGTCTCCCTCTGAGAAACCCTCTCTGAAAACAGTAGCTGTTTCATGTTCATGCCCCTTCGGCTCAATAAAAAACACACCGCTACCCAAAAGGTGCCCCGCGTGTCTCTGCCTCCACAAAAAGTTGGTTTCACTGACTTTTTATGTGGCCTACATGGCTGCCCCACTTCAACAACAGAGCGAGGGGAAACACAGGCTCCTGTGTGGTGGATACAGGTGTGTCCTTGTCCACCCACACTTCCCCCATTAACAGCAATCCTTCAGGGCACGCTCATTTCCGGTCAAGGCAGGAAGTGGGAAGGAGGGCAAGGCGCTTGGCGAGCAGAGGCGATGATGATGTCACAGAAAGGGGAAGAAAGACAGGATTGTTGGATGGGGAAGTACAGAAAATGAGTAAGCAGGAGCCAGGAAAGCTAAATAAGGATAACGTGTGAGTGTTGATGCTGTAAAATATCCATATATGTGAGCTTTAATGATCGCACACAGAGAGTTTAGCCTGATAGAGTAATCAGCTATAAAGACACAAACTGTAATATGGTTTTTTCACACAACCACATCACAGAACAGACTTCAAAACAGAGGAAAAAATGACACACAAGCCACCACACAGGGTCTTTGTTACTCATGATGACACACTGCATTAATTGGGTGGATCAGTGTGGATTACAGCCCTTAAGGCATGAGAGTTAACCCTCTCTCTCGAGAGCAGAAACCCCCATAATGATGCTCTTTATCCACTTTTTTCCAACTCATGTAAAGTTTTTGACTGCGGCCGTCTATTTGACTGTCTCCCTAACATTTCCACGCTCAGAAACTCAGAAGAAAAGAGGAATAGCTGCTCTGTTTCAACATAAACCTGCAGCTTTTTGCATGTCGTCTCCACTCCTTGTGTATATCTTAAAGGTCTTCTCGCTTATTTGAATGCTCTTTTTCAAACACACTAGGTCATCTGTGACAAAATAAGATAACAACACAGCTCACAATCTAACATTAAACCAACAACCATCTGACAGACACACAGAGGCATGTCTGCTCTTAAAGATACCCGCACAGGACGCAGGAACACTGACGCAACAGAGGCTGCAGATTAATGATTAAAGATACGTTCCACTCACGCTCTCAGGGTTGCATAAGAAGATGGCATCTGAAATGTGAAATATTCAGCAGGAGAAGAGACGGTTCAGCGCTCTAATCTGGTGCCGACCTCTCATTTATGCCACAAAACGATGTACAGTATATACGCCCTTATGTGGAACAACATATCAATACAGAGGCAGATTTATTGATCAGGAGCAGCATCTTAATCTGGTTCCAGGGTGTGATAAGGTTCACCCTGACCCTGAGCTTCTTCTAAAGAGCTTTGAGGGAGGCCATCAGTCAGCTGATTGATGTTTGGTCACACAGCTGAAGGTGCATTAGTATTGATCAGGTTTTACTTTTAAAAAGAGAAAAGAGCAACTTATGGATGGCACCGCTGCCATCGACGGACCGAGTGACCTCTGCAGAGGTTCCACGTAAAGTCGACTTAAAAAGACGCAGGACAGGTTTGTTTCAAGCCGTCCTTCCCTGACCGGATAAATCTCTTATATCGATTATTTTGCTCATGACCACTGAAAAACAAAAAAACAAGTCAAATTTGATCAAATGCACAGCTGACTACTTCAGCACATCGATGCATGTAGTGTGTTTATCAGCTCCTCGCACCAAAATTCCTCTTGTCACATGACAAAAAGGTCTCTGCACAAACAACCGGCCCTCATTACTTTCCTCTGTGGAGATGTTGTTGTCTAACTGACCTCCTACTATCACTCACTGCTTCTGCTGTCCACACACACACACACACACACACACACACTTCTGGTTGTGATTACAAGGAGCTGATCTCTCCTCACTAGGATTCTCCACGGTCCCTCCAGTGAGAGCTTGGCCCTGGAAAAACCACACATGGTGAGAATTATGGAATAATGCTGCGTCAGGAATTTTCCCACGATGGCCAGCGGGACCTCCATCGGACCCCACCGGCCGGCTAGCAGGGGGTTTATGGGTAATGTAACACACACATACAGAGTTTCATGATTAAATGCCTTTTGTGTTAGTCCACATTTGAACCTGCTGCCCCTCATGCTGGATCATAATGGTCCTTTGTGTTGGAGCATTTCAACAAGCGTGAGCTGGTTTTATATCACTGCCACAGAAAAGTGTCCAACTCCGAGGCCTCATCATGGGCACAGCTTCCTCACAGCTGCTCAGCGTGTAGGGGGGAATTCCTGTATTTTGAAACCCTGGCAGTATTTTATTCACATAGTTGAGGCTCTGAATGACCAGCAAAGACAAAAACTTTTACAACTGCACCAGGAAATGACATGAGGCGGCGATCCAGGCCACATAAAAAGTATGTGAAATAGACTTTTCTGAAGCCAGCAACAGACAGGACATCTCTTTCAGGATTACTGAGTGTGTCGAAAACCTTGTTAAGATGCTTCTTACAACACGCAGCTATCACATATTTTATATCCAAAGCTGCAATTTTAACTTTGCAGATTGTGGGAGTTCCTGGTCTACTGCACCCTCTATTAGTTGAACCCTTTGTGTTATTGTCTAACATTTGTGTTTGAAATGGTTAATCTGGTTCATACAGAACACTGTAATTCAACTGAACACACTGGCAGAGGTAGACAAGCAACTCCCTTGTAGCTATTCTACATCCTATTGTTTGAGTTACATGATTTGTTTGTAGTTTTATGTGAATGAAGTGACTTTAAGTTTACTTTTAACATAATGTTTCTGTACTTTTGCATGGGAGTTGCTGTTCTACCTACAGCTGCCTCAGCTTGCTTGTTTGTTTGTGTTTTGTGTGACTTTAGTGATTAAAAAGTTTAGTTATTAACTGAATATTATCAACTTTCTGCAACACGTGACATCTTACATAGAGGAACCTGTTAATGTAGAGGTAAACCAGCAACTCCCATGTTCTGTAAAGTGTTAAAGCTGTTGTCATTGGAGTCAAGTGTGTTTTAAGAGAGTGAGCACAGATGTTTTAAAGACCCCTTTAACAAAACACAGAGGTTTTACCTTGCAAACTATGGGAGTTGCTTGTCTACCTTTGCCATACCAATGTGTTCAGTTGAGTTATAGTGTGTTGTTTGAACCAGATAACTACTTTAAACACAAATGTTAGACAATAAGACAAAGGGGTCAACTAATAGAGGGTGCAGCAGACCAGGAACTCCCACAATCTGCAAAGCTAAAATTGCAGTTTTATCAGAGGCCTAGTTCAGAGCAATCCCAGAGCTAATCATACCCTAAATTCATCTTGCATGGGAGTTGCTGTTCTACCTACTGCTGCCTCAGCTTGCTTGTTTGTTTGTGTTTTGTGTGACTTTAGTGATAAAAAAAAATCAAAGTTTAGTTATTAAACAACTTTCTGTAACACGTGACATCTCACATAGAGGAACCTGTTAATGTAGTGGTAGACCAGCAACTCCCAAGTTCTGTAAAGTGTTAAAGCTGTTGTCATTGGAGTCAAGTGTATTTAAAGAGAGTGAGCACAGATGTTTTAAAGACCCCTTTAACAAAACACAGTGGTTTTACCCTGCAAACTATGGGAGTTAGAGGTCTAACTCTGCTTCATCCTAAAAGCTTTCTGCTGAACAAGAATTTTAACAAAGAGCAACATCCTTTTTGTCTTAGCAAAGTAGCCATGCTTTACTGACAAGTTATCCAACCACAAGAACACGGGAGTTGCTTGTCTACCTTTGCCATACCAGTGTGTTCAGTTGAGTTATAGTGTGTTGTTTGAACCAGATAACTACTTCAAACACAAATGTTAGACAATAACACAAAGGGGTCAACTAATAGAGGGTGCAGCAGACCAGGAACTCCCACAATCTTCAAAGCTAAAATTGCAGTTTTGTCAGAGGCCTAGTTCAGAGCAATCCCGGAGCTAATCATACCCCAAAGTCAACTTCACGTCAAAATGAAGTCACTTTTAATTTCCAATTATTCCATCTCGTAACTTCCCAGCAGGGATCACCAACAGCAGCGAGGGGTCAAACTCACTGACCACAAGTGAGTCAGTGACCCACAGCCTCAAAAAGTCGGTCATGGTGCCAAACTCGGGGGCAGATCCCGAGTCAGTCACTGGGTTTGGTTGCTGCGTGGCACGTGGTGTCGGAATAATCAGAAATCACTCGAGAGTGAAGATCAGCAGGGCAGAGAGAGAGATTAGCAAGCCACTCAGCCACTAACTTAACCCAGAGACGCGTTGAATAGAGGCTGGGGCTCGCTCGCAGAGCTGCCGGGGTATTAGTCAATGAGATTTGGCGAGAGGCTGCCACACAAGCACACATGCAGCGCTATTTTGTGAGATTAAGCCTGCAGGTTTGAGTGACTGTCAAGGGATTCTCTCGCAAAAATGTGTCAATCCACTTCCACTACGGCGAGCACGGCTGTTTCCACTTGTAGGTCACTGCAGTAACTGAAACGCTGCATTCCTTCACCGTCCTACATGAACCCTGATGTGAACAGAAAAATGGTGCAGCCTGCCAACATCTCTCCGTACAGTAAGTACAGAGAGCGAGCTCGAAGCCAGCTGTGAAGAAGTGTGAATTTGGCAATAAAACGAAGGCTGACCTCAGTGTTTCCAGGCTGTTGTTTCACATGACATCAACATTTCTGTGGCTCCCATAAACCTGTCCACTCCCTACGTCTGAAACGCCCGACCCCTCTTCCTCACAGGTGTTTTTCCACTTGCCTTTTTGGCTGCTTGCTCAGATGACACTGCGTTATGTGGGGTTACCCTCTTGATTCTCCGCCTTCGGGATGTTATAAACATACTATGTGACAAAGGCAGGCTGCTTTCCAGCCATCTCATTTGCCTCGGTCGGGGTTTCACCGCACTGGAAAGTGCTGCCAAGATCGTATAGCCACTTTCTAACACACATCAGCCGAGGTAACTTTCATCATTATGGGTTAGAGTGAAGTTAAAAGGTCCAAGGGCTGGAAAAGTAGGCTGCAGTGCATATTTAATGGCAAAACAAGCCCCAGTATTTGGCTTCCTGCTAGTTTGTGGCTTGAAGTGAGCGCAGAAACACTTGAAACAGTTGGAACATTTTAAATTATGTAAGAGGGAGCCTGTTTTTGCTTTCAGTGTGTATTTGCAGTTGAGCACAGTCTTTTTGATCGCAACAAGGTAGAAGACTTTCTGGTATTTATTATAACCTGTGTCCTATTTGTAAACCAGTTTAAACTATTGTTGGTTTGCTCCGGTACACTGCTTCAGCAGGCAGCTGAGACAGTTTTAATGGCTGCAACATGATCCTTCGGGGCATTTACAAGCAAGCAAAGCACTTGTTTTTGTCAGTGGTGGGATCAGATTGTAATTCCAAGTGTCAGACAAGAATAAGATGGATTTTTTTTTTATAATCCAAGAAGCTGTAATATCCCTCCCTTCAAAGCCACCAGACGCCATACAAAGAAAACAGTTTTGTCTTGCACAACACAGGAGTTGCTCATCTACGCTGCTCCTTAATGGAGGTTTCGGACTGTTTTAGGGTTAAAGTGTCTAATCCAAAGTAACCGTTTTAAAACCAAAAACACCAAACTTACCATTCATGGCTGTCATAGACAAGCAGCTTCTGTGTTTGAGTAAAGTACAGAGACTGTTTCTGTTGATGGAGTCTGGTGAGTTTTAAAGAGAGGTACTTAATGGCTGTTTCTGGTCCAGAATGACCCTTGCTGGCCTGTCTCTGTTGGGATCCTTTCTGTCAAGTGTTCAGACACTTAGAGAAACAATGTTAGCCTGTTAGCTGGGAAAAAACGTACTCTGGGCTGCACATTTTCACTAAAAGCTTAGATTGCTACTTTTTTGTTGTGGGCTGGACACAAAAAACATCCCAAGTTGAGTCTTTGTAGAAGATCTGCAGCCTCTCAGTTTTCTATCCTCAAAAATCCATGCAGTGACACGAATGAACAGAACACTTTGATAATGCTGCACTGCCTTGATTGGCTGCCTGGATGTCATTTGCAGGCTAATGCAGAGGCGGAAAAACACTGGGAAAAAAAATCTGGCGAGTGCTCCAGAAGAACAGCTCCAGTACACTCCACAAAGGTTCCATAATTTGACCCAAATAGGAGGAGGTGTTGCAGCTGTAGTTATGACAGCATGTCTTGAGCAGAAACATCTGTAGCTGGCACATTATTGCTAAGAGGTAAAGTCACAATCACTGTTTTCTTTGGTCCTCTGGTGTAGGAACAGAGTACAGGCATCACTGTTTGGTATACAACTAACAATTTTGTTTAAATTTGTCTTCAAAATGATGTACACACAGATCGGGAACCTATTGTTTAACGCATAGAAAGACATCTGTAAATTCCAGTGATGCACAGACTTCGTAACCACACAAACAAACATGCCATCACTCACCATTACTGCACCCTGGACTTTCTCAGATGGTCTCATAACGCTCCTATTGTTTGTGTTTGCTGTGTGGTATAAAAAACTGAACCCTCCGTGGATCTGACAGGAAGCTGATGGTTAGAAAACAACTGTACAAGCATAAACTCATCCAGAGATCATCCAAACATGTGGGCCAAGAGGCAGGCATTTCACGGCAGGGTGAGGGAAAACAACGAGGTTTGCTCTGTGGGTCTTTTCACTCCCCCTCTCTGAAAATCTCAGTTTGATGGACTTTAAGTGCATCCAGAGAGTGCAAACCAACACAATCAACCCTGCGCAAATAAACACACAGACACGCAAACTGCTGTCATGAGAACTAGCTGAACCCTGATCAGGAAGAAGAGCAGAGAGGATAGAGCGAGGAATCATGCTGACCCAGTACTGAGTCTCTCTGTTTACCCCAGTTGTCTGAAAATAAGCCTCTCTTTTAACCAACAACCTGCTTTTAGAGGCTTGTGGAAATTAAAATGGATGTTTCTTAAGTACTGCCAAGTTGAGGAACAATTATTAGAGATGAGGCGGGGGATACTTAAGCACCAATCTGATACATTTTAAGCAAAACTTGAGCCTTTTACACTATTTTATGGACAAGCTGCAGTTTTTTGTCCCTTTTTAAGATCCCTTCCATGCGTCACTTTTACACATCGGTGATAAATGCATTAAATTAAGTAAACAGGTAGGGCGGGTGGGTATAAATGGATTGTGATGGAAATTTTTACAACCTTGTTTAAAAATGATGGATAACAAGAAAGTCGAAGGCAACATTTCACAGGATCCCGTGATGCTGATTTAACACATTTCCTGCTCTGCTGCCAAGAACAGGCTTTTTAATTCACTTCAGTCAGAGATGCAAAACTGTGGCACATGTGAAAGCACGAAAGAGAGAGAGAGAGAAACAAATAAATCCACCTTCTCCTTCCATGTTTACGTCTCACAGCCATCAGACTATACATCACCCAGTCGATAATGCATATTCTCTCTGCAGCAGCCAGACGGCACATATACATTTCCTCTGAGTTTGCACTTTGTGCTCTCTGACTCTCTGAACCACGTCTCAGAACTGCCTCAAGCATTTTGTGCCTTCTCCTCGTCTCTGCAGGACCCATTATCCAGGAGCTTTAAAGCCTGTCCATCCACGCAGACATGCGGCTCCTCCATCCATCACGCCGTCCCGTGACTGCTGCGGCGGAGGTTTAGCTGGAGTTCATGCAGGCAGGTGGAGTAAAGGATGAAACGTGAAACCATAAATCACCTCCTCTTCTTCTGTGATACCTGATGCAGCTGCTGGAATTCCAGATGAGAATTCCCACTGGGATGAGATTCCCTTTTCCAGCCTTTAATGCCAGCATCAGTTTCAGCCTGATCGCCCACCTGTGTAAAACTTAGAAAAAGCTCTTCAAACTGCTCCGAGGCTTTGCTGCAGTTACAGATGTGCACAAGCAGTTTTTGCAGGACAAACTAACAAAGACTGACCCCCTACAGCCCTGACTGAAGCTGGCCATCTGTATTACAGTAGAGAGGGGGGGTGAGACTGAGCCACCTGCCATTGTCAAAGTCACACTGACTGATTAATGGCTGCCTAAGCTGCTTAAACTAAATGTACAGTGACAGAGGAAGGAAATGAAAGGGACAATTAATGACTGAACGGTACAACATACAGCATGAGTATCATAGCAGATCAGATAGGAGACGGGAAAATAGGTCATTGAGGATCTGATGGCGGGATAATGACGAACGATCGGAGTGAGACGAGTGTTTTTTTATGACCTCTATCTCTGTAAAACACAGTTTAAAAGCAGAAAATAGAGAAATGTTGAAGAGTTATATTTCCACTTTAAAGGAAAGGAGGTATCACTTATTCAGTATAGCAGTTAGCCTCAGATCGAAGGGTTGAAGCGCTAAATTAGATTTATGGGTAAGGGAGGTTATTTTAGCCCGAGGCCAGAGTTTTTAGAGTCACCAATGCGTTTCTCTCTTGACCTCTCTGGATCTTCATGGTAACTTATCCCCCGCACACCTGGCTGAGCCGCACACCTGCGCTACAAGAGGTGTAAAAAAGCACCACCTCTGCAGAAGTTACAACTCTGACACATTTTACAAGCTGACGCACTTTAGAAGAATAAAAAGGTACAAGGGCTTGGCAGTGAGTTAACCGAATTCTGGGATTTTTAAAGACTTTTTTACGATCATGAAAGAAGATAACTGAGATTAATCTGTGCTCTTCCTCTGCCCTCGAACAGCTCTCATATAATATATGATAAGGCAAGTCAAAGGAGATGACATACAGGTGGGTTTCAGTTAACAAAAAAGGCCACCTATGATGTTTTTCACCCATTTATTTACAGAAATTTTCAATTTTCAAGACTTCAAAATAATCATTTGTTATATAAGTGTTGCTAACTAAGTGTAGATGTTGTTCAATAAGTAGCTGCACCCAATAATCATGATCTTAATATCAATCAAAGATACCTCACTTATTGTTTTTGACTGCAACCTTACGCGACCAACTCTTACTGTAGTAGAAAAACAACACTGGCTCTCTATGCAAACCGACAGCTTGAGGCAACAAGTGCAGAGTATTTTCAGGCCTGAATTTGCTGTTTACGCAGGTGGAAACCATGACGACTGCATATAAAACTAGAAAAGCACTTGGAGAGCACAGACCTCCGATAAGCAGCTCATGTCCCCCCTTAAACAAGAAATTCCCTGATCAGGTTTTGAACCCAGGACCTTCTGGATATGAGGCGAAAGTGCTAACCACTACACCACTGTGCTGCCTATCTACACCACTGTGCCGCCCATTAGTTATCTTTCAGCATTGAAAATTCCAATGACACCCTCACCACCAAAATTTAATGTGATCCCCCTGGGGCTGAGACGCACCTCTGGTGAAAGTTTCAGGTCAATCCGTCTGTTACTTTCTCCGTAAAGTTGCCAACAGAAAAACAAACAAACCAACGCTACAGAAAACATAACCTCCTTGGCGGAGGTAAATATGATCCAAAAAGTTTCCCCTTTGACCTGTACTCTTCACTTCGACACAGACTTTGGTGATACTCTGAAACTCTCCCTTTTAAAACATTCACCCAGTGGCACAGATATGAAAACTAACACTGCAAAGACATCCAACTGGAGGCCGGTCTTCTCCATTTATACCTCGCCTCGTCTTCACTGCAGAGTGTGTGAGCCTGTGCGCTCCGGTGCACCTGCAGAACAAGGACCCAGATCATGTACTGCCCTGGAAAGAGAAGAGGCTGTCCTCCTTCTGCCGACTCTAATCATCTGCACAGGCGGAAAATGCGGGCTGATATGTCCATACATTTCTCATACATCTCCATACCGTCCGCATACTGGTGGTAGTGGATAAACAGCTGTAAAAAAAAGCAGGAGAGCTAAGGTTTACAGAGACCGTCTTATCGTTACAGTCTCAAATGTAAAAAAAGGTCGCATTTTTAGCTCAAACAATTGATTTCCTGCCGCCGAGAACACAGATATCAGTATGAGAGTGGGCATAAAAAGGCCAACAGGAAGAGCAGCCTTCTATCTGGAACAGTGGAGGTTTTCGCAGGCTGCGGGCCTCCTGGTTAGCCATTTGTCTTTGTCTCCAAATGGCAGGGGCAGCTGCCACCAAAGGTCAGCAAAATGTTACCAGAACAAGGCTCTATAGTGGCTGAGACCACGTGCCTGTGACACACCCAGGTGGAATGACTAACACACACTTTCTCTCTGGTTTTCACTCACACACACACTGAGGCAACACACCCAGAATGTGGCATCTTGTTTTTATCGTGTTCGGGATCAAGTGACTGGACTTGAATGCAGCCTGTGGCATTTCTGAATAGGGCTGTACTGGACCATATGGCAAAATATGACCATGGTTTATTTCTCTATGTTGTTCATCACCAATCATATTATAATTTATAAGCTGGTAATGCTTCTACTTTGGGCTGTACGGTTATATTTTACATGTACAGATTATAAAAAACAGTTCTCTTAACCATTCTGACATGATTTTCATCTCAGTTGTTCAAAGATCCAGCTCTAATGTGGCGAATCGTGTTTGGCATGACCGAGCTGGGCCCGAGAGCAGCTGTTGGCCTGTTCCAGTTTGTTTTCCTCCTCCAGACCCGAGCCAAGGAACCTCCTAACAGTGAAGATATCGGGTTACTCTCTCTCCCCTCTGGCTCTCCATCAGGGGTGTGTTGAAGGCTACATTTGAAGTGCCATCCTCTCCCCTTACCCTCCTTCACCCACCTACACCCCCGGCTGTAACACAACCTGGGTAAGCTTACACCGCCATCGCCGCCGCCCCCAGCCTCATCTCTGCAGCTTTTGTGTAGAGGAGTCTTCTGCTCTGGGACATGGATGGGTGGAGGTCAGACACGGCTCTCGCCACTCACACGACACAGCCAGTAACGCGCAGACAGAGCGGCATGCATGACATGTCGACACAAACAAACTAAGAGCAGCTTTTCCTCTCTTTTTCTGTGGATCATTCCTCAAGCTACAAACTTCTCTGACAACTGTTTTTCTCATCTAATCAACTACATCCCAAAGAAATCAGGCGCATTAAATAAGAGGGATGAAAGGCAGCAGCTCAAGGACGAGTTCAAGAGAAAAAGAGAGAGTTTTCTTCCTTCTCTCCTTTTCTCCTTTGGCAGAACATGTCAGAGCGGCTAAATGAGAAAACCATGTTCCTGGTTATGTACTCGGAGCTGACATTTCTCCCCCCCAAGGTTGTCTTTCTGACAGTTTGCAGGAAAAAAAAAAAAAGAAACGCTGACACTGAATCTCTCTACATGTGCATTTACACAGAGGCAGTGAAATGACACGCTCTCGTCTTTGAACATGTGTTTTACCTCCGTGGCTGCAAATTTAATCCATGACTGAGCTTTTTATGACTAAGCTGCCAGAGTGCAATGACTTCAGGACTGTTAAGTACAGACTGAGGCGTTTGAGGTGCAGATTGGTTCTCTGATTCTTGCTACTGCAACGAATTCTTGCACTTGGAATGACAACAATGATCTGACTGTAAAGCTGAATCATACATGCAACTGTTGGGGGTTCAACCCATATCTGACCCTGCACCCATTTTTTTTTTTAAATTTGAGGAAAATTGACCATAGAGTCCAAAAATTTAGGAATTGATCCATCAGATTTCTGGCCAGTAACTATGTGGGTGAACTATTATCTCCCAGAGCACATGGTCCGGATCTAACTATCTTTCTTGCATGTTCAGACTGTTATCTTTCAGAAAACAGGACACAGGAGTTGCTGGTCTACCTTGCTCTGCTTGGATATTTGGGCCCTAGTGTAATCCAACGGGTTCTCGATTATTATTATTATTATTATTATTATCATTTTTATTATTTTACTGCCTCCGAAAACGCAAATCTGACCCCCTGAACGACCTCCAAAACTCACGAAAAATTGGCAGGCAGGTTAGGCCTGACGAAAAATCGCAATGTTTTAAAGTGAACAAAAAAAAAAAAGATTAAAAATGGCTCGCTAGCGCCCCCTACAAAGCGCCACGAACATCGACTTTGTCCGATCTGCCCGAAACTTTAGAGGCACGTGTGTCTTTACGAGATCTTTGATTTTGCGCACTTGAGGTTTTTTCCCAGACGCACGGTTAAAGAGTTATTCCGCTGTTTTCGCCCCCTTGTGGCCATTTGCATATGTCACGCCAAATGTTGTTATCTTGTTGTTGCTGTTTTGGAAGTCGAACTTGGATCCACACAACACTACAGAACTACAAACACATAAACTAACCCACTAAAACAGCAACTTAAAAAGCCGACTCAGGACTCTGGACAACATCTTGACGACATCGGGTGAGCAGCTAGCCTGGCGGTCTTCATGCTGCCCCATTTGCAGAGGTTGCAGTTGTAGTTTACTCCTGACCTGTGGTTCCTTTCTATTTCCCATTCTCGCACCTCAGTTTCTGCTCTTTTCACCGTCCTATCCCCTCTGAATAAAAGGGATAAAACCCCAAAAGGTCCCATGCTGCTGCAATCGCTGATTAGAGTCCTGACCAAGAAGACTCCTTGTTTGAAACCTTTATCTGCTCTCTACCTTTTTTATTATCCGTCTTTTTATGACTGTGAAGAGAGAATTAAAAAAACAGCTCCATGCACCTTAAATGTCAGCAAGTTTCTGCGATCATGTTACAGTTTCCTTAAAACCTGATCACAGTTCGATCTCGCCCTGAGAAGACATCATTGCAGCACTTACTGCCTGAGTCAAAGCTGTCGGTTTGGAGATACAAACTTGAGTATTTACTAAACTTTTTGCACCTTTAAGTCAATAAAGCTTCACAGGCATGACCAAGCTTTAATTCTCCTCTAATTTCAGTGATATTGAGAAAACTGAAATGGCAATAACCGTGCAGGAATTCAGCCACAGGAATATAACAAACCGCCAAAAGTTGCTTTTCACATCAAACAAGAGCAAAAACCCTCCATCTTACATAACCGGTTGATAATTAAACCCTTTTTCACTCAAAAAAACACAGACACAATAACTATCCCCAGCGGGAAAAACATAAAATATCACTGAGTTTCCAGATGTGCTTGTGGCATCAACACATTTTCTGTCTTTGTCTAGACGCTGAATGAACTCCAAACCTCTTCTGCAAAGAAACACAGCGAGCTCGAAGGCATGTGCCGGGAGGGGGGAAGCCACCATAAGGCCAACAGTTATTTTCAACCCATTAACTTCACTGTAAGCCAATGGGTCGCATTGTTGCAGCACTGTCTCCATGCCCAGAATAATGTGCTCCCAGTCTAGGGCTTTGTGGACGCAAATCAAGCGTGCCTTAAGGACACAGACGGTCTATTATAAAGCCACTGTGGGGAATAAAGACTATTTGCCACTGAAGGAAAGAGGTACAAAGTATCCTCGCCTGGCCTTGGTTTGTAAATAACACTCAAACAGGAGTGTTTACTCTGTGGAAACCCATATGGTAGCCAGCCAGACTGTGGCATGGTATTCATCCCTTCTTCTAATGACCTTTGAACCCTACTGTCAGTGTGGGGTCACTTATCTTTCCAGTGTGAATGTCTGAGAGAGGCGTAAACACAATCATGGCGTTACTTCGTGCATAAAAGTGAAACCCAGAGGAAACTTAAGCTTCAAACATGAAGTAGGTTAAAACACTTGGGATGATTATTCTGGCTGAAGTGGGAGCTGGTCTAAATTAGGGATAGCCACTGGTCAAACTGGCTTCATGTTATCCAATCTGCTGCCAGCGGCCTCATCCAACAAAGGGAATTAAAACAGTGCCCACGAGCTGCAGGGTATGAGGCCGTTGATAATAACGCAAACCCTGGCACATTTTCCCCACACATGCCCACTTAAATTGTGGATTATCTCCAGTGAAAATAGCCGCTCTGAGAATCATTTACCGGCAATAACAAACAGCATCGCGACAAACCCATCGGCCATTACCAGCGGCTGATAGATAGATAGAGAGAGAGCCTCCTCCCGCTGAACAGGGTGGAGACTGTGCATCTCCCTTCACTTTAATCTCATGCAGAGGAGGAAAATTAGGCTGAAAACCCACCGAGGAACACAGACACGATAGCCAAACTCACAAATCTAACAAAGGGCTGGTGTTAAATGCCTCTACAATGAAAAACAGCCGCGGCTCTTTTCCTGGTCGGCCCAAACGCCGCACGCCCTTTCTCCCCCCAAGAAAAGGATTGTTCAATGGCCGCAGAGGGGGGCTCCCAGACCCCCACTCAAACACACAAAAACACTTCTCAAACACACGACAACACATTCAAATGTGCTTGTTTGGTCCTTGAATTAAGTGTGATACAGCACTCCCTCTGTCTGTCTCGTTTCCTTTCCTTAGGGTACAATCTAGGATGGATGATCTGGGATCAGCTGGGATCATTATGTGACATAAATTCACATTTGACATATTTAAATTCTGAGTGTCCTTATTAGAGGATGGGAAAACTCTGATCAAGAGCAAAATAAATCAAATAATAGAGAAAGCCTACTTACAGTCCAATGGGAATAACAAAGAGGGTCCTCTTCTCTCCCGGGTTCTCCAATGGCAACACCTCTCTCAGGTAAAAATAAAAAAAACCGATAAAAACTCCCGGTGAAATAGCTGTGAATTTTATTGTTTAGATGAGGTTAAAAGCAGCCAGTTGTCCTCATGTTTCCACACGCTGCCTCGTCTTCACACACACGGTCCCATTCCCTCTTTCCCATTCTTCTCTCCCGCAGCTGCTGAGTGAGGAGACACGCTGCGCGTCTCCGTCGTTTCCTGTCCAGCCCAGAACACGGTGTTGCCTTCAGGGACGAACGGAAATCTGTAAAATTACCCTTCATCATGAGGGCTGATAAGACTGAAGTAAAATAGATTCTCCACAGTAATTTCTAAAAATGGTGTACATATAAAAACAGATAGCAGTAGCTAGATACTGCCAAAACGCATTTCATTCCGATAATTCGATAATTTATCGTATCTTGTTGTATCGGCAAGAGAGTAAATTTTGATTTCTCTATAAATCGTTATTACGAGATTGTAATTTAAAGCAACAAATGTCTTCTGAAAAGATAATCTCAAAGAAGACATCAATGTAAAACTCGATATTTTTACTAAAAATGCGAAAAGATAAGAAAAGTCCTCGTGATTTCTTCCAACTTAAAATTCTGATTAAAAACTAAAAAATAGAGGCTACAAAAAAAGTCATAAAAAATCAAAACAATGGTATAAAGAGTTAGTTAACATGCAAAAATTACCAAACATTTGAATAAGTGTAATAAAATCATCACATATAAAGTGGAACACTTCTTCTTGAAATGACTTCTTTAAATACCTTAATGATAGCGTCTTTTGGTTACTGTAACCTACATAGGCATATTTTCAGTTGTAGGTTTTTCCTGACAAAATAAGACAAAATAGTCAATCTTACTATTTATTTAATTTCACAAATACAAGTCGACACATATCGGTATTTTTCGGTATGTTTGCGGTATTTTGAACACATATTTGGTATGTTTATTTGAGATTTATGACAAAAATGTTAGGAAACTCTCTTTTAAAAGCAAATTACAAATACAACAAAAATTAGTGGTATACTCACGTGAGATTAAGCCGATTTGTCGGAGGGGCAGTGAAGGCAGCATCAGCATCCACATTTTAATGACGATAAAAGTACTTTTTTAAAAGACAGAAAAGAGAAAAACACAAGAAAGTCTTTCTCAGCATTTCCATCAAACTAATTAAAATGTTTTTATTAGATGACACAAATTCCTGTCAAACACACTTGAGTTCATGACACATTAAAACCGGCTACTGTGTGTATTTTTGCTGATGCTGGTTTGAAACCAACAGTAGACAAAAGGGACCATTTCCAGATTAGGAGATTACGTGTCATCCATATGGACTCATAGCGTTGCTAACCCGTCAATCCCCCCCTTCATCCATCCCCTCATTCAGAATTACAAACAACATTTTAGAAATGCTCTAATCCTCACCCGAAAATCCCATGAATTTAGCACCATGTGTTGCCTCTAGAGTAAATATTTTCTGCCCTTTTTATGCTCTCTAATCCCAGATCTGAGAGGATAAATCCACATATCACAGGAAAAGGCCATGATGTCGAGTGAAATGCTATTTAAGTTATTGGAAGACTGTAAAGAAAATTAGTTTGCTGATTTTTGGAATTTGAAAAGTAGACAAATATAAATATAATGCTTTGTCTCCATCTAGCTGATATAAAATGCATTGCAGATTTGGTTTAACCCTGCTTTGGTTGGTAAATCATTACAAGGATCAAACTTTATGGTTAACATAGTGTCAGTTTCCGTAAATTTGACACACAATAAAGCTTTTCGTTTTTTGTACACAGACAGTTTTTTGGGGGGTCAGATGTTGCTGTATCAGTTCAAATCTGTTTTGTACGGGACACTGGGTCACTGCACTCGCGGTCCCTCACTTTGCCTTTGCACTTTGCCTTTGCACATTCTGGCCTGTTTTAACTCAGTCTTGTTGTGTTGAGGGCTTCAGTGTGTCGACTAAAATTGTCAAAGAACTATTCCTGTCTTGACATTTGAGACAAATGGAATGAAATGTCTACTTTTATTCTCTAAATTCACCATTTCCTGAATGTGAAATGTCAAAGAATGAGTGGATTTCATCATCTATGGCAGTAGTTCTCAAGTCCAGTCCTCGAGGCTCACTGTCCTGTATGTTTTGGATGTTTCCCTGCTCCAACACACCTGATTCAAATGATCAGCTCGTTAGTAAGCCATTACAGAGCTTGATAACGAGCTGATGATTTGAATCAGGTGTCTCTTCAGCTGTCCTGTGTTATAAGACAGAAATGCCCCAAAATTAAAAAAAAGCAGAGAATCTAAAGAAATCTGAATTAATACATTTAAAACAGACAAGACTCTGTGGTGGAAATCACACCATAGGCTCAAAATCACTCCCAGAATCCACTGTCCACATCCACAAATCAGGTAAAAACTAAACCATGCAAAGAGGAAACCAGATAGAAACATAATCCAGAAATGCAGGAGACGTGATCTGTATGAAGTGGAAAACTGTCCTGTGACAACAATCTTACTTTGCACTTATAAGAAGTCAAATGTCACCAGAAGAAGAGGTGTTTCTGCCAGAGGATGGTTCCTCTCTCTCTAGAGGATGTGTGAGTTTCAGTCGCTGCTGCACCGTGGGAGTGATTCACTCAGAGGTACAATGAGGATATGATGCACAAACGTCAAAGGAGCGCACGCATGGAACAAGCAGGGTTTGATGGTATCGCAGCATCAGATCAGATTACTCTGCAGCACAGAGTTTGCTGGAGGAGCTTCAGCTTTTAGGTGATGAGGGGAAGAATCACTCTGCTGGAGGCAAGTTCACACACCGGGTGCAGGAGTTCATGATGAAGGTCTGCTGGGTGTTTGTGATCCTCATGGGCTTTAGGATATCTGACGCAGCTCAGTGTCAGAGCAGCTACACGTGCCCTGGTAAGACTTTGACATATTTAATGATCTTTAAAAAATGAGTTCATATTTGTAGTAACTACTCTGGGGTATTTGCGTGACTAAAATAGTGGCAGCTAGGAAGAAATAACTCGGACTGTGTTTCATAAGTGGTTACAGTGGGGCAGTGGTTTACACCGAGGTTAGCCCCCTCATCTGTTGAGCAATAACACTCATATTTGAGGAGTTAACTGTCAACGTGTGGCAGCTGCAGAAGAAATCAGGCTTGCTTGTGCTCTGACATCGTGGCAGAAGTTTATTAACTCCTCATTTCAGTAAAAGAGGACATATCATACTTTATAACGGCTTGGGTACACAGGAAAGTCCCGAATTTAGCATCAATCCGACTAGAAAGCAATTTGGAAGTAAATTTGCAATAACAAAAGCATCACTTTGTGTATTTCTTTTTATATAATTCAGAATAAATCCAGTGTTTCTACATTATAATTAAAGCTAATCAGTTTTTTCATGGTAAGTCTAGTAAGCATCAAGTAAATCTACTTCAAAGTGATCATACTCATTCATTGAATGCCTATTTCTAAAAAAAAAAGGACAGATAAATCTATTTACTGAGAATATAGGTCTGGTACTGTCCCATGAGAGTGCGGCAGTATCACAAAATAAGTTGTCCAACGCACAGATGAAACAGTCCCTTCAAAAACATCACAGCAAAGAAAACAGTATAATGCATGAGAAAGAGTTGATGTTTTACTATGTTAAAGCTCCTATAGGGAATTTTTTTATGTTTATGAAACAGGCTGAAACTCATATTGATGTCCTTTCATGATATTTACAGCAAACAAGACCATCAGCGACAGGATTAATGATTATTTTAAATGCATAAAATTAGTGCGAGGGGGTAGGTGTCAGCCGAGCAGCTAAAGAAACAACTCTATGTTTACCATTTCCACATTAAACATTCACATTAAATGATGCTTTCATCTTCAAAAGTCGTTATATTTATATATTTTTGTCAGGAGTCACTACTCAAGCATGTAGGAGTCGAGATAAACAAAGACCGCTTTGTCCGCAGGGGTTACAAAATATACCCAACCTGAAGTTTAATTCTTAAAAACAGAATTTCTCATTTCAGCGGCATTTGCATGAAATCACATTGCAAAAACACATTTCTATTCTTGCTCTAAATACTCACTCCATTCAGTCACTATTTTGGGGATTTGCAAGTGCATGTCAGAGGGCTGACCTACAAAATCAAATTAGACTACAAACCACAAGACTGACACTTATATTGTATATTTTGCGTCAATAACCACAGTGACATAAGTGTCAGACACGAATCAGCTCAAACTTCCTCACAGGAGCTTTAAAGTTCGAAGTTAAAGTATATATGACAGGATAGAAAGGGTTAATATCCATCAGATGGGCCTTGTTGGGGTAACAACTGAACAATTTAGGGAGTTTTTCTTAAATATGATTTGGAAAAAACTCTAGATAAATAGAAGATATTGTGCTTTACATATTTTTCTACTCTGAAATCAGCACTGTTACCAATCTTAAAAAACTCATAAGCTTGTTTTCAACTTGGTGATAATCAAAACTCATCTAAGCCCTCATACCTGCGAGTAAAGTGCTTTTCTACAAGACACAAACCTCCATCAACGGTGTGGCTGTGGCTGGCACACATGAGTCACTCAGAGGCTGACTCAAGTGTGCCGAAGTCTGAGACAAAATTTCTGTTTCTCAAGTAAAATGTAAGGCAGATGACAAGAAGTAAATGTGCACAAATGTGCAGTTATCAAAGTAATTCTGTGTGGGGGAGGAGATGTGGTGAAATGACGCGTTTCAAAGGCTGAATTTCAGTTAAATGCAAATTAATCATTCTTTGCAGGAGCAGCTTGTCTCTGCATCCTGGCATAGTGAACAATCTTCTGGTGCACACATTTATCTAAAACTGCTCTGCGTGTGTTAAAAATGTTTATTTTTTCCTCTTTAGACAAACTTGAAATGGTCTGCGTACCTACTGGACAAGATGTGTTTGTGCCATGCCCGGAGCTAAAAGGAGAAATCTTCCAATTCAACCTCTTCAAGAACAACGAAGTGATTTACAACCACTCATGCCACCATGATAAAGGCGCACTGAACTGCACACCATCTTACAGCAGAATGGGAGTTGACCTGCACATAAAGAATAAATCTGTGAGTTTCAAGCTCACAGGAGTGAACGCCAGCAGCCACGGGGCCTACAGGTGTATGCGCACAATCACGTTCCCTCCACCTTATATTACACCTGTGCCAGGGGCTGCATTGGTAGTAGTGCTCTTAGAAGGTGAGTATTCCTCAGATCTACCACATCGGTCATTTTAGTTCGCATTTAGCTGAGTAAAATGAATATTTCGTGAATGTCATTTTCTAGGACACCACTGCAAGACCAACAAACCAATTGAAGATCCTAAGCCACCTGAGAGGCAAATCAGTGACTTTCTCTGGATTTGGATCCTGGGGCTTGTTTCTGTTATTATCTACAGCGTCATCATCACCACCTTGGCTTTATTCTTCTGGGTAAGAAAGATTGAATGTATCTGGAATAACAAGGGAGAGTAAAAGTTAAAGGTGTCACTCATCAAAAGAACAAAAGAACTGGGGTGGGTATGAATATCATCATCCTGACTGACTCGTGCACAAAATTCTGGATACTGTGATCCAGAACACACAAAAATAAGTGTCGTTGGAATTTTCAATGCTGAAAGATAACCAATGGACGGCAGAGTGGTGTAGACAGGCGGTACAGTGGTGTAGTGATTAGCACTGTCGCCTCACAACCAGAAGGTCCTGGGTTAGAATCCCGGTCAGGGCATTTCTTGTTGTGGGAACATTATGAACAGTGAACATACCAGTTTAAACACAAATAAAAGTTAATCAGTAGATGTTCCCCAGTGTCTCAGGTGGGTCTCGTTCAGATTGAAAACCAGTGCTTATTTTACACACAGGAAGACGAGAAGAGGCGCAAGTGTTAAATTTACCCAATTTGATGATTTGAGAGAACTTTTCTCAAACAAAAGTTTAGCAGAGACTCAAATGAAGAGCCATGTAGGTGACTTTGCTGATTTGGACTGATTTGCATAATCTTCAAAGGACTTCAGGTTGCGTTTGAAAAGCAGACAAAAACAGCCCTCAAAATCTGTTTAATTCCCCAAAGAGAAGTGCCTTAAACTAAAAGTTCTTTATGAATTTTGTACTTTATGAATTTTTAAAAATATATTCACTACCAAGATGTAAAGTTAGAGAAATGTTTGGTTTAAACAGGAGCAGGCTGAGCAAATCCTTAAAGATACCATGAAAACAGACACAAACACAAACAAAAAGTTTCTCACACAACCCCCACAGGTTCCTGGGGAAAATCTTTGTGGTGCAAATGTGGCTACAGTATAAATGTTACGGTGTGAACCTTTAAGGACAGGTGGTCCTGATTTCTAACCACTTGTTAATGTCTCACAGGTCAAACTGAGGAGGACAGATTCTCAAAACGACTACATGAACACCAAACCCAGAGCGCCCAGAGGGCACAAGAGGAATCGAGGGGTTCAAAACCCCGCACCACGATACTTTTGACAACCTGTGCATCAGCTGACTGTCTGTTAGTTTAGGCATTATTACTGTAGGTGAATCCTTTTCCTTCAAAACCTTTTCATGCGATGTTGTTAGCAGTAGATGTTTTGTTTTTAATCAGAAGAGCAGCAGCTCCCTTTACAGTTTTTCCTGTGTGAAAGAGAAAATAAAAAAACGTACACGGTTCGTCGTTTGCCAACTTCCTGTCTCTCTTTAACTCTTACTGGGTAGAAAACACAACCACAGATCTGCCTTTCAAAGCCCCTCCTTGTGGTTGAAACAGAAGGTGGTGTCTGAATGAGGGGATTTAACCGCAATCACAAAGTTTTACTCGGCTCAAGCATCTGGGTATTCAGAGGGAAACAGCTACGATAAAGTCTTTACAAACTACAGTGAAAAACAATGAGTGACCTATAACTGATCTACACCTCTCTGCGCGCGCTCTTGATTCTGAGAAATCGTCACCTTTTCTCAGACAGCTGAGGAGAAGCACACTTAACACAATAACAATCTGCACAATTTCCTGTCGTTTTCCCTCCCTCCTCGTGTTTTCTGCAATGTGGCTGCTAAAAAAAAAAAAAAAAAACCAACCTGCTCACGTTGCACTTTCTGTGCAGTTATTGCAAGCACACACACTGGTTTTATTGGTTTTATTCAGCAGAACGGTGTTACTCATCAACTTACGCAACCATCAGCAAGATTTGCATATCGTTTCTGTTAGGACTTTAAGATATTCGGGGACTTTGAAAGATGATAAAAAGCAAATGTTTCACTTCAAAGAGGATTTTTTTTCCATGTCTGCAGAGTTGCACGTTTAAGAGAGGATGCTGCACATGCGAAAAACAAAAGTCTAAAGGTGTTTTTTAAAGAGGGTTAAAGTTCTTCTTTGTCAGTTTTTGACGCATCTTTGATTCTTTACAATCGATCCTTCAATGGCGCAGTTTTTACCCTTAAACTAACGCCTATCTGTACTTACCTGTTTGCCTAAAGGATCACCGTAACCATTAAAAAATCCACAATTTCTGAGCTATGTAATTTTTAATCATTTGTAGAATTTCTTTATTCACTCTTATTTCTTACAAGGTTTGAGAAGCAATACACAGTCTGTGCTCTTTGTTAAGCTTGACACTGAAATTAGACCTCACGATTCCAGTTTCTCTGTTTCAGAGCGTGTTTCTGATTGGTGTTCGTCTGGAAAAATCTGTTCCCTCAAAAACTCTGTCCTCTGTTCCTGAGGCATGCGACGCAGCATGGGCTCAATCACCTGGAGAAGAGGATGAAAACATATATCAATATCGAGGATCCTTATTGATGACAATCTAAAGAAACTAGCAATTAAATGCCAGCAAGTTTAAATTTCCATCTTTGTCAAGTATTAGGATGCTTGATAAAATGTTAACAAAAACAATTTAATCGTCTCAAACGTCATGAAGGCAATATTTACTTCAAAATAAGACAACAAAATATCAAATTTGAGGTCAAATATATGAAAACTAAACACCCATTTTAAATGTGATGCTCATTTGAAAATCTTCCAAATTTCTTTTATGAATGAATAGATACTAGAGTTGAATTGTTCAACACCTTAAGTGCATTAACAAAGATTTAAATATGAAACATATACTAGATTCTCAGAAGATGACAAGTCTCACCAAAACAGGGTCATATCCCAGAATCCTCAGATGGCGGATCTTGGTAGCCAGGAGACCACGTGGATGAGAGGTACCGAAGCAGAAACTAGAGGATGTTGCGCCAAATACTGCAACTCTAGAGATAAAGAGGAGAGTTTCTCTGCTTTAGAAAGGCGAACATTTGAATTTAGATCTAGGTCTGATGATATGAAAGTGAGGGTTTGGTTAAAATGTCAGAGATAAAACAATGTGAAACCTGACTTTGTCTCTTTGCAGATCCTGAGCTTGAGATTTTAACACTGTTTATGAAGTTAGTTTTTTCTTATCAGTTCATGCAACGCCTGTTCTTCTTTCTCATGCGTAATGATACGACTGGTTAGATTAGCTTGGAAAGATGCATCAGATGACGCAGTAGAAAAATTGCTGCATATCAAATCTGGTATTTTCTTATTTCGTTGATGACAAAGTGAGTTTTGAATCATCGCGAAGACTGAAAATAAGCAAATATGCAAAACATAAAAGGTTCATAAATGTTACAAAAAGGAGAACGTTTTTGTTTTTGAGTTTAAGTTGATCCTCCATGAAATCACAACCTGCAAACATCCTCTCCACCTGCTTTTACATACGTCAACATTGCATGAGCACATATGATTGAAAACAAAACATGACAGCGACATAACACCTCGCATTTGAGCAAGACAGCTGTGGTGATGATATCTGCTGCATGCTGATACTGAAACTTTACCTCCGACTGCTCTCTGCTGGAGAACCTTCCTCTCCTGCAGGACTGGCGGCCTCGGCTGCAGGCGGCCTCACTTTGGTTATCACACCATCTGAGAGGCAGCACGCACAAACACAGACAGTTATTACCACAGCGTGGAAACGAGCCTGAATTTGATTTCAAACCATTTCTCAGAACTGAAAAACAAATTGCAGGGATGAGAGTTGACACTAATCAGGAATGTATAAAAAATCTGTAATTTTTTGGACATCTCAATTCAGAGAGTTCTGACTATGGGATCTTTTTTAAACACACTTTGGGGCAGATACACTACAGGCCAAAAGTTTGGAAGCAAGATCAGATTTGTACAAAAAAAGATCATAGTTTCATATATATAAACTTTCGGCCTGTAATTGCCTTGCTTCCAAACTTTTGGCCTGTAGTGTATATGTAAAGAAGATTTACTTCAGCCTCTAACTTGAATTCTCTAACTCTAAGTATCTGTCTTACCGATCACATAGAAGTTCTCCTCCACCACAGCTTGCTGTAGCAGCCTGTCCTCCTGATCCCCAAACATTTCCTGCAGCAATTGTGAGAGCACTGGGTTTTCAGATGAACTAATGACGGAGGAGTCCTCCTGGTCAGATGAGGGCACAGTCAGAGGCTGAGGGAGCGGAGGGCGGTCAAGACGGAGGCACATGTCCACTAACCGAAGCTTCATGTCCTGGTGCCTGAGCGATTTTGGCGCTGAGAGGAAAAAAAGAAGCAGTTAGAAGCAGCAGATAAAAAAGGTACAAAAGAGGATTAGGGTCACAAGGGAGAAACATTTCGAGATTAAATTCGAAATTTTAAAGTCTTAAGTCATGTGGCTCTAATTCTCTTTCGTAAAAAAAAAAAAAAAGAGATGAATGACGTGATGAAAAATGAGATAGTCTTACTTGTGGTCTTCAACTGCTCCAGTGTGCTCTCCTGCAGGAGCAGCTCCAGCGGTGCGGGGGGAAAGTGGTTCAGTTGACACAAAGAATAAACACACTTCAACAGCTCAGGTTTGGACATGTTGGGGAGATACGACTCAAGGACGCGAGTGACGCTGTCCAGAAACCTGCAACATGAAGCCAAGATTAGCCGGCTATTTGAAGATGATCAGAAAATTACGATTTAACGAAGAACTGATGTTTCTCCTGCACCAATTCTGTTGAGTCTTTGATGATATTTTTCTGTAAACAAACTTTCCACAGCTCTTCAAAAAGCTTATCCAGAACAGCTTTTGCTTTTTTAAGCCGTGACACATCTACTGACCTAAATTTAGGGTATATTTGTAAATTTATTAAAGTTTGCTTCTCCAAAGTAAGGTGTGAATAAAGATCATACATTTATCTGTTCAAAGACTCGAGTCTCTTCACGAGTAAAATCATAATAGACATAGGCGTGACCTACTGCTGTCTCCGATGCTGCAGATCATAATTCAGAGACGAGTACACCTTGAGGACACAGACGAGGTGCCTCAGTGTCAGAGAATCTGGATCCGCGATCACTTTCTCCGCGAAAGCCTCCATTAACGCATCAGGACTGAAGTTGAACTTCTCAAATACTGACAGAAAAAGGACCACCTGAATGGAGCAACAGAAAAGACATCAGAAAAATGTGGACAAACACTTTTTTTTTTTTAAAGCACTTAATGTTGAAACTGTTGCAGCACCTGTTTGTTTGTAAAGATGTCAATCACAGATGCCAGGTGGTCTGAAATGTCAGTGAACAGACCAAAGTCTCTGTATGAGAGATCCTTGTAGGCCATAAGAACCGCCACAAGTCTGTTGAATGGGATGCCATGAAGGTTTTCTACAAAAGAGGGACGAAATAACATGAAAGCAGATCGATTCAAGATTTAAAAAAAAAAACTTTTAAGGGTGGATTATTAAGTGTCTGTCTCCTGCTCTGTGCGCACAAATCTTTCAACTGTCTTCAAAAGGACTTCGAGGTCTTACCTCGGACCTTCTTGGAACAGATCTCCAGCAGAGGTCTGGAGTGGAGCTCCATTGTGGCCATATTGCAGATCATGTGTTGACAGTTGATGGGGTTGAACTGGTCTATCATCGAAAGAGCCTTAACCTGGAGGAGGGATTGGAATATAACAGGTTAGAGATACAGCAAAGTCTGAACCACGAGTTCAAGAAACTTCGAGTTACAAAGAGATAAAGCACAAAGTAGACCAGTGCCAGGAGCTCATCCTGATGTCTGGACTCAGATCCACCTTCAATCTAGGGCTGGGCGATATGGGAAAAAGTATAAGTCGACATCGATATATATCACGATATAAAAAACGGAGATTTAACAGTGCTTTTTGTTTCTATTATTATTATTATGATTGGTTCAGCACAGTGCTACCTGGAACAACTCCCTTTTTCACTGGCTATCCGTATAGTCTACCAAAATATGGCAGAATGCAGACTATCGAAAAGTATATTGACCATGTTTTATATTGATATTGAGGGAAATTAATTTTTGATACATATCGTTTTATCGCCCAGCCCTACTTCAATCCACTGGCTAATGTCATTTGTATATACAGGTACATAAGTATTCTATATTTAGATGGTTTGTTTTTCTGTCTTTTGAGATAAATGTTGAACATAATTCGGTCACCAACCTCTAGTTTACGTCTGAAGGCCGGAGGGGCGTCCTTCCCCAGAACACGCATCATGGTTTGGAAAGCAAACACATCCTTAATCTCAGGGAGTCTGATTTCGAATACCAACCTTAAAAAGACCCCAAACTTTAGATTGACAATCTGAAAAAACTGCAGCGAAATCTACAAAGTAATGCAAAGTATTTCTGAAGCTTAAAGGTTTGATTTTTCTGAACCAGTGTCCCCAAATCCTGACCTCACGCCGTCCCTCAGCGAAGAAACATTCGGGCTATCCTTCAGATGTTCCAAACAGGTGGCCAAGACGGACAGCGCCCTCTCATCAAAGTCATTCAGCGTCTCCTGTTAGGGAACAATAAAGCACATGAAAACAAACAAGAGAACAAAAATCCAGGTTTGCTCACTGGAGAAAAAAAAAAACGTTTCCACTGACCTGGCAGCATCGAAGGAGGGTCTGGATAACTCGGCTTTGCTGGGGGACTCCCAATTTGAGCATACTTAAAAGACTAAGACCCAAATCCCGACTGCGCATATATCCTGCGCTCCTCATGACCTTTTGCAGCAGCGGCTCAAACCCTGGATGCTCAAACGCCAGCTGCAGCTCGTAGTTCCGCTGCTCCTCTGTCATCTTCTTAGTGCTGGACCACATGCAGACAAGACAGCTACTGACGTGTCGGAATGTGACTGCGTGCTGAATGCTGAAGTCTAACACATCTACCGGGGAGGTGCATTGGTGCAGGGACTCCAGGAAATACTTTGTCTGAAGGCTCCTTGAAGTTTGATCATCACCTGCTTGTACCTCAGCAGGAGGCAAAGAGGAGGGATGCTCTTCACTGTCAGTCCTTTCCTGGGAGTAAAACCTCACTGAGCTGACAGCACTCCCCTTCAAACTAAGATTGTGTGCCAGCTTTTTAACAGGGAAAACTCTGTCCTTCAGGGGTGCTTTCATGAGAATGCTGCACGGTTGGCACAGAGACCTGGGACTGGAGAAACGGATCCCCAGCCTCACGAGTTCTGCTGTCCTCCACATTATAGAACTTAAATAACACAATCTAAGGTCCTTAATTTGACAACTTCATGATTACACAGGGAAGTTATAACTGTTGGAAAACACTGTAACACTTGTATTTACTTCCTGTTAGCATACAGTGCGTTATCAACACATATCACAGGTAATACTCCTTCATTGGCAGCAAGGTCAACAGCCTCATGAGTGAACGCCAGCTAACACACACAAGCTTAAGGCCGGTCTCTTCCTTTACGACTTTACCTTAAAAAACATCCAAATGAGTCTCTCGAGGTAATACCGAGCACTTCCTCAACTATTCCGCAAGACAAAAAGTAATATCCACAGAGTCACATTACACACAAAAACATGTAAAGTACAGTCTGTATCGGCTAACGTGACTAGCACACGTTCCTTCCAGTGCTGTCCACCCTCATATTTGCTTCCCCTGTCAACCCGGTAGGAGAACCTCGCGACGCCAAAGAATGACAATTATTACATCCCAGTTACATAAAAAAACCACAAAAGTAAATAAATTTTAATAGAAACAACAAGTGACTGTTTGAAATGACTGTCCCCCTGTTTGTGTCAAAAGTCCTAGAATTTTTCGTTGACGTTATTCCCTAACACGGACTCATTTGAGTGCAACACTCCGTGTTACCTAGCAACAAACGCCAGGCAAAGAATGGCCAAGTTTGTGATTGCCGGTCAGTTTCTCTTTCCTTTTTTTTTACTGAATGCAAATTAAAATTGATTAAAATTCAGTTTAACGTGAAACATTACTTTAATTTTAGGTAAATCTGACTGTCCACATTATGCTAAAGCGGAGTTATTGGCGGACCAGCTGCAGCAATGTCTGCCAAACTTCACTGTACATAAGATAACTGTCCTCCCGGATCAATGGAAGGTGGTGTTTTTGATTTTAAAGTAGTATAGATACTTTAATTTGACATATTATTGTTTTTAAAAAATTTGTGTGACTTATATGTTGTAGGAATGGCTGGAGGACACCTGCAAAAGAAACTGCTGGAAGCATGACGAGTCCCCTTTGGTTTGGAGGGAGCTGGTCTACCAAGGGGGGAAAGGGATGCTTTTAGGGGGCCTCTCTGACTTCCTGGAGCACTGTCAGGTAATATCTTGTCTTTGTAGTGTATTCAATTGAGTGTAGGATTTGCAAATCATTGTATTCTGTTTTTATTTACGTTTATCACAATTTCCCAACTTCAATGGAATTGGGTTTTGTAGAAGTCAACACATTTTCAACATAAATACCTCTAAATATCCAAACCTGATGCATTCTTTACTCAATGCATGTGCAGGACTACTACAAGGTCACATCAGACATGCTTACAGATATGATGTTAAGTGTTGCTGCAGAGAATCATGAAACCAAGATGAGCCTTATTGCGGAGGAGCAGCATCGTGTCAGTCTCATCAAACCTCTTCACATATGGATCAGCAGGTGGGTTAGCACAAAAAAAGCCAAAGAGACAATAATTATTATAAAGTAAAACTTCCATATATTCCAGATTCTTCTCATACAAAGGAAATGCTGCAAATATTGTCAACTTTATTAGCTGCATCTTTAATAGTGTAAATATTTAAAGTATTATCTGTTTTTCATGCTTCCCCAGCGCCCTCAGCCAGACCTGCCACCTCCTGATTCCCAATCTGCTCTCTGCTGAGATGTTCCCACATGTTTCTGCAGTCTGCCTCCACCTGCTGGACCTGGAGGGGGATAGAGAGGAGCTTCAAGAGCTAAAAATGCAAACAGAAGACCTGGCGCTCCCTCTGCTTCATCAAGTAAAGTCTTACTTCAAGTGCTTTTAACCATATCAGATTCAAAATAAAGATTTATATTTGTATTTTTACAGGTGAAAATTCACACAGATCTAGAAGAGGCGTTTAAAGGCGCGGAAATCATCCTACTCCTGGGTGAATCTGATGTCGATGATGCAGAAAGTGAGAAGTTCAAAGAGATGTCAGACAGGTACAGGGAGTATGGGCAGCTCATAGAAACGTGGGCTAACAAGGAGGTGAAGGTGATTGTGTCGGGTGACTCGTTCGTCAACTTGAGATGCTCGCTCCTTTTGGAGAAGGCATGCTCCATCGACAGCAGCCAGTTTGTCGCCGTAGCAACTCAGCTGGAGAATAAAGCCAGGTCGGTCATTGCGGAGAAGCTGAAAGTAAAGTCAAAAGGTAGGAGACTTAATCGTCCTGTTTGTATTTCAGCACGGTCACTTTTTAGTTATGATTTATAGGCTCTTCTTGTCCCTTTGTTGCAGATGTAACTGATGTCCTCGTGTGGGGGAACATCAGTGGTAGTTTCTACATTGATCTGCAGAGGGCAAAAGTTTTCAATCACGCTGGGGCGATCAGAGGACCAGCTTTCTTCTCACAACCAGTGCTGAAGATACTCCAGGAAAGGTTTGATGGAATAAAAAACATACACAATTTAAATATCCAAGAAGACTTATATCTATATGTATGATTCATGGCATCTTATTGGAGCTGTTTTTATTGAATACAGTGTGCTTTTAGTGAGATACTTAAATGTCAAGGCGGTGGACAAAGTAAATTTCCTTAAATCTCCTTAAATAAAGATTAAGTCGAGATACTCCTGCTCAAATATTGCTTGGCACTGTATATCGTCCACAGCTTACTAGTTCTGTAAATATCAACACCTGTACTGGTGATAGAAGACCCTTACTGGTAGATCTCTACTTAGATAACCACGTATTCTAGATTTTAAAGTGCCTAGAAGGGCATATGTAAATGTCTCTAAATGCTGCCGGTCTCTGGCAGCTACCAAACAGAATTTCCTTTCTTTCAAACTTTATTTCATTCAGTTAATATTTAAAACATTCAACACAAACAAGAAACATGTGAATGAAAAGGAGCAGAAAGAAGAAAAATCAGTACACTTATTACCAGGTAATTAACAGGTAATTACCTAGTAACAACATGAAATTATCTGGTAGTTACATGATAACTACTAAGTCAATACTGTCTAGCTACCAGGTAGGTAACCTTCCAGTAGTTATTATGTAATTACCAGATAATTTCATGTAATTACCAGCTAATCTCCTGTTGTTACTAGGTAATTACCTGTTAATTACCTGGTAATAAGTGTACTATAAAAGAAAGGGTTACTGAAAATCTCAGTCTGCTCCTCTTTCATAAGATATTAATCAACTAAACACATAATAAAAAATAAACAAATCGGCTCTGGATGTTGACTGGTAAAATTTTCTTATGAGCTTCATAAATAATCTGCAACATACTGAGATCTACTAACTCACTAAATCTCAACAAATAATTTTGTTGTTTGACTTCAAGTCTCACATCAAGCCCCTTTAAATATACAACTTTTTTAATCCCAGTATTTTTATTTTATATTTTCTTTGTCCAGATAGCAAAAGCCCCTTGTGTAATATTCTACAAATTCAATAGTATTCAAAGCTCTGCATGTCTTCTACTCAGTGTTTGACACGTGTTTGAATAACCTGCTGCTGTGGTTAAAGAGTCCTGGTTCAGGAGTAAAGTCCTTCTGCTCCATCTGTTTCAAAAACCAGATAAGCAGCTCTAGCAGTCTGATTTTGTTCCTGACATTATCCCATCACACAATATGATAAAGTTTGACACTCACGTCGTCTGCTTAACCCTGCCCTGCTCTGACTTTAGTGTTGATTGCACAATAAGCTGACCCAGCAGCGTCGACCTCTCTGATCAAAAATATCCCTTCCTGGAATATGCCAGAAAAAGAGAATAATCTCCTTATTTCTTCCAGGAAATGGGTGGAAACAGACTTGCAGGACTTGGTGCGCCGTCATCGAACAGCTGTGGCTTCAAAAACTTGCCGGGCAGCAGCCATGGGGGACGCCAACGGGATCCTCTCTATCCTCAAGGCCCTGAACGGGAACTGTAGAGCAGATGAGGTCTTCTCTTTGGGAGTGCTCTGTCCGGGTAAAAACACAGCTGAGCTTTAACAGGCACTTTCACACCAGGGGGGCTGGCTAAGGAGAAACTGACCCACAAAAAGCAAACCAGACCATCACTGAAAAGAGTGTTTTTATGAACGTATTATCGAGGTCTGGAACTGCTGCCACAGGGTCAGCACTATGTCGTCGTCGTTTTCTTCTGCTTCATCCGGGTCTGGGTCACGGGGGCAGCAGCTTCAGGAGGGAAGCTCAGACGGCCCTCACCCCAGCCACTTCCACCAGCTCCTCTGGGGGGATTCCCAGGCGCTCCCAGGCCAGGCGAGAGATATAATCCCTCCACCTGGTCTTGGGTCGGCCACGAGGTCTCCTCCAGGTAGGACATGTCTGGAACACCTTTAACCGGAGGTGTCCAGAAGGCATCCTAACCAGATGCCAAGCCACCTCAGCTGACTCCTCTCAACGTGGAGGAGCAGCGGTTCTACTCTGAGCTTCTTACCCTATCTCTAAGGCTGAGTCTGGCCACCCTGCGAAGGAAACCCATTTCGGACGCTTGTATCCTCAATCTTGTTCTTTCGGTCATTACCCAAAGTTCATAGCCATAGGTGAGGATCGGCACGTAGATCGACCGGTAAATCAAGAGTTTCGCCCTATGGCTCAGCTCTTTCTTCACCACGACTGATCGGTTAAGCGTCCGCATCACTGCTGACGCCGCTCCGATCCGCCTGCCAATCTCCCGCTCCGTCCTACCCCCACTCGTGAACAAGATCCCGAGATACTTGAACTCCTCCACTTGAGGCAGGACCGCCCCTCCGACCTGGAGAAGGCAATCTACCTTTTTCCAACTGAGGACCATGGCCTCGGACTTGGAGGTGCTGAATCGCATCCCAGCCGCTTCACATTTGGCCGCGAACCGCCCCAGCAAGAGCTTAAGGTCACTGCTCAACGAAGCTAGAAGCACCACATCATCCCATTAAATTTTGGTGGTGATCCAGACAAAATTCTGGATACTGTGATCCAGAACACACAAAAATAAGGGTGTCGTTGGAATTTGCAATGCTGAAAGATAACCAATGGGTGGCACAGTGGTGTAGTGGTTAGCACTGTCGCCTCACAACCAGAAGGTCCTGGGTTTGAATCCTGGTCAGGGCATTTCTCGTTTAAGGGGGACATGAGCTGCTTGGCGGAGGTCTGCGCTCTCTGAGTGCTTTTGTAGCTATTTATAAAACCTTTATTAACATTGCTCTAATAAATTTAAGACTATTTTTCTGGTGAATTTAATTTTTATTTTTGCACATTCAAGACCTTAAGATAGCAAAAATTAAGATTGTACATTTTTTTGTGCCATCACTTTCAAAAACCTTTAATCTTATATAGAAGTAAGTTTTAAAAATGTGCATCATGTGGAAAAACAGGTTTACTTTACTTAATTTTATTCACCTGACTTGTGTTGATATTTGATTTTCTTTGCTTTCCTTCAGGCTTCTATGGTCTCCCTGAAGGCATCGTCCTCTCAGTTCCAGTCACATTCAGAGACGGTAAATGGTCCATGTTGTTCGACGTCACTGTCGGAGACGAGTTAAAGAAGAAACTTCAGATTTTTGCGAGTGAACTCACGCAGGTATGTCAAGTGTCTGATGTTTTTTGCTTCTTTGCTGTTTGACACCGTCAGGTACTTACCGAGTTGTTTTTGTCTCTTAGGAAAAAGATCTGGGAGCGGAAAAGAAAGACAACTAAAAGGAAGAAAGTGCAAAAGATCATTTCATATCAACAAAACAGACTCAAATAAATTAAGTTAAATCTGGTTGAAAAGAAAATGCAGATAAATGTGGAGTTTGTTTCAGTTTGTTCTTTTATTCTCTTACTTTCACAAGTGGAGTTGCAGTTTTATTTACCAGTTTAATGACATTGAATCGTTTTCCTGCTTTGAGAACTCATCCAAACTTTGTAATAGTTCTGTAGATGTAAAAGATCAAACTGAGTACTTTATGGAAAAAGGAGAAATTAGAAAATATATTCCTTTTTTAAAATTGTACAGTTCGGTAAGTGCCTTTTTTTTATATAGTTCAAGAAGCAATATTTGTAAGCGTATATCACACAACTACCAGACACAGACTAGTTTGTTAATATCCTTCAGATGTCATCATCACCTGTCAGCTGTTTCTTTGACAGTCTTTTCAAACAGAGGACACTTCAGAGAACGAGTCCTCTCCTGCTCGGTTCTGGAATATTACACAAACTGAATGTCATGGGCTTTTGAAACCGGAAACATTCAAACAGATTTTCTCACAAATTGTGCAGAGCTTTGTCAGTCGACAAGGAGAGCTTGAACAGAGTGCCGTTTTTTACATGCAGAATATACATGTTTCTCTTTTTTTTGCATTTCTACACTATACACAAGGAGGAACTGACTGAAAAATAAAGGAAAGGTTAGTACAAATACAAAGCACTACGACAAGTCGGGGGGAAACAGATTCTGCAATGCTATGTTCAAATTTGTACAACCCACCCCTGAGATCTGGATGCTGAGTGGTTTGAAAAGAAGCAAAAAATGGCCGCGTTACAGTCGAGTACAGTTTTCATTTAGTCATGACAGAAGTTTGAGACTAATCACCTGCAGGAAACCACCCGAAAAGAGAAGAAAAATCTGCTCCAGTTAAAGTAACTCTCTTGAAAACTGACCTCAAATATTGATCATGGCAGATACATGCGTGATGCGTAACATGCGTGGACTTGTCGTGGCACAAATGAGGTTACTCTGTAAATTTACACGTCCCGGTGGTGACTGTACATTTACAAATGGATGGTAATGTCTCACAACAAGCCTGTTTTCCAACAAATCTGCTGCCTAATAATCCATTTAATTTGGTATGAGTGTACAACCCTGATACCTAAAGAGTCAGGACGCAGTATACAATGTTTATAAGGGCAGATTTGATGGTTTGAAAATCTGTCAAACTCTATTTTAATTAAAAAATCGTGCAAAGACAAAGTAAAAAAATGTTGAATGCTTTATAAAAAATGTAAACGCTCGTCAGATTTTGGACAGGGGCAAAAAAACTGCAAAAAACGAGTGTAATTTTTCATATCGAACATATGCGTGAACTTACACTGCAGAGTCATGTCTGTTTTTAACTCGGTGATGCAAAAGATGTTTTTTTTTTTTTTTTAGCAAATTAACCAAATGCGTTGGAAGATGTTTTTGCTGTAACTTTTTTTGAGCATTAAACAACTTTTTCAGTGTTTTCTCATTCTCATTTCTAAAGCATCAAATTTGATACATTGTCTTTGCACCGTTTTCAACTAAATATGGGGTTTAAATGAATTATAATCTGTTTACGAACATTTTACACAACATCTGAACTCTTTTGGAGTTAAGGTTGAATGAAAGGAAATTCTATCCACAAATCAGAAAAAAAAAAACAAAGCATCAAAGGGAGGAACTTTCTATCCTGCCGCATCAAAGTCGCCTCTGAAATTGTTTTCCGGGTAAAGATCTACGACTTGTCGACATCCAACAATGTCAAGTTTCCGTTTTCAGGCAACAAGTGAAAGACCACCAACGCTTCTGTCCTGAACTGTGACTCTAGACTTTGGATACCATGGAGGATACTTCTACTGTCAAACCTGCACATCCATAATTAAAACAATTAGCATACAGTCATAATGGGAAACTAAATGGATTAATTTTGCTTTTTAACTCCCCTCAGCTCAAATATAGTTTCACTGACTGAACTTTAAATTAAATAACTTATAACATATATTACTAGTTATATAATCCCAACAGTTTAACTCTTCATAACAACATCTATATAAACTTCTGCTTCGGAACAAAAACAGGGTGGATTGACCCCAGAGGATTTTGAGTATTTTAAAGCCAGGGCTCTACTTTTTGCAGGTTTTGGTGCGTATGTCAGCTACATCAAAGAAAATCTATTGAAAAGAGTTGCATGGGAGTTGCAAACAGTGTCTACCTTGAAAAACACAAACATGATCCCCATATTCATCGAGGAATAATGACTGCTTTTGTAGTTGTAGCTGTTTCAGGGCAAAAATAAAGGATTTTAATTAAAGGAAAAAAGTATCTTAGCAGTCGCCATCGTCACATATTAGGACTGTTTGTGATATCATGTTTCACAACCTCACAAATTCCATTACCGAATAGTAAATCCGCTTATAATTTAGATCTCAAACTTTGTAAAAATCAAGCCCAGGTGAAAAATACCAAAATCCCCTCGAACTCTCTTCGCCAACGTAGAAAATAAAAGGCATCATTATTGTGACGTGAGAAGAACACTCATGAGAAATGTATCCAGAGCATCTCAATGCAGGATGATCAAGAAGAACCTGTTATTAAACGCTTTGCCACACATGACAATAATGACGTCTCGAGAAGTGTGAATGAACTTGAACTTCAACCTGCTCTCACTAAACGTGATACTTTGAGAGACGAGGCGGGATAACGCCACGGTAACCGCTCCTGTTACTGCATTATTATGGGGGATTCCTGTTAACCAAAGCTGTGTCCTGCTGATGATCCTGGACGAGAAACAGCAAACAGAACTTAGTCACATGTCAAAGCAGAGAACCATCTTGACCAACAAACAGTGTTAAACTCCAAACTCTTTGATAAATGTTTGTATATAGTATTTATGAATATAATGTAACTCTAACATACAAATGACAACGAAAACAAGAGGAGGTGGGGGCAGAAAGGAGGAGGAGGAGGAGGAGGAGACGGGAAGCTATGACTGTGGTTGATGCTGAGAGGATGGAGGTGTCTCTGAAGCTCCTCCCACCACATGTCTGTCAGAGCCGAGGTCCAGCCCCTCATCCAAATGCTCCAGTTCACTTTGGTCCAGAAGCTCAAAGTCCTCGTCCTCAGTGGGAACCAGTGTGTCGTCGGGGATCTCCTCGCCTCCCGTCGCCTCATCCGGGTTCTCTTCAGCCTCCAGCGGCCCTAATGTAGTAACTGTAGTGTGAGCGGGGGTATCGGCGGGCGGGGTGGAGGTCTCCAAAGCGCTGGGTGGTGTTTCAGTAGGGAGGAACTCAGCGATGGACGGCTCCTCGCTGGCCTCTGAAGAGCGCAGCAGGGCCGACAGAGTGTTCTGCACCACGGTGGAGATGGCCGTGCTCACTATCTCCTCGCTCAAAGCCTCCAAAGACAGCTGTGCATCCTGGGTAACTGCTGCCTCCTTCTCCGCCCCGCCCTGGCTCACAGCTTCAGTCCCCGCCGCGCCCGCCACAGGCGACACGCCCTCCTCGCCCCCCGGTGGTCGCCCGTGTCCGTTGAAGTGTGTGTTCACAAAATGTAGAGGAGACGCGAGGTGCTGGATGAGGAGGCTGGCGGGGCTCAAGGGTTCCCCCTCTGGTGGAGCTCCGGCATGGGCTCCGTCAGCCTGACCGGGGCCGCGCAGAGGAAAGTGCAGCAGGTTGTGCTCCATGGACGGGAACTCCTCGACTGAGGGGAACTCGGGGAGATCCCGCAGGTAGGACTCCTCAGGGTCGCTGTGTAGACTCTGCTGATCCAGATCTAACTCAAAGAAAAGACAGAAATCAAAGAAGAGAAATAGATCCCTCAGTTTCAACCTTTAAAGAGGACATGAAACACACCACAGTGGCATCGTCACGTGGTAAAAAAAATCAATTAGGAGAGAGTCTGAAATATTTTTTGTGTAAACAGGATGTAAACAGGACTAAAATCGTTTTTTAGTTTCATCAGCAATCTGGTCTCCTCACTCCCAAAATGTTCAAGTGTTGTGCAATTGATACTTTAAGCATTAAGAAACTTATATGTAATCCTGAACTGAGAGATTTACCTTCAGAGACGTCGGTGAGTTGAGGAGTGGTCGCTCTTGACACCGAGAACCCTCCGCTCTCCAAGATCGACGCCTCTTCATCGGACAGCTCTGAGTCTGTGATCGCCATGGCCAGAGCTGTGGTCTTCACATCCACCTGAACGATAAAACCACAAAGTTAAACTCCAGCAGGACTTTTTTTTTTTAGGCAGAGTTGGTCCTTCAAATCACAGCGTGGACATTTTCAACCCACTAAAAGAAGAGCTAACTTTAAATCATTGTTGTCAGGTTGTGTTTTTTGTCCTACAGTAACTTGTGAGGAATGCGGTCGTTCTTGACGTATTTTTCTAAAGGCCTTTACCTCACTACCCTGCAGAGACTTGAACCCTTTTCAGTCACAAAATAATAAGCTAGTACACTGGTTCTCAAGTCCACTGTCCTGCATGTTTTGGATGTTTCCCTGCTCCAACACACCAGATTCAAATGATTAGCTCGTTAGTAAGCCATTCCAGAGCTTGATAACGAGCTGATCATTTGAATCAGGTGTCAGAACCACTGAGCTAGTTCATCCTCACATTTACAGACCTGAGGCTGAGTTACGCTCTACACAAATCCTGCTCCACATGGAAGTTTTCACGCTATGATTATTCACAGCTGGAAAATTATGTACATTAGCTTTTCTAGGAAATTGAATTCACTTTATCGTCTTTAACGTCAGAGAGATAAAAAATGTGCTGCTCGAAGCAAAGACATGAATCTTTCCTTTCTATTCCTTGTTGAGCTTTAAGTTGTGTGACACCATGTGCTCCACTGTGTGATAAATTGAAACAGATGGTCCTCTATAGACACTTTACCCTCATGGTATATCTAATATACACGACAAAACTCAGAAACAGATGGACCAGGTCGACCATAGATGGAAACGAACACTGAAACAGCAACACTGAAAAAAACCAACATCCTTAATAAGGCTTTACTGTAGCCAATGACATACGCATGATAACAATTAACTATTTATGAAATGCAAACGCAAACGAGAGCTTCAGGAACAGGACTGCGGATTGCTATGTCATGATCTGAGTGCCTGAGATCAGTATAAGAGATGAATCTTTATTTTTATGGTTCCCGTGTTAAATATTCACAATAAATTTATATATTTGACTGACAAAAGTCAGACAGATCAGATGTTTTTGTCAGAGGATACATCTTGGAATTGGAGGGGACAAGATAAGCAAAGACTACAGCTTGAAAGTTCCTCATACAAGCTTTAAAGAATGAAAGTTACCTCCCTGATTTTTGTTTACATTTTGCCCTTGTGTATGTATTTTACTCTTATGGTTTTATGATTGCTCTTGTATTGCATTGTATTGTCTTGTCTTGTCTTGTATTGTCTTGTCTTGTACTGTATTGTATTTTGGGCTTGAAAATGGACCTAGGTTCTGATTTCGTACCTCAGACTGCAAAAGGTGTGGGGTATGATGATAAGGTTGAATCATTGATTTTTCGACCCAAACTGAAAATGTAGTTTTACAAACATAGAGCTGTTGTGTTAGATTGTAAAGGTGGTCATAATGTTATGTCTGACTCTTGTGGATCAAGCGGCCTGGTGGATTAACTGCTGTCTGCAGGAACGATGAAGAAAAAAGCTCTGAATTTAAGGTAGCTGTTGTGACGGATCAAAATTTCGAATCCAGGCAAAAGCAGCAGATTGGACTAAAACAGGCTCATGTCCCTCTGTACGCCGCATGGCAAACTTCCTCAAATTGAGCTTCAAAGTCAGTTTTCCAGCTCAATAATCAGAGCAGAATCAGCCTCACTTCACACAGACTAAAGCGTCTTTGTTTTAGGGTTAAATATTTGGGTTCGTGTCCGTACCGTCGGGGCGAAACAGGACAGCTCCTCCTCGCTCTCGCTCTCCGTTTCAGCTCTGGGCTCGTCCCCCTCCTCCAGCTCCTTCTTCACCTCTGTTCGATCAATCACACAAAAACACACTTGAAAAAAACAGACACCTCGGAGCAGAACATGCGTGTGAAGGATTAATCAAAGTCGCAACGGTAAAAAATGCCCCGGAGAGCTAACTGACAGAGAGAACACTTCACTTTTTATGCCAAAGCTTTACATTATGCAACAGTATGAGGATCAGTGCTAGGTTCATAAACTTCGAAGGTGAGGTGGGTGTCAAATAATGAGAATAAAAGGACGATCTTTCTCTTTTTTAACTAAACAACAGACTGAAAGGTAAAACTCGATGCTTGTGCGCTTGTTACGCCACAATCCTTAGTCTTAAATCCGTCACAGGAGCACTCACTCCTCTTATCGTGCTTGCGGTGTTCAGTATCTCCTTTCATGCTGTAGTCCAGTTTCATCAGGATCGGCTCCAGACCCGTGTACATCCGCTGGATCAGTTCATGATACACCACAAGAGGCCACAGCAGGACACTCAGCGCTAAACAGACACAAAGAAGAATCAATAATCGTATATAAAACTCAAAGAGGAAACGCTCTAAATGTAATGAAATGTAATTTGTCAGCAAATCAGACATTTACCGGCACTGACATGTTAAGTAAATTCATCAACCAAGAACGCGAAACCGCAAAAAATACAATTACTGCTCTGACTGCTATTCTTACCTCGTATGACACACCCTCTGTTTGTCATGACATGCACACTACTCCACAGCTGCTCAACGTTGTGTTCATGTAAATTAGGCCACAGGTGACTCACCTATGATATAGGAGATCATGATTCCCGGTACATAGTGTCCCACCACGGCGAGAACAAAACAGCCGCTGCACATCATCACACAGAACTGGGAGGAAGAAGCAGAAATAAGAGGTTTTAGGCGATAAAACCGGGATAAGAGGAAGTGAAAAGGTGTCGTCTGTGCAGGTGTGTGAGAGAAGAGCTGCAGCAGCTGCAGAGGACAGACGGTTTACTTTGTCCTCTGCAGATTGTATCAGCTGGTCGAGTAAACAAGCATCTATTATTCTTCATTCAGACATATTGTTTGCGATGTTGGCTTTTATAGCCAGTGTTTGCGTGTATCTGCTTTGCACTCTGCTGCATGAAAGGAGCTCTAATGTTTGTTTTTAAACCTAGGATCTATTTTTTACTCGTTCTGTGCTCTTGATCAAACTCGGGTTGTTGTTAAAACTGCCCGACAGTGATATCAAAGCATCAGGAGAGAAAATAACTTGATTTCAGTGTATTATCCTTGAGAATTGGGTGCTTTATTGCTGCCTTCAGAGAGACCAAACTCCATGAACAGATTCTGTAATCTTGACTTGCGTTGCACAAGAGTTTCCAGTAGAACTCCAGCTCAGCTTTGACCTTGATAAGCTTGTTTGTTCAGTACTGAATTTAGGTTACCTTCTAAAACCTCAAACAGAAAGAAACTGGAGGTACAGGAGAGGGTGGGTGATATAGCAAAAGTAAGAACTCTAATGTCTACAGAAGCATTTAGTTCTATTGCAGGCCGAATCTGCAGTCATAGACGAGTTTTATCTCCTCTCACTGAAATCACAGTTTTATTCTGCATGGTTCATGTTTGACAGAAATAAACATTTAAACACTATCTCAAGATAAAAAAAAATAAAAAAAAAATAACACATTAGATGACATTTTCTTTGACGCCTATCTCTATAACGCATTTTAAATATATTTATAATGGGTTATAGCAGTGGTTCTCAAGTCCAGTCCACACCTGATTCAAATGATCAGCTCGTTATCAAGCTCTGGAATGGCTTACTAACGAGCTGATCATTTGAATCAGGTGTGTTGGAGCAGGGAAACATCCAAAACATGCAGGACAGGGGGGGCTTGAGGACTGGACTTGAGAACCACTGCTATAAAGCATTATGATCATTTATGAGTGTTTATAACTACACTTATACAGTGCTATAACATGATTATAATGCATTATACATATATTTATAATGCATTACAGAGATAGGTGTCAAGTAATGTGTTACCAAACATTTTTACTTTGTTTGAAATGATACGAATCAGTAAGCACTGCAGCGAGTGTGACAGTCTTTTCTGAAACCGTCAGACTTCTGTCTCTGCATTTACAATCTTTGCAGCGCACTGCATGTGTGTAATCTGACACGGATACTTCCTGGATGATGCTAAAGTAGGAATTTTAATGTGCAAAAATGTGTCAAAGATACAAATGTTTATATTATACACATATCACAACAATGTAAACATTTCCACAGCAATTGATAATGTTAGTTTATCTTTAGAGGGGACCACAAGAACAACACTCCAACTGATCATCTTCAGGGTAGTAATTCCTTTTCATGGGATAGTGGCCATATGCTTAATATGCAATTATTGACTGTCATTAGGAGTATTTTATTATAGCCACATACTACAGTTAAATGTGTTTGTTTGGTTTGTTCTCATATGAGTGTATTTGTTTTCTCAGAACAACCATTCAGCTGTTTAACCACAAACTCAAACTTTGTGGACGTTTCTTGAATATAAGACGTCATATCTGATTCCGGCGTCTGTCCTACCTTGCCGTGGTTCTGCCTCTTATACTGCAGCATCTCCTGCAGGTACAGACAGCAGGTCAGGTAACTCTCGGCCAGGTGGTGACTGAGCTCAGGAACACTGAGCAGACGCTGCTCCTCGCCCATGGTTTCTCTGCACGTGCGCAAGAACACAGGCAGAGACAAAATGTGACAAAATAAACCCTCCAATCTGTACTTAAAGCGCTTCAGGCTGCACTTCAATCATCTGCGGAGAGGTAGAGTGGGATTTCAAGATCGTGTAATGACACACAAACTCGACTGGCATTAGCTCTGATGATATGGTGTAACATGTGAGGACTATTTCATCAACATTAAGGCAAACAATTACACCCTGTTAAACAGATGATCCTATTTTGAATTACAACATGATATTAAGAAGTGGAGCAGAAAACTGTAATACAAGTAATTTGTGTGTGATGTAAACAGTACGCACCTTTGTTCAGGGAGAGCCTCAGCATGTTGGACTGCACAGGAGGGAAACACACAATTAGCAGCAGATTAGAATAAAAACATGTTTCGGTAAACACGTTTAATGAACGGTTTTTCAAGATTATATGATACAGTGTCTTTATCACATGTTTTACAACAAATAAACAACCCCAAGAGTTTTATGACTGTTTACCTGAGTGGTACAAGTGCAGGCTGAAAACTTTAAAATGGGTCTTAAAAGGAGAATTAAAGTACTTTTCAAACCTTTTTAATCTTCAAGGAGAACTGCAACATTAATCCTGGTGTGATTAAAGTCCTGAATAAGTGTGTTATTTCTTAAACCACATGCTAGTTTGTACAAAAGTCGGGCTGCTCTGCTACAGTGTCTTCCTGCTTCCTGCTCCCACCCTAAGGAAAAACACTTGCACGACATAATCGGCGTGGTCTCGGCCTCCACAAAACCAGCATCACTTTTCTTTATGAAAAATTCATATTTTCCCCAATCTAAATAGTGGCACATTAAAACTAAATCAGTCTCTGGGGAGTGTTTGGTATAAATACTGCTATTATGTAGAGCAGTAGTTCTCAAGTCCAGTCGTCGAGGCCCACTGTCCTGCATGTTTTGGATGTTTCCCTGCTCCAACACACCTGATTCAAATGATCAGCTCGTTAGTAATCCATTCCAGAGCTTGCTAACGAGCTGATCATTTGAATCAGGTGTGTTGGAGCAGGGAAACACCCAAAACATGCAGGACAGTGGGCCTCGAGGACTGGACTTGAGAACCACTGATGTAGAGAATGACACACGTAAATACTGCCCCTGACATAACCCAATGTATTTGTCTTTTTTATCAATTAATACAAAAATCCACCTATCACATATTACCAGCTGAAATAACTATGTTTATGTTCAATTGTAATGTGCAGGGAATAACTGACCAACACATGATTCCCAGATATATTCTGTTTTTCTTTCATACGTCTTTCAAGTAGATAAGTAGAAGTTCAAAAGTTCCTCATGGTAAAATTTTAATGAAACAAATATTTTTCGTTTTTTTTTATGGCCGCAACCAGAGGCAAAAAAACAACACAGGGGAAGTCTACTTTATTAAAGAACATAAAGTGCTTTTTTCAGACCCAGATTGTTGTTCAAGGTTACTTTTGACACAAACTCTTTCATTTCAAACTCCTTTCAAAGAAACTGTCTTTTGTTTTTTTAAAACTCCTCTTGAAACCCATTTTTATTCATTGGCTTTTACCCTGCATGAGACTCGGCTCCTGTTTTACTGTTTTATGGTTTGTTTTTAGTTATTTGTTTCTAATTAGTTTTTAAAAACATTGAAACTATATTTTACTTTTGAATTCTGATTTTATTTTATCCATTGTTTGAATTGTTTTTTACGTCTGCGTTGTTTTGTCTATTTATGTACAGCACTTTGTTCAGCTGTGGTTGTTTTAAAGTGCTGTACAAATAAAGTTGAGTTTTTTTTTTTTTTTGTTTTTTTACAGGATACAGGATTATTGGTCCATGGCAGCGCCCCACGACAAGTTTGTGTTATTGTGAGATTTACCCTTTTTAATCCATGTAAACTTAGATCCTCTACAACACAAAAACACTGGCAAACGAACCAGTCCAGGCAGCAGCAGCAGCAGTTTGACAACAACTTCTGGTTCCTGGGAGGTAAAATTACTGTTTTTGTAACAGGAGTCTGGCAGCTCTGAAAGGACTCGTCTGACAGGAGCAATTTACATGAGCAAGAGAAGAAAGAAGCTGTATTTCTGCAATGCTTTTATTCCATATGAGTCTGTAAGCGGTAAAAACAACCCCCTGTATGTGGATGTACTGTGACCTGTAGAATTTGCCCCATGAGATTATGTTGCGCCTGTTAAAGCCCGTCGAGCTGCGGCAGAAAGCTGCAGGAATTCCAAAAATCTTCATACTTATTAAACATTTGGACCAGCGAGGGTATCGAAATGGGATCCAGGTTTTAAAAATGCCAGAATTTCCCTAATGCAGATAGGCCCACTCAGTGTAAACATTAACACACTTGTAACCAGCAAAGCTCCTCTGTTCCACAAATAAAGATTTTAATTCCCTGGCAACAGTGAACATTTGTTTGGGCAATGAGTGACAAAGTCCGAGGACCACATTCAAATCACACACACAAAGAAAAAGGTTGAGCTTACCGGTAATGATGGGCAACTTGGGCTTCCACCTCTCCAGGAGCATGAGCCCCATGAGGGAGACGCTCAGCAGGAAGAGGGGCCGCAGAGAGGTGGATGACAGGAGCCTGTGGAAACATGTGGGTTACTGTTACGGCATGGCAAAGCGGCGTGGAAAATTCCTAACCTTGACAACGCAAAACTCACGTCAATAAATGGAATACAAATCTGATTATGACTCCAGATGGTAGCAGTAGAGGTGGGTTTTATTGAATATTTAAATATTTACAAAAGCAACAAGGGAAAAGGCTTGAACAAAACAATGAACTTTGGTTGCTGAATTCATGATTAAGGCAATCAGCCCATACCTATACAAAGAATTCAGGTTTTTACAATTAGATTTATATCTATCTGGCGAAGGTCTCCTGGTCGTTCCAAAGTTGAGGCTCAAAACTAAAGGAGATAGATCTTTCTCCATCAGAGCTCCTCCACTCTGGAACGACCTGCTAGAGGAGATACGGTGCACAGCAGAGACAGTCACTTCTTTTAAGTCGAAATTGAAAACTCACTTTTACAGACTTGCTTTTATGTGATGCCGTCTTTTGTCTTTTATCTCTTTTACCGCTATCTTGTTTCGACTTACTATCCTTTTAGCCTTTGTTTTACTTGTAATCTTTTCTTTTAATGTTTTTCCTGCTCATTTTTCCATTCTATCATTAATATTACCATCATTATCATTTTATTATCATTATTAATACCCTCATTTATACTTACTATCCTGCTTCCTGCCCCCCTTTTCTATTTCATTTCTTTAGTTATTTCAGTTAACACATGCTCATAACATAGTGCAGGGCATATTTAAATATCAAATCTATATTTGCAGCTGCTCATTTGGGATGACAAAGCTGGTACGGACATCCCAAAACAAGATTCAAGTTACCATTCAGCTTGTATTAAATCCACACACATACAAGTCTGTCATTTACATTGCACCTCGGATAGTTACTGCAGGTTTATAAGGCCTGGGCTGCTAAGAAGCATGACACGAGTCTATAATAGAATTAACTCGAACGACGAACAGCGAGTCTAACAACTCAAAATAACAAAGGTTGCAAGTTTTACAAAGGGTTTAGATATTTTCCGGACTGTGCTTGTGCCGGGCGTCTTATTTTCCGAGCTGAAAATTAAGGTTGAAGTGCTGTAAGCGTCGTTAGCTTTCAGCTAAAGACGTGGGATTAGCTAACTTATCTTGACATTCACGCGCAATCTCCTCGCGCATGTTATCCAGTTAGCTAATAATATGAATTAATCGTTACGGAGCTGCCAGAAAAGGCGATTAAAGGAGGAAATGATTGGTTACCAGAATAATGTGTTGAGTGTCAGAGCGACAGAGATGCTGTAGAGCGGCCTCTCCCACACCAGCAGCCTCTGCACCCACAGCAGCAGCAGCTCATACTCAGATAGCCAGCCCTGGAGACGCTCCCGCAGGCGGACGAGCTCCGGGTTTACGTCCCCGCAGACCTGCTCCGAAGTCCCCGCGGGGAATAGAGACTCTAGCCCGACCGAAGAGGAGGTAACCGAGGGGCGTCTTCTGGCCTCCTCTCCGCTCGCCATGTTTCCCCCACTTTGTTATGTTGTTTTGGCTATCACGGGGTATATGGAAAGAAAAGCGTCAAGCGAGACGGGCATCGATAAATACAGCTTCCGGTTGTGACTTTCAAAATAAAATAGGCTGCCGTCACGACCGCTGGTTACGCGAAAAATGTAAACGTCAATAAAAACTAGAATAAATTCGGTTTCCAGAATAAAGAAGTGTATCTTAACACACTGGAAAAACACGTTTTTTGGAAACTTTTTAAAAGAAATATATTGTGATAGCATAAATTATAACATTTTAGGACAGCGGTTCTCAACTGGTCTCACTCTGGCACCCACATTTTCCCATGGTCCTTAAGTCGCGACCCACTTTTATAGAATTCAAACCAAGAAAATTTAATTTGCACATAAAAGACCTTTAAACACTCTAATCTTCAACATAAATCCATAAATTTATTGAGTTAAGTGCATTTCAAAGCACATGAAGGGGACATCATGAGGACGACAACTACTGAAGTTCCGTGTGCAAAAAAAAAATCAAATATCTAATAAATATCGCGTTAAATATTTACATTTTTGACCGACTGTTAGTGACCCATCCAGAACGTGTCCGTGACCCACTATTGGGTTGAAAACCACTGTTTTAGGATGATTGTTTTTCACCTTAACTTTATTATTGGGGTTTCAACATTATTGAAAATTTTATTTTTAACATTTTAATTTAATTTACTCGGACTTTCTTTCTTGTTAGCAATTTGAAGAATTTTATCATCTCTCTTATTGTTTAGTTGATAAACTTCTACCTGAACCACTGTTTTTGATTGTTTTGTATGTCGAGTGTGATAGAAATACTGTTTGATTAATTGATTTTTTTAGTTTTTGATAATTAAAAATATTAAATCGCCAAGTTAAAAGGTTTAAATCACACTTTTAGCGATTCAATAAATAAGTGGGTTTTTGATTTGGTCTGTCTGATAATTTATGTCAAGGGAAGAGTGGGTTTCCGGGTTTCTTAGTTCTTATTTTGTCTGACTTGACGCACCAATGACACAGATGGGCGGACGGATCACAAGGCCCGTCACGGCTGAGGAAAAAAAAAAGTCACGTGTTTCCTTGTTTACTGTCGAGAATAGGTTTAAATCCCAGCCTACGATGTTATAGTAAAAGAGATTGCTTCATGTTATTTTACCTGCTGCGTAACACTATTTCTACAGTAAAGCAGCCGTCCAGACTGAGTATATTCCTATTATACATTAAACATTTTCACCCATATCATTTAAAACTCTAATATTTAATCAAACTACAGCCACATTCCTGTTTTTCACTCACAAATAAACTCTAAAATTCCCACACATCAACACGTTTTGATACAAATGTTTAATACACAAATACACAGTGATGGTGAGTAAACAAATGTTGATCAATTTGATCAAAAGGGGCCAAAATGGGCAGTTTGACAATCAGCTCACTGTCCATTATTGTAACAGGAACACAGCACATACAGTTTATCACAGAAGACCATGTAAACAGCTGCACAGCCGGGGAATAAGTCCTCTTTTTATCTCACATTTTAGTCACAGATTGATTTCTGAAAGAGAAAAATTACCATCAATTAATATCAATTTTTTTCATTTTCAAAAGGACCAAATGCAACTTCCTAATATTTGCAAAAAAAGGTTAAAAAATTATTCAAAGTCAAAAATAGGTGTCAGTGGTGACACTCAAAGGCAGACTATGAGATTAAAAATCACAATTATTTGTGTAAAACATGACATAATAAGACTAAAAGTGAAAAAATACAAGAAAAAAAAAGTCAAATTATAATACTGGAAAATATATGATACCAAATACCAAATCAAAAGTCACTCACTAAATACAAGTCAAATCATGAGATAAGACGTTGATAAATGGGGAAAAATGTCAAATCAATAAATAATTAAAGTGCTGTAAGTGTCATCAGCTGATTATCATAATAAAAGTAATTAGCTAAAATTGGCCAATACAGGATAAAAAGTGTACACATGAGGAAAAAAATGCCACATTATGAAAGTAAAAGCCCAAAAAGTAAGATTAAAAGGAAATTAATTTTCACATTAAATCATAAAAAATCTGAAATACATGCTAAGAAAGCAACATGATTAATTATTTAGGTCAAACTATGAAATTTAAAGTAAAAAATTTGAGTCCTGATACCTTTCTTTAAGTTTTAGTCGTAGATACACTCAGAGCAGTCAGTCAAGAAGCTTTTGTCATGTGAATTATCGCACATGCATGTCTGTGAGGTCGTGAAGGGTTTGGTTATTTGCATTAATTGGTGATGTGAAATATGGAAGATCTAACAGAAAAGTGACTTTTGTGGGGTTTTGTGATTGGGAGGGGGGATTAGTCTGGCTCCAGAGCCTACCTGGCTAGTTACACTGCCCAGGGCTCGAGCCTACACAGGAGTAAAGCGGGGAATGAGACGCTCTGCCCCCCTGGTGCTAGGACAAAAGGGCATCAATACCTGCGGGGGTTAAGACCATGGCCTGCAGCAGGTCAGAGAGAGAGATGATGCCCTTCACCACGTCAGCCCTGTCCACCAGGACCAGCCGGTGGACCTGCGACCAAGAAGAAACCGTCAGTGGAGGAGCGAGAGAGAAGTCACAGCATTCTCTGAAATAAAAATAAAAAATCCACCTCTGCTCGGACGATTCGATCGATGATGGTTTCCAAAGTTTCATCAGGATAACACTTAATCACTCCCTCAGTAAAACACGTGCGCCTGCGGACAGCCTCCTGCATCGTCATGTCCAGATTGTTGTACGACTTTTGGGCGGCAAGATTCTGACATAAAGCAGGAAAAAAACACAGCTGAGTCAGAGCGACACCAAAAAGGTTAATTTCTTCAGTGAAATCTTGTTTGTCTGCAGGACTCACAATGACATCAAATCTTGAGTAGAGGGACACCACTTTGCCTGAGGACAGAGAGAGATGGATGCCATTAAACCAGAGTTTGAGTTGAAGCTTTTTGATACAGGCCTTTAAATAAAGCCTCAAAGGAAAGGGGACATTGGGAAAACTGAATTCTGTCTTTAGAACATCTGTTGGAAAATTGTCTGAAAGTGTATAAGGAGTAAGATATTGATAATGTATTTTTTCAGATCATACCTTGTTCATCCACCACTGGAAGCGCAGACACTCGTCTCTCCACAAAAGTAGAGAGGGCATCGTAAAGTGTTGCTGTCTGCTGAACTGTTGCAATGTTCCTGAACGTTCCTATCCCCAGCTCCTGGATCTGCTTCCCAACAAACGCAGGTTTGGGAACTTTTTCTCCCTGATGAAACATTTTTTTTATATATATCAAACATCAACATCCAACTGTACAATAGAAAAGCAGAACCACATGCATTAGAGTTTAATCTTTCTCACAAATATGTGAAGGAATTTGAGGATCCGTTTGTGGGTCAGGATGTGCAGGACATTCCCGGATTCAGGATCAATGACCGGCAGCCGGTGGATCTTATATTTTAATAAGGAATAAATGGCATCAAAGAGGCTGGAACAGAAATAAAGTTAGATACAAAAGAGGAGTTTATTGCTCTGCAGGATAGATGGGTTGATACTATCACAGATTAAAACGGAGATCTGTGTTTGCTCACCTCGCCGCTGGAGAGATACTAATAAGGAAGTGATTTGAAGACTGCAAGTAGACATCTAAACAGAAGCAGGGAGAGAGCTTGAGTGGAAATTCACAGAGATGTTTTTAAGAGATAATTCCGCTGTTTTGTGTTAGTTATTTACTTCGAAATGAGTCACCTCTCCATGTTTCAATCTTGTGGCTCTCCAGCTCATACATCTGAACCTTTAGAGAGAAACCCAGGAGACGATAATCACAACTACAGATAAATCATTCACTGCATTAGCTTCTGCTTTGAGGAAGAGACACAGAGACCCCGCTGAAAAGAAAAAAAGCTTCAATCCTAGCCGTCATTTTTGTGATAACATACCCAGTTAATTAGAAGACACGTTTAGTATCGTACTGGTGCAGGTTCTTCTGGAGCACTTGCCAATTATTGTTATTAAGTAAATGAATTAGCGTTAAACTGACATGAAGTTGAGTTTGTGACCAGCCCTTCTTGGGAGATAATTAACAAATGTACAAAAGCTGATTTATTTATCGTTGCTACGTTTTATGATGTCCTTGTTGCCTTCAACACGGAAACATAAAACCCGATTGGCTGCTGGGGGCTCGTTCTAGTCGTACTACTTTCTTGCTTCCTGCTCGGTTAAGTTTTTTCTTGGTGTGTGGGGAGGTACTCGTGTAGCGCATATCTGCCAAGCTGTACAAATATCCCGTTTTGGCCTGGAAATTACCGCATGACCAGAAAAGTGTCCCTTATTTTCCAAACCAAAACTTTATAGGTATGATTATGTATTCATGCTCACCAAAGGAGATCTGTAATAGCAGTGGAGGATGTTGATGAAATCTGTGATTGTCAGCATACCTGTGAGACAAAAAGAGATTTGTTTACACTTAGATTTAAGGTCATGTATGCTAAAGTAATGTATCACTCAGATGGCAGTGTTTTGGATGGGTTTAAGTCTCTATCAACATTTTAGAGAGCCCAGCGCACACTGCTGGAGATGAATGCATGGACCAGAGTAAGATTGAGACATGAAATATCTCAGATTAGAGATGTTTTTTTTTTTTAAATGGCATATAAGTATCTTTATGATCGCTGTTGTGTGATGCTAGAAGTTTACAGATTTGCATCAGTTCCGACACTCGGGTTCTTGACATGCTCACTGTGCTGCAGAGAAAATGACAAATGAAAAGGATAATGGATCTACAGTAAAAGCTAGATGTGAGTTAGACATTAACTCCATAAGAAGAGCATTACTGCTTCACTTTCTATACCATTGTTATGACTGACAGAAACAAGGATATTGCATCACTTAGAAAAATGCATTATCTTACCCACAAATCTCTGTAACTTGCTGTCCCATAAAGGTGCAGCCCTCAAGCCATTTGCCACCAGTGCAAAAAAAGCCTTTTTCACCTGTAGGACATGCGAACAAAGATTAAAAAGCTTCTGTATTTCTATATAAGTCAAATCTTGTTTAGTTTTCTTTAAAAAGCTGCCATACTTACTTGTAGTTTGGTATCAAAAATGACCAGTTTACAGCTGGTTGGAATGGCGTCATAGCAGCTGTGGTTTTTCATGAAATTCATGTAGACTGTGGCATCAGCATCTGAAGAATCGAGTATCATAACAGCTGATTAAACACATTTAATTACTCAAAACTGCAAAGACAAAGCCTTAAACATGACATTACACAGCGCAAGAATGCAATCCTGTTACATTCACATTTCCACGTGAGCCAGTTACAGTACCTCGATTCAGTATTTCCTGCATCTTTCCTCGGAATGACACCTACAACACAAGAGGAACATTATCCACATGACATTGTCTGAATAGTTTGTAACCCACAGGCTGCCTATATGCTCCACTGGCAGTTCAAACTCTACAAACCGTTTTTCTTTCATTTGAGAGTAAAAGTTCACCTGTGAGTGACGCGCCATGATTCTGCGGTGTGTCCATGAAAAAGTTGTTTTCAAAGCAGTAAACTCAGACTGCTGTGTGACTCCGCTCGGTTTGTTACCCTTTTCCTACAGAGCAGTTGGGTCTATATTAGGAACTCTCAAGTGGTATGTGACAGCCAAGGCAGGGGAGGGGTAGAAGAAGCTGGCACAGGATCAAGAGGGAGGGACGCGGCTTCAGAATCTGCCAAAACCAGACTTCAGTCTCCTTCACGACTCGAGAAAACACACATACCATCTCCTTGCATAGTTTTTTTTTCATACTTAATTTACAAGTTTTATACCAGAACAAAGAAACAAACAAATTTTTTTTTAAAAAGTATTAAAAATAAATGAATGAAATAAAGACAAAAGGAAGAATGGCTGCAAGACAATCGTAAATTACATGACTGGACTTAAAGCAAAAAAAACCCATACAAATAGTTGTAATGTAAAGCAAGTATGATGTGAAAAGTTGAGTCAGGCATCACATACTGGTCAGGGAAAGGTCAGATCAGATTCTCTCAAATCTATTCTGTTTGTTATCTGTACTGATAACATCTCACTGAGCCAATGAGCAGAAATCTTCCTGCACTGCTTTAGGGGAAATACACTGGCTCTGCAGAGGCAATCTCTCCTTACATTTGTGATCACATTCATTCACAGAGATCTACAACCTCACTTTCATTAGAGTTGGGACTTTTTCAGGGGAGACCTTCATATTTCAAGACGATGGCAAACAGGGGTTACAACATCATGTCTCTGTAGGAGAAGAGTCCTGATCTGACTGCAGTCCTGACTTGACACCCATTTGAAACATTTGGAGCATCACAACACCAAAAATAGGTCAGATGAGACCCTGAACTGTTCAGCAGCTGAAATCCTCTATCACAGTGGTTCTCAAGTCCAGTCCTCGAGGCCCACACACCTGATTCAAATGATTAGCTCGTTATCAAGCTCTGGAATGGCTTACTAACGAGCTGATAATTTGAATCAGGTGTGGACTTGAGAACCACTGCTCTATCAGGGATAAATGGGACATTAAACTTTTTAAACTCAGGAGAGGTTAACATATTTTCACTTTGGAAAAGGGTTTAAATTATCTGGTTTTTAGCTTTTAACACAGCATCCCAACAATAGACTGTACATAGAAGTATAATAGTATATTCAGACCTTCTGATGCTGATTCGACCCCTTTGATGTTTCAAGAACTCCGGTCTCTGGAGTTAACAAAGCTCACATCTGCGGCTTAGTTTCACCTGCTCTGTCAGGAATAAAGCAACATGAACTCTGGTCTATAAAGAGTAAATGCCAGAGCTGTATACATTGAAGGTCACAGTGAGATTGTTATTATTATGGGGCAACATACCAATTGTATGATGATCCTCCAAAAACAAAACCAGTCTGAAAGAAATGCAGTCTTTATTAGGTCTACAGATTTGTACAATATTTGCTTTTTTTTTTTTTTTTTTTTACATCATGTACAAAATTAAAAGGACTTTCAAAATGTATCAAATTCAAATGCTCAAAGCTGTTCGTCAAAAAGGTTCAATTACAAAGTAAAAGTCCTTGGGACCAAATGTAACCGTGGATATAAAAGGAAATTCAATCTTTACATTTGTCTGGTGTTTACAAAAAGATACTCGACTGTGCAGGAAGAATGGAGTGAAACGTCCTGTAGCAACAAAACTGCGGCCCGATGTGCAAATAAAACAGAAACACTGCTGTTAGCCTTAGTTTGATAAATCCAAAATCCTCACTTCAAACATAAACCCACCATCAACAAACTTTCATGTAAATCTGGCTCAACTTCAACCTATCGCAGAAGAGTTGATTTAACTATGAGACATCCTTGTGCTGAGTAGAACGAGGCAAAAATAAGGACTATGAAAGGAAACTAAGGAACATGTTTGGCTACAAAATGGCCGCCTGAATAAGAGGTGATTGTTACGCTGAGGTATGGAGATGATTAACATCTTGTTTTTCTTCTGGAGTCTAAAAGCTGGGATACAACTTTCACAAACAGTAAAAAAAAAAAAAAAAAAATCTGGTGTTTGTATCAGTGCTGCTGCTTCCTGTGTGTGACCAGTGTCTGCTGTTCAGCTCAGTGTAAATGAAGTAAAAACAAGTGGAAGAGCTACGCCAGAATTTCACTAAGTATCCCTTCTTCTGCAAATCCCATCATAAAAAAAACAACTTACAGAGCAACTTTCAACTCAAGATATGCTGCAATAAACCCCCATACCTTCATTTTTTCATGCCAAATGCCAATAAAACTCAAAAACACTCTCAAACAGGATCAATAAAACAGATGTGAACTTTCAAACAATCATCAAAACAGAGGGGTGTACTACGAAGCAAGATTAACTAAGCCTGGCTTTGGATTAAAACTCCTCCACGGACGTTGTGTCCCTAGTTTGATTGATGTGGATTTTTATTCTTTTTTATTCTCTGGCTCTGCTAGCTTTCACAGATAAAGTAAACAAGGATTTGCCAATTCTTGCGCCAAATCATCTAAAAAAGGAAAATAATATAATGGCAAACTTTGTTGATTTTGCAGGAAATTTAAAATGGGAAAAATAAAGTTGAAAATCTAGAGGGCTTTTAGATTCAGTTTGTGACTTAGATTGTAACCCTTATACAGTTTTGAGTGTGCTTTTCTAAGCCAGTCCATCCATCCATCCATTTTCTACCGCTTATTCCCATTCCCAGGGTTGCGAGTCGCCAGTTCATCGCAGGGCTGACATATAGGGACGATCAACCATCCACAGTAACATTCACACCTACGGGCAATTTGAAAGTTGCCAATTAACATAACCCCACTTAAGGTAAAGTACCTGGAGTAAACCCACGCAGACACAGAAACGCCCTGAGTCGGATTCGAACTCAGGACCTTCTTGCTGTGAGGCGACAGTGCTGACCACTACACCACTGTGCCGCCCCTTTCTAAGCCAGTCGAAATTCAAAAATCTGAACATAACCTGATGAGAATCAGTTTGAAGCTTAAGTTACCCTGTTTTCAGTAAATCTTGCACTCAAGTACACTCCTCATGTTGCAGTCCTGAACTAAATCATTCTTAAAATAGCATCAAATTATCCTCAAGTTCCTTTTTTTCTCCTCTTGCTGCAGAGCATAAACTAAGCACCATGGCGTTACACTTGTGGCAAATTTATTTTGAACTTTGTGAATTTCCACCCTGTCATGTCTGAGATGTTGTTCTCTCTTCTGCACCTGTACTACAGATCTGGAAAAGTGAACACAAACACGACTTGAAGACCTTTATGAGTCCAAATAGTGATGTTGGTTCAATTTTCTAGAGTCTGTTTTTACAGGTCAACAGAAGAGAGGACGGTTGGTCTCTACCCAGGCATGAGCAGAGCCTGGGCTTTGTTTACAGGTAAGATAGACTGAGGGTGACAGGGTCCAAGTTGTACAGATGGAAACGCCCCAAAATGAGAGTTCAGACTTGGTTCTGCCCCGCCCAGGAGACTGGGAGAAAGCCAGGGTGCGTGACGTCGGTGGTTATTGAAGGAACCATGAGTGAAGAGTGCTGAGGTGTTTCTGAGTCCGCACTGAAGACAGCCAGGACAGAGGAACGAAGCAGGTGACCAGGTCTGAGGAGCCTCCATACCAGAATCAGTTTCAGAGCATGTGTGACCAATGGAGGCAAGGAGAGACCCCCACAGACAAAATATCGACGTCTGAGAGGAAGAAGGCGGAAAACTATCTTTTTGAAAAACACCACCCTGCCGGTCCAGACTCTTATTGGCGAGAACACAACAGGGGGGGCGCTGGGCTTCAGAGGGAGCGTCTGAGTTCAGGTTGGAGGTTTGAATGTGGGCCGTGCTGATCGCAAGCGGAGGAGGAAGAAAAGATTGGCCGCTCCTGGAGAGACTGAGCTGATGCAGAACGGCGCTGGTGGCGATGAGGCCGGCCACGCTGGTCAGGTAGACGAGGCCGAGCATGCAGGTGACCTGGAAACAAAGCAGAAGTGTTGATCAGACCACAAGTATCTGGAACTTCCTCCAATCAGACCTTTGACATTTTCATGCTTGAAATGTTTAAGATGTCCAAACTCTATGAACAACTTAAATAGTCTTCCCCCTGTCCAACAGCCCTGCAGCTTTGTTTGGTTATTGTGTCCATGGTGATGACTGTCAACAGCCATAAAGCTGCCACTGACTCTTGAGGAAGTGTGAGTCTGTTTAATTTCATGATGACTCGATCATAATACGACTCAGGTGTCGAGTAAATCTGCACACATCACCTTTATTCTTTGCAGTTGCATTCCTTTTGCGATATTTTTGCTCAATGCCAATAAAAATAGAATAAAAGTTGAAAAAGAAATTGTTCTTAAAGACCTTGCATGTGACTTTGTTCCTGAACTGTAGTGAACTAAAACGGTTGCACATGGCAGAGCTTTGAGATGCTTGCTGCAGGGGCTTTTTTTGCAGACTGTGACATACCAGTGTAAAGCAGCTCATTGCAGGACAATTTGTTCGGTTGCAAACAAAACTTTTCGCCTTTTAAGGACGACGACAACAGAGTTGCAAATATTTCAGCTGCCATACTCCTTCTCATTTCCTTCCATGCCTTAAAATAACTAGACAAAGTTATAAATATTCTCCCAGCTCACCTTGGTAAAGTGCTGGTAGATGGCTGTGAGGGCTTGACTCCATGCTGACTGCTCCAGAAGCACACAGAGGTCAGTGTAGGTGAACCAGCCGCGTTTCATCCCCTGCCGCTCTGCAATGCTGAGGACGGAAAAAAAAAAAACACAGAGCCAGAAATTCACTAATTTATCACAAGCAGTTCTCATCTTCAAAAATGAGTCAATGCGAGTGGTTTCCCTTTTCTTGCAAACATCGTTGAGAGCTGACCACAGACCTGGTTTCCAGCTGATTGAGAATATCAAAGAAGTCATTTGGCTCCGTGAAGAGGCTCCACTCCTGCAGAAAATATGAACACAAGTTAAAGCCATCAGTTAAAAACAAACATGCATGCAGGATTACACACAGGAATGCAGGAATACTAACAATGGCGTTCAGGAAGTTCATCTCCAGGTTGTTGATGGTTTTGACGTCCAGCTTCCCAGCTGCTCCCCATTCGTCATTGAACACCTCCTCTTCCTCGCCTTCATCATACAGGTACTTGCTCGCAACCATCTAAATTCAAAGACAGTTTTTGTTTGAAGGCTGCAAAGAAGCCAAAAATAACACACTGACACATTTAGAATGACTTCTGAACTCAGCTCACATACCATGGAGATCAGGAAGAGGTCAGAGGAGGAGATCTTCTGGAGGTATTCTGGGTTTCTGTGTCGGAGCCTTTCTATGTAAACTAGAGCGAGCATCATGGCGCACGGCGAGATGCAAGCCTCTCTGAAGCAAATGAGAATGACATAATTTAGAGTTAAGCTGTATTCATGATGAGCAATGATACTTTTAGTTAGTTTGAGGAGACATAATGAATGCATGTGTGTAAAAGCAGAAGGACAAACCTGGAAACGTGAGCAGCATACTTCTTCTGCAGCTTTCTTATGGGGCTGGGGGCAGACTTCTGGAAGATTTCAACAGCAATATCTGGAATAACACACAAAAAAAGTTCAATTTATTTTACAATCTCATCAATTTTAAAGTCACTGTTTATCTTTAAAATGCACCAAACTGTAAAATAGACAAGTAACAGCTGAATTCCTGTTGGTAGAAATGTAAAATGTGGAAAAGTCCCAAGACAAACCGGTTTCAGGGGGTTGTGATAGTTTATTGGTCTTTTCTCATACAAAGTCAGATGAGTGATTTACATCTTCTTCTTGAGGTGCTTTAAACATAACTTACATAATTCGTACAGGATGATCTGGTTCAAAAGCTAACATGTAACTCACCTGTAACAGGGCAAGAGAGAGCATCCAAAGACACGTCTTTGTCCAGGCCATAATACAGTCGCTTTCTCACTCGTTCAGTTAACTTCTGGTGTCCAGGTAGAAACTGTGAAAACAAAAGTAACAGAGGCCTCAGTTAAAACAGGGTTGCTGCAAATTTAAGACCCAAACATGGAAACTAATTCCGTTTTTGTACAGCGCATCAGACAGCAATGAACACAGCCCAAGTTTTACAGCCTATTTGCATATTCAGGAAGTTGCCCCACAATATTTGTCACTGCTTGACAGTCACACACTGTCCTTTTTCCTCTGGAAATGTTATGTCCTTAAACATGCATGTTCATATTTGTTTTCAGTGTTCACATAAGCCTCTGTAAACACTGTATTTCTCATGACCATGCAAAAACACACAAAATGATACTGCTATCCAGACAGTGTAGATCTGACTAAGTACATTAAAGCCTTATAAAGTCTCTGACATGAAGAAATCATGTAGAAATCACATTTTCTGAGACCAGCCTGAGGCTTTATCAGACTTTTCAAGAATTGGCAGGAACCCTGTTGAACAGCAGTAATACTACATGGTAGAATAGCATTTCTTAAAACACAATACTGGACAATATGATGATCAAAATAAAAAAAAAATAAGGATAACAGCTCCAAGAAACCTTGCCCTAGAGCAGTGGTTCTCAAGTCCAGTCCTTGAGGCCCACACACCTGATTCAAATGATCAGCTCGTTATCAAGCCCTTACAGAGCTTGATAACGAGCTGATCATTTGAATCAGGTGTGTTGGAGCAGGGAAACATCCATAACATGCAGGACAGTGGGCCTCGAGGACAGGACTTGAGAACCACTGCCCTAGATTGTAAGGTCAATTTATTATATTTAAAACCTCAGAAACAACAGAAAAGTACATAAGTCCAACTTAATAACACAATTTTAATCTGTGTATGCAAAAATGAATAACATTAGCACCCTGAATTAAAGAAAAATTTCAATAAAATGTACATTTTGTAGTTTCATAATAAACCCAAGAGTCACAGGTAAGAGATTTAATGTTGTGTAACTCACATATACACCTATTATCTTTGTGTACATGTATAGGCAGATGTTTGACTTTAAAACAACATTTTCAGCTTATGTATGCGTATCAGAAAAAGTTGTTTTCTCTCTTTTTACCCCTTTGCTATAAGTTTCTTTCCCATGTTTTCATGGTATAAGCAATTCTACTATAAAAACTGGACTGAGGAGTTTCCTTGAGCATAGCACCATATAATAATAATTTCTGAAATCACCTCATTGCGTAATGTTTTCCAATAAAACTGTTACTCACTATAGCGCTGCCTGCCATGCTGTTAAAACATTAGCTCGGCGACTGACAGGCCCACCACACAGACTGAAACACAACATTACATTAGCTGAAGCTAGCTATCGAACTTAAGTCTGTTCTTCAAAATGGGTTTATATTTTACATTAAAATCATAGACACTTTATATTTAGTTAAATACTTGTCTTAAATTACTGAAGCTAGGCAGACAGGCAGCTAACAAACCCCTCTGTCAGCATATTCAGTAAAGGTACACAACGTTCAGTAAACCAGGCTAATGCGGCTAATGTTAGCTTCAGTACTTTACTGAACTACATACCGTGAACTCCTGGAAATCCGAAAACTGGAACGTCCTCTCGTTAAATAACGCGTCGAAGTCCATATTTACAATAGATGGAACATCAGTCAGCTGAATGTTGAGAAGACGACTGTTTCGCCTGGCTCCCGCCCGCCTGTCGAGCTACACACCCTGACCAGGAACAGTCAGTCAGTCAGTCAGGGGACTAGAGCTCGGAGCGCTCCGCCTCTCCTCAGACACACACGGAAGGGAGGAGGGAGCAGAGCTGTTACACAACAGTAGTAAACCGCCTGTGGACATTTAATACGTTTATTTTGATCTACTCATGATAGTCTTTCTATGGTTTAATTTTATTATAAGACAGCCATATAAAAATATCTCACACGGACCTGACATTTAAAGCTCCTGTCAGGAATAAACAAGCAGAAATTGTAAGTGAAATATTTTTTATGACCTTTAAAAACAATTAAAATACCAACAAGATGACAGACTGTTTGTATAAGGTTGCTTTTAATGTCTGAAACTGCGGGCAGGAGTTAGGTGTCACACTAAGTGGTTATCTCAACACAGATTTTTCATACACTTCTTACACGCTTTAAGTCACGACCATAGACTGTATATACTACTTCTAAGTATATAAGTATATACTACTTCTATTTACAGTCTATGGTTATGACCTTTGTTATCATTTCCTCTTGCTTCTGTCTGTAAATGAGTCATTTTGTGTTTGTTCTAGTTTAGCTTTTGGGGAGTCAAAAAATGACCTACATCTGTCCAAAGTAAACCCAGATAGGTTACAAGATATTCATTTGACCACAGGGGGGCACCAAAATCAGCACAGTTACTCAGAAAAGTTTTTATCAACTGTAACTCTTGATTCCAAGTATGCAGTAGTTCAACAGGTTCACCTTCATGTGTTACATAACTAAGCAGTCATGTGTCATGTCATTGGCAAATGTAGTTCAGTCTTCAGGTGTTTCTGTCCAATTAAAATAAACATCAAGCAAATTTTTAAGTCTGCTGTTACTGTTACATGATTTTACAAAAAAAAAAACAACCCTGCAACAACTGATTATTTTTATGTTTTACAAACTGAAACACACTCAAAATGTTTTTTTTTAGAAACCTTTTATTTTCCATAGGAACACAACAAAACAATATTTACAAATGCAACATGACTCATACCTTTCTGAGGTAGAAATACAAAATCAAACAAAAGGCTAATTTACTCAAGAGATTGAGTATATGGCTGTAAATCAGTATGACACTGAGGTGAACGACAGCCTTCTTTTCATGGTGGATTTTTTTGACTTATCCATCTGGCAAAAACACCAGTGTAATAACGAATCATTAACTAGGTTATATATGTAAATGTCCATAATGAGAACAATCCTTGTATTTTGAACTCCTGAAAACAGACAGATATTGATTAAACAAGTTATTTGTGCAACACTGACTAAAACAGTGTTTCAAATATCACAGCTGAAACATTTTACCTTAACTTTTTGTGTAGTTTAGTAGATGTAATAATCAGACATCTAAAATCTCTTTGAACAGCAGAGTTTGTAAATGACAAACAAATGTAAAACTATAAAACGAAGAATCCTTGAAGATCTTGACAGCACTCAGAGCAAACTTACGTCATTCAGACAGTGATTCGAGTGTTTGTTCTTTTGATTTTCCCTTATGTATCTTAAAATAACTTAAATCAGCCCAGATATTTAAAATTACACGAGTAAAAGAAAGAAAATGCTTGTTTCAAGCACAGACGTATAACCTGATTTGGCATAAGTGCATTCTAAAAAAAAAAGGAAATCTGGCCTAGAAAAGCTCCCCTCTTAAACTTTACTCCTCAACTCCTCATTGCACATAGAAACTCTACAAAATAAATAAAATTTCCTTTTCTCTGAGTGTCCTAAAATCTTTTCTAAAATTAACAGAAATCTCAGACATGAAGTCCTCTTTGAAACACAAACAGAAGTGTACATTCAGTCGCTGGAGTCGGCTGCAGACGTGGATGGCGGCTGCAGCTTCTCAGACGTGCGGTCCTTGGCTTCAGTGTCAGAGGTGTCAGAGTCCTGGGCCTGCTGCTGCCTCATCCACATGTCTGAGTACAGGCCTCCCTTCAGCAGCAGCTCCTCATGCCTGCACAGAGAGAGAGAGAGTGAGTCATTTGAGAGTTCAATAACAAAAGAGAGATGTGCTGCAAGCTTGTACGTGACACACTCACCGTCCCTGCTCTGCAATCCGGCCATCGTTGATAACCAGAATCTGGTCTGCACCGATTATTGTAGACAATCTTTAAATATTAAAACAAGATGAGAACACAAGTTATCAGAGGAATCCACTGATTTCCTCAAACAAAGTGAAAAATGCATCTGTACATCTCACCTGTGTGCTACGACGACTGTTGTTCGGTTTGCACAAACTTTGGCCAGCGAGGCCTGGATGTTGCGTTCTGTCTGGGTGTCTAGTGCTGACGTAGCCTAACAACATTAACCAGAGTGGTTAAAAACAGGGCCATGTTTGAAAGTGTAACCCAACACCCCCTAAAGTAAAAGTATTTTCAGAGTAATATAGTCCACACGAGAGTTTCTCTCTTCTGTCACAGGTTTGATACAATTTCTTTTTCTCACCTCATCCAGCAGAACGATCTGCGGCGCCTTGAGGATTGTTCTGGCGATGGCCACTCTCTGCTTCTCTCCTCCACTCAGCTTCAAACCTCTCTCTCCCACCTGTGTATCATAACCTGCAGGAGAATTCAAAAGATCATGCTTTCTTTCCTTTTTCACACTCACAAAACTGTCTTTTCAGGTGGGCATGAATTCCTCATTTTGGTGTTTTCATCACCTCTAAGAAAAAAACAAAGTAAGGACCGCACAGTAGGGTCAATCTCTGCGTTACCTTCAGGGAAGGTCATGATTTTATCATGGATGTCAGCAGCTAGAGCCGCCTCCTCCACTTCTTGGTCACTGGCGGTGTTGCGGCCGTAGCGGATGTTTTCTCGGATGGTGTCGTTGAAGAGCACGGTGTCCTGAGGAACAACACCGATGTGAGCTCGCAGGGACCTCTGCTTCACCTGAAGTGAGACGAGGATAAATCCTTATGATTAGTAAAGAGTAAAGTAAAGACAACCTGGAACCTGTACTGTACTGTACAAACAGTTACTATATCATCACAGAAGCAAAATCTTGATATAAGGATTTACTCTTGATATATCCTGCCCATCGATGCTGATGGAGCCTCCCTGAACATCATAGAAACGGAAGAGGAGACGGATGATGGTGCTTTTCCCAGAGCCTGACGGTCCCACCTGAAGAGATCAAGACAAAACTTTAGGTGTCGAGTTTCGAGCAAATCGCATACATCCATGTGTATGAGTGAGGAAACCGTCAAATCTCTTTGAAGTGACCAAGACATACCAGAGCGACTGTCTGTCCCGGATGCACGGTGAAGGAAACATCCTTGAGAATCTCCTTCCTGGAAGATAAAGAGAAATTCAACAATGGAGTCTCGTAGAGTCAAAGTTATTCGTGTTTTTTTTTTTGATTTAAGACTTTGAATCCAGAATTAACTCACCCGCTTGTGTAGCGGAAGTAGACGTTCTCAAACTCAACTTTTCCCCGTTTGAAGAGGAAGCTTCCTGCATTCACGACATCCTTCACCTGCACGGGAGAAAAACACACTTAAGTGGAATCCGGGTAAAGATTTGAGTGAAAACCAATCTGTAGAAATCGAATGTACCTCTTCCTCTTCTTCAAAGAGTTTGAACATGCTCTCCATGTCGATGAAGGAGTTCTGGATCATTCTGTAGGGAATAAAACCAGTGTGCAAGACTCAGACGTCATTCATTTTGTTCATTACCAGTTTTTTTTATTGAATTTTAAATTAAATCCAGATAGATTTTAAGTTGATTTTGATGCATCTTAAACCTGCTCCGCCTCTCTTTACCTGTAGTAGGTGCCAAACCAGTTGAGTGGGGTGTACAGCTGGATGATGTAGGTGCCAAAGAGGACAAAATCTCCAACCTACGATGAGAGGATTTTATTCACAATCAAACTTGATGTTAAAAAAGCCATTTTTCTTCACATCTGAATCAGTTAAACCCACTTGAAACTCATTTTAAGATATTTAATGACATTTTAAAGTGAATCGTTCTCATCAAGCTTGGAGAAAAAGAGGAATAAAAAGATGATCTGCACCTTAAACGTCTTCTCAGTCACAAAGTAGGCACAGAGGAGGGAACCGGCCAGCAGACCTGACCCGATGATGAGGTTCTGGGTTTGGTTCAGAAAGGCCAGGGATGCCTGGGTCTTCCACTCTGACACCTGAACACAAGAGGAGGAAAGAGACATTATATGTATGCATTTATGAGGAAGACCGATGTGCATGAGCAGATGAGATACTATAACATCAATCTTTAAAATCTGATCAACAATCAACTGCTCATGTCTTGATGCAGACCAGAAGTTCTGCATTCCTGCTCCTTAACTGCCCCACCAAGACACCTCTTTGTCCTACTTAATGAACAGCTGCAAAAACAAACACATGCATCCTCGCTGTGTTTGCCACTTTGCTACCCTCTGACTCACCTGGTATTTCAGGATGGCGTCCTCAAAGCGTCCCACTTCATAACTCTCTGCGTTGTAGTACTTAACCTGTTTAACCGGACGGAAATAAAACAATAAGACGGACATTTCAATGAATTCAAATGAAAACTGGAGACTTGAAGGTTCTGCTGTACCGTCTCAAAGTTCAACAAAGAGTCCACAGCTTTGGATTTGGCGTTGTTGTCCTGCTGGTTCATGTCTCGCCTGTACTTGGTCCTCCATTCGGTGATGATGATGGTCAGAGCTGGAGGAAACATCGACAGTCTCTTTTGAGCGTCTTGTCAAACTAAACGAGCCGATATTTTAACATGTATCTGTTGAATTTGAACTTACTGAGATACAGCGCCATGCAGACAAAGACGATAAGGCCGAACCAGGCGTTGAAAAACGTCACGAAGTAGATGATAGCGATGACGATATCAGCGATGGTGGGGACGATGCTGAACACGATGTAGCTGAAAAAAAGGACATATGGGAGGTAATGTTTTGTAGCTCAACGGCAATTAATTATGCAAATTTTCAGGCTGTAAACATGTTTCATTCTGCTGTGAAAGTCGACATTTTCACATGAGCTGAATTAGGGATTCCTTGCCCTTTGCAGTCTGCCTCAGGTGGACACTCAAGGAAGTGCAGATTTTATATTTCACAGCAGCTGAGTTTGCCACATGGTGAGGAGAAAAAAATAATAACAGGGGGGAGATTTTTAAATTTCCATTTCGAGATTTAAGTCAAAATTTCAAGATTTAAGTTGAAATTTGCAAAAGTAGAAATTTCTACTTCGGTCATGTCGACTTTAAACTAGAGGATGACATTTTTCAATTAATCCCGTGATCAGGACGGGAAAAAAAGCAACGGGAGCGGGCAGGAGCAGGAACAACATCAATAGATGATCATAGAGGATTTTGTAGTCATCTCTCAGTGAGAGCCAACACTCTTGACCGCGCTAGCAACACAAAAGAACTACAACAGTGGTTTGACTTCCTGTCACCACCGGAAGTGAAAAGCGACTCGAAGCAGCTGCCGGCGACACCCGTTCCGACTTGGCTGCCACAAGTGCACTTTTACCTAAAATAAAAAAATGCAACGTCTTTTCAACATGTTTGGTTTTTATTCAAACGGGAGCGGGATGCGAGTGGGAGTCATTCTACTGGAGTGGGACAGGACAGTATTAATTTTTTTACACTGGTCCGGGATTGGAACAGGACAGGATTTTTTCTCTGGGAGTGGGACGGGACAGGAGTGAAAATCCGCTCCCGTGTCATGCTCTACTTTAAACCAAAATTTCTACTTTATCTTAAAATGTAATTTTTTTAATCTCAACATTTGGACATTAGTCACGAAATTTCCACATTTTGTTCCCTCGAAATGTTGACTTTAATCTTGAAATTTCAATGTTTTCCAACTTTATTGACATAATTTTTATTTTTTCATCTTGAAATTTCAACTTTTATGCTCTTCCTCTAATAACTTTTTTCATTTCATGTGGCCCTAATCCTCTTTGATGTTACAGAAAATTTGATTTCACTCTTGCAAAATGTGGACGTAAAGTATTTGAGTCATCTGAAGTGCTCCAGCTCAGTTTCAAAGTAAATCCACTCGTTTCTTCAAAGGTTTCCACTCCATCTCACCTGAGCAGGCTGTTAATGGAGGACGTGCCGCGGTCGATGCTCCTCAGCACGTCGCCCGTCTTGCGGCCCAGATGCCAGCGCAGAGAGAGGGAGTGCAGGTGGGCGAACAGACGCACTTGAACCATGCGGTTGGTGTACTGCTGCACCTTGATCCACAGGAAGGAGCGCATGTTGCTGACGAACCCTGAGGCACCTGGAAAAGGAGGAGGAGATGGTAAAAGACACATTATACTCCCATCTCTAATTGATATATGCAAACCTGTAAAAACACAGAAACCACCAACGACTCTCTCTAAAATGACCGTTTTGTATCAACTAAAGCACTCTGAACCAGTTACATCCCTTGATATGATCCTAAAGCTATGAATGCATGTCGATCTTACCTGCTCCACCTCCCTGGAAGAACTTGAGCAGGACATAAGTACAGACGGTGGTGGCCAGAGTGTGCCAGCTGCTGCCGTTAGTCAGGTCGTTCACTGAGAGGAGGACAAAGATCAGATGGAGAGGCGTTTTTCTCTGCGGTGTGTTTTTATGAGGTTTAAGAGAAAAGTGGGGGATCATTCAGGTCTGCAGGGTTACATAACAAGGTTCTCCACTCACCTATGTTCTTGTAGTAAATCGGCACGAAGACGTTAATGGCTCTCTCGATTCCGAGCAGACCCAAACAGAAGAGCACCAGAACCTGGAGTAGGATGTTTCCTTTAGGCCACATGTAGGGGACGAGCAGGCGGACTTTGCTCCTGAAGCCCTGCCAGGTGGACTGGTTCTCATCTGCTCTGCCCAGAAGACTCTAAGAGGGACGGATGATGAACACGCTTTTAATCGAGGTATAAAAGTGGAATGTAAATATGATTTTTGTGCGTCACTACCTGCGTGCTGGTCTCCACGTCTCGCTCATTCTCGTTTATCAGCAACATGTACGGTCGCCTCGGCAGACCGGGGGCGTTCAGACCGATGATGAAGAGCAGTCCAGTGCCGGCGTAGCGCATCATCCAGAGAGCGAGCTGCACCTGAGGGGGGGATAGACGGTGAAAAAGAGATTATTCAGCAGGAGGTGGAGGGCATGGGTGGATTTCATCCTCCATATTTTTCAAGCTCTGTTCATGTATAAAGTTCATTCAAGATTTCCAGTGATGAGGATGTGACCTCCAGAGCAGACAGTCTGACTCTTGAAGGACCTTTGGTTGTGGTAAACCAGTTTTTTCACGAGTCACAGACTATAATATAAACATTACTATAAGAAGTGATCAAATATGAGTCCAGGGATTCTTATTAAAATGGAAATTTAGAGAAAAAATGTGTTAAAATAAAAGTTTCAGTGATCAACTTCTTATTATTAATCAATAATTTAGGTTCAGAATTGAAAAAATGTTGCTGAAATCCTTCCTATGACTGAAACTGCATGTCATGCTGACAATCAAACAGCTGCTGACTCAGCGTGGGCGGGGCTCACGTGCAGTCTCTTGATCCGATTGGTTAACCGCGCTGCTTTCAGGATCTGAAAGTTGCACCGTGCAGTGACTCAGCAAAATAAACTCAGCGTCTTGAGGCTGGGGTGTGAGTTTTCTGCACATTTTACAGCCTGGGTGAGTTCACCTCAAAGCGGGAATGGACTCAGACACACCTGTAATAAATAAATAACTACAGTCTGACCTATTTAAACAAACTTAACACCGTAAAAGCAAAGTTAAGAGAGCTGTACTCTGAAAAAGCAGAGGAGACACGAACAAGCAGGTTTCAAAAGAGGAAAGTTAAAGCAACAAAACTTCTTGAAAATGATTCAAAATGTCAAAATCAAAGATATTTCAAAACTACAGACTAAATCTAGTCTCAAATAAACAAAATGTAACTCACACTGGGTCAGAAAAACTACGAACAAGCCAAAGATTTAAGAGTTAATTCTTTGAAATGTGGGAAATTACGCATGAATTTCACAATTACTCGTGCCGATGTCTGGGAACAAGGCGATACGTTTAGGAAACTAATCCCTGAACCAACACAGCTCGACTCGGTTAATCACATTATTCTGCCACAAAGGAAAGATTTTAGAGAAAATGTGCGAAAAATTATCGAGAAATACGCTCACAGGAAAATAAGTCGACTGATCCTGTAACTCACAGACAAAAAAGTATATTGTTCTCAGATTAATCATCCAGATTAAGAGGATTGAGACTGTAAATGAGATCCGGAAAATCAAATGAGAGATTAACCTCGAGGCGGATATATTTCTTTACCAAACTTTTGTACGAGTCTCAGGAAAGCGGAGTCAAATTAAGACTTTAAACCATTTCTCCTTATATTTTGATCTCAGAGCTAAATTTCCTCAAACTTGCATGTCGTCCCTTTATTCACTGCAAGTCTTCCTCTGATGTTTGTGAATGTGATCATAAAAAGCTGCTGCGATTGTTTGGAGGACATTAAATAAATTGTATTTTTATTTTTGCAGCCTTTGCTCGTCCACATCCCACTGTTCAGAAAGGCCTCAGACATGTCCAATTAAAAAAATCTAAGACCTCTTGTGAGTAAAAGTTTGACTTCTTTAGGACCTGCTATGACTTTAAATTTTAAAAAGTAGTAGTAGTACCTAGGGCTGGCCCGATATGATATTGATATCAGTCCGATATCCGCCAAAAAACAAATATCATATTATACCGAGACGCTCAGTTTCTCCTCACCTGTTGCTGGTTGTCCACCAGCCCCCACCACCAGTGAGGACTGTACCAGGACACGAAGGCCAGGTTCTCAGCGGCGAAAGCCATGGCCCAGAACAGAAGCAGGATGGCGCTGTGGCCCCTCGTCCGATCCCTCACCAGGACCCTCCGTCTCTCCGTCCTCAACAGAGCGATCCCCCAAACCCATCCCAGCGCTGAGAAACAGCCGTACAGAATCACATAACCCGGCAACTCTCCTCCAATCGCAGCCCGCCACACCATCCCACCCAGAAACTGGAGAAGGAGGAGGACGGAGATGGCCAGCTGGAAGGTGTAGAGACAAGAGCGAGGGATGAACTTGGGCTCCATCGCTGTTCCATATTTCTGGTAACAGATGCAGTGGATGGTGCCGAGGAAGAAGGCGAAGGTGAGGAGGATCGAGGGGAGCAGGGTGAAGTAGAAGCAGGGGGAGATGCCTTTATCCACCCAGGTGAGGGAGATGGAGGAGTTGGCTTCACAGTAGCTCTGGATGAAAACCATGGTTGCAACTGGAGAAACACAGGGGTAAGTTCATTCAGAGTTCAGACAAACAATAGTTTTAATTTAATGACTTCTTTTATAGATTTCTCAAAACTGTATGAAAACTAGGGCCCGACCGATACCGATTATTGGGGGGGGGGGGGGGTCCGATTACCGATTAATCCGGCTATTTTTGAAATTTTTTATGAAGTTTTAAAAAAATATACAGCAGATATTATACTTATAGTATACTTTATACTACAGTATACTCTATCTGTATGCTGTTCACGCTGACAGGAAGACCGACTGATCAAAGTCAGAAAAGCGTTTTCAACTACCACCCCACCCCCACCGCGCGCGCTGATCGGTGCCTCCGCGTCTTAACTCGCGTTACTCATTTCCTCTCTGGTCTCATCTGGAGACATGCAGCTGCCTCAGAAAGGGAAGTAGCTCAATCAGTAATGAGTACTGTTGTTTATTCTACCCTTTTACTGGCACGGCTAACAGTGTAGCAAGGTTGATAGCAGATGGCTAACTCTAACTTTAGCTTGCATTTTACACGGTGCTTCACCGTTAACTCGGCGTGACCGAGACCAGCACTGTGGGGAACATCGTGAAGTGGGTTGAACTGAAACTTTTTCACTTATTGTGTACTTCACAAATTGGTTCATTTACCGTTGAGGCGGACCACTCTCCGTGCAGCCTTCAGCTCCGTCACGCTGCTATGCCATGAAGTAGTTTTAGTGGATGAACGTTGTCATGAGGTCGTTGCGCCCTCTACAGGATGTGTCGGGGAACTTTTCAAATGGCGGAACATTTTCGAAGTGAAACGGAATCTTATTCTCCGCATTTTATTTCTGAAAATGTCGGCGAAAATCGGCGATTTTTCGCCGATTACCGATTAGTCTCAAACGGGAATAAATTGGCCTATTTAATGGGCCGATAAATCGGTCGGGCCCTAATAAAAACATCAAGAGATAGCAGATACACTTGTCCAGAATGAGCATGAAAGTTCTTCTACTATTTCTTTTACCTCACAAACTTTTAGTTTCACACTTTTCTGAGATTTTTCAATCAATTTGATAGTTTTATGTCCATTTTTGTAGTTTTATCCCCCCTTTTTTTGGTTTGTCTATTGTGTTTACTTTTTTGAAAAGTTTAATTTGGATATTATTTACGATATTCTCTTAAATTCCTGAAACTGATCCTGTTTTGGAAGCAGCGCAAAGAGTTGGGTCCACATGACTGATTCAGCACCTTCAGCACAAATAAAACATAATTAAAATTGTGTTTTAATGAGACACACTGCAGCTATCTCTTTGTGTATCTAAAATGCTCTTTTCTTATCTATAATTATTTCCTCTATTTTCTAAACTTCTCATTTAAGGGAAACAAACAGTCCAAAAAAGAGTTACCAAAATCCTCGATTGGATTGAAACAAAGAGATGTATTTATTCAAGCAAACAGAAAATCCTCCAGAAAGCAGCTTTTTCTAGACTTATTCCAAACATGATTGTGCAACTTTCTCTGCCTTCATCAGGATATTTGTACTTTCTATCTACTTACAAAACTTGCAGCAATTCTCCTCAATACTAGTGCTGAAATATTTGGTCTCTGTTTGGTCTTGAGACCACTGTTTAAAGGTCAGGGCCTTGACTTGAACTACTTTCACTCAGTCTTGGCTTGTTCTCAGACAGAGAGGGGTTTAGTCCAAACTGACATTTTCTACAGCCACTCTGGACGTTTCTCATGGATGTTCTCCAGATTATATATGATGATAAAAAAAAAGATAACATTGACTTCTTACTTGTGTTTGACCTACAATATGTGTCATAAAACACAAACACAAGGAGACATGGTTAAACTATGCGTAAACACAACATATTCCTTACACAAAAGACACAATAAAACTATAATGAAGAAAGGATAGTGAGGTACTGCAGAAATAATATAAAGATGGCTTAAGTTACTCATTTCAATGTCTTAATATTGTTTGATTTTAACAATAAAGGAGTGTGTGATCTGCCAATACCTGCTCTAGATCTTGTGAACACACCCTCATTGTTTTCTTTTTGACATACTTGTTGTTTTATTGTGCTGTTGACCTTGTTATTTATCGGTCTAGTTATTTGACAGCATATCTTTCAGTCTTACTCAGGTTTCCTGCTTGTTTTAGAAGTTATTCCTCTGTGTTTTGCTGGGTTTGTATGCACAAATCAACTATCCCTGATGGGAATGCACACGTAATTTAACTGGAAAACGATTGAGCATAACATGGAATAAAAACAAAGCAGATATAGGTCGGGAAATGTAATTATATCTCCACAATAAATACACTTTCCTTTCTTCCTTTCTCAAAACCACCTGGCTGCTCTTCTCTGCTATATTAAGACATTTGACAGTGCTATTTAATGCTGAGTCATGGTTCACTAAAGTATCCGTTTCAGCTGCTTGTTATGAATAAAGGCTGTATATCCTTTAGCTTTATATCCCTAACATGTTTGCCCGGCATAACAGCAAAAACACACTTGATATGAGTAAAAATTTAAGTTTTTAACCAGTCCTTCTTGTGTTATCTTGAGCAGGTAACAGCACAACAAGTATGCATCAAATATTCAAGCGTTAGAATATATTTATGAGACTTTTTACATTCAATAAGGCTCCTTTTTAGCTGCATAATTACCTTTATTCCTCGGTGGTTGTCCTCTCCAGGAGCTTCAGATGTCACTCACAGAGCTCACTCCACACAGAGGCTCCTCTTAGCCGTTAGCTTAGCTTGGTCAGCCACACGCAGCTAAAACTCCGAAGTCAGAGACTAAAATGAAATAAGGATGGAGTTTGGGATTCATAACAGAGTTTCTGTCATCGCTTCCCTCATCTGCCTCCTGAGCTCATGCTGACACGAGTGTTGTCCTTGCTACGCGCGTTAAGCAACCCCGATCCGTGACTCTGCAATCGACACTTTACACAACACAGGAGCTGGGCGGCCTGAGCTAGGACTCAGCGCCCCCTGGTGGATGGAGACGGAACTGGTACAAATGGGTTGAATCAAACGGGTTGAGACAACAGGAGAATATTTTATTCAGGTACAAATGGGAATTACACCGTGTGAATATACTCAATAATTCGGTACTTTACAACTCTACTCATGTGAAAGTAAATATAGTATTTCTAAACATATAAATCACTATAAAAGTTTTTAAAAACAGCAGGAAAAGTTTGAATATGGTTAAGTAGAACAGTTTTTAAACAGAAGCATAAAGTGACAGTTCATGATTTTGTCACACAAGTTCCAAAACAATCAAATCTTAGAAAGATACGTTCAGAAACAGACTGAAATGAAAAGTGATGAATCTCAATTTGAGAACGTAAGAAACAGGGCCGGCCTGTGCTATAAGCAATTTAAGTGGTCGCTTAGGGCCACAACCAATTTTTGTCTTCTTTCCAAACGGAAGACAAAAATAACTAGCCAGCTAGTTCTATACCATACATGAACAACTGGCAGTTCAGGGAGCTTGTAGATCGGCCTTTTTTAGCAACTTTTGTGTGACATCGAATGGACCGATAGTATATGTAATGTGGCCCCATGGCATGAGTGTGGAAATATGGTGGCCCTCTCCATCATCAAAGTTGCCCACCACTTGTCTATACTCTAGACCAGTGGTTCTCAAGTCCAGTCCTCGAGGCCCACACACCTGATTCAAATGATCAGCTCGTTATCAAGCTCTGTAATGGCTTAATAACGAGCTGATCATTTGAATCAGGTGTGTTGGAGCAGGGAAACATCCAAAACATGCAGGACAGATTCTTGTGTTGACCTGAAGCAGACAAAGCAATGAAGGGATCACTGACTCTAATGTTATTTTCTCTTTTGCTGTTCCTTCTCTATTTTAATGATACCATATTATAATATTTTTAACCACGCATAAATTGAAGTCAAATAAAATGGAGCCCACTGAAAGTTAATCTAAAAAGTCACCTTTTTCTCATATCCATAAAATAAATGTAAAGATAATAGTTTTAGTGTTTTTCAGAAACAAGGAAAATTAACATAAATAATGATTAAAAAAAAAAAGAAAATAGTGTATTTCAAATAGTTTACCTCATTAGAATGACTCTATTTATGAATAGTTTTTCATTCACTGTGCATTGCAAAACATAAACTCACAGTTCTACAAACTGACCAGTAGATGACAGTGTATACCAAGGAATAAACAGCAGAAACAAGCGCAGACAAGAGACTGATATGTGAACAATGGATCATAAAACCTCCATCACATCAGCTCCCACAGGTAGTGGGAGAAAAACTACCTCTAGAAATGACAATGAACCATAATGGCATGAATATTATTACTAATGGTGTAATTTTACTGCTATATTTAGTGCTGTGAATGAGTGATTAATGACTGTAGCAACATAACCCAAGTGCCTCTTTAGCTGAAAAGAGTAATTTTCAAGTCAAAGGAACATAAAAAGCTTCGTCTTGGAGCGATGAAGGGTTTAAGTGAAGAGCTTTTTCCCATCAAACTGTAAATTCAGGGCTTAGCACAAAGAAGGGAAGTGACTCAAAAGCCAGCTGTCGCATCTGTCCGTCCTACAGGGAGGAATAAAAGACGCCTCAGAATAAAAGTGTGTACCTGTGTGTGTAGGGGGGAGAGAAAAAAAAACGGGAAGTATATCCTGGTGGAGTGAGTATAAAAAACAGAAAAAAGGGCTTGTGATGTCTTGTGAGAGCTAACACCCACACATGCACACACACACTTGCACACACACACACACAGACTGGGATGGAAAAAAAGAGGGTAAATCTTATCATTTCAAGCCTTCACAATGGGAATAAAGAGCTGCTAATCTGCTTCATCTCTTCGGCTCTTTTGTGTGAGTGGAAATGGACCGTCTGTCCATCGCCCCGCTCTTTTGTCTCCCACTGGATGTGACAGCCTGCCACTCACAGCCCTCATCTCACTCCTCCATTGTGGGCACCTCCACCTCTGCATACAGACTCAGCTGGAGCCCTCAAAGTCCTTTAGGTGGCTCTTTTTTTTTTTCTTCTGCTCCACCTTTTCTTTCATTCTGCTTCTTTGTACAGCTGACTCGCACACATGGAAGGTAACAGACTGCAGGATGAGGCGGATGTGTATGGCAATCTAATCCCCTGATTTAGTGAGAAGAGAATATGGGTGGTGTTAGGAAAGCTATGTCCAATCTCATTAGCACCGAGGAGGATCAATAAAGCTTTGCTCGGTGCTGAATGTGGTAGTCATTGAAGGATTGGGGTTTCTGGATGCAGTTCACTGCTAGATGACCTTTGCTTCCTTTAATACTCACACATTGCACATGCTTTATTGTGAGCCAGACTGACTTACAAGTGTGTAGAACGATGGAAAGAAACCACGGTAGCTGCAGAGCTGTTAAGCCAGACTGTGAATAATCACCTGCTCGTATTTTCTACTCAGCAGGTGCAAACAGAAATCAGCCATTCAGACCAAATCTGTTTGTACCAGGTAGTAAACACGTGGAAGAAAGCTGGTATGGGTGTTACAGTGGATACCTTGCCTCCAGTGGACAATCAAGGAACTGCTGTTTTTTGCACTTCTACATTGGTTTTATTTTCTGCTCTCGAAATTGTCACTATCTTTCCACTGGATTTTTGTGAGTCATTGTTCAACTGTTATTTGCATACAAGACAGTCACGCATGCCCATTTTGCCCAATCACACCCACTGGTGCATATACAGGTGCAAATACATTTAAAAATGGCTCTGCTGCAGCATTTTCAGACTCTTAAATTCCTGCCATGCGTGGTGGGTGTCTGCAGGAGGAAGGTGCGCTAAACGGGACAATTTTTCACAGATTTAACAAATAGCTGTGAACGTCGAACAATACTACAGGTAAACAGTTAAAGCAGCTGCAGGTATTTTTCAGTTGGTGTCGGTTTTGGTGCTCCCCTGTGGACTAAGTATGTAGCCCCATTTGGAGTACTGGAAACCAAGGTTTGGTAATCTTTAAAAGTCTGTATCTGGATCAGGTTGAACTAGTTTTACTTTAAAGATGTGACAAAAATAAATTGGGTTATCTGATCCTGGAAGAAAACATATCATCATGATTTAAGGTCCTTTCAGCGTTTTTTCCGTGCAATTATTTCGGACATCAATGTTTTTTTTCGAACCCGTATCCTGTCAATACCAGCGTTCACATCAGCGACGTTTTCCCATCCTCCGATATTGCTGCATTTATTTTTTCGTATCACGGTCGAATTTCCTAAATTTTTGCATACTGTGTGTCGACTTCTGACCAATCAGATTTTGTGTTGTTGCGACGTCAGATTCACCGGTATATCCAACATGGCGGAACGCTAGTTGTTTACATGTTGGAGAACAGAGTGCTTTTTCATAAAAAACACAAACATTACAAAGATAACGACCTGAGGGACAACTTGTGGAGAGTGATAGCGTCGGATTTCTCATATGACGATAGTTTGTGTGTTTTAACAGTTTGCTAAACGTCTTTGTTTTAACTTTCATCTGTGCTAAGTAACTTTAGCTCGTAAGCTAACCTGTTCAGATACAACATACCATATGTATTTTCACTGTCTCAAACTCAATCGCGTTGCTGTCACAGCACCATTAGGTCTCGGTTGTTACCTTACGTTTATGGATTATAGTTTCATGTTCTTATCTGGTACTGGCCCCGACTCAGTACATGCTATCATGACAGACAGCCATCTCAACACTAGAGTCTAAGCAGAACTGAAAACAGTCAGTCTGCTGCTGTGTCAGTCTTCTCGCTTCCAACCTGGACGCGTCTTTTTTCCCCCCGGAAAGTCACAAAATCGCACCGCGCTTGGTGTGTATAGTAGAGTATTTTGTAATTTCGTGTGAATTATTATTATTATTATTACAGAGTGAATTATTTGTCATCATAGAGAAACACAAGGCAGCCGTTTACCAGTAGGGGGTGCACTGCCAAAAATGTTATAATAACATTTAGATCTTTTTCTGTAGTGTTTTTTGCCTTTAATGAAAGGAATGGTTGGAAGTATTGGAAGATAGAGAGAGACAGAGGGAGGACATGCGGCACATGGTTGGGGCAGGACTCGAACCCACAACCATGGTCCTTATAAGTGGGGCACGCAAACCTGCTAGGCCATCTGCGCACCCTGAGCGTAGCTGTAAAGTTCTAGGCAGTTTGGACCGTGCGTCTTGGCACTACAGTGACTTTCTGTTACATTTTGGATGAGCTGCCACACCCTGTGAGTTTTATTCACAAGCTGAATATATTCCTGTCATAATATTTGCAGGCATAGGCAGGATACATTCGCTAAATTTTGGGTTTAAATGTGCTGCAAGTGTTTAGCCATACCCACCCACAAAACCTCTATCAAATGTCTCACAAGTAGGAAAGAGAATATTTTCAAGGTAATGTATTTTCATATTACTTTCTCTTGCAAAAACAAAGTAGTCTCACTCTTTACGTAGCCTTGCAACAAGATATATATAAATGCACAATGAGTTAGAGTCATATATCCTGGGTATCTTTAAATAATGAAGTGTGAGGGAGAGCGTAAAGGGTTGAGGAGGACGAGAAGGCACCTTCCTGCTCGAGTAGTTCTCCTCACGGGCTGACGTCCACACAGGCTGCTGCTGGGGACGCTGTCAGCGTACAGGGTGTCAATTCTAAAAGAGCATCTCTTTCATCTGGGCTGAAGGGTGACGGATAATTCTTTCCTGCATTAGAGAGAGAGGGGAAGGCCATCCATCACAGCTGTGTGCGTGCTTGTGCTGGTCTACATGTGTGTGTATGTGTGTGCGCGCATGTGTTAAATGTAAGCAGGTAGTATTACTCTCCTCCAGGCCTCACTGTGGTTACAGAAGGGGAGGAGGAGATGTGAGACAGGCAGAGCATCTGGAGACAAGGACTCTCACTGGTGTCAAGCGGGGGCGGGTTATTTATTTGGCTGGGGGTCGTGGGAATACTGGAAGCATCTTCTCGCTGATGAAGAACTG